GAAAGACTTGCACAGCTCGTTCGACGCAATTCTGGTGTGCTCAACTCTACCTCTCCAGCACCCACGGCGGTTTCAGCTTCCACTTCGGCTTCGGCTTCCGTCTCGGTTGCTCCCCAAGTGTCGGATGGACAAACCTCGGATGGAGACAGTCTCGTGCCCGACGCAGTTTTGGCGAATGTGTTTACCGCAGAGACAGTGGAACCAACATCATCGCTCTTTGAAGGCTACGCAACAGCGCATAACGACTCTGATGAACCAGTATTCGAACACGTCCATGTGCCGCCACCCGCTACCGACGAACCAGTTCACTCGTGGCAGTTCTCTGAGAAAGCTCTCCGTTATTTCAACCACTGCAAGACCAAGCCCCCCATGTCATTCCGACAGGCGACGACCCTTTGTGGGGATCTTCGGATGACTTCCTGCTCTCAAAGCTGCAGTGTGGCCACACCTCGATCCATTCGGTCTCGTCGGTGTCTGTGTCGAGCGCAACGTCAAGATTTCTCTGGAGGAGCAAGTCAAACACTGGCTCAATCTATACGACAGCGATTTTCGGTGCGACCCGTCTTTCCCGTTCATCATCTCGAACATTCTCCGCCGACGAGACGTGTTTCGCCACCTCGCTTTTCGGGTCCCCAAAGAGAAGGTGGCTCGAATCGCAGCAGCACTGCTCGAAATTTACCGCATATCGACCGTATTCTGGCGTTTCGTCCAAGCACACACGTACTTCAACCAGGCGAGACAAGCCCCACACGCTCGCTTTCAGTTCGTGCCGCATCGGATCCGGGTACATGCCAGGCACAAGCCCCTCTTCATGCAAGTCTCGCGTACAATCAACTAAATACCTGGGTAAGCTGATTTAACATGTCTACCGCATCGTCATCATTACAGCCTTGTCAGTAGAAGTCAATGTGGCCGTGCACCAGTCCGCCCGCCGCTGCTTTGATCAAGCGGCGGTGGTTCTCCCTTGTCCCCCTCTAAGTTCTCACCGACCGTCCACCGTCGCCCAAGAAAAAGCTATCACCGGTCAAGAGGTCCATTACCGTGACATTGACCTTGCAGTGCCCCTTCCAAAAAAAACGTAAGTCGCTCCCTGAAGTCCCGATCTCTCAACGTCAACTGAAGCCACTTCTTATAGCCAAGTTCGGTGAAAGCGCGATGTGGGTCCCCGGCGCTGACGACCACATACATACACAAAGTCGGAGTCGGACCAGACACGGACTGTGGCATGGGCGATGTCGAGTGATCTCAACTTATGCATCTACACCCCGGCTCTGGCTCGATCTCTTCTTGTCTGCAATGTTCATTAATGTTTGGCACATACTTACACGACTCATTGATGTGGATTGAACCGACTCGCCAACTTGGTGCTGCATGCCCGATCCATGGCACGTTCTTAGTTATACTAGTAGCTGACGTTGTCAGTCGGTGTTACATCAGCAACTTTGCCACTTTGCTAAACGCCACTTAATAAATTTCGAGCCGCTAAACCGCTAAAGTGCGCAAAATGGCACAAAATGGCGCTAAAATTGGCACTGTTTGATGAAAAGTTGGAGGAGTGCTGTGGTGAGGTGTAACAATGTCAGGACCTTGGTTGCTATTCTTCCTATTACAAACTCTAGGTATCAGTATACCAAGTACTCGACCTGCAATAGATATATAAAGACATGATTTGCTCTCAACACCTGTTTGCAGTATTATAATCTACTCTCAAAGGACTGAAGCTATACTGTTGATTCAATTGACCAAAATCATGACAGGGGCTATTCTGATAGATCCATTTGCGCCGCCCTCCCTTTCCCCTTCCCGCGACTCTGAGGCGTTCTCTGATCACGTAGAATTCTGATGCTAAATAATCTCGTAAAGCGATAACATACATGCTCACAAGTTCACAGATTTACAGTCAACTGGTCTTTCCAGATGTCCACAACATTCTGGATATTCCATGCCGGCGTGATCTCCATTTGTCAAAGTAGCACCTGCCTAAGATCCGATCGTAAAACAAAACATCCTCAACCGAGTGTCGTAGATTGAAGTTGCTGTGCGGCGACGGAAGAAGGAAATGCGCCTCTTGCGCCTACGAACAGAGTGGGACTTAGACAAATTTTGGAATTTTGGGAGTAAGGCGCGAGTCGCCGCGCGCGGCGCGCCAACTGGCGTGAACCGGGCCTTCGCGAATCGCCAGTGAGCGCATAGTCTTTTTGGCCTTTGCTGCAAGATTTTGACGCGGACAGCTCAAGCGCGCTGGTCTCGGCCTAACGGGGCCCGCTCGCGCTCCACTCTTCGAACACGCATTCTTTGGACCCTGTGCCAGCACGCACTCTTCTCGGCCCCCTTGGGCCTCCCGCCTTGCTCACCCGCTGGCGCGCGCGGGCCCTTCCTCTCCCTCTCCCTCGTCGTCCCGCACGCCTTAGCGTTTCGTGTTGTGGTTCCGGCACCCCCCCCTGCCAGTCTCTACTCACTCAAAGTGGGTAACATCCCTCGTAAGCCCTCTGCCCTTGTTGGACAGTTGGACTGATGAGCTAGCCTGCCACTACGTTGTAAGCAGCCGCCGTACCCGCTGCTTTGCAAGGTCGTATCGCACCCACTGCTTAGAGCAAGGGCGAACTTTTCGAGACTCGCACTATCGCGGCTCGCTGTTTCTAGCTAAGGTTCGCATTCCGGATCACGACTGTCCTTGTTGGGCATGTTGCCAAATTCCTTGTCCTTGTTGGGCAAGTTGACTCATGGGGCTACCTTGTATACAGACCTCGTTTGGCCGCGTCTACCTACCGCGTCGCCTTCCTCCCCTGCCATCGCCCTGCGCTTTTCGAGCAAAGGTATGCCCTATCCCCCCAAGTCAGTTGCAGTGTTTTAGTTACTAATCGGACCGGCGCTCTTTGAGCAAAGCCGATCGACCATTTTTTTGAGCTCCTCCCTCCCACCCTACTTGTTCATAACTCCTGTTTAGAAAACCCTCCGTTTGTTACGGAGTGCGGGTTTTTCTCTTATCACTGCAACTCGACTCTTCCATCCTAAAACAAACGCCACAAACAGCGCGCACTATGGAGGAGTCGAAGCGCCGTCGCGGCCAAGTGACTCGCATTAGGCCACGGCCGCGTTGTTGTTTATCAAGTCCACGCGCCGTCGCGAACCTCCTTTTCCTTCCTCCCACTCACTGCCACCGCTCGCGATGCCCACCCCTTCTTCCCTCTTGCCTCCACCATCATCTTTCAATCCGCCCCCAGCTATTTCCGAGTGAGTCGACCGTATGGCGCAGCCATTGAAAGGTATGGCTGAAGCGTTACAAGCCGCCGGCAAAGACACCGCCAGCGTCCGGCGGGACCAATGCGCGGTCAAAACAAACACGAAGCAGAGAGGCGCACGTCACATCTTGGCAACGCTAACCATCTTTGGAGGGGTTCTTGGAACTTCGCTGTGGCCCCACTGTTAAGGTGAGCTTGAAGAAGTTATACTGTTGTCCAGAGCAGGAATTCGCTGGTAAGTATTTGCATTACTGCAGAGCGATTTCCAGTTCGGCTGGAAGCCAGACGACCCGTCAAACTCACTGTTTAAAGATCTCGCCGCCGTGTTCGCAGCTTGCGCCAAGAGCCAAAAGCTGGCCTCCCTCAATGCGGCGCAGCCGGACCACCAAGCCCTGGCTTTTGGTCTAGTATCTTACGCTCTTACGCTTAAGCTGCGGTGAGTCGAGAGATCTTCCGCGGATATCGGTTTTATTCCTCTGACATTCGACCTAGCGTTCGTCTACCGGTCTCAGCAATAGGCGCGCGTGTCTCTCGAAAAGGTGATGCCCCCGATTGCGGAGTTCTCCGGTGAGTCTCAATCATCAGATGTTGCGACTTACACGGGTTGTTTCCGCAGCGGGCAAGAAGGGGGGGGGGTATGCTTCCGTTGTCAGGCGGCGAAGCAGTAGCCAAAGACTCGCTCGAGGCAAGCCCGGAGGTCTGGCACTTTAGGAACACTAGGCGCCGAATGATACGTAAGAAGAGGACTCAGAATAGATTGTTTGGCTAGCAGTATCCTAGTATTTAGCACTGCGTAATATGAGTGGAATGCAAGCATATACCAGTACTACCAGGCATTGATCGCTCAAGCGCGGTTATACACATAATAGCACTGAATCAGGTTGCTGTTGCAAAAGCACTATAAAGTGCACTAAATGGCACGGAAGCACTAAATGGCACAAAGTGCACTTAAGTTAAGTGCCTTTTTAAGTGTCATTTAGCGACCCACCGGAGATTATAGAAAACGAGCTAAATTTCACTAAAGTGCGCTAAAGTGCGCTAAATGGCACTAAATTGCACTAAAGCGCGAGTGGCAAAGTTGCTGATGTACTCCGTCAGAGGTTCAGGGACCCGTCGCCCCCTCCGGGGCGGCGTTAATCTACATCTACATCTACATAAAATAATGCACGACTTAAAGGATGCACGACTTAAATAAGGTTCTCAGCCCCGCGCGCGCGCGCCGATCTTTCCACCCCCCCACGGTCGGGGAGGTGCGAGCGGAGCTCGCAACGACCTTCATTTACACAGGGGGCGCGCCCTAGTGTACCAAAAAATGCTGTTCTTGACTGTGCTGCGGCCCGCGGGGGTTTATTGTTTCGTCTACCGCACCTGCCTGTCGTGTCTATGTTTCGATCAGAAGTCATATCTCTGTGGCAACTTTTGTATTTTTCGCGCCGTTCGAACGAAGTTACAGGCTTACAGCGTTCCCAGTGTTTTCCTTCCTTCACTTTTTCGTTGCCGTAGAACAGTGCTCCCTGCTGTATTTACTGGAGGGCGAGCGCGTGATTTTGTGACATTACTTCCACCTGGCGTCTGTCACGTGATGCGCCGGCGGCAGTGAAGTTGCCATCCCGACACCGGCCGGGCCCAGCGAAGTTAGCGGCTGGACAACAGTATCACAGCCTATCACAGCCCGTAACTACTCCCGGGCCACGTGCACTCTCCCGAAGTTTTGCTCTTTTCCTCCCACTCTTATCCCGAGGGGAAACCCTTGGCTTTATGTCCCGGCCGAAAGGTCGCCCTGAGGGTGGACTATTGCACCGCAACATCGCCAACTTGTCTTGGGCGGAAGGTCCCTCTTCCCCGCAAGAGGAGACGGATGGCTTCCACCGGGCTAGCATCCCTCTTTGTGGGTTAAACCACGCTGGGCCGCCGATCGCCAGAAACCGAGAGCATTGACAATGGTGTCCAATCGCGCGAGCCTGAGCTTGCCGGACTCGGTCTTGATGACGAAGACGACGAGGACGGTGACGAAGAGTGAAAGACCGCAACGATGAGGATGAAGACGACGACTCGAGGAAGACGACGTCGAAGAAAAAGGTGATGCTGAACATAAGTGTCTTCGGCTGTTCCTCACATGTTCAGTTCTGTTGAGACCCATGATGCACAGACAGTCAATAGAATATTTGAACATCTAGGACGAAGGTCAAGGAAAACGGGTTCGAGGTTCCTTAATTCTTTGCGTACGTGCGTCACCAATCCCAGTTTGCGAACTACTTGGGCGAACGCGACGACTACTTCTCAATCCCGCATTGCACCCAGCGACTCTTCCACTCGAGTTCGAGATCGACGGATAATCCCAAGTCGAGACCGAGCGACTCAACTACATCCGCTTTCATCAAGAAAACTAATCTGCGCCTCACCACGGGCCGGGCCCAATGCATCACCGACGCCGTTACGGCTTCACCCCGGATCAAATTGGACGTTAGGTGATTTTGGCCTCGACGTTCAAGAATAGATCGCGCGAGGTCAGGCAGCGTTACCCATCGAAAAGGTCGTAACCTTCATCGTCTTGGGGGATCAGGTCGACGTCGTCCAGACTCAGCTGCGAGGAGGCATCGTCGATGAGACTTGACACAAAGCCCTTCGTGAGTCTTTCGTCCTCGTCGTCGGAAGCAATCCCCCAGATGCGATGGCGTGCGTCATCACATACGGAAAGCCTTCCCTCTTCATCACCTTGAATGACCGGACATCAAGGTTGCACTGGGACCGAACGACAAAGCATGCAATCGTCCGGCTCTCGTTGCACGAGTGCACGCGTGTTGGAAGCCAAATTGAACCGACTTTGTGGTAACGTTTTGGGCAATAAGAACGGGCAGGCTGCTTCGGCGATGGATGGAAATAGTCTCTTTACTGTTACTTCGTATCATGTATACTGATCAATTCTCCTGCTGTTCTAATTTCATCATCCCGTTGATTGAATGGGCTCCCACTGGTTTTCGAAAAAACGAAGCCCGCAATAGGAGGTCGCTCGAGGCGCAGACACTATCGCCTCATAGCAAGTGAAGCAGAGAAGGAAGTAGTAGGGATGGAGACGTATATGAAAAAGGATACTTCAGGCTGCGGACCGCACCCTCGGGCTAGAACTGGCCCCCTCTAATCCATCTGTTGATCATCTCGAGCGCCTCGACAGGCTTGTCGTGAGGGACCATGCTGCACAGACACCACACAACACTTGAGCACGGTGCGGACACGGACCATGACGAGAAATTCGGTTCTACTCACTGTCCGGCGCCGTCCACCTCCAGGTACGTGAGCGGACCGGAGCTCTTGGTCTTTCCCACATCTTTCCCATTCGGCATTTTGAACTCAGTGAACGGGGCATTCACGTACTGCCGCTGGTCTGACCATTGCAGCGCCGTAGTCCAGTCGCGGTTTGCGAGGTAGTTACACTAGGGATAAAGCGAGTAGGACAGAGTGCGCGTCACATTAGTGTTCATCCGACTCGAGACAGTATGGGACCAACCCCCGCTACTCACGACGAAGTCGCTGCGGAGGAAAGCAGTCGGAGCCTGAGGAATGTTAGCAACATAATCCGCTGTAGGAGTGACGGCTTTCTTCGTTCAGGACTTACTTGACGCCGACGTAAACAAGCGCCCTGATTTTGGACTCGAGCAATTCCGAAATCAGAGCAGGGGTATTGCCCACCCCTGTAACAAGGGGGCACCAACGAGTTCAGATCCACGTCGGGATCGAAAAGCATCCGCGCGACCACACAATCGAGCTGGCGCTCAGTGGCGCCGAGAGGGATACTTACAATCTCCGCTCTGTGCGAAAGTATTGTAGACCGAGGTACTGCAAAGCTCGAATGGCTTGGCTTTGAAATCGACACCGAGTTCCGCTCGAACACTCGCCAGGTTGAGGTAGACCAGGATCCAGAATGCCTGTTTGTAACATAACGGTCCATCCTTGGACGGTGAACGATCGCACTTCTTGCTGACGTCGTAGGGATTCAGGTCCCCATATTCGTACGGCTCTTTTGTGTTAGAATTGTCCAACACGATGCCGAAGCGGAAGCAATAAGTGGGTAACTAGAGTCAGCTCGGGCTTTCGTCGAAGGCGGCGAGGAAACGACCCCTCGGAACGACGAGAAGAATCTCATCACTAACGGCCAAGTTTTAGACAAGCTTTCTCCGCTTGAAAACAAGTCTGCTGCGTAGATTTCTGGCGACACGGCGTCACCCTACTAGCGCAGGTAGTGACCTGCGAGTATAGAGTCTTGCAAGTCGAAGTATTGTAGATGGCTGCATGGACACCCTTCCCGCATGCGAAATCGACCTGCCCACGGAGTGCGGCGACGATCTCGACGAAGCCGTTGCCGATCGCCATCGAGACGAGGGGCACATGTATCGTGTCGGGAGTGGCCCCATCAAGATGCTTGTTTTTGTCCAAGATGACCGACGCGACGTTGGGAATGTACATCCCCGCGTACGACTCTCCCATGACGTGCTTTATTGGTTTGAATAAATAGACCCGAGTCAGGGGTAGTCAATATCTCCACTTCGAAAAGGGTCAGACGAAGAACGAGGTGACCGACAAAATGATTCTTGGCGAGCTCGGGGAATGCTCGATAGAAGAGTTGCATGAAAATATATATGTCCTCTGCGGCCTCGTGCGAGGTGTTGACGTGCTTACGGGCTTTCGAGAAACCGACCTGTAACGTGCGCGAGTCAGATTATAGATGTGGCGAGCGGATCAGGAGCAGATCAGGACCCCTTGAAAGTGCAGCTTGGACAACTGACATTGACGGGAGAGTCCAAGAAGATCATATTGGCGTTCGAGTTCCACGAGTAAGGATTGAAAGTCGAACTCTTGCCTTCGTTGGTGACCAAGCACGGGCCATTCTCGAGCAAGAAGCCTGTCATGCTCGAACATCCAGGACCGCCGTTGAGCCAGAGCAGGAGCGCATCTTCGTCAGGCTTGTCGCGGGATTCGGCGAAAAAGAAAAACAGGTGCGTGTGTTCTGCGATGTCGAGATAGCCCGAGTGGGCCTTGTCTTTGTCGCCACACAGCTAAGGGTCCCCCATAAGAACCCATTTGGCATCAGTACCCCACGCCGGAGCCCGCGCCGCTCGGACCTATTCACTGCATAACTGACTTTGGACTCCTTAATGCGGAACTTGTGATCGGAAAAGTCGGGATGGAAAATAAATTGAACTGTCGAAGAACGAAGTGACACTTTGAGGCGTCAGCTCGGGGTGTCATGAACGCCGAGTCTGGGATGTTGGGGATGTTGGGGATGCTTGGGACACAGCCGATCCGGGTATTGCTAGGCGCAAACTTCACCTCGCGGGTAAAAGCGCCGGTAGCAGATAGTTGATGGTACGTACACGTCGTCCCGTTGCTGATGTCGCCCTTTGCGACCGTCTCTGAGCCCTTGCTGTGGCCCCAAAAGGAGTTTGCACCCACGGCTGCGGGACTGGTTGTGGCATGTACGGCGGTCGCTGCGAGCGTGGCCGTGATGGGGATCAACAGCGTGCTCCACATCATCGATCTTTGGAGTATTGGGTAAGGATGAAGTGATTGGCAGTATCGGACTAAGCAGAAGAGGAAGAGAGAGAGAGTGCAGTGTGGTTCGGCCTGAGGACAACTTATGAACCAGTCTGCTGAGGGCTGACTTCCGGCTATGCTTAGCCATGACGAGTCGCAAAGCACCAGCCGATGGGCCCTTGAACGATCGAGAGGCTCCTATCGGATGTCTCATTCGGCATTCGGCGGGAATACGTCGACCCTCGGCTGCGGGTACTTGTGCCCGGTTCCCGGAAGCTGGGCATTTTAAGTCAAGTTCAGGGTCAGGGGGGGTTTACCCGTTCATCGAACCTGTCGGTCGCTTGATATCAGACTCGTGAATCGAAAATGTGGAGGAAGGCGTACTACTCCGATCATGTGGAAGTTGGCAAGTCTGGGGACGTCATGCTCGTGCTTTGATAACATTGATGACGGAGCAAAGTTGTGCGCGACCAAAGGGTAGGACACTAGTACGAATGCTGTGCGTGCTGTGCAGTCGGAAGTGGTTCGTAGACTGGTAGAGCGGCAGGCTGGCAGCTGGTGCCGGCCATCGACGCCCCTGCCCAGCCAAAATCGAATCTCGCGAGGCCCAAGCCTGCCCAGTGCCCAAGCGGGCCCAAGCGGCAGCGCTGAGCCCATCGCACCCCAGCGCTCAGCGCTCACTCGAGTGGGTGCTCGCCTACGCCACACTCACCCGTTGTCGATCCTTGTTTACCGCAAGCAGTAAGTACCCCTAAGTACCCCTCTACCTCGCGTTTCCAGATCAAGTCCATTTAAGACTCCGGATCCCAGCCAACGCTCGGCACCTACCGTACGACCCGCGGTGGAGCCGATCGAGCTCGATCGCACGACTTTGAGCTGCGACCGCTCGTGTGCGTCATCCCCGAGGGACCAGCGAAGATGGGCACAATGCAAGCGCAGAGCACACGGTCCCAGGATGTCAGCCTAGCTCATTATAGATCATCTCGTGCGGCGAAAACACCGTAGCCAACCTCTTTCGCCCAGGCTGCTCCACGGCTCGTTCGCACTGTGGGCCCCTCGAGCGTTGCCAACTGACTTACCCACACGTCCACCACTTCCCTCGTATTCCTACGCATTTCTGAAGTGTCTTTCAACCCCAACGCCGGCTCCTTCAACCCCAACGCCAACACATGGCAGCCTTCAAGCAACGCGCCCCCTTTCCGTCCCGGTCAGGCCGGCGGCTACCAACCTCAGAACCCCTATGGGGCTCCCCAGGGTCAGTTTTACCCTCAGCAGGGGCAGTACGGGCAGTACGGTACGTCAATCAAGCTTGGATACACGCGTTGAACCGTCGCTGAAACTGTGTCTTTGCTCCGCGACAGGTCAACCGCCAGCTGGGTACCCTTACGGCGGGGGATATCAGGGTGGCAATGTCCCCCAGGGCTATGGCGCCCATGATCCTTTTGCGCAACAAAACAACAACCAGCATGGTACTTATGGTGGCAATCACTACCAACAGCAAGCTCCGCATGCGCCCCGCGACAATACCCAGGCTTACGTACCGCCGGCCCGAGCTCAGCCTGCCCCTGCTCCGAGCGTCCCTTTCACCCGAGCCGAGGTCGATTCCAACGCCCCTGCTCCCGTCAAGGCACCTACAATGTCGCTCAAGATCGGCGGCGGCTCTGCGGCCAACTCCAAGCCGGCGACCGTTTCGCTCAACATCGGCGGCTCCAAGTCGAACGCCGCCTCTTCGTCGTCGAAGAACGCGCCGCCTGGCTCAAGCAAAGCCGCCACCCCCAACTCGTCCAAGCCTGCGACGCCCGCACCCGAGAAGGTAGCCGAGAAAGCCAAGGCCGCCACTGCTGCTGCTGCTACTACTCCCTCCAAGAAGGATTCACTTGCTGCTGACAAGCCCGCTGCCGCCGCGTCGAGCAAGAAGGACGCCCCAGAGGACGGTGCCTCCGCGGCAAAGGAGGATGCTAAGACTGCTGATGCGCTTCTTCACGAGGTGAGGGCCGTGGCCGACGAGGAGACTTTGGCGGACTTGTATGGGAACGATGAAGAGGGTGAGTAAATCGAAATGGTGTCAAGAGCTTCCTCGGAGCCTGCGTGTGCTGACCGCATCGACCTATATTTCTCCAGCTATGAAAAACATCAAGCCACACATCAACATCGTCTTCATCGGACACGTCGATGCTGGAAAGTCGACGATGGGTGGCAACATCCTTTACCTTTGCGGCATGGTCGACAAGCGTACGCTGGAAAAGTACGAGAAGGAGGCCAAGGAAGCCGGCCGAGAGTCGTGGTACCTTTCGTGGGCACTCGACTCGACCTCGCAGGAACGAGAGAAGGGCAAGACGGTCGAAGTCGGCCGAGCCTACTTTGAGACCGATGCTCGTCGTTACACGATCCTCGATGCCCCTGGTCACAAGACATTCGTCCCCTCCATGATCTCCGGTGCCGCCCAGGCCGATGTTGCCGTTCTCGTCATCTCGGCCCGCAAGGGTGAATTCGAGACAGGGTTCGAGAAGGGTGGTCAAACGCGCGAGCACGCGATGTTGGTCAAGACGGCGGGAGTGCAGAAGCTTATCGTCGTCGTCAACAAGATGGACGACCCTACTGTCAACTGGGACAAGGCCCGCTTCGATGAGATCCAGGGCAAGCTCACGCCTTTCCTCAAGGGTACCGGCTACAACGTCAAGACCGACGTTCAGTTCATCCCCATCTCTGGCTTTACGGGTGCAAACCTCAAGGAAGATGTCGATCGCAAGGTTGCCCCTTGGGTCGAAGGTGTTTCGTTGCTCAACTTCCTCGACAATATGGCGCTCGTCGACCGCAAGACGAACGCGCCGCTGTTGATGCCCATTTCTGAAAAGTATGCCGATATGGGGACAGTTGTCGTCGGCAAGGTCGAGAGCGGTAAGCTTCGCAAGGGTCAGAACCTGCTGTTGATGCCCAACAAGGTCAGTCTCATTTGTGCTTGCTTCGGTGTTTCTTCGATGGCGTTGTGCTCACCCTTCGCCATCTTCTCCAGACCCCCGTAACGGTCACCGGTATTAACAACGAGATGGAGGAGGAAGTGCCGCTCGCATTGTGCGGTGACAATGTTCGCGTGCGGCTGAGGGGTGTCGAGGATGAGGATGTCTCTGTCGGCTTCGTGCTCAGCTCGGTCGAGCAACCGGTGCACACCGTCACGCACTTCGAGGCGCAACTCGTTATCGTCGACCACAAGAACATCATCTGCGCTGGCTACGGCGCCGTGATGCACGTCCACACCTTGTCGGAAGAGGTCGCATTGTCCAAGTTGTTGCACTACTACGACAAGAAGTCGGGGAAGAAGTCGAGGCGGCCACCTCAATTCGCTAAGAAGGGGCAAAAGATCATTGCGTTGATCGAGACGGCGGCACCGGTTTCGGTGGAGCGGTTCGCCGATCACCCTCAACTCGGTCGCTTCACATTGCGTGATGAAGGCAAGACGATCGCGATTGGTAAAATCACAAAGGTTAGTTCAATGCATTGGGATATCGATGTAGATGAGTGAGCTGACTTGATCTCTCCCTTCGGATCGCAACAGCTCATCAAGCACCAAGAGGACCTGCCCGACGTCGCCAAGCTCGACATCGCTGCGGCTTAAGGGTAAATTTTGTTTTTGTTTAGATCATTTGTGTAGACGTGATGTGCTTCCTTTGTTTTGAATGGATCTACGTCTTGCCATCCTACTCTAGTTGCGGCTCCTGATGGGGCCGAGTGGATGCTTTGTTGTGAACCGTAGATCACCGCGGCCGCGCGGTGCCCCACACGGATGCTGAATTCGACGTTTCGCTTCCCTCCAGTCCGTGACCCATCCACCACCATGCACGCCATTCGACGCACGCTCAACCGAGTTGGAAGACCAGCTCTCACAAGACAGCTCAGCACAGCGACGTCCTCAAGCCCTACGGTTCTACAGCAATGGATCGATTCGGCGCCTTCGAACGTGCTCTACCTCGAGGACCATGTCACGCTTTCTCGTGTTCGGTCCCTCGTCTCGACAATTGAGGTACCGCAGGATGGACTGGCTTCCGTTTGGTCGGCTAAGGGGTAGGCTTTGGGCGTGCTCTGGCTTCTAGAGAGCCAATTATTGGGCTATAGCAATAGCTGATTGATCTGCCTTCCCTCGAACCCCATCCGGCCCCTCGTACTCGCAGAGACATCCTACCCCCAGGCTGGACACTCCTCTTCTTCCCACCCTGGGATTCTACCACCTCCTCCCTAGGGCCCGACGGCACTGTATTACGACAAGGACTAAGAGGTACTCCACGACTCAGCTCCGAGGTACACGAGTGAGATGATGAGAATAGCGTAGCTTTGCAGTAACTAACCTAAGAGGTACTCCACGACTCAGCTCCGAGGTACACGAGTGAGATGATGAGAATAGCGTGGAGAAGGAAACCCAGAAGGAAAAAAGACGCAAAGACAGAGATAGGCGCGCGCGCAGAATAAGGAATTAACCAAGACTAATAGCAATGAGTTAGGCTCTCAGACCCCACCTCTAACACTCCCACCGGTCAAAGAGACTAACGAGACCATTCCAAGTAGCGCACGAAGTTGATCAAAGCGTTGAAATCCCAAAGGCTTCGTCGTAATATCCGCGGCATTGACGTGGGTAGGGCAGTATTCAAGTTCGACCTCGCCAGAAGCAACCCGTTCTCGAACAAACAAGTGAGCAATGTCGAAGTGTTTGGTTCGCATGTGATCGACCGGATCCTTGGCGATCTGGATGCATGCAGCGTTGTCCTCTTGAATGATAGTAGGGTGTGCTTGTGGAATGCCGACATCACCAGCCAAACGACGGAGCCAGATTGCTTCACGAGTGGCTGAGGATGCAGAGAGGATTTCGGCTTCGGTAGTGGATGTAGCGATCATGGATTGTTGCTTCGACTGCCAGGAGATGACGCTACCAGCGAGCATTGATGCGTAGGCTCCCACCGATCTGCGAGATTCCGGGTCGTCCGCAAACGAGGCATCGGAGTAGACCATCAATCGAGTTGTAGAACTGTTGCGATAAAGAATTCCCAAATCGATGGTGCTGTTGAGGTAGCGAAATATACGCTTGACCGCAGCCCAATCGTCGACAGTCGGACAGGAGTTCTTTTGAGCAACAGCACGAACAGCAATCGCGATATCGGGTCGACATCGAGTGGACGCGTACTGGAGGGAACCCACCGCCGATTGGTACAATGAAACATCGGCAAACGGAGTAGTGTCGATTCGAAGCGAGGGGCGATCGTCCATGGGCGTGACTGCACGGCGCTTGGATAGAGAAGCGAAATCGAACTTCTCGAGCATAGTGCGGACATACTTGCTTTGGTGGACGAGGATGTGATCCTTGGTGCGATGGATTTCGAAGCCCAGAAAGTAGGAGACGGGTCCGAGACGCTTGAGCTTGAAGGCCTTGTGAAGCGATGCGAGCTCGGAGTCCAAGAAGGACTGATTGTTGGACGCGATGAGACCGTCGTCAACATAGAGAGTGATGATAGCAAACGAAGTGCCCGAATGTTTGATGTAGAGGCAAGCATCTGCAGTTGCCCTCATGTAGCCTCGAGACACCATGAGATCGTTGACAGCTCGATACCATTCACGAGGGGCTTGCTTGGTACCATACATCGAGCCCACGAGCTTGAGACATTTGCCAGGGGATTGAGGACCATTCCATCCTTTCGGATATCGAACGTAGACATCCTCGGTCATCTTGCCATTGAGAAAGGCGCAGTCGAAATCGAACTGTTCGAGATGCAGACCCTGAGCAGCAGCCAGAGCAATCAAGAATAGGATAGTCGACGAGCGAGCGACAGGAGCGTAGGTGTCATGGTAGTCGATGTCAGGACGTTGGGCGAAACCTTGAGCAACAAGGCGAGCTTTGAAACGAATGATTTTGCCGCTTGCATCGCGCTTGATACTGTAGACCCAGATCGTGCCGAGTACCCGAATTCCTTCGTGCCACTTGACTTCCTGAAAGACTCCATGATGATCGAATTGTAGAAGTTCTGAGACCATTGCCGCACTCCAATGGTTGCGATAGGGTGACTTCATGGCTTCCTCGAATGTCTTGGGTATCTCGATGTCTTCTTCGGCGAACACGGCAGCACAGTAGGCATCGTAGGAAAGCTTGTCGAGGAACATGGGTGGAGTATCCAATGCATCGACCATGATAGCCGCAATGATAGGAAGGATAACTTCCGGAGGTTGAGGTCGGCGACGAGACCCAGCAGGAAGGATGTTGGAAGAGTTGACATTCTCGAACTGCCCAGGATTTGGACCAGTGCGCACGATGGCGTAACCTTCACGAGGAGCGAGAGCGACTTCCGCCTCACCGTCGAGTGGTTCTTCTGCGTCATGGTAGTCATCAGGTCCATCGTCAGGTCCATCGTTGTCGTCATTGTCGTCATCCTTCCGAGGAACGACTGCAAGATCCCCCCCCTGTTGACCGACGCCAATTGGGACCACCGGAGGAGGCTGTGGATCCGGAAAAGTTAGACCCACAACAGGCGAGGCCGGTGTAGACGGCAACACATCTGGCGGATGAGGTTGAGGATGATGAACGGGACCGGAAGCGTCCGCGCGATCTTGAGACGAAGTGACGACGGAAGGAGTCCCGATGAATGTGACGTGACGCGAAACGTAGACCTGGTTCGACGATTGGACCCAGACACGGTAGTTGTATTCACCGGAGTACCCGATGAAAACTCCCTGAATGGAGCGAGGTGCAAGCTTGGTTCGACGCTCCTTGGGAACGTGGACAAACGCCGTAGATCCGAATGGCTGAAGATGAGCAAGATTAGGCTTCTTGCCTAGAAGGACTTCGATTGCCGTTTTTCCTTGGATACGAGGATGTGGTCGACGATTGAGAACAAATGTCGCGACGGCCAGAGCATCTGACCAGAATCGCATTGGAAGACCGGAGTCGAGGAGCATCGAGCGAACGAGACCCATGAGAGATCCATTGAGCCGCTCTACTTGACCATTTTGCTCCGGAGTATAGGGGGCCGTGAATTCCACGATGATGCCCTGCTTTACAAGAAGATCCCGGAACATTGAGTTATCGAATTCACGACCATTGTCCGATCTGACCCTCTTGATCTTCTGACCCGTTTGACGTTCAGCCTCGACTTGAAACTTCGACCAAGCATCGACAATCGATTCAGCCCTCTTGTCCTTCAGCACCATCGTCCATTTAGCCGTCGAATACTGATCCACAATAGCGAGATAGATAGTATCGCCATGGTGATTGGGATGCTCGACGAACCCAAGATCGATGAAGACGCGGTAGAGGGCATGAGGTGCTTCGGTACTCTTGGCGGAGAAGGGTGATCGCTTTGACTTGGCCTGGATGCACGAGAAGCAAGAAGTAACCTTTTCGTCCTTCAGAGTGATGCCGGTGATAGCTCCGGATTTAACGGCCAAAACGATCGCCGCAGGAGACTGATGGCCCAGCTTCCGATGTGCTTCCATCAACGTGCACGTTCCAGTGAGACGATTGGCTCCGACCATGGAGGGTGATGAGGACGACATAATAGGCTGAACCGGAGCTGCGTCCATGACAAACCCTCGACCAGGACGTGAGCGTATAATCGACTTGCCGCGGATGCTGAAGATGAGATTGTTCTGAGGACCAACAGCATACGTCATCGATTCCAAGAGACGATCGATCGAAATGAAACCGCATTGGGCACCGGGCATGTAGTAGACCCTCTTAATGGTGATACGAGAGCCATAGGAGGTAAGGAACGTCACTGAGCCATGACCGGGAGAGTCGATTTGGGATTGATCGGCGACAGAAATTTTGAGAGGCTCAGAGATAACGTCCGATAGTACCGACTTGTCTCCAACGCAATGGACTTTGGCACCCGAGTCGATGATCCATGGAAAACGTGGCATCGTTCGAGAATAAGGGAAAGTGTAGGTCATCAATGCAGATTCATCTACACCAATGGCAGCTACGTTCGAGTTTGAGTCCGAGGAAACGGGAGCGCTCGCATCCTTGTTCCTGCTTGGACAGAGACGCCAACCACGCTCGTGTCCCAGTGCTTTGCAGCGCGAACAGTACGACTTGGAGTAGTCCTTCTGCGCCGTGGTGGAAATACGGGCGACGAGGCTGGTATCGTCAACTATCCGAGCGGATAACGATTCCTTTTGTTTGTTTCGGGAATCAGCCATCTCGACGTTCATCAGGAGTTTCGGATAGAACGTGTTCCAATCCATGTGAATGTCGATATCGGAGGCAAGGTTCCCAACGATCGAGTCATACTGGGCTGGGAGCGACCGAACGAGCATGCCTGCAAACAACCAATGCGGAAGCGGAGCTCCGAGGTTCTGAAAATCGGTCATGGCAATCTTGACCTTGTTGACGAATTCTTTAAATGGGATATCCCCAGCGTAGGGTTGTGCCAGAGTATTGAGGAGGTCCATAGTACGACTCGGGCGACCGTGAGAGTGGAGGCCTCGGAGGGTGTCCCACATCTCGTACGCCGAGGTGAGATGTATCAGGTGAGACATCTGCTCCTCAGAGATCGAATTGGCGATGTATTTGCATGCCAAGTCGTTGCGGCGGATGGCCCGTTCGCGATATTCCGCGACCTTGTCCGCAACTTGAACGCTGGTGAGCCTGGGCAATTCGTCCGAGTGCGCAAAACCAGAGCCCCCCCCCAAGCCCGCTAAAGCCGGGGGAGGCTGGTTCAAGTGGCGCGACGGACGCCGTTGGATGTGCGATAACGAGCGTGGACCGATAGTCCGCGACAAGGGAGTCGATGGATTGGTTGACGACATCCCATAGTTTGTCGGCTCGAAGATTGATAAACGCACGTTGTGACCAGCTCTTGTACCCTTGTGTGTCCTTGAGGTACAAGCGATTGCCGACCCGTTAGGGAAGTCGGATTCGCTCGTTGAGCTCATAACCTATTACGACAAGGACTAAGAGGTACTCCACGACTCAGCTCCGAGGTACACGAGTGAGATGATGAGAATAGCGTGGAGAAGGAAACCCAGAAGGAAAAAAGACGCAAAGACAGAGATAGGCGCGCGCGCAGAATAAGGAATTAACCAAGACTAATAGCAATGAGTTAGGCTCTCAGACCCCACCTCTAACACACTGAAAAGACGCCACATCACCCGCCCCTCGAAGGAGGTTTGGACGAACGCATGTGGGTCGGCGGTTCGTTCGCCTTCCCTCGGGGATATCAGACCCCCAACTCCGGTCAAGGAATTCGGCTCGGTTCCGAGATCGAATGCACGGCCAAGGTTTTGGATGTGAAGAAGAAGATGGGGAAAGATGGGAGGCCGGGTTATTATGTGCAGGTTCAGAGGGAGATTAGGGAACGAGGGGACGTGACCAGCTCCGAGGCGACAGGGAAGGTCGCGGTCAAGGAGACGAGGGTGCACATCTATCGACCTTCCATGACCGACGAGCAACGCCAAAAAGTGATGGAAGCCAACTCCTCCCCATCACTCAAGAAACTCGACGCTCGTCGCCACGAGGTGGATTTTGTCATGCCATTCCTCCCCACGCCGAAAATGTTGATGAGGTTCTCCGCGTTGACCTTCAATACCCATCGCATTCACTGGGACGAACGCTACTGCAAGGAGGTCGAAGGAAGAGAAGGCCTGATCGTCCATGGTCCATTGACGGCCTTGTTGTTGCTCAATACGTTCCGGCATAATCTGCCCCGAGGCGAATGGGAAGGGGTCAAGGATTTCACGTACCGTAACACGGCGCCTTTGGTCGTCGACCGCAAGGTCGCGTTTTGTGGCAAGTGGAAGGGGGAGGAATGCGAGTTGTGGGTCGAGCAAGAGGATGGGCTGGTCGTTATGACGGGTGTAGGGAGAAGGTGGAAGAAGGGGGAGAAGTAGTGAAGTGAATACTCGCGCCCGACGGAAATTCGCCGAGGCGCCCCCATTCGGCAAGCGCGCCAGAGTCTTGGGTCGCCGGCCCAGCGGAGGAGCATTGCCGGCCAGTTGGCGGTCGGAAATAATCTGTGGTGGCACGTCAATTTGAACGAAAACGCCATCTTGTAGTTCAGGCTGGATGTGGTGTGATGTGAATACATGTATTTTTTCTGCTCAAATTTGACGATTTTGATGTATCCGTTTCGCGGGGCAGTTGGCAAAATTTGATCGACTCGTACTCGGTTGGCGCGTGCATGTACGCACCGCGGGGGCGGGTGGGTGATCGAGCAGCACTGAGCAGCAGGATGGCTGAGGATGGCTGCGAAGGTGAGCCGACCAGCACTGGAACGTCGAGGCGCTCTCGCTCCTGCTGCTCTTGATTCCCCATCCCCCCTCCTTCCCCCGTCCTCCCTCTCCATTTCAAGCCTTGATCTCACTCGCGAGTGTTGGCATCTCTCCAAACTCTCTAACCCCTGTCCCGAAGCGACTTTCTCCAAGTCCTTCGCCCTCCGCAAAGCCGCCGCTGCCCGTGCTCGCTGTTCTCGGCTTTCGCACGTTTTCGCCGCTCAAAACGAGGCTCGCTCAACCCGCCCAGCCCTAAACTTCCTCGTCGCATCCGTGCTCTAAACGACATCTTTTATCCCTCAAAAGCCCATCTACCCATTCAACGAGTTCCATGCCTGTTGCTGAGATGTGAGTTGGCCACGTGACGTGCATTGCTCGTGTAGGGACGCGCCGAGATGTCTCTCCCTCAGCCACGAATCGACCGACGGACCCGATCGACGGCCCCGGTTGCCTGCGAAGTCCGGAGCTCTCGAATGTTACGCCTCGATATCCCGCCTTCTTCGCTCGAACGAGACGTGTTTGTCTTGTGAAATTTGATGCTGATCGTGTGTTGCTTTGCTCTCGTTCCCACCTACCAGGACCACCGCCGACGGACCTGCCTCCGCGATCCTGCAAGAACTCTACTCCGCGACCGCTCGGACCGCTCGCGCCGCGGCCGCGTCGACGCTCGCGGCCTATGTTCAAAAGAACGGCCTGCGCACGCTCGTCGTCGATGCGATCCTCGAGGACCTGACCCGGGCCGTCAAGGGCAAGGTCGTCGCTGAGCGTGAAGGCGCGATCGCCGCTTTCGACGAGCTCTTCCGCAAGCTCGCCAAGGCCGGTGCCGACCCTTACCTCGTCCCCCTCCTGCCCGTCGTGTTGGACCGTCTCCAAGAGTCCGGCAAGACGGCTTCCATCGCCGACAATGCCGAAAAGGCGGCCAAGCAATTGTGCCGCTTGACCCCTCCCGAACTCGCGCCCAAGACGATCGAGCAGCTCTTCGAGGTCATCGAGGGCAACTACAAGTGGAAGAGCAAGGTCTGCGCGTTGCAGCTGCTCGCCACTTTCGGCACCTCGGCCAAGGACCAGGTTGCTGAGCGATTGGGCGAGTACGTCCCTCGTCTTACCGCGTCGATGCGTGACACCAAGTCCGAGGTGAGTTTTCTGGTTGATCAGTCTTCGGGGGCCTCATCGCTGACGTGAGCTTTCATTCACTTTCCGACTAGATTGCCTCGCAAGCCGAGAAGACCGGTATCGCATTGTGCCACGTTCTCACCAACCCCGATATCCAACCTTTCGTCCCCGATCTCGTCAAGTGCATGGCCGACCCCACGACCGTCCCCGCCGCGATCAAGCGATTGTCCTCGACCGTCTGGGTCCGAGAGGTCGATGGTCCCACTTTGGCTGTCGTCGCCCCCCTACTCACCCGTGCCCTAGGCGAGCGAGGCAACATCGTCCAGCGTCAATCTGTTGTCCTCATCACCAACTTGTTCAAACTCGTCCGCTCGTCCGATCTTGCCGCTCTCCACGCCCCCGCCGTCTTGCCCGGTATCGAGCGAATTATCGAGTCGGCCGCTTTCCCCGAGATCCGTGCCTTTGCCGAGGAGGCCAAGAAGGCCGTCGACGCGTCCAGGGAGGGTGCCCAGGTCCCCGCCGTCGACCACTTGTCCGAGGCCGCCGAGGACGAGAAGAAGTCTTTCACTGAGACCCAAGGTCTCGTCGCCAAGGCCTCAGGGGAGAAGCCCGACGCGTTCGCCGACCAGGCCTTGTCGTACGTCGCGTACGCCATCTCGCACTTGACCCGCAAGCGTCAGTTCGATGAGAAGGACTGGAGGGAGTCTTACGTCGGCCCTTACCTCGAACCCCTCGTTGGTAAGGCCTCTGCCGAGTCGCTCTCCGTCGAGCTCTTGAAGCGATGGATGGCAATCGACAAGTCGCGCATGCAAGTCGACCAGGAGGACGACGATGATGAAGAGGGAGAGATCGTTACGGACTTGCCCTTCTCGCTCGCCTACGGTGGCCTGCTCTTGCTCAACCATACGACGCTCAAGCTGCGCCGAGGCCACCGTTACGGTATCTGCGGTGCCAACGGCTGCGGTAAATCGACTTTGCTCAAGGCTATCAACCGGAAACAAATTGACAACTTCCCGCAGCACGTCAAGGCCGCCTATGTAGAGCACGACATTGACGGTGACGAGTCCGGGATCACCGTCTGCGGCCTCATGCTCGAGGAGCCTCGCATCGAGGTCGACGAGAAGGAGATCCGCAAGACCTTACTCGAGCTCGGCTTTGACGAGGAGCGACAGGATGTTGCCATCAACTCGCTCTCCGGTGGATGGAAGATGCGCGTCGCCCTTTGCCGTGCCATCCTGATGAAGGTTGACCTCATGTTGCTCGACGAACCAACCAATCACTTGGACACCAAATCCGTCAACTGGCTGCAGGACTTCCTCAACGCGCAGTCGCACATCACGTGCATGATCGTCTCCCACGACTCAGGATTCCTTGACGCCGTCTGCACCAACATCATCCACTACCAGAAAAAGCAGCTCGTCTACTACAAGGGTAACCTCGCCAAGTTCGTCGAGAAGTGGCCCGCGGGAAAGGCGTACTACACCCTCTCGGACTCGGTCGTCAAATTCACCTTCCCGGCCCCCGGTTCTTTGATGGGTGTGCGCTCGCAGACGCGCGCTATCCTCAAGATGACCAACTGCACCTTCACCTACCCCGGTGCCAAGAAGCCGCAGTTGCAGAACGTCTCGTGCGCCGTCTCCCTTTCGTCGCGCGTCGGTATCGTCGGCCCCAACGGTGCCGGTAAATCGACCCTGATCAAGCTCTTGACGGGCGAGACCGTGCCCGACGAAGGCAAGGTCGAGAAGCACCCCAACTTGCGTGTCGCGTACGTCGCCCAACACGCGTTCCACCACATCGAGGAGCACCTTGAGAAGACGGCGATGCAGTACATCCAGTGGCGTTACCAGGACGGTGTCGACAAGGAGCAGGCCGCCAAGGCGACGCGCGCCATGACCCCGGAGGAGATCGAGCTTATGAAGACCCCCATTGTTGGTCGTACTGGCGAGTCGCGCTTCCTCGAGCGCATCGTCGGTCGTCAAAAGCTCAAGAAATCGTACTCTTACGAGTGAGTGGCACTGCTAGGTTGAGGCCCTTATACAAAGCGCGGACATTGACCCTTCACTCTCCCTTCTTTCGCGCTCAGAATCAAGTGGCAAAACCTGCAGCACAAGTTCAACGCTTGGTTGCCCCGCGAGAGGCTCATTGAGCTCGGCTTCTCCAAGCTCGTGCAAGAGTTTGACGATTTCGAGGCTTCGCGCGAAGGTGCTGGATCGCGTGAGATGTCCGGCAAGCTCGTCCGCAAGCATCTCGAGGACGTTGGTCTCGACGGTGACATCGCCGAGTACAACGAAATGAAGGGTCTTTCCGGCGGACAAAAGGTCAAGGTCGTCATCGCTGCGGCCATGTGGGCCAAACCCCAGGTGCTTATTCTTGGTGAGTAGGCTGTCCATCGTCATCCATGTCCCTTCATCAGTTAGCTAAACTGCTCATCTTTCCTCGCTCCAGACGAGCCTACCAACTTCTTGGATCGTGATGCTCTCGGCGGTCTCGCCGTCGGTATCCGCGAGTGGACCGGTGCCTTCTTGTGCATTTCGCACAACCAGGAGTTCGTTGGTGCTCTCTGCCCCGAGATCTGGAACGTCGAGTCCGGCATGCTCACGCACAAGGGCAAGGCCGCCGTCGCCGAGGATGCGTTCGACTCGCAACCCCCGACACCCGGAACCCAGACCCCTGCCGTTTCGACACCGGCATTGACAACTCCCGCTGGCTCGACGCCGGCGATGTCGACCCCCGTTGGTTCGGGCGACGAGGCACGAGCCGCCTCTACGATCGCCGGTGCCGAGATGGCTTTCAAGGCCGCCAAGGGCAGGAAAAAGATGTCGCGCAAGCAGATGAAGGAACGTGAGGAAAGACGGCGGTTACGTACGCTCGCCTTCCTGTCCAACTCGATCCCTGGTGCGGTGCGAGAACCGGATACGGATTCGGATGAGGATGTCGATGGCAAGACGTTGCGCTCGACGCAGAAGAAGGCCAAAGGCAACTTGACGCCTTCGACCATCATCAAGAAGCAGTCCGAGGTCGAGACGGCCCCGACCGCACCGAGGTCTACTTTCTAAAACGAACGGCTTGGTGTTTCCCTCTCGCTTGGCATCGTCCACCCTCGGCTCAGCACGGTGTTATAGAGTGCGGATCTGTGTGTTCCTATATCAGTCGTCCTTCGCGGTTTGCTCTTCTTTTCTTCTCTTTCTCTTTCATCTTCTTGCTTGCTAGGACCCCTTGTAATGAGTATCATTGGCGTGTGTGCAGCATCAAACAATTGAATTGGGTGGATAGCGAAAACTCTTGCAAATTTCACCATATCTCAGGTATTGGAACCTTGATCCGTCCCCGGGAAGAGTGTCGTCGTGCTGGGGAAAGGCCGTTTCCACTCTGTTCCATGTCTAAAAATCTCCGAGCGAGAACCGATCTCCGAACCTGATCCGACGCCACCACGGCCCGCCGAGCAAATCGATCAGCAGACTACCGGCCCAGCCTGACGGCGAGCATCGGGATCGAGTGCGCGATTCGATTCAGGAGGCAGTGCACTGGCGGAGAAGGTTCTGGATCAACTTGTTGGGAAATCCGGATGGCGCGTGATTCATACGCGCTGGCCGATGCCACTCGGGGACGGGCACGGCCCAGCCTGCAGGAGTCGCCGAAATCGTTCCGAGTCGTGCCGAGCTCGCGGTCGGGCTGGAGCGGAAATCTTGTTGCGCGGGCGAGTTGCGGGCTAGTGCGGGCTATTGCGGGCGGATCGCGATGCCCTGCGTCAGGATCGCTTGCGACGGGTTGCCCTCTATACACCTGTCCTCTCTCGCCACCTACCCCAAACCCCACTCTATACAAACAGTGAGTGATTCCTTCCTTGAGCGACATCTCATACTCGAGCTGATGACAAGCTCCCCCTCGCTCTGCAGTGCCTTACACTGCCGGTTCGTCACCTTTGTTTCTCTGCGGCCGTCGCGTCGTCGTCGTTCGGCTTCGTTGTCCCGTCTGGGCCAATCGCAGCTCGCTAATTCGCATCTTTTCGCCCCCTGAAATCATCGCCTCTTTCTCGCTTGGCTTTGATCTCACCAAAAACAGGTGACGCCAAAAAGGGTGCTTCCCTGTTCAAGACACGTTGCGCTCAATGCCACACCGTTGAGGCTAATGAAGGTCAGTCTCCCATTCGATCCATCCCTTTCGCCCCTCCCCCCCCCCCCCCCCCCCCCGGGGTCTCGCGCTACGCTGCGGAGCCTCGGTCACGATCGGGCTTCTGGGGTGCCTACACAGCCACGCAGCATCTTGTCCCTCTTTTCGAACACCATTTGACCCAGGTGCTCCGTTACCATCGCAGGCAACAAGGGTGAGTACCGCTTCAGCAGGCCGCGGCTTTCCGTTTTCGACTGGGGCCAGTCAAAAGTTGGAAGACCGACACACAAGCCTGCGAGACGGCCCGGGCCGGTGACGATCGTCCGCGCCGCCCAACAAGCGAAGGGCTGCGATGACGATCCCGAGCCTTCTCGACTCTGGGCGAATGCGACTTCGTGCTGCGTCGTGATGTTTTTGGGCCATCGGCGGAGTGGTAGCGTGGCAAGGGGGATTGGGGTGATGGACCAGAGGTTGTGATCGATCACGTCGATCAGACACTTGGGCTCGACATCGGTCGAGCTATAGTCCTCGCACGAACTGGACGCTTGGACACACAAGCTTTGGCGACCGAATAGTTATACTGACTCGACTCCCTTGCTCTGCTCGCTTTCGTGTTACCCAGTCGGCCCTGCTTTGCACGGTCTTGTAAGCCTTTTCACCCAACCTCGAGGCTCGCGCGCCCTGCAGAAACTGACCACCAGCACCTCGTCATCACTCACAGTTCGGCCGACAGTCCGGTAGCGTCGAGTCGTACTCGTACACCGAGGCCAACAAGAAGGCGGCCGTTCACTGGAACGAGGACACGCTCTTCGATTACCTCTTGGACCCCAAGAAGTACATCCCGGGCACCAAGATGGCCTTTGCCGGCCTCAAAAAGGACAAGGATCGCAACAATCTCATCGCCTACCTCGCGGAGGCCACCCGCCCCAAGGACGGCACTGCTTAAGCGGATTTTGTTTTGTGAACACTCGACTCTCTCCCATCACCACCCACCGATCTTTGGATCCTTCTTTCCGACATTCTTTTTCCGGGAACACCCGCCGTTGCATTCCCATACCATCACCACTCAATCTCCACACCAAAAACTCTTACCACCACACCCCTGATGTTCTTTAATGCTTTCACCACACCCGCATGCAATCAGTCCTAGAAGAGTCGATTGTGTGTTCTCCCCCGCCATAAGTGCGTAGAGCTCTCGGGCGTAGTTTTTCAATAGACGGCTTTGAGGACAAGCTTTAGCTTGGTGACTGCGAGACGCGCTTGTTATACACGCAAAACCGTTTGGAATGTTCGACAAGTTGGGGATCAAGAGAGAGGACAGAGAGGCTGGTCCAGAAGATGACAAGTTGAAACTCGGAGCTAAAACAGGACTGGGCCTCGAGAGGGTATCAAAAGTTCAAAGCATGTTCCTCGCCCATGTCGACCATGAGAAAAATTGAAGAAGCAAGTCCTTGGAGCAAATTGACAAGAAACCAAGCGGAACGAATACATCGAGTTCACAGAGAGTACAGATTAAGCTAAAAAAACCGTATGTAAACCATATTTTCGGTTAAAGAGTTCTCGGACCCAGGTCCGATTTTGGGTGGAGGGGGAGAGAGTAAGCAAGGAGTACACAAGAGGAGGAAGAGGAGGCGTCCCGAATGGCGACCATCCCTTGTTATCGTCCTTCTTGCCGTACGAGTCTTTGTCGTCCTCCTTTCGGTTCAAGTCCTTGCCATCACCGTTACCCTTCCTGCCGCCGTTCTCGTACGATTTTTCTCGGTGTTCAGATAAATGAAGGACGGGGTGTGCATTAGCGATTGTCCGCAAAATTTTGAAACCCCCGTCCTCGATGCTCAAGAACTTACCTTGTAGTCGTCGGCACACTGGCGGCTTGGGCTGATGTGGGGAGAACTTCCTGGAGACGAGGGAGACATCGGGAGGGGAGCGTCAGGGGCTGCACCTCGGAGATCGTTGAGGTCCACACCGATGTCGAAGCCAGAAGCCCAGTTTGCGAATTTTTGTGATGCAAGAGCCTTGCTGGCGAGGACATCCGGTCTGAGCTCATGACGCCGCACGTGCACTCTGAATACCCCTCCAAGTCTGCGCACACTGGCAGCTGAGAACCCCTGAACTTGCCGCAGCCGCTGCAGGCTGAACACCAAAGACTGCCGATCGATGCCGGTCTCCCACTGAAGCGGTCGCTCGAAGTGAATCCGCAAACCTTCAAGTGCTCGATCTTTGATTGGTGATCCAAATCGCCGACTTGGTGCAAATTGCAGCGCGATCGCTCCCGTCCAAAAAAGTGGTCCGTGCGAGCGAAAGCGACGCGGCGCGCTTTATGCTGCTTTATGCGCCCCTGCGAGAGACGACCTTTTGGCTGACTTGGGAGACTCGCGCTCAATCCTCGCCAAACCATTCCCACAGACGACCACCAACATGCCTGCGCTGTGAGTCCTGGTCGTCCCGTTCTCGATTCCACCACGGTCACACCTGTGATGTGCGCCGCCTTGACCGGACGCTGACTCGTAACGTTTGATTGCTGCCCCTTGGAACCGCGATCACGCCGCTTGCCCCGCCCTTGCGCTGTACGCCACCGATCATTCGATCGTGCTGTCGCCCGCTACAGGCAATCTTGGGCCGATGATGTCGAGAACACTGGCAAGTCGTCGACTGCTAGCCTGTGGAGTGCTGCTTGCGAGTACAAGAGAGGGGAGACGAGGGCTCGGGCGCGGCCTTCATTGCGTTGCGCTTCGTCAGCGAGTCGTGCTGCTTGCTATCCCGAGTCATCGTCTGCCCCCTTCTCCAGGACTAGCAGCGGCTGTTGCGGAGATTGTCAAGCCCAGAGTGCACGCGGTCGAATGCTGACGCTTTCCTTGCCGTCTGTCGCTTGGCTCGCTCCTCTTCGCACAGAGTTCCCTCCCCGAACTGAAACGACCGACAAGGATGGTATCACCACCGTCATCGAGTACAAGCTGAACGACGAGGGCAAGAAGGTCAAGGTGCGTCATTGTATCGTACGCCACATCACCGAGGCTTTCGCTGACGTGTGATCAATGACGATACTACAGGTCACGCGCCGCATCAAGCGAACACTCGTCAAGAGCAAGGTCAACCACGTCGTCGCTGAGCGCATGGGCTGGGCCAAGTGAGTCTCTTTCCAGGTACTCGAGTGTGCACAAAAGTATGCTTAGATGCTAATGACGCGCACGACCCAGGTTCGGTGCCGAGAAGGGCCACAAGCCAGGACCCGACAGCGCGACGACGACCGTCGGTGAGGCGATTCGCATCAAGCTCTCCGCCGGAGGCATCAAGACCGAAGACACCGAGGCCGAGGAGAAGACGTCGATCCAAAAGGCCCTCGCCGGTCGCAAGATCACCTGTCGATTGTGCCAAGGCGACCATTACACGACCAGGTGTCCCTACAAGGATACGCTCGGCGACGTTTTGGGTGAAGGTGAGCCTCTCTCTTCATCCCCCTCTTGCTCACGTTCTTAAAGCTCCTTGCAAGTCTAGATAGACTGACTCATGAGCTTGACATGTAATCTCATAGGTGGAGAAGAGGGTGGCGCAGAAGGTGCGCCGGGTGGAGATCTCGGCCCGAACCCCACGCCTTCGGAGCTCCGAGCCGCCGGAGGCAAATACGTCCCTCCTTCTATGCGTGCCGGTGCCAAGGGTGCGGGAGAGTCGATGAACTCGCGCAACCGCGACGACCTGCCCACATTGCGCGTCACAAATCTCAGCGAGGACTGCCAGGACCAGGATCTGTGGGACTTGTTCGATCGATTCGGGAGAATCAACCGGTATGTCTTGGAACCGAGAGCATCACGATGACGGCCTTGTCACTGACTCCTATCAGACATTGCCGTGCTACAGTATCTACGTTGGAAAGGACCAGGAGACGGGTCTGTGCAAGGGTTTCGCCTTTGTCAGCTTTGAAAGTCGCGCCGAGGCCGAGGCCGCATTGCACAAGATCAACGGATTGCCCTACGACCACCTCATTCTTTCGTGCAGCTGGAGTGGTGAGTGCCATTTTGCATTCATCTCGGTCGTGTAAATGTACTGATAATCAAAATTGCATGCTCATAGTACCCAAGACCGAGCGACCGGCGTAAAAGTAGTGTATTGGGGTCTAAGAGCCCAGGCTGGCGGGGTCCGATCGACGATTTGCTCTACTCCGGTGCTGCCACTGCGCCTCACCTCCTTTCTTTGTATTGCCCTTTCTTTCATATGCTGTCATCCCAGGATCAGTCGCAGCTCCTTCTGATACTCTGTTGCGACCCTGTGCGTGTCTTGGGAAAAAGGATCTATGCCATTGCCTTTTGAGGCTTGAGCGGAGATGGAAAACCCTTTCGCTCGAGTCAAAGGGGTCGTCCTCGATGCCAAGCTCGGGATCCGCTTCGGCGGCTTTCGCATCGACCCCTCTTTACCTCACGTTCACAGCATGTCTACCCGGACGACAACAACAACTCTCTCGATGGAAGGGATTGAACTATCCCGCTTCAGCTCCCCTGCTTCTACCCATCTCCCCTCGGGTGCCATGACCCAGTCAGAGATGGAACAGCCCGTTCCCTCGCTCGCGTCAACGACGAACGACGTGCTCGATACGGCCGCCTCTCACGGCGCGGCTCTGGAACTCGACGGCTCGGGCACGGGCAAAGAACGCTTCGAGGCGTTGGATTCTTACCCCGATGGTGGGTTGGAGGCGTGGTTGCAGGTCTTCTATTGTGCAGCCTGTATGAGCGTTTGTGTTGGCGGTCAGTTCGTTCTTCAACCATCTTGGGAGGCGTCGCACCCTGGAGCTGCTGGCTGATTTTCCTCCTCCCTCCACCTCGGATCTCGTCGGCCCGCGCTTTGCCGTGAAAAATTGCCTTATCATGATCAGGCATATACAGTTGGTGAGCTTCGTCCCCGCTTGGTGTTGAGCTATCGTGAGAGTGACTGACATTTTCGGTCTCACACTGAAAGGGGTGTTATGGTACGTCATGATCGAAAACCTTGATTCGGAGCCCCTGTACATGTCATCTTGATCGATAGGACTGCGCGTTGAAGCCCACGCGCGCTCGTCGTCGAGGGCGCACTCCCTGATGCAATATGCTTTCCCCACTCCTCCTCATACACAGCAAGAAGCGCTCAAAGACCTAGGACCGAGCGTCTCCTGGATCGGCAGCATCCAAGCCGCCTTCGCGATCCCGATCATGCGCCTAGTCGGCGCCTATGGTCCTCGCAAAGTCGCTATCGTCGGCGCCTTCATCGCCTCCTCCGGACCCTTCCTCGCCTCCTTCTGCTCTAAGAGTTTTACTGGTCTCCTGATCACCGAGGGATTGATCTTTGGTATCGGGCAGAGTTTGATCTTCTTCCCCGCTGCGACGTTGCCGTCGTCTTATTTCCAAAAGAGGCGCCACATGGCAACGGGCTTGACTTACGCTGGAGGAAGAATTGGGGGAGCAGGATTTTCGTTGCTCAGTTCGGTTCTACTTCGACGATGGGGCGTCGCTTGGAGTCTAAGCTGTCTGTAGTTGGTGTATCTGTGTATCACACTGCCGGCTTCGTACCTCATTCGAGCGAGGTTGCCGACTAAGCCTCTTCGAGGTGGGGGACCTGCGGTTGACTGGTCAGTCTCAAGACCTAGTCTTTTCTGTGAGATTTTTTTCCAACTTATATCTTGACCCGGCTGGCTAGGTTCTTCAGCTCAGCTCATTGGGGATGGGAAGGTTGATCGTATCTGATTAATTTCTTTCACCTGTCGTCGGCTGGTCGTACATCCTTCTAGGCGGGCTACATCCTTGCCGCCGCAGGAGGGGCCGGGGCAGGTTACGCCGCTTTCCGACCTGCGATTTTTTATGCCGGGGCTTTGGCTCGTAAGTCCATCCATTCTATTCTTTCTCATCCGATGATCAATAAGGGACACCGAATTCGAATCGAAAGGAAATCTTTTGGGTCTGTTCGTTGGGTTCAGTGTTCGCGTGCGGACTGATGTGTTGTGTCCGAGTGATCGAGAGTAAGGATTTGAAGAAGAGGGTTTGATGGGAACAGGGAGATGCGAGAAACACAAGTGCACGAGAAGGTGGAGCAAAGATGATTTCCTCGCTATTTTAATATTTTGGTAGTTCTCGGGTTGGAATAAGGGTATTGGTGGTAGAGACACTTTTTTTGGATCGGAGTTGATGATCGAGCCCAGTCTTTCGGCTCGGGGAGCGCTTGATCCGGTCGGCCAGCGATAGACGAGTGCCGCTGTAGAAGAAGCAACGCTGTAGAGTTCCTTCCCTCCCACAGCCAGAGCTGCCAAGCCTCTCCTAGTCGCCGCACCTGCTCCCACAAATCTCTCCGGGCTCTCGTAGCTCTCCCCTTGACTCGTCGTCCCCTTGATGTGTACAAGATGAACTGCAATTTGCGCTGCGTCGAAAGGTGCGAACCCCGCCTTTTACTACTGTATCATGAAACGCTGCTCCATCGTCGCCGTCGGCCTAGGTTCACTTGAGCAATTCCTCGATCCTCTTTTCGACCTCTTGTGCGGACCCCAACCCTTGCAGAACAACGGATCTCTCTCGACCATGTTCTATGACCCAAAGGGGTGACTCATCATGAGTGACAAAGAAAAAAAGAAAAAAAAAAAAAATCGATCTCAATGACCGCGCGAGGACTCGCTTACCGAACCTAGCGAAAGCCCTCGCCGGTACGCCTTGCGCTTCCCTGATCAAGATCGGTAGCGTAGGGTTCGCTTTCTTGATGGCCGGGTAGGACGATTCGATGAAGGCCCTATGTTGGATGGGGAGGGAGACAGCGAAAGCGATCAGGTAAGGGAGCTCTTGGAGTTCGCTACACGGTAACAGCCAGCAAGCTAGCTTATTGATTATTGACCTTAGTCCCGCACTGGCGGGCGAACTCTGACACCCGAACAGACGTAGTTCGCGTAGTGTGGAGGGGAGCGCGGAACGGAGAGCCGACATGGTGGTTTGGGTCGTCGAGGTTGTCTCCGGGTGGTGTGCTTTGGGAGCGAAGCGGTAGGAGGAGGAAGGTGACGCGGGCGCGGGTGGGTGAGCCGAGCTTGGGCTGGTCTCTGCTGGTCTAGCTGCTGCTGGTCTTGTCGTCGAGCTGCAGGCGGCTGCAGGCGGCGCTGAGCCTGGCTGAGCCATGTCTGAACAATGGCTGAGCAGTGGCTGAGCACGGGCCGAGCTGAGCCAAGCGCGGCTCGGAGGTGCAACTCCGAGTTCGATCCTGACCATACGCTTCGTTCTTTTCGCGCTCAGACCAGTCACCAGCTCCGAGGCAAAGAGACTCTTTACGACCCACTACTAGAGGTAGCACAGTCAACCACCGTACGCGCCACTTCGCCCCTTCGACTTCCGACCTCCGCTCGCCCCGCGTGCAGTGAGCGCCACTCGGTCAACTCCCCTCGGTCGAGCGCGCATACCACCTCAACACACCTCACCCTTCACGACTAGCCCAGCCCAGCATGGTCAAGAACGAAGCCGGTTCGGTCAACCGGGCCATTGACAAGTGAGCCGACACGATCCGTTCGTTGGCAGAGCTTTCAGAGCTGACTCAGCTTTCGTTGATTGCTTATGCGTTGCCTGCCCACAGGAGGTCCAAGATGAAGGGCTTGCAAAAGTTGAGGTATTACTGTCAGGTACGTCAGGGACGGAAAGGGGAGATGGTGCACAGCTAGGGGACAAGAAGGAGCTGACTACCCCCCCTCGGTGAACTCGTACAGGTCTGCGAGAAGCAATGTCGAGATGGTCAGTTCACCACGATACACGCTCTACGAACTCTCCGACCCATCCCACTGATTCCCTTACTTTCCTGCCCGCCGCCCGCAGAGAACGGCTTCAAGTGCCACACCCAATCCGAATCCCATTTGCGCCAGATGCTCGTCGTCGGCGAATCCGCGGGCAAGCACATCACCGACTATACCCAAAACTTTCAAAACGATTTCGTGACCCTACTTTCCAGAAGGTTCAGTCGTCGAACTCCTACATGTTCTCAAGTCTTCCTGGAGTGAAACTGACTTTCTCTTTTTTTTTGTTTTTTTGCGCGCATCTCAAAAACAAAAAAAAGGTGGGGCACCAAACGCGTTCGTATCAACCAAGTTTACCAAGAGTTCATCTCGGACAAGAACCACCTCCACATGAACGCGACGCGCTTCACCTCCCTGACCGAATTCGCCAAACATTTGGGAAGGGAAGGGATCGCGCACGTCGACGAGAACGAAAAGGGGTGGTGGGTCAGTTGGATCGATACCAGTCCTCGGGCGTTGGCGAGGCAGGAGGCGAGTATGAAGAAGGAGAAGGGCACCATCGACGATGAGATGAGGATGAGAAAGTTGATTCAGCAGCAGATCGAGAGGGCCAGGGCGGAGGGGGAAAAGAGGAGAAGCGCTGCCGTTGAAGCTGGAGAAGCTGGAGTAGAGCGCGTGGAAGAAGCAGGACAGGAGGAACTTACGAGGGAGCTAAAGAGGGATGAAGGGGAAAAGGTACAACTCAAGATGGAGTTCAAGATGGCCACGCCTGCCGTCGCATCATCGACTGCACCCTCGACGTCGGCTACGACGCCACCGACCCCAATCGACGAGACATCGGCGTCACCACTTACCACGACCAACGACGTCGAGTCCACTCCTGCCGGTGCCGCTGCTGCATCTGCTCCTACCCCACCTCTCAAATCAAGCTTCATCGCCCCTCCACCAAAAGCAGTCATCGGGTTCACGCCCAAACCCAACGCCTTCAAACTCGCGGCTGGGAAACCGAATCCTCTCAAGGCGAACGCTTTCAAAACCTCGAATCCGCTTAAAGCGACTTCCAGTTCGAGTGCGAGTGGTGGTGGTAATGGGTTGAAAAGACCACCGGCGCAGATGAGTGCGGTCGAACAGATTGTCGCGGAGGAGATGGCGAGGAAACAGAGGAGGATGGGATGAGAGCAACAGCGGGAGAGGATTTGGTAGGCTTTGAGAGCAGATTGAGACTAGAGGGGTTTGAATTTGATTTGTTGTAGGAATTGTGGCTCTCGTAATTGTGAAGGATTTTTTGGGCACGAGAAGCGAGTCGGATACAATGCAGTTGATCGGGGGTCAAGTACTTACAAAGGGTCACTGCTCTTTGGCACGCTTGGCGCGGGGTTGTCACGAGTCTGACGCAAGGTCAAAGCGTGCGCGCGCGGGGGTGCTTCGCAACCAAAGCTCGGAAACGACCATCACTCACCTTCCCATTCACCCTCACTCCACCCGAATCGGAACCTCCCCTCCCCCCCTTCCGAACCCATCCAAGCATGGCCAAAGCCACCTCATCCAAAGCCTCCCCAGGTACGAAAGCTAGTTCGACTCGCTCGACGACGAACAAGACCGTTCGCATCTCCCCTCCCTCGGCCCCGAAGACGACCACTTCCTCGAACCAATCGACGAAAGCCGCCGCCGTACAGACCGCTTCCAATGGGGTAGCCAAGAAGGACTTGCGCGAAAAGGCCAAGGATTTGAGTCAGGTCGAGACGATTCGGTCGAAAGATGCTCCCGAACCCAAGAAGGGCGCGTTGAAGAAGCGGAGTGCTGTTGAGGAGCAAGGTGAGGAGGAGGGGAGTGATGACGAGGAGGAAGGGAACGGGATTGATTTCTTGAAAGGGTTCGAATCGGGGGTAGAGGAGGAGGATGTGGATGAAGGGGAGGATAGTTCGGACGAGGAAGACGAGGCCAAGCCGGCGTTCGAGGCGAAGCAGTTGCCCCAGGTGGACAAAGCCAAGCTGGCGCAGAAGGAACGGGCAAGGGCAGAGAGGAAGAAGAATGTACGTCTCGTCGTATCCACTCGAGTGGAGAGGGGAAGGGCGTGTACTGATTGACCCTCGATGGAACAGGCCCAAAAGGGCGTCGTCTACCTCGGACGAATTCCCCATGGTTTCCACGAGGCCGAGATGAAGAGCTACTTTTCGCAATTCGGTGAGGTCACCAGGCTACGGTTGTCGAGGAACAAGAAGGTATGTATAGTACTACAAAGCCCTCGCTCAAGGGAGCTAATTCCTCTTGTCAACTCCCACCTCGTCCCCGACAGACCGGCGCCTCCAAGCACTACGCCTTCATCGAATTCGCGTACGCTTCCGTGGCGGAGATTGTGCAAGAAACCATGGACAACTACCTCCTCGCGGGTCATTTGCTCGTGTGCAAGATCGTACCGAACGATCAGATCCACCCCAAGTTGTGGATCGGGGCCAATCGCAAGTTCAGAGTCGTGCCCGTGGCGAGGACAGAGGCAAGGAAGAGGAGTGAGGTGTGTCTCCTTTCATCACATTTCGTTTTCGGGATTTGATCTTCAGCACGATCGAAGCGAGAGGGAGAGAAGCAAGCTGACCGATTCGCTCCCTCGTTCGCTCGCGTTCCCCATTCCAGCCCAAAACGAAGCAACAACAAGAATCCATCAAGAAACGTCTCCTAAAGCGCGAGCAAAAGAAGCGAGAACAATTGGCCGCCCAAGGGATCGAATACGACTTCGCTGGATACGCCGGCAAGGTCATTGAATCGACCGAGGAAGAAGAGGTCAAGGAGGTCAAGATCGTTGAGGCCAAGGGGAAGAAGGGTGCTAAGGATGCGGCGTCGAAGAAGGATAAAAAGACCAAGAAGGTCAAGGAGGTTGAAGGAGTGAGTCCCGGAGGTCAGCGTGGACTTGTGTCGACAGGGGATATAATGGCTAACTCCGTCGCGTTTCGGGGACATGTTATTAGCCGCCGACGAAGAAGGCCAGAAAATCGATCTAAGGACCGGCTGATTGTGTTCACCGGCGGCGGTGCTATTCTGTGCGACGTGTTTCTGATGATGTAATGAACGTGTACGAGTTTCTTGGGGTAAACCAATGCTGCTTCAAAGACACAAGCAAAACATGAAATGTTTGCTCTTCGTAAGACCGAGTGCGGCGCTAGCATGGCCTGAACTGTTCTCCCCCCCCCCCCCTTCCACGTGATTTCCGGATCAGGTAGTACTAGCTCAGACATGCACAGGACGAGCTTATCAGCTCGTTCGGAAATGTCGACACCAGTCCTGTTCCTAGTGCCCCTAAATGGCGTGCCCAGGGACGATCCGAGGTTTAACCGATTACCGTGTCGGTGTCGGTACCCAAGAAGGTCTTGTAACCGTTCAGGTACTCTGTCTCGGCGCTTAACATGGGAAGCGAAGTTGGTCGAACGAAGCGGCGGTGCGCAAAGAAGGAAAAGAAAAGATCCGCGGCGGCTGAGGATCACGTGCGCAGCCTGTACAGCAACCCTATAGCTTCGGGTTCAAGAGCGCGGTAATCCGATTACAAGCAGGAGTGTAGGGCGGTAAGGCAAGGGAATGCTGAAGTAGGTGGTACGCAGCTTTTACCTCTGTCAAGAGGCGCAAATTCCAAGAGAAGTCTGGTCCGCAATTTAGGAGCTCTCCCATGCACGTGATTGAGCGCTCAGTGCCTTTCAGACTCGCACTTTTCTGCGCAATTGCGCTACGAAGAAAAATGCCGGCAGACGGGACGTGTACCGTCTTCAATAGTAGTGACATTCACGACTTTGCGTCACGAGGTGCCTCGCATGTTTCGGGAATGTTGGGCTTCTGTGTCGGTTCGTCTTTTGTTTTGTGTCGGAGACACGCCGGGTTTTCACCTCGCCGACTAACAACGGTGTTTTACCACGCTGGGCATAGTGTGGCATCAAATTATGCCCGGATGCCAAACTATGCCCGGCGTGGTAAAACGGCGCACCGACGACGAGTGCATGCTGATCCCCTGAGACGGAGAATGCCGAACCCATCGACCGTCCTAGCCTAGCCTATGGGAGTGGGCAAAGTCGACTACAAGAAGATGGAGGAGGAGGGAGTATAGAAATGAAGGCGCCAATTAAATGATGAGGTTTGGACCGAATTGAAGCTTGCCCCGAAATCTGGGGAAGGATCAGGCCATGCTAAAAATTGACACTCGTGGTCAAAGCCAGTTGGCTCGATCACCGATTTCTTCCTTCCCGCTATGCCCGGCCCCCGGCTTACGACGATCTATTCTCCAAAGCACGCCGATCGTTCTTCTCGAACGCCACAACGCTGGCGCCAACGGACCGGCTGTCTGACCCTGGGAAGCGTCTACGGGTGAATTTCCCGAATCAACCTGCCCCCGATTGGCCGGGCCTCGCGCGCGCGCGCACTGGGCGGGGGTGCAGGGCGAACGTGTCCGGTCGATTATTACGCTTTGGCGATAACAGGCCAGCCATTGCTTGAACCCGAATTCGCTCCTCTCCAAGTCGGCAACGCTCTCTTCAAGGTCTTTCCTTCCTTGCTTCACATCCAGATCATCGCCCTTACAACTGCCACTCAACCGAGCTTTACTACCCTTCCCCTTCCACCCCTCCCTCAAGCCCCGAGGATTCACTCCCTGCCTCTTCCACGCTCTCGACTCCATCAACAAGAAGCAATTAAAAGCCAGCATGCACCTTTCGTCATCGTCCTTTGTCGCGCTTGGCCTGCTCTCGAGCCTCGCCACGGCCATCTCGACTGCCCAGATCGAAAGTGTGTTTGGACAAGGCACGCAAGGCTTGACCGGTAGCTCGACCACGCTCCCCAACTTTGCCCTCTCCATTGTCACCAACTCGAGTGAGTGCGCCTTCTGCTTTGCATGGTCTTGTGATGGGTCCGGGAGCCGTCACTCGCGGTTCCGTTTCCTTGACTTGCTGCTTCGAGATCGCCTTCGGGCGCACCCCGCTTGAAGCGTGCGAGCTTGGCGGCGCGCGGGCCCAAGGCGGCGCCCCATCGAACGACTGTCAGATCTCCGAAACGCGCTTACGCTGGCTAAAAGGCGATCGACGCGCCTCGCGGGGGCGTGCCTTCTGGGCTGCCTCCGCCGCTCGTGAAAAGTCCGAGATCTTGCTTTGTCGGATCTTATCTTCGCCATGCCAGCCTAGATAGCCTGACACGTGATGTACCGCTGCCGGGCGTCTCCTTTTCTGCGGCCTCATTTCGGCTGGCCGCTTTCAATCCAAGTCACCTTCCGAAACTGAAACGAGCCCCTGAGCTGATCAAGCGCATTTCCTTTTCAACCCCCTCTTCCTTCGTCGCTCGATCCGATCAATCATGTGAATTGCATCTTGTCATCAGCACATGCTCTCGTCACATTTAACTCCACGAGCACCGCACCAGCATCAGTAGGATGGATGGGTGTTGGTAAGTGCTTGTTCTTCCCCTTGCTGCTCGAATCGTACCCGATATCTTTGCCCTCCGTACTCGCCGACTTCGGCATCGTCACGCCCGAACGTCTCGAGCGTGCTCAAGCCCGACCGGATATCTACGCTCATGCTCTTCTCTTCCTCTTAACGCCTTGAAAGCTGACGTGATGCTCTTTCGTCTGCATTTGCTCATTCTTGCTCTGTAGGTGTCGGAACGGCCATGGTGAGTTGGCTCTTCATCGATCATCTTCAAGCGACGGCAGCACCGATGCAGGAAGGGCAATGGCCCATTTCAGTGGCGGACGCCTCAGGCCATGCAGAGCATGATCACTGATCTCTCATCGTTTTGTGACCTTCTCAGGCCAACGCCGACTTCCTCGTCGTCTGGCCCACCCCAGCGGCGTCGTACACGAGCGGACCGGGCTGGACCATCTCACACCGAACCACGACCGGTGAGAACGAGCCCCAGGTCGCCAGCACGGACGCATCCTTGGCGACCAACACCTTCTACACCGTCGTCGAGTCCCTTTCGAGCAAGCCAACAGACTCGTACACGAGTGTTTCCGTCTTGCGACTCTTGACGTTCCCTACGGGTTACCCGGCCCTCTCGCGCGCCAACTCCGGTAACCTCGTCCGCACCGGATCTAACAACTTCATCTACGCCAGTTCGTCAGTCGCCCCCGCGTCGGCGGACCAAGGAGCGGGTTTGACCCAGCACAACCAGGCCCATGCTCGCACGTCGCTCGACCTCAGCCAGGCCGTCACGATCGCTGCGGCCGCCGGGACTTCCTCGGCGGCGGGAGCGTCCGCGACCAAGCCCGCTGCGGGTGGAGCGACCACGACCGGTGCCGGGCCGCAGCAAACCTCGAACTCGAACGCTGGAGGTGGACTTGCCTTCGAATCGTCGGGCCGCACCAAGCACGACATGATCCTGATCGCTCACGGCGTGACCGCCGGCCTCGCGACCATGATCCTCATGCCCAGCGCCATCTTGATCGCGCGCTATTTCCGAACAACGCGCTGGTTCCCTCTCCACGTTGCGTTCAACTCGCTCGCCGTCATCTTGATGATCGTCGCTTTCGGTACGGCCGTGTACGTCACCGGCGGTGGCTTTAGTGATGCGACGCACTATTCCGTCGGCCTCGCCATCTTCATCATCATCCTCGTCCAAGCCGGCCTCGGCTACGGTGCCCACCTCACGCGCCGACCCGATCTCGCTTCGGGTGCCCGCTTGCCGACGTTGACGGGCAAGTCGACCGTTCGTCACGTCCACAACTTGCTCGGGTTGGCGCTGATCGCGTTGGCCTACTACAACGTGCACGAGGGTTTCGAGCGATGGACCCTCGACTCGGACGCGGCGACCAAGGTCCCCAAGGCCGTCACGGTTGTCTACTGGATCCTCTTGGGCGTCGGTGCGGGTCTCTACGTCCTCGGCTGGGTCTTTGAAGGACTTGGCAAGAGCAACCACCAGGCGTTGAGGTCGGACGAGAACTTGCCGACGAGCCATATGACCTCGGCGGAGACCCACAGGCACTAGAGCTGACCTCTCGGCTGCTTTGACGATGATACGACTTTTGTCTTTCTAGAAGCTCCCTCGTCCTTGTCTATTAGCTCGGGTCTCTCTTGCACGTCTGCCTCCGCTTCACAAGGCCGTGCGTGAATGCCTGTTCCTGTTTGTTTATAGGTTCTGCTTACAATTTGGGATCGAACCTTTTTTCCTGCCGCTCTCGCAATATGTCTTACTATAGGTTTATGCCCGTACCTTGTCAAAAATCATAAGTCATCCCTTCATAACAACACATTCCTCGATCTTCGTACATTTTACAAAGCAAACAGCTCCTTCACCCCCCCTTTCAAAGCTTCTTCTTGGACGCCGTCGTCCTCCGATCCTTCCCTCCAGCTGCGGACTTTGTGGATGAAGTACCCACTGAAGGTGATCTGGGAACCTCCGCCACGTTGGCCTTGATGTTTTGCCTCGAACTTTTGACCAAGATCAAACCGACGAAAGCGCCGATCGTCATCAAGCCTGAAAGCATGAGCAGAGCCGGTATTCGGATCGCCCATTCGCGCGGTGGGAAATAGTTGATTAGCGGGGAGGAAGAAGGGAGGAAGGGCTGTCGTTTGGGAGCGTAAGAGGTGGGGGGGGGGGGATGTTAGTGTTGTTGTATAGTTGAAGTAGGCGTGAGTAGTGCGTGGATGGGCAACGCACGGTGAACAAGGTCCAGATGGTGTAGTAGGTGAAGACGACGATGGCGGTGGAGAGCATCAGCCCTGCGTTGTCAAAGTGTGGGAGAGAGGTTCTTTCGTGAGCTGGTCAGAGAAGCCAACGAGGTCCAATGGCTTCTCCTGTGTTGATGATTTTACCTCCTACGAGCTTATCCGTCGTAGGCTGTGAGGGGAGGAGGGATCGCAAGGTCAGCTCCCGTCTTGTGGTGGGGGCCAGTTGCGGTGCGATTAGGTGGTTGACTGGGGCGTACTCACCATTATTGAAGCTATCGGATGAGAGCCTTGATGGATCTGAGTACAATCGCTCGAGTCGACGAGTATAGGAAGGTGAACGATCAAGGGAACGGAGCTTCGAGCAACTCGGTTTGTCCAAAGGTCGCGAGCACGGACGAACTCACACGTTCTCTCTACGCGATCGAGCCGTGCAGCGGTGCTCAGTCCATGATTAATCAGAGCAAAGAGCGGCTTATATCCTCATGACAAGTAGCATAAAAAAACTGAAAACTTCAAATAGTATACAAGTGGTTAACTATAGTAGCGATGGGTTGATCGGAACTCGGTAGCACAATGATGGCGAAAAATCTACACGTCGAAAGGCGGGAATCGGGAGTTATACATCAGACTGGAGAGACACATCACGCGATGAGACATCCGCAGCAACCGTCAGATCTATCTTCTTTCTTCACTGCGACTGCAATGGAGATGGTTTCCCCTAAGGTCAGACACGACGAGGAGAAGCTCTATTCTTCCTGTGACTGAACTCACGTGATCTCTCGGACTTGCTGACCGACAGCGGGCGGACGTTGACGTGCAGGACGGTAGGATTGGCACCCTCCGAGCTACCGATACCGTAAGCTACAAAAACAAAACAAGTCAGTGACATCTTCGCAAGTTTAGGGGATCGGCATCACCACTGGCACGTACTCGAAAGAGTTTTGTCGTCCTCCAAGATTTTGCCGAGATAGAGCCTGATTTACAGTCAAGCGGTGGTCAGCGTCAGCACGGCTCGCCACAACCCGCACCAGGCCACATGTACTCACAATCTCAGACTCTGTGTCGAAGGCGGCAATTCCTCCGGTCCACTCCATTCTGTTCGAGAAGACGACGAGTGCTCGGATCAGTCTGTTCCCCCGAGCTTGAAAGAAACATACCCACGCTCAACACTCACCTGGCGGCCATCGTTGCCAAAGGATCTCTCGCGTCTTTTGGATCGTCGTCTTGTCCCCGATCGATAACCTCATCCTCTTTCCACTGAGCAGGAGGAATTCGAGACCAACGGGCGTGCCCTGGCCGATAGCTTCTACCGAATGATCAGTCGTGGGGTCGTTGCCAGACGAACGGGAGATCTGGTGAATCGTATGGGACGTCAAGGGCGAGGAGTCCAGACCACTCGTAAATTTGGTCGAATCGTGGGTGTTGTCATCGGCAAATGTCGTCGTGGAAGCCGGTGCCGAGGGAGGAAGGGCAGCGTCAACGGCACTGTTCGGTGCTGGCGCCGGCTGAGGGGCCAACATGATGGGAGCGGGCGCTTCGAGCGTCGCTCTCCGAGCGGCCAGTTGAGTCGAGAGGAGCGGATCCGACTCGGCTTCTTCGGGAGGTTCCTGCAATGCTGTGGCGATGTCCAGTTCGGAAGGAAAGGATCGGAGTGCAGGCTGAACGGGCAGTTGGAGCTGATCCTGCTGCTGCGGGAAGGACAGTGGGTCTTGAGGAGGGTCGCCGGCCATGGTAGTGGTAGTGGTAGTGGTAGTGTAGTGGTGGTGGTGGTAGTGGCAGTGGTCGTGTCGGTGTGGGGTCTTACGGTAGCAATCTTGCTTGAACCAAGGGGTGCTTACTGGGCTTGAACGAGGACGAAGATTCAAGACGGCGCAGACGATCCGGAGGAGGCTGGGCAAACGGGAGGAAGCGAAGAGGGTTCCGAATCGAAGCGGCGTGTGGGGGCGGCGTGCGCGGTGATAACGACCTGACGACTGATTCGTCCGAAAAAGCCGGGCCTTTGAAGGGACCGTGCACTCGGGAGTAATATTCACCAAGCCAAGTGTTACCGTGACCTCGTCTCGGGTGCAGAGAGGAAGGAAAAGCAGCACAGTGGGGTCACGATATAAGGGGATGCCTTACAGAAACAGCCCCATAAGTAGCCTCTGAGTAGCTAGAACTGTCGAGTTCTAGTTACGACTTGCTGTTAGCCTAGCGGTCAAGAACGACACAATGTATTTTATGCACATCCAGAGGCGCATACCTTACACACGATTTGTAGGTAGAATCCGTTCCGTCGCTCGTTTGAGGTAACGACAAGCAGTTCACCGATCACCGGATCACAGCTCACTGCAGAAGTACAAGAATCACATCGGTTCGCCGACAGCGAGCGACGGTGGCCGTGGGCCCGTGGACCCGTGCGGCCGTAGAACGGTGAATGGCACGTGAGCGCGCGCGCCTGTGCAGGCTGAACACCCGGAAGGGCCGAGAGGAGCGAAATAAAACAGGCCTCCTTTCCTCCTCTGCACATCCGAGACCAACCATGGCACCTGCACCCAAGAACACGTCGACGACACGCCAACTCGTCATCAAGACCGGCGTCGTCAACAGGTAAGCTAGCCTCGAGCTTGGCACCACCTCCCTCCCATCTGCACACGCAGCTAACGCTCAGAGCCACGTCCCTTCACGTCGCGTCGCGTCATTTGTCAACCCGCGCCATCGATATCGACTGCGTGGGCTTATTACGAATACCTAAAGGGTCGTCAAAGAACTTCAATCGTACAAGGACGAGGCCGTGACAACGGCATCAAGGGTCGAGAAGATGGAGCAGAACAACGAAGACGAGGCCGAGATCAGGCAGCAGGTCAGCCGAAACCCTTGTCACCCAGCAGGAGGTGGACCCAACGAGGATCTAATCCTGTACTCCGGTCGTGATTGACTACAGAAACGAGTTCATGCCGAGTCTTTGGCGATGATCCCGGATTCGGAACAACGGTTAGCCAAGGCCGTCGCCGAGTTGGAGGATCTGATCGTCAGTCTTTCAACTTGGCTATCCGTCACACACGGTTTTCGTCTCTGATTGTTTTATTTACTTCGTTCATAGGAAGCCTCAGAAGAAGAGACACCCGGGGCAGAGGAATTGGAAAAGGCCAAGCAAGCCGTCGCAGCGAGTGGGGTGGCCACGTCGGCAGCATGAGGATGATCCGCCCTTGATCTCTATAAATAGGCATGCGGTAATCGGTAATGACGTATATCCCCAGAATTGTCACACATAAAACTCCCGACACAGCGAAGCTACAACGATATAATGCGCCGCGTGCCTCCTCACCAGAAAACCCTGACCGCGACTTCGACCGATCTCGGTCGATCCGACGTGCCTCGATCCAACCTCATCCGATACGTCACCCCACTATTCTTAGGCCGATCCCTCTCCCCCGCTTCAACATTCTCCGTCAACTCGACGATCCTTAACCTCGGATACGCATCAGGTTGCCCGAGCAAGGTCTTGGTCCCCGCTGCGACTTGATCGAATAGATTCGTCGGTTCGTATTGTCCTACCCGGACGGAGGTGAGCTTGATGCTCTCTAGATCGGGACAGGCTCGGAAAGTTTGAATCGCGTAGAGAGCATCGAGGTATGACCCGAGTTCGAGCCTCTTGAGAGCAGGACAAGACCGAGCGATCGGTTTGACCAACTGGGACAAGCGATATTGATTCGAGGTCGTCGTGCGAAGATCCGTGAGATGTGATCCATGACTTTCGAGTAAGCGCACGAGATCACCGGGAAGAATCTGGTGTTCGATGATGTCGAGGCGAGTAAGGGTCGTTTGTGAGTTGGAAAGAATTCGAGAGAGCTCGGGATAGGACGTCTTGGCATGTTGGCTAAAGGCGATGGTAAGTGACTCGAGTTGGCAAGAGAAAGCCGAGTCTTCTTCTCGGTTTCGTGATCGTAACCTAGCCCGGAGCGTCAGGTGCTTGAGATGAGGCCAAGAAGGTTTAGGAGACCCTAGGGTGGAGACCTCCGGCTCGTCCTCCTCGACCTGATGGTCAAGTCGAGGGGTTATCGGTGTCGACGGTCCCACAAGTTTGGCCAGTTCGTCAAAGTACAGCGGTGCTGTTCCCCAAATGGCCCGAATATCAGGGTTGTAGTTGATGATCCAAGGTTCCTCGCCGGCATGCCCATCGCCGTACGAGAAGGATTTGATCGAGCTCAACTTGGCCAAAGCCAGATGGAGATCACTTGTATCGACGTGTGTCACTCCAGGGAGGTCAAGGAAGGTGATATTAGGAGATAAACCGATCATTTCGATTGAAAGTTTAGATATGTGCCGTCGATCGATCTTGGCTTCCGTTCGAGCGCGACTGGTCCAATTGCCGAGATGGAGGGACCGGACTGCGGATGCTAGATCGGGACGTTGGGAGAGACTCGCGTGAAGCATCGACATGCGTTCATAAACGTGTTTCTTGGCCGTGGGTGAGAGGTAAGGTGAGAGGTAAGGTGAGAAGTGGAGAGCCTTCTGAGCTGGTGTACCCCACGACTTTGAAGCGAGCGAGAGCGACGACAGTGTCGTCGTCCGTATGGGGTCGGCGAAATCGAGCACGGCGTCGATGATGCATTCGATGATGTCTAAGGGGAGGTCCAACAGTGTCGTTTTGCCGATGATGGCGGGGCAAGGAGCGTAGCTCGGGACGGATGGAGCTGCTAGCATGCAGCCGATCGGATTAGTGACACCGATCGCGAACGGGATCTCGCTCGTTGTGGGGTAGTGGAGCAATTGCAACTTACCAAAGTCTTCCGGCCCGACGTGGTCGAGTACCATCCTCGACTCCAATCCTTGGTCTACTCGAAGCGGTCTTGCGGAGAAACGGAGGGGACTGAAGCGAGGAAAGTACTCAAGGTCGAACTAATAGTGGAGCGCCGCCTTGCGGTGTTATCGCGGCGGAGATAACCCCGGGCATGTGCATCGACACGAAGTCATATGACGACAGCAAAAAACAGGACTGTGACATTCTCTTTGTAACAACACTGGTTAAAAATACAAGCCCTCGGTCAAGCGACCCGAAACGACTACTACTACTCGATAAGCAGCGGCGGCGCCGCGCAAAAAAATCGCTCCCGAGTGGAAACAAGCGAAAGAGATAGTCGGCAAGGAGAAGAAATGCTACACCTAAAAGGAAAATCCTAAGGGGGAAGAATATACTTGATACAGGTGCAAAGTGATGTCGCGACGACAAGTCGCCGGCGTATTTCCTTCTGCGAGGCCGGCTCGAGGCACAGGGCTGAAGCGGAAGTAACGATCGCTGTGGTTTTTTGAGGGCAGCAACTCCAACACGGCCTCGTTGTTTATGACGAGTTGAACGTGTAGCGCGAGTCACGGCGGCCGGTCAGCCTCCACTTCACGCCCAACTCGACGGTGTCCTTGTCGTTCGTCGTCGAGCCGTGTAGCAACCCGAAGGCCTTGTAGATGACATCGATGCTGGCCGGTGTTCGGACCCACTGTATGAGGTAGGCGAACGGAATGCGGAGGTGAGCAAACAGTCCGCCCCAATATACTCTGTTGGAAGTGCATGGCGAAACTGACCTTGGAGTCGAAACCATCCATGATGATCAAGTTGACCGTTCTGCCATCGGCAGTGACGACCTCGGCCTCGAGACCGCAGTAGGCTTGACCGGCCGGGACGTTGGATCCACCAAAGTTCGCGAGCATGACGGAAACGTCGGGTGCAAATCCAGGCAAAGAGTCATCACTGAGGGAGCAGAGAATGTGAGGCGACGATGAGGACCGTCATGGGAGGTCAAGACCAAGCCTTCCGGACCGCCGAGGGAGGAACTCACTATTCATTGTAGCACCACGAATGTCCGTTTGTCGAGTCTTGACTCGAGTCAGTCTGGTGTATCATGTTTGAAAATAAGTTCACAGAATGAAATGAATCATACCCTTCCCTCAATCACTTACGCGGAACCAAGAGGCGATTGCATTCGTGTTCCAGCCGTTAGACTGCGCCTTGAAACCGGTGATGCCACTGGACGCAAGCTTGGCATCGACCATGTGTCCGGCAGCAGCAGTGAGGAGCGTCCCCCCCGACGTAGCCTGGCCCGAAGAGGCGGCTTGGCATTTCTTGTCCTTCCACGTGTAGCCGCTCTTGCAGGCTGAGATAAGGCGAGCGAAGAGGAGAGGGGGAAAAGCGGGGTGGCGCGGATAGGAGGTAGCGAAGCGAGAAGTTAGTTCCAATTCCCGCGGAAATTCGAAAGCCGATAAGCGAATCGTCGAATCGCAAAAACAACGCACCGAAACCACATTTCCCGCCCTTGCATGTCTGGACCGCATTTCTCGGGACGGCCTGGGTGCACTGCGCGACGTGTCGGCACGACTGGGACCCCCTTGTTTTGAGGACAGAGACTCCTGAGGGTGCGCGCCAACGGATGAGGACAGCATTGATGGGAGTAAGAAGCAGTTGCCGCAGGCGAGGTCAGTACATTTAAGCTGAGACATGAACAGCATTTTATCTAATGATTGATGAGCTTGCAATGAACCGGGAAGACTCACCTTGACCGAGAGAGGAGTCCACGGGCGCCGGGGCGGCCTGAAGCAGCGCCGGAACGAGGCTCAGGCAGGCCAGGTGATACAGCGTTCGGGACATGATGATGGTGGATGAAGCAACCAGGAAAACCAAGAGACCTCGAAGAAATGTGGACGACAGAAGGACAGAAGGTGACCCAGAGAGATGGCACCATTTGTGTGTGTTTTGCCGCGGGCATATTAGGGTGCTTCAACTTGAATTTGATCGAGGACGCCGTGTTCTCCTGATCTGGACCTGATCGCTGGGCGAAACGACGGCTCGGAAGCAGAAAAGGGTTCGCAGCCTCGAAAAGCGGCCTGGGCGTCGTTCGCGGCGCCGAGGTCCATCGCCGTCTGCCGGTCTGCCAGGTTTCAGAGTTGGACGGCAGGTTGGACGACGACCTCCATTTTCATTTTCCGCCGCCTTTGATCTCTCACTTTCATCCATGAGGTCGTACTCGGAGGTTGATGACAAGACTAAAATCTATGTGAGGTAAGAAAAACAATGTTGTCAAGTTCGGGGAAGTACAGAACTAGGGAACCACCAAAGAAACAGGCAAGGCACATCTTTTTTCAACAAGCAAGCCAAGGGCGGATCGTCGAGATTAGCGCCCTTACTCAGCCTAAACGTAGATCAACCCTCTTCCTGGCCGTTCTTACGGCGGAGCCGGCGTGCGGCCGTGATGCGCGCGAGACCGCGAGAACCTAAACCCCGACGGGTAGGTACCTCGATCATGAGTCCTTCCTCGACGACCCCAAATATGTAACACAAGTGCTGACTACCTCCATCACCTGAGAAGCTGTAGGAGGGTATAGGTACGATCATTTGCAAAAAAGGGGACATGCCCTCCACTCGTAAATTCAAAGCTAACGACTACCCTGTGCAAGGCCCGTTAAAGATCCCGTGCGACCAGTGCACGAGAGTTTATACCGACTTTCCGCCGTTGAAGATGTGACTGCTCGGATGAACGGATTGAGAAGCATAGAGTGGTGAGCTCCACGATTAATTATCCGTCGCAGCGGCTGGAGTTGCGGCCCGAACTGCCCGGCCGGCGGTGAGATGGATCTCGGTGACTAACTCTGTGCTTCGATTTCCGGTGAAATGCCACGTTACGTCGGTAAGGACATCGTTCTTGCTCGTGACCGCGCGTCCAATCATCTCGTTCTGGTACGCGCCCACGACAACGTCACTGTGTACCAGCGCAAGGCAGTCAAGTCTCATCAGCATCTGAAGATCCTCGAGCGTGCACGTGTAGCGGGGCTTACATTGAGCTCGGGGTTTTGACCCACGTGTCATCGAAGGCATCAACGACGTAAAGGGTCACGTTTTTACCACTGGGCAAGTAGAAGATGGCTTCAAGCCCGCAGTCTAGGGTCCGAGGACGCCGATAAGGATAGGGGTCAGAGTCCGCAATCAACAGCGCGCGGGGGAAGGCGTTTTTGATCAGAACGCATTGAAGGCACTTACAAGCTTCACCGGCCTTGATGGCATCTCCTCCGTAGTTAGTAGTCATAGTCTTAAATGAGGGGCTGCGTTGTGAGAAAAAGCGAAGCCAGGGCCATAATCGGTTTTGGAAAATGAGCGAAAAATATCCAGCATGTGATCGGTCCTCGTGACATGCTTCATGGACACAGTTTCTGATCCCACCAGCGCTGGGTATTCATATTCAGACACCAATAATACTCACGCAAAGCCAGGCATGGTGTCGTTGTAGATGTTGTAGCACCAAGAATGGCCGTTGGTGAAATCGGCCGAGTTGTTGGTTCGGAACCAAGACGCGATCGCTCCCGTGTTGTTGCCCAAAGTGGCAGCGTTGAAACCGGTGATGTTATTGGTGGCGATGTTGGCCGAAATGATGGTGGTGTTTGCGGGCGTGCTGAGTGATGCTGTGTAGTCGATGATGATGGAGCTGCCGACATTCTTCGAGGCCGTGCCTCCTGTTCCCGAGCTCGCAGAGCTGGTGGTAGCGGCGGCGGCGGCACGGGAGTAGCTCGCAGTTGCTGCTGCGGCCGAAGATGCAATTGCTGCTACAGTGGTGGGATTGGTGACCGATCCAGTTGGGTTGCCGAAGGGGCGAGCAAAACGGATCGACTTGAAAGCCGAGGTCGTGGCGACTTTTTGCCGAGTGGTTGTGGTCGAAGTCTCAACTTCGGCATCGGCGTCAGATTCGTCGGTCACTTGGGTGGCGACGGTAGTCGATTTAGAGCCCTTGGTTGTGGCGTTACCGACGGCCCTGATTTGCAATCCCGGAATGGCAGGAATGCCCCATCGCTGGCCGGCGCAGGTCGAAGCGAGCGAGGCGACGACGAGGCTGGTCGTCAGCGCGTTGGAGAGCGAGACGAGCATCCTTGCCGAGAAAGTAGCGGAATGGGTAACGAGACTGGCTCGTTGGAACGTGAGAAGTACTAGATGAGGCTTGTAGTGAAGGTTCCAAGCCCAGTGCTCCAGTGCACACGTGCGGTCTCTTCTTTTGGTAGCGAAACGCCGACGCCGAATTCGAAGCCGCGGACAATGAAATGAAACGTCGGAGGCCGAGCGCGAGCGAGAGACGGGCGTAGAGGAGAGAGAAGAGGACGATGGGGGTCGATTCTCGGGTAGCCGCGATCAAGGAGTGACGAAGGTGAAAGGACAGACTGACGACTCGCAAAAAGGTATGATGAGTAGGTGATGTGATGAGAGCCGCGCGCAGTGGCTGGTTCGGTGCGCCTCGACGCTCCCGCGCCCGAGGACTCGAGGCGGCGAGGTCTCAGTGTTCACACTTCTGAGACAGGTCTCGCGGCAACACCTTCCTTCTTCGGGTCAAAGCGGATCGACCTTTGTTACCTACGCGTTTTGGTAAAGCGGCGTAATGAATTCATGTTGTTAACGGTGCTAAAGGTTTAAAGAAGAAGAAGATGTACCGATATTATGATTTCACGCCGACATTATACCTACACTGAGATCCGCGGCTACCACAATTGAGTCGTGTATGAGTCGTGTCCACCAAGAACGACGATCCGACAGCCGGAGGGTAAATGAAGTCGGCCGCACAGGGCCGAGGCGCTACCGTGGCCGAGCTGAATTACGAATGTGCGCAAAAACAACAGATGGGGAATATAAGGGGATGAAGCGTCGAGGAGTGGTCACTCCTTGGTCTCCGTGAAGGTGTCGTCGATCGAGGCGACGCTCGACGAGCTGACCTGCGCCTGGCGCTCCTCTTCCGAAAGGCCCATGCGCGAGGTGTCATAACCGTTCGCCTCGAGGTAGACACGGAAGGCCTGTGATGATGAAAAAGGACCATGCAATCAGCACACATAATGCGTCGTTCTGTCTTCAGTTTATACGATGGAACGCACCTCGTCCTCATTGGTCATGTGATCAGCGTGAATCTCGGGAACGAGGAAAAGAACGCAGATCGCCGAGAAAATGGCTGTGTGAATCAAACAGAGCGTAAACAGAGTCAATAAAATGTACACCTGCGCGGTCATTCCGAAATCGAACGAACCAAGACCACTGCCGACCCAGAAGGGACCTGAGGCCTGCTTATCGCCGGCGGGGAAAGAGGCGATGATCTGAGAAGTGGAGATGTAGTGAGCAAATAGCGCCGGTGCAGTCGTAGGTACGTTACCAAGACCTACCTTCGGGAAAGCGTAGGTTCCAGCAAAGGCACCAATCTTGCCGATGGCTGCTGCTATTCCGTAGAACCGTCCACGCACGGCAGTGGGCCAGCTCTTGGAGGCGAGTAGACCTGCAAGACCACGAACAAGACGAGACCATGAGCTGCCTGGCATTTGGGTGTGGAGGATTTGAAAGTCCCGACACGTACCGAGGCAGTCACCTGGACCAAATTCACCGAAGGAGAGGAAGATGCCGTAAATCACGGCGAATCCAGCAACTGTCCGAGCGAGGGTGACACCCACAATCAGTAATCGTTCTGAGGCGGCCGGACTGGAACAAGACTCACCGTGCTTTTGGAGAGGACCGAAAGCAGCAGACATAGCGAATCCAGTGACGGCTTGGAGGACGAGACCGATGATCATCTGCCTCTTGGGCTTGATTTTGTCGACGGTCACGGCTCCGATGATGCAACCGGGCATATAGAAACTATAGTCGAAACATGAGTCAGCTAGCTGATCTAGCGAATCGAGATCACAACACTCACGCGTTGATGACGATGTTCCAGGCAAAAATGGTTTTAAGGGACTGAGATGAAGAACGAGCCGGTGCCGTCAGCAAGGCCGCCATCTGCAGATAACGAGAGAGAGTGCGTCTTACATCAGATCCATCGGTGATGATGTCGACAATAGTCGAGGAGTATATACCGAACGGGTATGCGATAAAGTCGTAAACGAACCTGAGGGAGAAATGACGAGCCAGAAAAATTTCATTACGACACTCCACATCACTTGCAAGATCGCTTCTGCTCACCAAGCAATCGACAATCCAAGGAAGCTCTTCCAGTATCGCTTAATCGTCAACCAGTAAGGAGTAGGGGCGTGCTTCATGCTTGCGACCTGGTAGCGAGCCGGTTCGGCCATGCGCAGTCGCCAGAAGAGGACCAAGACAGGGGGGATAATACCGATCGCGAAGCAGAGGCGCCAGACGACACGGAGGTGGTTCTCCCCGGCGATCCATAAAAGAACGAGGGGCACGAAGGCCGACACGACGAAGGCGGCATCGATGGCGCAGTTAGTTGCGAGGGCGAAGAGCATGTGCTGCGTACCCTTTTTGATGGAGGGATCTTCGGTGTTCTCGGAAGCGCCGACTGATCCAGCGGGGTATTCACCACCTGTCGTGAAAAGAGTGATCTCCGCATCAGCAAAATACGAGGAATATTTCACGGTGACATTCGGACGGAGGAATGCACCACTCACCGATTCCGATACCACTGATGAACCTGTAGGCGATCAACGCGTTGAACATACCCTTGTGGCTGCCCTTGGCGCCGTATGCCCCCGTCTGCAGGCAGGCAGCGACGGCGACGATGACGGCAGCCAGCATCATGCCACCTTTGCGACCCGTGCGGTCGACCAAGAATCCGAACGAGAGCATACCGAGGACGGTGCCGGCGAAACCCATCGCAGAGAAGAGGGTCGAGTAGTTGCCGGGGAACTGCTTGGGGTACAAGCGTCGCAAGATGGTGTTGACCGATCCGACGATACCCTATCCCATACAAGGCCGCGAACGCCCCAAACAGCGTCAGCACGTTACATCATCTGATTCGACCATCGCACTCGCCGCTTTCTCGCAAGCCACTGCCGCCGCTCTGACCAGGTGGCACGTGACGTGGCGTGTCTCGCCTGGCAGTGCGAGGTAGCTGCTGAAACAGCATCCAGGACTCACATTCTGATACCCATCCGAGAAGAGGGCGGTACCGCAAGCAAAGACGACCGAGATCTAAGCAAGCAAAAGCCAGCAGCTGAGGGTCAGTTCACCAAACGCTCGGTGATAGGTTGAGGCTCGACTTTAGTAAATTGGCGACGATTTGAATGCGGGGCCCGCGCGCCGGCCAATGAGAATGGGGCGGCGTTTCGACGGCACTCGACCACGGCACACCACGGCGAGATGCGGTCAAAGGCTCCCTCTTCCGACAGATTGACAAGAGGTTGAGCCACTCACTTTGCCGAGACCTCGTTTGTAGGTGACGACGGGGAGCGCATGAGGCACGGGTTCAGCCATGTTAGGATCTCACGGCAGGTGGTCGGATCGGAGAAAATTTCTGGAGAAAGGGGAAAGAGCAAGAGCCAAGACCTGGTTAAGAAGTGATAGGTTGAAAGTTGGACTAGCAAGCAGCTCCTCATAGTCAATCGGCACGCGCTCGGGCACTTGGGGCCAATTGAATCCGCGTGGGCCGTCTCTCAGATCTCAGATGCGCGCGGCCGTGCGCACGCTGGGTCAGCGCTTGAGCAGAGTCGAGAGGATGGGCATATCTGGGCATATTGCTTCCCGAAATAGACGGCTTACGTCCCTCTCTCGTGAAAGGTCGCTGAAATGGAGACGAGTCGAGCACTCCTGGCGAATGCAATGCGCAAAAACAACAGAAAACCTATCTCGCCTGTTACCTAAGGTTTGGGGAAGGGCGATCAAAGAACGTGCGCTTTGAACAAGAAAGTGCCCAGGGCCCACGTTCGCGAGTCTCAGTGCATTGTGCAGTCGGTTAAACTCCGGACGGTCCCCTTGACGCTCCTATAGCTGGGGGCCTTCTCAGAAGAGTCTCGGCCGGACTCGGAGCTGGACAGTGCGGCAGCTCCCGCTGTCGGCCGTTGCAGAACGCCGAGCGCGGAGCGTGCCAAAGGGCGTTGGAATCCTGCGGCCCGAGGGTCAGGTTCAAATTGTTGGAACAGATGGCATTGCTTTGCAGAAGATTCTTTCAAGTCGAGCCCTCGGGCACGTTTCGTCATGTTAACATGGTCTTCCTCGCTCCCTCTTTGACGACTCGAAGTTCTCTGCTCCCAGCTTGATATTCTCGGCTCCCACTGCTCAAATGCCAAGTCACGTGCCGGCGGCCCAGAATTCATCAATCGAGTCCCCGAGTCGACTCTGCCCCAATGGAGTTTCGATCTCGAATGACAGAATATCAGTCGCCTCGAGCCACTATTCCGTTCACCGAGTACTGAAGCAGAGTGATCGATAGACAGGATACCTACCTGTATGCCGAACGACAATCGACCGTGTTCCGTCTTCGAGGGAGTTGCGACGCTCGGGCCTTGGCGTCTTATGGCGCCTCGACCAAGGCTCTCGTGGCCTCTCACCTTCTCCAGCTCGACCAGCGCCGCGACGCGACACATGGCACCAGTCGCATCCACTTCAAAGGCCCTCGTCTACTCTCCCTCTCCCTCTTCTTCGTCTTCGAATGCCACCGAGCCCACCGCTTCCCCTGCGACGACCGAATCCACGGGACCGCTCGCACTCGGCGAGCCAGAGCCAGCCGATGGAACCGACGTCGACGACCATCGCTCGTGGCAGGTCGTGCTCGTAACACCGCAGAAGAAGCTCGTCATTTACAACACCCATCGCAACTCGCTGCATGTCGCATCCACACGGCAATGGGCTGAGACTCCCGACGATGCGGAGACTGTAGTATGGGATGACGAAGAAGGCGTGGAACACTTCCATCGCACCGACGACGATGAGGACGACGTGGAGGAGTCGGGGCAGGAAGGGGCGAAGCCAACGATGACCACGACACGCAAGACCACACGGAGTAGGAGCTTCAACATCAGAACTGTTTGTCCACTCTGTCATCGGCCCTTCACCTCAGACTCCAGAGGCAAACGAGACGATCTGGGGAGGGCGAACGCGACGACAGCAAGTGGGGCCCAATTCCGATTTGGCCAACCCCACGCCACCGAACCGAGGCTCGATCTCATACAAGGTCGGAATGCAAGGAAAGACTCGTCCTACTTCGCGCTCTTGTCCCATGCGACCTCGAGAACGAATTCTCCTCGCGTCACCGCCGCTTCGGCCTCGGCTCGAGCGGAACAGGCTGGCCAGCAGAGTGGGGGATCGGTCACGCCCGATGGGACGGAAAGGTTGCAGAATTCGACACTCAACACGGGCTACTTTGAGAGCTTCTTCGAGCCGTTGCAACTGTTGGGCAAAGGTGGGGCCGGCAGTGTATGGCTCGTTCGGCATGTCCTGAATGGAGAAGCACTCGGCTTGTACGCTTGCAAGAAGGTCGCGGTTGGCAACTCGGCTCCCTCGTTGTGAGTGGCGTGGCTCCAATCAACCACTCGAACTTGGATCACTGATTGGATTCCGCTCTCCTTCTAAGACTCTTGATCCTGCGTGAAGTGCATCTGCTCGAGGCTGTCCAGCATCCGAATATCGTCACTTATCATCACGCATGGGTCAGTTTCTTATCGGTGAGGCGTTTGGTACACAATGCTGACCCTCTGCATGTCGTCATTCTCGTAGGTCGAGTCGGCCCAACTCTCCCTCTACTCCCCACCCGTTCCAACCTTGCACATCCTCATGGGCTACGCGAACGGTGGATCACTTGCCTCCTTCATCGAACGACGGCGAGGCTCCAGTTCTTCGCCGGAGGACGGGACGGGCGAGTCACCCGCTCAGCGCAAGGAGCGACATCGCTTACGGAAACTCGGCGCGGTACATCTCCTACGTGTGGACGAGATCGTGCAGCTGGCGAGGGACGTGACGATGGGGTTGGGCTTTCTGCATCAACGCAATATTTTGCATTTGGATCTCAAGGTAAAACCCGAGTATCGCTTGGGGCCACATCCGCGGAGCGCCCTCTGACCGAAGAAAGTTTTTACAATACTTTCTACAGGCTGAGAACGTTCTGCTGCACTGGGAGGAAGATGCACTCTTGCCGATTGCGAAATTGAGTGACTTTGGGAACGCTACCAGCGACAAGTGGAATCGGGAGCGCAGTGAGTGACCAGCAGTGCATTCCCAAGTATGTCATTTGAGCGTCGGTCCCACTGAAAATTGCGTCCTACTCATGCAGCTGGAGGTTCGGGAACACTGATGTACACCGCACCGGAGGCATTCGAACTCGACTCGAGGGGCCGGCTGCACACCGCGGATCGGGCGACGGACCAGTGGGCTCTGGGGCTCATCTTCCACTTGATGAGCTTCTTCACACTTCCATATCGGAACCAGGATGATACAAAAAAGCTCGAGGAGGAGATCAAGGCGTACCCCGGGTGAGTGCTGCAAATTTTGCAGTCAATAGCTTGCGCGGGATGAGCTCAATCACATACGCACTGGTGACTGCGCTAGATTCTTCCCGCACGATGCCCTCACACTCGACCATGGGAATCGTCACGACTTGCCCGCTTCTTTGCTTTTTCTCACGAGCTGTCTCATCCATCGCTTGCCGGGGGAGAGGCCGAGCTGCGAGAGAGTCCTCGTCGCTCTGGGAGAGATCGACAGGGGTGAAGGCGACGACGATGCCCAGGACGACGATAAACATGCAAGCGCGCAGTTGGGTTTGGTCAAGTCGTTGACGCCTCCCAGTAAGGCACCTATCGGTATCATGGTCAGTGTTGATATGTTCAGTGTAGGTTCCACCACAATTCCCGATTGACGAAACTGCCTCTTTTCCACGCAGCCCCGCCGCAAGCTCCTGTCGGCACCCTCTTCTCAGTTGATAAGCGTCGATCTGGCCAGCACCAAGCAGATAGGACAGCAAGTACAGCAACCTTCTGTGGTTGAGTTGTCGCAACGATCGGCCCTGGGGGTGATTGCCTTTCAGGTCAGTCGCCGTTTTCGCAGCTGCGATGGCGAAGACAAGGGCAATACACTGAATTTCGTACCATTTCCCGCCCATCAGGCGTTATCTCTCGCTTTACTTTCTCCCTCCAGCTCATATTTCAGCATCAGACAGGTGCTCGCGATCGTCGCAGGGGTGTTGGCCGAGGTTTTGGTGCCTCGGGCGGCAGTTTTCGTCAGCGTCAGCTTGCTCGGTGGATTCGTAGTTCGTGGTTGGTAGTCGTATCTGCTGGTGTATGTAACCATTGACTCTTCCTACCTCTTTGTCTTCATAAGTACACCTGAGATTGGCAATCTAATTGCTGGGCAACTGTCTGTCCGATCAAGCCTGCGGCAAGTCATTTTGGGTTGTCCTACCCACCACCCTGTAGCTCTAGATCTGCGCCGCTCCCCCACCTGCAGTGCGCGTGCCCACAATGTCAACGCCGTCGACGCCGTCGATGGACTCGATCGTCGAGCTCATCAAGTCGACCTCAACGTTCGAACAGCTACACAAAGAAGGTGAGCCGCACAACAGGCCCCTCGTAGTGCCGACTGGGTGCTGTACTAACTCTCCACGCTGCCGTCGGCGTCGTCATCGCTCGCAGTGCAACAGCTACGCAAACTCGACAAGGCCTCGAACGACAACAACACGTCCATATTCGAAAGCGCATTGCAAGATGGACGAGACCCATTGGAGGTCTTGGATTCGTTGCAGCACTCGGCGGGGTATCTCTTCATCCTGTACGTCGAGCACACGCGACGCACCCCACCCGATCCGAGCTGACTGAGGATGCGGACAATCGTCTACGCACAGCAATGCGAGGTTGTCGGTCGAAGGATGTGATTTGGATCGTCTGCTGCCTCTGCTGCTGCAGTTCAGTGAGAAGTTCGACTATGAACAGCTCGCCCTTGTTCCCGACCAAGGTCAGCCGCGTCGCACGACACACCCTTGGCTCCACGGATGGCATGCGCATCTCATTCTTTTCTGGTGTCTTTTTCAGTCTCTTACCTCGTCAAGACCATCACCAACTTTGTTCAATCAAGTCCAAGTCACCAAGCTGTCAGTCACGCTTCTCACAGCTCTTCTGGCGGGGCTCGCTGTCGGGCCCCACCTTCACAGTCGCTCGCTCACTCATCGCCATCGCTGCATCCTCGCTTCCTCCCAGACGATTGCCTTGCTTCTACCGCTGCGACTTATGGTCATGCGTAGCTCACCACCGGGGCATCTCACCGTACTATACCCCGGCTTCCTCGATGTAAGCTGGCCAAGCTTTATCATTTTCGGCTCTGATCGTAGTGCTGACGCCAAGATGTGCTTTCCTTTCTCAGCTTTGCATCAAAAGCCGCGCCTACGACTTTGCTCTGGACCTGCTTCTGATGGACACGATTGATGTCGACAACACTGTGAGTCAAAGCTCGGACCTCGGATCCGTCTGCGATTTTTTCCTCTGCTGAGCTGACCAATCCACAACTCGTTGCGCTCGGTAGCTTGGACAAGTCAAGTACATGGATCACCTGCAGTATCATTACCTTGGGGGTGTTATCCTCGCCTTACTCAAGTACAACGAGCGTGCGATTGACTTTCTTGAGATTGCAAGTCAATTTCCTTGTCCGCGGTGGAGATTCTTTGCTAACCTCCATCACTTGGTGACAAAAGGCCGTCTCTGCCCCGGGCCACTCGGTCTCATTGGTTCAAATCGACGCCTACAAAAAGCTTGTTATCCTTCAGTTGCTCACCCACGGCAAGACATCCCCTCTTCCCAAATATACAGCCCCGAATGTCCACGGTGCGATCAAGAGTCGATGTGCGGTCTACCTCAACTTCGCGATCGCCTTCATGAAGCTCGACAAGTCAGCGCTCGTGAATCTCGTGGCTCAGCATGGACCGGCGTTCGAGGAGGATCTCAACTCGGGATTGGTCAAACGTTGCCTCGCCTCGTTGCGTCGACGTCAGATTGAAAAGTTGACCGAGACGTACATGACCTTGAGTCTCGGTGATTTGTGCCAGGCGCTTGGGCTGGACAGGACTGTTGAGCATGACTTGCTCGATGTCAAGCAAGAGTTGTCCATGATGGTGAGTGACAGCATTCTCTATGGCCCGTTTTCAGGAGAATACGCTCCTGACACCATCCGCTTTGTGACATGTGAAGATCGACGAGAAGCATATCTTTGGCTCCATCACTCCTGCCGACGATCTTGCCTCCGCGACCGTGACCTTCACCGATGACTCATCGCTCTATACCTCTCACGAAACGCTACAACGTCTCGCCCAATCGATTGCTACGACTCAGAAGATGATTGCGCAATCCGAAACACGTGCCAAGGAAATTGAAAAATCCAAGGAGTTCATGAACAAGGCTTACGCGGCGGCGGGGAACCAGGCTAGTGCGATGGCGGCCGCACACGGCATGAACCTCGCTTCGATGTCGGGCTTCGGGAGCGAGTTCGATTATGCCGAAGAAGGCGCTTGGGATGGGGGAGACGATTGAGAGATGTCGTAGTATGTGCATAGCCACCATCGACGGGCGGCTCCCGGCCTGTAGTTGCAATCACGAAGTCCGTGCGCTCGTTCACCGTTCTTCGGCTGCCCGCGAGAAACGGTCGCGGTCGTTGGTGATTGACTAGTGTGGCCCCTAGGCCGCCAATTTGAGGTGCTTCAGGTAGCGTTTGGGACAGCCGCTCACCATCGTGGTGAGATACATTTTGGAATCGTGCGCCGTACAGACTGACCACTTTTTCAAGGTCGCGTTCCCCATCCAAAAACCTTTCTCTCCCTCCGGCACCTTACTGGGTCGCTGCATTCACGCTCCTCGCCATAATGCTCCTCAGGACCCTTCTTCTCACCTTTGTTGCACTCCTTTCCACATCCGTCTATGCTGCTCCTAGCTTGCCTCCATGCGGCATCGATTGCGCGAGGCGCGTCGCGCCTAACACGTCGGTCAGTCCGAGCGGTCGTCGTTCGCGCCAGGCGCCAGACGCCTATGCCTAGCGGCGTCCGCTTCGCGATGCTGACCCTCCCTGCTGAGCCCGCCTGATGTTGAAGTGTAAGGAGTTCACGAATGTGAAATGTCGTTGTCAAGATCGGGAATACGACAAACTCTATCGGCAATGTGTCATAAAGAGTGGGTCGAACGAAGGGGCTCCGAGCCCCTATCTTTCTCAACCCGGTCTTGTGATTGACTCATTTTGCGTCATAGAATGTACGGTCCAGCAACTTCCGTTTGTGAATGAGGTGGAGAACACGACGTGTGCGAGCTACAAGTTGTCGAAAACGAAGAAGGGCGGCAATGGAGGTACATTCAAGTTTGGGGTGCTTAACTGGGTCGGGCCCAAGTGGGTGGCAGGGAGCTGACTTCTAAACGCCACTTTTCTCTCCGCAGTTCTTCTCCCACACGCCAACGCAACAGCAGCGGATGAGGATAATATCGAATCAAAGGACCCGCGCTCCTCCCCTTCTTCGACGAAAAAGTCAACCCAGTCCACATCCGAGTCCCCAACCTCGACACGGACCAAAGCCCTCCTCAATACGACCCACGACATACCCTCATCATCGACCGCGGGCTCTCCTTCCAACGTGGACATCGTCTACGCCAACTTGACGAAAGAAGTTGCTGAAGGGACTGGTATGACGTTCCCCAACACGACCTACACCGCCCCCGACACCACTTCTCCCAGTTCGAGCGAAATGACGAACGCCACTTCGACGACTGGGCCCACAACCGATCCCACTTCTACGAACACCACTTCTACCACTCCTATATCCTCCTCATCCTCTGAACAGTCGACCAACGCTTCTCTGGCCGAAGGGACTTCGCTGGCGGGCACCATTGGTAGGTTCAGTAAGAGTGCAGGTGCGGGGTGCCTGTCGACGCCGACATTTGAAGACTCGTTGGCTTTTGCCTTGGTTGCTATGACGGTCTATTTTCAAATGTGACCCCCTCTCCTAATCTATAATTTCCTTGATTCGCTTTATTCCCATGTATCTTCGACTATATATGATGCTTTCGGTGTACGATGTAATGAGTTGGCTCTCCCCATGCGTTCGTTCGATCAAGTGCGGGAAGGCAAATGGATATGCGTATTAGCACAGGCCGGAGATACAGTACTCACGTGATGCAAGAAAAGAAAAGATAAAAAAAAAGAAAAGAAAAGAGCCGCATCAAGACCACCACCTCAATGCCTACCTTTCTCCGCTGGCGCATTTCCCCCCTCGACACCTTCCTCATCAACCTCTTCCACGACCCCAATCGATTCGACGACGTTCGCTCTACTCGACTCTCTCAATGCCCTCGGATGATCTTTGGTACTCCTCGAAGGTCTTCGATACCCTTTGACGACGGCGAAATTCTCCTCGTCCTCGGTGGCAGGGATTGATAAAGAAGGATGAGGAGGCGGTAGGTCCAACGGTCCCAAAGCTGAAACGATGGAGTTCTCGAACGAATCGACGAACCCCGATGCAGCTTTCTGCGAGGACCGAATCGTATCGCCGATGTTGACGGTGGAGAGCCGCTTGGACATGTTGCCCCATCCGGAGGAAAGGACGTCGAGTGTTGTTCGAGGTCGGGCTTTCGAAGCTGAGGTGGGGACATCGCCTTGCTCCACTGCAGTCGAGATCGAAGTTGAAGCGGTAGAAGAGCGTTGAAGTTCCTCAATGACGAGTTCCTTTGTCGAAGTCGACATGATCGTCGACGCCAACGAATCGTCCTCATCTTCCTCTTTCAAAACCCTGAGTCCGCCCGATTCCGAACTCGTCGAGGCCATACTCGAGATCGACGATGACGAAGACGAAGAAGGTGGATGAGCTCCGACGACGTTCATGAGCGTTTCGTCGACGGTGCTCATCACGCGACCAAAGACGCCGCCGACCCAGGCTTTGGCCGCTTGGACGCTCTCCCCTACGTCTGGCGATGAGACTGAAGACAAGTTCGCCGATTGGACCGAGCCCAGTGCCTCGTCCCCCGTCGGATCGAAGGTCGAGGCCAGGAGATGGATGTCGAAGGAGTGCGAAGAGCCTCTTGGCATACCTGGATCGGCAAGGTTCGGGGAACGGGAAGGGAAGGCTGAAGTGGGTGGGGCCGTCGGAGAATGCAACGATTTTGCGACAATGGATTCCCATTTGGACTTGAGCGATTTGAGTTCGGCTTCGTGGCGTTTGAGCTCTGTGCCAGAGAGTGGATCGAACGAATTTTAGTCTTGGCAAATTATTGTTAAGGAAAGCAAGAGCATTCAAGAGACTGACCTTCTCGCAAGTCAAGACATTTGCGCTCCTTCTTGGCGATGAAGCTCAGCAGATCGGCATTTTGCTCCGTCAAGGTCGGCCGTGACAAGCCCGTCATCCCACTGGCTGATCTCGTCGGGGACAAGAATGAAACACTCGTTGACAAGCTGCTATTCCTCCTCGATTGCCGGGGTGAGGTCGAGGCCGAGGATGTCGCGTCCGACCCATCATCGTTCTCGGCCACGCCAATTGTCCCCGAACCCAACTCGAGTCCCAACCCAAGCCCTATATTGTCCTTGGAAGCCCCTACGGCCTGAGTCAAACTCGCCCCGTTGAAGAGATGAGGGTCGAGCGAGAGAAGAGATGAACTGGAACTGTAGGAGATGCTAGTTCCCCTTCGTGAGCGCGGACCCGGTCGATGATGAGCGGCCGGCCCGCCCATGGTAGCGACCCGTGGCGCATGAGCGCTCGAAGGGGCCGAGGTCGACGAGGCAGGAATCGGGGAAGGAAAGTTCCATGCTGGTTTTGATGAGGAGTCGGACGCGGCCGAGACTGAGGCCAGCGGTGTCGAGTCGCGATCCTCTTCGAGGTCTTCGTCGAACTCACTCGGGTGCGAAGAAAGTGATGACCGAGTCGGACCGCTTGCGTGCTGAGTTGAGCGATGAGGGGTGTGAGGTGAATGCGACGTGTAGGCTCGAGAGCCGTTGCTGGTCCGAGCCAATGTAGGCGAGTCAAACGAGGTCTGGGAGGAAAGGGACGAGGTCGAGGTGCTGAGGGAGAGCCTCTTGAGGTGGCGAGAGGCGGATGGGGGCGTGCACGCGCTGGGCGGATTCGAGCCCGCTGACGACGATGAGGCTACAGCTACGATCGCGGAGGTTCGGCGAGGGAGTGGTGACTCCATTGTGAGGACGAGCTATTGGCGCGACTGTGAGACCGTTGGAAGGGATCCTAGATCGCGACTTGGGACGCAGGAGCTCCTTTGATCGAGCGGGTGGGGGGTGCGTAGACGTGCGATACGTTGACGACCGACGCGTGGCGAGCGGTGCAATCAAAGTCCCCAGGGTACTGCTGGGGTGGGAAAGGAGTTCCACGATCAGTTGAGAAATGGTGGACTGATCCCCTGACTAGGAACATACAGGGGTCGAGAATCGAGCGGAAGCGAGTTACCGGCAATCACGCGTGGAGAAGCTGTCCAACCGAGCGCGGGCGACGTGACACAACCACGACCGACACACGACGCGACGCGTTCACCTAAAGTCGGCTGGCGAAACTGGTCACCGCTGCTCAGTTGACGGTCAATGTACCACGTATGTCACTTGCTTGAGGGTCGGGATAGATACAAGATTAAAGGCAGCAGTGAATGTAGGCACGGCGGGCGGAGACGTAGGCACAGACTCGAGAGTCGGGACGCAGGAGAAAATGGATGACAACGCGGATGCGGCCGCGTAACTCATGCCTTTGAAATTGATCACCTCGATCAACTTGATTTACTGTACTACACCGAACAGACATCGCCAGAGCAAGTTATTTCGGTAAACATCCCGAGTGTTGATGATCGACGATTCAGCAAGAGATACATATCCGTGCGTCTCGTGGCACACTCGCGCGTGAAGTAATAGGGGCCACTGATCGAGACTGGGACCGCGCCCGCCCCACGCGGCAGTCGTGGCACTGGTGCTGTCGAGGGTCGCACTACCGCTCGGTCAGTCTCACGGGCCTTGTCGAGTTTTCATTTTTTTCGGTGTCGAGGTCATGAGGTCCGCGCGATGACGTCCCACACTTATAGGGGCATTCAGCCGAGGTCGACTCGGGGATCACTACCCGCCAAAAACACGGTGAACTCAACGAGCCTGACAGATTGCAGTTCAGCTCGACCCTTGCGCCTTGTGACTAGTCACTACACCCCGACTCTTACCCCTACCAGTTCTCGTAAGAGATCGACCTGCTGGTTCAGCGACGAGCAGCGCTTGAAAGCGTACCTTGTTCCCCTTGTGTCCCTTTTCAGTTTGGGCAAAGGTAACGCAGCACATTGGGCCTTGAAGCGGTAAGTCTGGCCGTTTGCAGGCGGTGACGGGCTGCAAGCCTAATCTAGCGCCGTGGGAGCCGCGCGCCTCAAGCCGGGCGGGGCAAGCTCAGCATGCCAGCAGCCGGCCCTTGCGAGTCGTCGCGAGTCAGAGCAGATAGAAAGTGTGAGAAGAGCACTACTGACGCCTACTAACTGACGCCGGCTGACGCAGGCCCCCGCGGCGCGCGCCCGACCTTTCTCTTTTCGCTTTCAAGCGCCGCGAACGAACGATGAGCTCTACAACGACCTGGGCCCAACGAGCTCAATCGCTGTCCTCGTCTGATCCGACCTCATCGTCCTCGTCTGCGACGAACGGTTCCTCGATGGACCACCCTGCCTCTTCGTCGCCCGCTGCTGGTGGAGGTGCTGCAGCGGCTGCTATGGCGCCCTCGTCGGGGTCGCCCTTGCACGTCGCACCGATGGCCTCGTCGTCGAAAGCGTCAACGTCCGACAACTGGCGGGCGGACTCGACCCTGCACAACACCCACCACGATACCTTACACTCCAAGGACTCGACAGCCGACCCGGACTCGAGCGCACACAACGATGACGGCTGGGTCACGCTCGAGAAAAAGGACCGTAGCTCTCGCAAGGCGACTCACACCGCGGCGATGAGCTCGACCTCGTTCTCGAGCAAAGGCGGCGCCTATTCGAAGCCGAGAACGTCGACCAAGCCTCCGAACACCCCTGCCTTTTCTGTGTCGTCCATCTCGGGCCGAACAGCGAACGGGGTCGGGTCGCACGGTCGGTCATCGTTGTCTGCCATGTCTGCCATGTCTGGCCCGGTCGCGCCCTCGCTCGCGGTCGCAGAGGCCACCAGCCTGAGCGCCGGTCCATCGTCGTCGCTCGCCGGCGCACCCGGCGCACCAGCACGAGCAGCACCACCACCCGCCGCGTCATCGATCGCCGCCTCCGACCCGAGCCACACCCGGCCAGCGTCCCTGACCGTGCCCACACCAGCTCTGCCCGCTTCTCGACCCGTTCTGGACTGGGCCGACGACACGGACGACTCGTTACCACCACTCCCTTCGCCCACGTTCCCAACCACCGCGCTGCCTCCGACCGCGACTGCTCCGTCGACCCAGGCCTCCACCCCGGCCCTGTCCCACAGCCCTGATACCCCCGAGAATGCATCGACGGTAGCGAGCACGCCCATAGATGAGGATACCATCACTGCTTCCAAAACTTCGCAGCCGCAGCCGGCGGGATCGGGATCGGCATCGGCATCGGCATCGGCGCCGACCCCGGCTCCCGTCGTACCCGCGCCAGTCGTAAGGCAGCCGGCTCCCGTTCCGACCGTGAACGTCTGGGCCGTTAGGAAGGACCAACTCGCCGCCGCGGCCGCCGCTGCCAAAGCCGCAGAGCCCGTCGCACCGAATTCCGCTTCTGCACCAACAACAACTGTATCAGGTTCTGATCAAAAATCGACCGCCACAAATCCGGCGCCTGCATCCAAAAAATCAGCCGCCAAGCTCGCGAAAAAGGAGGCCGCTGCGAAGACCGCCGCCGCCGCTAAATCGGGCCCTCGCGCACCGACATCGTCTATGACCCCGCCGCCGCCACCTTCCGCCACCTCGAACTCCAGTCCCACTCCCGCACCCACGGCGGCTCAGAATTTGGCCTCGACCCCAATCGTTAAGCGCAGCACCGAAGGATGGAACGGAGTGCCATCTACGCCGCTGCCCGTGCCCGTCGGAGACGTCGAGTCATGGCCCTCGCCAAATACCGAAGCCGCCAAGCCCGCCGTGCCCGTGAAGAAGTATGGATCCGCAGCGAATGCATCCAACGCAGCTGAGATCGAAGAGGCGCAAAACAAGAAGAAGGGTACGTCTTTTCTCTGTTCTCGCTAGCCTTTCGCAGGCGCGTCTGCCGAGGTCACGCGACGTGGCACATTCGTCAACTCCCGCAATCTGTGACTCTTGCTGATCTCATAGCCTTCTTCCTCTTACAGCTGAAAAGACAAAGTGGATCCCCATCAAGGCCGACATCACGGTCAACCCGACATCGTCGAGCCGATTGTTCGGTGCCTCGGGCGAGAAGCGGGTACCCAAGTCGGGAACGAGCTCGAGGAGGGAATCCGGTGGAGCTGAGAAGGGTGCTGAGGAGAACGTTGTCGGTGGAGCAAGTAAGCGAGCTGCTAGTGAAAAGAAGCCTAAGGCTGCACAAGCTTCTGTGGCAGCCGCTGCGCCGTCGCCGGCTACGCCCGCTCACGCTGGCTCGGCCAAGAATGCGAACGCAGCTTCCACATCTTCATCCAACCCCGCTTCCACCCGACCGACCGACCACCCCTTGCCTTCCAAGCCAAACTCTCCCCCGTCCTCGCACCCGCCCGCGCAACAGGCCGCCCCCTCCACTTCTTCTCCTTCGGCCCAACCTGCTACTTCCGCTGTCGCCACGTCGACGGTTGCTGCTGCGTCCAAGAATGCACCGGCTTTGAAGAACGGCGCTCAGGCTGCTACTGAAGGCGAGACTACCTCTTCCGCGCCAAAGTCGACACCGAATGCGACGGCTACTTCGGCTACGGCGTCCTCGGCCACCAAGGCTTCTGCTTCCCAGTCTTCGAGCTCTGTCTCGGTGGCTGTTTCTAACGCTCCCACGTCGCAAGCATCCAAGGGCCAACCCACAACCAACGGCAACGCCCAAGCACCCTTCCAAAACGGCCCTTCGACCCACGGTCGTCACCCGGGATCGGGAACCACCGTTCGAGGTGGTCTTCATGCTTCTCGAGGAGGCCATACCGCCCGCGGTGGTCGTAGTGGATCCATGTCGAGTCGAGGTGGTTATCAGGGATCCAACCCTCGAGGACCCGGGTCGTCGTCGTCGCATCAGGGGCAACAAGCCCAGGCTGCGGCACAGCAACCCCAAGGCGCGGGTTACCTTGACCCCACTACAGCGTATTGGCACGCTCAGGCCGCCTACGGCACCGTCACTCTCCCCGACGCTGTTGCACCCTGGGCCTACGAGCAGGCTCAGCCTTACGTTGACCCGAGGGTGCTCGACCCGACACGATACTGGCTCCTGGGCCAGCTCGAGTGGTACTTTTCGGTCGACAACCTGTGTCGTGACATGTACTTGAGATCCAAGGTGAGTTGAGTTCGAGGATGATGGCATCGAATTCCGGAGCTCTGGCTGATTTTTCGTTCTGTCGCCCTCGCCTTCTCTCTCAGATGGACGCGGCGGGCTGGATCGAGGTGACTATCATTGCTTCGTTCAACCGCATAAAGAACCTGACGTCCGATCGCAAGATCGTCCGCGATACCATGATCTTGACGCCCATGCTCGAAGTCTCTGGCGAGTTCGTGCGACTGCGTCAGCATTGGCCCGAGTGGGTTCTGCCCAGTGCGATCCCGGCCCGAATCGCGCACTCGCACCACGTCCCCGGTCCCCAGTTGGCGGCGGCCGTCACTGCGAGCGCGTTTGTGCCCCCTTCGCCGGCGTCGAGTCTGACGAGCAAGAAGAGGAGGGAGGAGAGCGAGGCTTCGTCTGAGGATGGCGGTGAAGGTACCGCCGCCACGACAATGTCTTCGGGTAGTCAAGCCGAGGACGTTGCGCCCGCCGCCAAGGATGAGACAACCGCATCTACAACACCATCGACCGTTACCGCCTAGAATTCGCGCTCCCGTCTGGTCCGTCTCGCGTCCACTTCGTTATCTGCACCCCCACTGCAATTCCCGCCCCTTCCGGCGTTTTCTCGGCCTCTCTTCGTCTCCCGGCCTCGCTTGTATCATCTCTGTGCATCACGACCCCCGACTTTGCTTCGGGCGACTCAAGTCCTCTATCGCTCTTATGTTTCACCAAGATCACCACCACCCGTCTAAAACCAATCACAAAAAAAGGAACCCGCCGCACTTTAGGTCGAGGACTACCGACTGCTGGAAGAGCTTGGACGCGCGTCTGTCGTGCTCGCTCTGGATCGCAAAAAATTAACCTCATATCTGCCTGACGTCGGCGTTTGATTCACATCGCGCACAGGACTTCCCTCTTCAGTGTTATACATTCCATGTTCACCTCTATCCGCTCCGAGCAGCCAAGCTACATCATTATTTTTCGTTGAATCTGGGCCACCTTTTGTTCATTCGCCAAGTCACATTTTCAGCTTCCTGCCCCTTTCTTTGTGTTGCTCTCGCACCTCTTCCACTTTTTCTTTCCTTATCTTTTTTTTTTTTTTTTTTTTTTTTTTTGTTCTTTGTTTTTTGTTTGTGTTGCTCTCGCTTGCAACCTAGGGGGTTTTCTGACTGTGTTCATTGTCATTCCTGTTCCGCGGTCCCGCGTTGAGATGAATCTGATCGAGGTCACTGCGGCCCCACTTTTGGTGCGCTATTGACTTCGCCACCACCGCCAACACCACACGATGGCCGCTGCTTCGTCGAGCTCGATGACGGTCGACGCCGCTTCGACCGCGAGCAAGACATTTGAGCTCAACAATGACATCCAGACGGTGAGCTAAGTGCTTCGGATAGCTACAGTACTCGATGGCAACCACATCGTAGGCTGGCACGGGCTGACCCCACCGTTGCATGATCGTTCCACCTCCCTCGTCACCTCGGACTTTGCTCCCACAGGTCGACTCGATCTTTCGCCACGACCAAGCCGAGCAGAGACGACAACTGGCCGCGCAACCATGGAAGAAGGACCCGCACTACTTCCAGCATGTGCGCATCTCGGCCGTCGCGCTCATCAAGATGGTCAGTTTTACAAACCAGTGGGCGAGCCATGTCGATCCGAGACGCTCAGCTTTCTCGTCTACGTTGGCTCTCTCAGGTGATGCACGCCCGGTCAGGAGGACAGTACGAGATCATGGGGCTGATGCAGGGCAAGCTCGACGGCGACACGATGGTCGTCATGGATGCGTTCGCCCTCCCCGTCGTCGGCACCGAGACCCGAGTCAATGCCCAGAACGATGCCAACGAATTCATGATTCAGTATATCGAGTCATCCTCTGCTGTGCGTTACTCTACCGATGTTTCTGGCTCCGAACGGGGCGCTCCCAACCCCCACCCCACTCGCTGGACCCGGGATACTGATCCTCCCTTGACTCCTTTCTCTCAGATCGGACGACTCGAAAACATCATCGGATGGTATCACTCCCATCCTGGCTACGGGTGCTGGCTTTCCGGTATCGACGTGCAGACGCAAAAGATTCATCAGGCCTTTGAAGATCCGTTCTTGGCTGTGGTGGTAGGTTCTTCGCCGGCCTGGACAAGTCCACTCGTGCTGTATGTGTGTAGGACCGAGAGCTGATCCTCGGTCGTGTGTCTCGTTGCATCAGATCGACCCCAACCGCACCATCTCCGCTGGTCGAGTCGAAATCGGCGCTTTCCGAACCTACCCTGACGTGAGTGGCCTCGTTCGCCCGTTCCGTACCTCGGAGCTTACGAAATAACTTCGACTTGCTACTACAGAATTACACTCCTCCGAACGCCGCGCCTTCCGAATATCAATCGATCCCGTTGAACAAGATCGAAGATTTCGGTGTGCACGCCAACTCGTACTACCCGCTCGAAATCTCGCACTTCAAGTCGACGCGCGACACCGAACTGCTCGACAAGTTGTGGAACAAGTATTGGGTCACGACGTTGAGTCAATCCCCCATGGTCACCGTAAGCCACCTTCACAACCGGCGTACTCGGCATATGATGAGTCGATGCTGACCTCGGACCGTGGGCGCGGATGTGATGATGATAGAACCGGGCATACACGACCGCGCAACTCGGTGATCTTGTCGAGAAGCTCTCCAAGACGGATTCTTCGGTCCAACACCGCTGCGGAATCGGGGCCATGTCCCCCATCATCGCCGCCGCTCGTGCCAAATCCCGCGACTCGTCCTCCAAAGACAAGGACGGTACGGCCAAGAAGGAGGAAGAGACCCCGCTCGCTCGTGCGGTCAGGGATAGCAACAAGATGTCCGCCGAGGCGAGCCAAAACCTCATTGGGATGTTGATCAAGGATACCTTGTTCAATGGGGGGAGGTTGGCGCAACAGGGTCGGAACGACGGTCACTTGGAGCTGCCCCCTGTGACGCTTTAGGCGAGCGCTCGTTTGGTTGTTGAGCGAGATGGCTATCGTCGTTCTTTTTTCGTTTCTCTCTTTTCGCATCGTACTTTTAGTGCACATCTTGTAACCCGCAGTGAGCTCTTTCAATTTTGTCGATCACGATCAACGAGTTATCGGTTCTCATACGCATGGACAGCATCAGTGCATTTCACGTGAGCACGTCCTTAGCGGACGTATGGGCGGTGATAGAGAGCACAGAGGTAGTCAAGAGGCTTGCAACGTCGAAGTGCACGTGACAGGGGCCCCGATCGAGGATGGCGAACTTGGCTCGGCAAGACGTGCATTGGTGGACTGTACTCAATGGAGATATTAGAAATCTTGTTGTTCAGCGACCCGCCTCCGTATAAAACGTGTCTCTCAAGCCAGATAATGCATCCAAGCCCAAGACAGGAGCCAGTCACGCTCCGCACCGGAACGATGGCTCTCTGATAGCCAGACCGGCCGCTCCAAACGCACAGCGTTGCAGTACCCGTCTATTAGCTAATCCGACCAGTTCCTCCACACTCCAAAGTTGTTCTGTATCCCTCCAGCATGCCCAACCTGGATATCTGTCTTGATCAAAGGACCCAAGGGTGCCTCGGTGTAAATCTGATCGAACAGATGCTCCACTGATGTGGATGTCAAGAGAAGAAGTTTGCTATCGGGTTTCAAGATCTGCTTGAGAGTCTTGGCCAGTTTTCGATTTGTTACCTATGGGGTTCAGTTTCGTTAAGAAATGGAGAGGATGAGCTCGGGAAAACTAGAGTTTTCGTCGAGAGAAAGACCGCGAGACCGACCTCGTTCAAGAACGGTGGATCACAAATGGCGATATCGACCGTGCCTTTGATACCTTCCGGAACATCTTCTGGCTCATCGATATCGTAATGCACGAATTGGTCCGGGTCGAGCAGCTCGAAGCGCTTGTCGTATTCGAGCAGCAAGGTCCGAGGAAGAGGATTCGTGTGTTGAAAGCCGACGTATCCTGTCGGACAGCACAAGAAGGCGACGCGGGTTGATGTTGAAGGGCACAAGGACCGGATATAATGGGCCAGTGTGGTCGCAAACGCTTGGGAGTACCTACGATGCCCGACGGTGGAAAGGGCGAGTTTTCGCACAGTTCTGGATGTCAGATTTGAAGGCCCCGACGCGCTTCTTGGTGGCCAGGTTCGAAAACAAACCAGAATTGCGACAGTTGCCAATCTTCACCAAAGAGCCTCCGAAACTCGTCCACAGTCATCATCGGTGCCTTGTCGGCTTCCTCCCCGTGGTCCGCACTGTGCCCCTGAGCGTCCTCGCCGTCCTCGCCGTCCTCACCGGCGGCTCGGGCGGCTTTCCTGCGCTTGTCTACGCGCTCGGACAACTCTTGAAACTGTCGATCTGCCTCGTCCTTTTCGTGAAGGAATCCAGCGAGGATGGCTAATGTGGCCGGGTCGAGTTGAGGTGGTGGCGAAGCTGAAGTAGAGCGGGACCGGGTCGACCCTTCAGCGGCGTCGGCGGGGACAGCGTTGGACATGGTGTTGTTCTTGGCGCAGAATTGGCGAGCACGGTCCAAATCTAGAGTCAGAGAGCTGCCTTGAGGAAATGGAGCAGAGCGAAGACTGTGACTGGGGAACGACTCCGAGTGCCCGGATGACGGCGGAAAAAGAGGTCCGAGCGGCTCCAGGCCTGCGAAGTAGTGCGAAGTCGATCCGCTGTCAGCCGGTGCCAGCCTGTGCCAGCCTGTGCCATCATGAATGTATCCCTTCCTCTGCCTGCCCACGCTTCAAACCCATCTACGCCAACGACCGGCGCCGCTTCCCCACCTTGAATGGATCACCAGAAGTTTTGATCAGGCCCAACTGATCCGGTGATGGGCGTGCTCCGGTTCGAGCTGTGCGCCACAGTGACAACTCGGTCGAATCATACATGCGCGTTCCGACGTGCTCATCGTTCCGACCTTGAAGCTCGGAGTCCCTCATCCTCAGCAAGGACGAAGGAAAACCCTGGCTCAACCTCCGGACTGTGGACGGCTTGCTCCGATACGGGCAAGACGATGGCACGCCTCATTTCTGCTCGTCTCGGAGAAAGAATGGACACTCTATGGTAAATACCCCGGATTCCCTGGCTCAAACGTCGGATAAGGTGGACGGGCGGGCCTCGTCCTGCCGCTGAAATCGTGCTCGAGTAGTCTGGGAAGACGGTGACGATTCTCTGGTAATCAACCCCCGTTATTTTCTGCCTAATTCCGCTGCACCTAGTTGTACCGTAATTGTCCCTAGCAATGCAACCTATCCTTATTCAACATGCGGGTTGCCTTCGTCTTCTAGTATAACCAAAGCGCTTCCTCAGGCCCTCTTCTTGATCATCTCCACCGCTCTCAACGCCTTGCTTCGAATCGATCGAGTCTGAGAGTCAAAGTCACGGAATCTGTGTGCGCTTCCCCTGGACAGCTGATGGGCTGCACTCGCAATCGACACTCTGCGGGCCCGCAAAGTGTCAATTTTCTTGCTTACCATGCTGAAATTATCACGTCTAGCATCGAAACTTACGTCATCTCTTGCATCTCGCGTGCTGCATGGCGTGCAGCAGCTGTGATAGCGGGCCGGCTTCGAGAGAGAGAGGAAGTTTGCTCGTTCGTGCGGAGTTGATGCTTCCGCAGCACAATCTGTGCAGTAACGATTAGTTCGACTCAACTCAGCTCCTGACTGGGTTTGAAGTACCGTTTCAGCGTGCGGTAATTACCCTGGCAAGGTCGACCAAAACGTCTTCGCTTTGTTGTTCATCCCGCTGCATGGCTTCGGGATGTTCCCTCGGCGCTGACCCTGTTTCCAGGCGAGCTCGTTTGGCTGGAGGAGTCTGTCCGAATCCCGCCGGGGTACGACCTCGTGTTTGGATCTTTGAGTGTGCCTTGATCCCAGAAGTTAAGCTGGCGGAATTATGGTGTCTAAAAGCGAAAGCAAGCGGGGCCAATGGCGATCGACCAGGGCCGTCGAGTGGGCTCGCTGCGATTGGGTCCGGTCTTGGAACTCTTGTGGGCGAAGGTGCCTTCGAGCTCGTCAATAGCGAGGGGGGCATCCGTAAGTTCTTCTTGAACGGCTAGAAAGGGATCGAAATCAGTGTTGACTTCACCTTTCTTTGGTTCAGATCAGATCAGTATGGAACGTACAATATTGTGGACAGGCTCGTTGATGGCAATGGGAGACTGTGCGTGCCTGATGAGCTCCTTCTCTTCGAGTGATGGAGCCTCTTCCCTGCTTTGATCCGTCCACCTTGGTGCGGGCTGGTCCACTTTCAACGCGCCGTGAGATGTAACCTCCTGGAATACCTCTCGATCATCTTCCACTTCCGTTCCTTGACGTTCCAGGCGAGGACCAGGATCAAAATTGGGCTCAATCCCACCCATGTCCCAGTCTTCGTGTGCGGAAAGGGCGGACTCGTTCCTGTGCTCTGGCGGAGCATTCCTCGTCTTCTCCCCAGGCGTGTCATCATCCCACGGCATCTTTTGACGAGACGATGATTTGCGTTTCGGAGCAGGCTGTGGTGGCTGCGAATGGCGAGTCTGTTTGGGCGGTGCGACGTCTCGCCAAGGTGAGGGTGTCTTTGGCCGTGCCACCATGGGTAGATCCGAAGAAGTGTCCGAATCTGCCGCTTTACCGACTGTTTGACGATTTGCTTTCGTACCTGCTCCCAACTCACTTGCCTTGCGTGGCACACGCTTCGGCCCAGCCCTGTTCCGTTGTGGGGTGTAAAGATCAGGCGAGGAAGTGGGGATACCGGACTGTCCACGCAGAGATGAAGCACTGTATTTGATGGGATGGAGGGACGGTTCATCCGTACGAGGTGGTTCCTCCGCCGCCTTTCGGCGTTTTGCATGCGCCGTATCAAGCTCCATGACGTCGGCCTGCTCAGCGGCCCGAGTATTGTACGGCTTTTGAGAAGGATCAAGTGAAACTCTCAGTTCGAGATGAAGATCACACATGGAGAATGATTGAGTCTAGACCCACTGTCTTTCTCATCATCAGAACTTGCTGCAGGCGCTGTGCGTCCGAAAGGCGAATGCCCAGCACAAGACTTGGGTCAGCCTCATTGTGGGGGAGCTCGAGTGGCGTTGACTCCAACGTCGGTGAGTGAGACAGTATGATCCTGCAAGTCATGTAATCTGTTCAAATTTTCTGGGTGCCCTGTCAGCTTCTCCTCGATATCTGTGCAAAACTTGGCTCACCTTCTGAAAAGTCAAACAGCTCGACACTCTTGATGCCAGAAAGAGGTGCTTCGATAGTTCGTTGTGCCCCATCGTCGTCTGCAAGGTAGCTCAACACATTGGCGCTGATGGATCTTCGATTGAACCCCACGAAATCTTGATAGTCTTCGGTGGGCTTCTCCACGTCGGTGCAGAGGAAGGCGCGACCGTTGACGTGAAATGTGACTGCAAAGACGAGTTTGAAGCTGGGGAACAGGATGGGGTGGTATAGGTATACATTGAGTACATCACATCACAAATATTCGAAGAACTCACTTGTTGGAAGCAAGTGCGCTCAGTTCCTGCAGCAGGCTCAGAGACCCCTGATTGGGCGGCGATATCGTCAGTCAAGTCAACAAGTCCAACACACCATAATCTGGAGACTCTCGTACTTACCTCGTCCCACTCCCTCGCTTTTAGTCGGTGAAACATCCCGCGCAGCTTTTGCGACTCCTCGGGTCCGAACACGCCGGAGGGGAAGAGCGCCGCTTCCCAACTCGAGGTGGAGACCCCAGCCGAGGAGGGAGCTCGGGCGAGATGACTGCGCAGCCGAAAGGCCAACTCTAGGGCTCTTGAAGTTACTCCATGATCTGGATACGATCCAATGAGTCTCAGCTCGACGGGGTCGAAAACCTGGAGAGACAACACTTACCCTCGGCGACACTGATCAAGCCCGCTAGACGCTTCGGTCCTAGGAGCTCCGGTCGAATGAGGCGGTTTTTGTTCTCCATGCAAAGGTGGGTCGAGTCTTCAAAGATGTCCAGGATACGCCTTTTAACAGCGGAAAATACGTGGTCTGTGGTGAGAAGTCGTGCCAGGGACGCGTAACAGATCATGCCCAGCAGGTCTTCGTCTAGTGAGAAACACAGATAAAGCGTCGGCTGTCAGTTGACACCATCATCAACAGACGGCGTCAGTTTGACTGAAAAGTTCAAACGTACCACGTGCCGTGAGAGGTTTTGCCCTTGCTTCGGTCGGATCCAGAAAGGCTTTCAGGCCCAGCAGAATCGACTCCATCACCAGATCCCAAGCCTGACCTAGTGCCACCTTGTCTTCCACGAATCGACGACCGTGTACTCCATTGGGATCTAGACATTTCCAGATCTGAGTATTGGTATGATTGAGTAGAGCGGCGAAGAACCGGAGAGTGGAAGCGGGTCGTGCGACAAGGAGCACGATCGCACCTTCGGGCGAGGAGAAGAAGGCTGCTGCCTGGGGCAGGGAGGACGCGTTATGGCGCTGTGGTGATACACGTTCGAGTCCAAAAAGATTATGAACGAGTCAGTGCACGTTAGATATGATACATGGGCGAAGTGGTAAGACTGACGCTTACAAGCAAGTCACGAACCGCGCTGCGGAGTGAGGCCGTGACTCCTTTCAAGTCATCCGCGTCACCGACGTCATCCACGATCGCCTGGAGCAACTCAGTTGCAGACCCCTTTGAACGTGACATGACTGGGGGTGCGAGTGTGCTTTGCGAGGCACAGAGACGTATCCCTAGGTCCGAGGAGATCGGATGGGAAGGCGGGCAAGCCGAAGAAGATATGCGACCCGGCCGCGGGCGTTCCGGGCGGCTGCCCGCGCGGAAAGGAGCTGCATGATCGTGATCGAGTCGGGCTCGGATTCGATCACCGTCGAAAGCAAGATCGGGATTCTCGCACCCTGATAGAGAAACCCATATAACTCGTATAACATGGTAATGATGAGGCTGAACTCTCCCCTGTACTACATACTACCTAGCAATCCTGCTCTCGGCGAAGCTAGAGCTTGGACTCGGATTTGGGGACCGATATCAGGCTCGGCATGAAGCGACCGTTGAAGCTCCTCAACTTCAATCCAAGCCATCCACTCTTCATCTCCTTGCCATTCCATCGGTCTTCGAACCGGGTGATCTTGTTGTCGGTCGGGTCCAGCTCGATGTGAACGAGCGATTTCATCTCCTTGACAGTGTGGATACCCGCGACAGTATATTTCTGCACTTGTTCGTACTCGATTAGGCCCTAGAGAGACCAAGAAAAGATGAGCGATCCGTTCAACTCTTCTGAACAATGACAAACCACTCACAGGCTCGTTCTTGAGAACTTTCCAAGACAAAGTCTCCGACTGAGGAAACGCTTTGGGCATGCCGTACCTGTTCATCAGAGCAGTCACAACCGTCTCAGCGTGTGCTCATGGCAGACTGGGTGTGTTCGGACTGGTTCGTTATCACCATTGTGCCATGTATTCCTTATCCCCCTTGGCGATGCAGATCGGATCCTCAAAGACGGCATCTGTCAAGAGGAGTCGGGCTTTTGGCATCAACGCGCCAGTCTGCGACGATTATCAATAGACTGGTGGAAAGTTGCTCACCCTTCTTCCAGTCCTGTTCAAAGATATCGAGCCTCGGCTTAGAGCTGAAGAGGTCCTGCACGTTCTTGACCAGCTGCGCTCGGCGTTCATCCAGCACGAGGCCGTGTTCTCCTGCTGCTGGGGCCGTCGTGGGGGCAGTGCTCGCAGGTGCGTTTGATGTCATCGTGCGGTAGCGAAGAGGTGTTGTGCGGTGATAGGCAACGAGTCTTCGGGCGACGAGTGGGCTTATCGCAGGCATGGACCTGAGGAAAACGAGCAGCTTGCAGAGCGGCGAGAGCACCTGGCGTATCGTCGCTCCGGGCATCCGCGACCCCCGGCCATCGGGTGACTCAACTCGGAGCACTCGGAGCACTGGGCGGCATTCTCATCGGAAATCGGAGGCCACTGCAGTGGTGGCCCGTGGGTCTAACTCTGCTCAGCTTTGGCCGGGCTTACTGTGATTAGCAGACCTCTCCGAAGAACGTCGTTTCTTGGAGAACCGAGCTCTCGAAAGCTTGATTGACGAATGTGACTTGTAGCCAATCTACAGCCGCTGATCGTTCGGACCGGTTCGGAAACGTCGCGCGTCACGCGTCACGCGTCACAGCGCGTCACGCGTCACGCGTCACAGCGCGTCACGGGGTTCTGAGATCTGAGCGCTCTGAGCGGTGGGAGTCGCGCCTGTCCTTACTACGTCATTGCAATCCGGCCGATCACTGCTCTGTGACTTCATCGCGCTTCGGCGGTGGCTTTGCCGCGCAAAGGGTTGGTTACAAACACAGGACTGGGCCTAGAGCGCGAGATGCTTAATCAATGACTCGTTTTCGGAAATGAAACCCCGCGCTTGGCACCCGACTCGGAGTTGCAACCCCAGCCACTCCCCAGCCTTCCCCAGCAACGTTTTAGACCCGCACTTGTGCCCCACCGCTTTCCTTCCCTTCCGTCACTCCCTACAGCACACCAACTCACTCGAGCGAACCCAAGAAAACCGCATCAACCTTTTATTTCGATCACCTTCGACCGACACTATCATGCGCTTCTCCCTTGCCGCGCTCATCCTGGTCGTGTCCCCCTTGCTCGCCACCGCCTTCCCGCCCCAAGTTAGGGAGGCGACCGACCAACTTCGTCTCCGCCTCACGGACGAGAATGATGACAAGTGCCCCGACCTCAAGGTACGCATGAACCTTCCTTCCATACCCTCGTTCTGTGGAGCGCGCAGACCGTGTTTCCGACATCGTGCTGACCCATAACGCTCTCCAACGTAACCTTGGCCCCTCTTCTAGGTGCGATGCTTCAAGGACGGCGAATTGACGCAGCCGATCGGCAACATCGGCAAGCAGTCTTACTGCTGGGATGAGGAAGAGACCAAGTGCAAGCAATGCCACCAGACCAAGAACGTGAGTCCTTGCGCTATATTTGGAATTCAGCTCCGCGCTCCGAGCCCCACCTCGGGACGACATGCTGTGCGGGGAAATACCACAGCCCCTATTTCCACCAGGACACGTCGATTCCAGGCGAGCAAACGCTGACCTAGATCGCCTATGGCCAATAGAACCTCCAATGTAACACCAAGTACCTCAAGGATTGCGCCACCAAGTGTGAGGCGATCGGAACTCCTCTTTAAGCGCGAGAAGGTTCCATGTACGACAAGGAGTTAGGAGATTCGTGTAGCCCCGCATCAGATGCTGTACCATTAGAATGCAAGACACTTTTTGACTCAGTAAAAGAGATCGTTTGGACCAAAATCTAAGTGCTGGTGGTCATTGCTTGTACTTCATGACGTTATAGTGCGAGAGCTGGACTGCACGCTTCGACCCTTCTGATCAATCCAGTTCACCACCCACTCATATTCAAGCGTCCAATTGTCTGGTCCGCTTCCACTTGTCATGCACTGAGATATTTGCCCTGTGCATCGTGTTCGACACTTGCTCCAAGGGCTGCTCCAGCGGAAGAGTTGATGCCATTGTATGACGGTCCTCGCGGCGAGAGAGAGATCTGGGCTCGGGTGTGATTTGAACAGGCCGTAGGTGGGAGTGGCGAGGTAGGAAGCGAGAGATGGCAGGCAGGGGTGAGAGATGAGGTGGAGTGAGTTACGATGATGGGGGTGGTGAGGTAACAAGTGGAAGGTGAAACGGGTGAATCCGGGACGAGACAGTGAAAGGCGCACGGGATCGAGGGACCGTTTGCGACGCGGACACGCCCGCTAGGTGGCAACTCATGCTTTGGACGATGGAAGAGATCGAACTCGGACGACGAGTTCTGCCACCACAAAGGCCACAATTTTGTATCCCCCTGAAGAGGGGGCGATGCTGGCAAGATGAAGTGGACCGAGAAACGCAGAGCGCGTCGACGAGCAGAAGGACGAAGGAAGAGAGAAGACAGATCCGACGAGCTGGAGATGGTTGCTGACTTGGGCGCGGGGGCGCGTGCTTAGCAGAACGAGTTATTCAATATGAAGCCACGCTGTGACGTCAAGTCTCCGCCGCTCCACCTATGCCGATGCTGAGCCGAGCGCGGCTCCTCGCTGCTGACCAGAACCGAATGCGCGAACAGGGGATCTTGCACCCCACTTTGGGGTCAACGATCCACCGTTCGGAAAGACCGATTACATCGTCGATCGAGCTCGTTCGGCTTTCAGCAGGTCCGATGAGGATCATCCAAGAAAGATCACCGCACCGTGGTTGCTGCTCCAGCAGCTTTGTTCGAGCTGGGGCGACCTTGCTTCCACGTCGATTCGCTGCGAATTCTGCCACGGAGCTCGGTCGCTGGGCCGGCTTCACGCGAGAGCTCCGACGCGGCGAATCAACAAGAGAAAGAATGAAGAGTAGTTCCCGAGTACCCCACGAACCAATATCAAGTAAGCGTTCTCCTGCTCGGAGGTAGATTAGCTGCTCACTGCCTGCTCAGCGGTCGAGGGCCACAGAATAGTGAATCGAATTTTTCGAGTAGACCATGCTTGTTCATGGGCATGCATGACTGAGGGTCTGAATTTCATGGGTCACCTTACCAATACCCAATACTCATGGAAGTGTATCGTCATGCACTGTTGTGCACGGTCGTGCATGCGCTGGGAATCGGATTCGAATTGTCCTGCGCCACTGTAAATCCACGGCGGTTCGGGTCGATCGCGCGCTCGGACCCCCCGATCGTTTCGCAGCGAGAGGCGCAAACCCTTCCGCGGGCGCGTCAGTCTCCCTCCTTCCATAGATTCCCATCCGCGATGTTTGGAACCTCTTTGCGCTTGGCTCGGACATTACCGTCGAGGGCGAGTGCTCTCGTCCGCCCCCATGTGCTGTCACTTCATCGATCGGTCGTGGTCGCGTCGTGTGAGTGATGTCGAATCGATCGTCGTCGGCGACTCGCGGAGCTTCGCAGCCGGGCGCAGCCAGCTAGCGAGCAGGCAGGCACGAGCCTCGGATCCGGTTTGCTGACCTTGTGTTCTGCGCGCATGTAACAGTCGCCCGGTCGTTGACGACAACACCATCATCGGGTTATGCTCAGACCGCGTCGGGTAGGGTCGGTGGACGCGTCTCCACGTCCGGTTCGAGAGCCGTGTACGACGACACACCGGTGGCGATCGAGGACGACAGCGCCGAGGTGGATGCCGATGCCGAACAACGATCGGCCGCCACGTTCGCTTCCATCAAGGACACTTTACATGCCCCCATCTTCAAGGCCATCACACAAAGGTGAGCCACCAGTCGGGGCCAGCTTCGAAATGAGGAGTTCAGCCGATCCCCCCCCCAGAATGGGCCGAACCGGCTGACCTATAAACTCATTCGAACACAGGCCTTTCAGATACGAGACCATGAGTGAGGTCCAAGAAGCTGTACTGGCTCTCTTGCCTAGGCTGTCGAATCCTCCCCTCCCGACCACCTCCCAAGACGGCGCCTCAGAGTCGATCGAGCAGGCTCAGGATTTGCTCGTCCGAGCCAAGACCGGAACGGGAAAGACGCTCGCGTTCCTTATCCCCGCCCTCGAAGGACGACTGCGCCAACTCGAGGCATACAAGGTGCAGTGGAAGCGTGACAACCCCGATGCGCCCAAGGCGCAGGCCGAACGAGCCTTCAACAAGTACGCCAAATCGTCGGTTGGAGCTTTGATCCTCTCGCCGACGAGGGAGCTCGCGACCCAGATCGCGACCGAGGCCTCCGCTTTGACGAGCCACCTCCCCGACATGGGTGTACGACTCTTTGTCGGAGGAGCTTCCAAGAGTTTGCAGTACCGCGATTGGGTCAGGAGCTCGAGCAACGATATCGTCGTCGCCACCCCTGGTCGAATTCTGGACTTCCTCTCGTCCGAAGAGAACATCCGCGCGCCCTTGTCCTTAGCAAGGATGCTCATTCTCGATGAGGCCGACACATTGCTCGACATGGGTTTCGCGGACGCGCTTGCCGACATCACCGGATATTTGCCCGACATTGCGCAGCGACAGACGTTCCTCTTCTCCGCGACCGTCTCGAAGCAAATCAGGGAGGTTGCCCGAAAGAGCATGAAGCAGGACCACGTCTTTGTCGACACCGTCAAGGCTTCCGATATCGATACCCACCTCCACATCCCTCAATACTACACCGTCTTGCCCGACCCCGAGTCTCAGCTCATACACGTTCTGCGACTGCTCGCTCACGACCAGCTCTTGCACGCTCGCAAGGCCGCAGCCAATGGCGGAGAGCAGGGCGGCAAGGCCGTCATCTTCCTTCCCACCACGCGCATGACCCAGATGTTCTCCCTCGTCCTGCAAGCCATGAAGGCTCACTTCCCATGGGCCCGCGATACCCACATTGTCGAGATCCACTCCAAGAAGGACCAGAATCAGCGCACGCGAGCGTCGGATTCGTTCCGCAAGAACAAGACGGGTTATTCGATTCTCGTTACGTCCGATGTGTCGGCACGTGGAGTCGATTACCCTGGTGTCACGCGCGTCATCCAGATCGGTGTTCCCGGCTCGAGGGATCTTTACATTCATCGAGTCGGTAGGACCGGACGTGCAGGAAAGGAGGGACGAGGCGATATCGTTCTTTTGCCGTGGGAGGGCAAATATGTCTCGAGTCAGCTGAGGGACATTCCGATGCAGCACTTCTCGGTCGAGGATGGGGAAAAGGCGTTGAACGAGGCCGCCGAGGAGTGGGACCAAGATCCGGCCGAGACCCAGGTCATCGCTGAGGCCAATCCTCACGGCGGCTTCACCAAAAGGACGAGCAAGTCGATCCGGGACCGTCGAGTCGGGTCCGTGCGAGCCCCTCAGATGTCGTCGCCCGTCGCACCTCGACTTGAATCGCTCGAAGACTCATTGAGGACTTCGGTCCTGCCTTCGCTCGACGAGGAGGCGATCAGGGACGCTTTCTCATCGATGCTGGGTTACTACGCGCCCAGGTCCTCGGACTTGCGAGTGACCAAGTCCGAGATCGTGCAGGGCCTCAAGGATTGGGCGACCGGATCGATGGGTCTCGAACAGGAGCCTTACGTTTCTTCCATGTTCCTCGCCAAGATCGGAATGAGCGACCGAGGAGCCAGCAAGAACCATTCGAGCGGTGGGTTCGGTAGGAGTCGGGACAACGGCGGCAGTCGCGGCGGGCGACCCTCTTCGTTCGATGGTTACCGGAGCCAGAAAGACTCGAGGCCGATGGACAGTCGCATTAACAGCGCCGGCAAATACGCCAGCAAGAAGAACCCTCCTCGTGCGCCTCGTGACGGCGCATACAAGCCTAGAGTGTTCGGCTCAGAATCGTCGTATGGAAGTAGGAAACCGTCGTTCGGCTACGGCGGTTCCTCGAGCCCTTACGACAACGACCGAGGCGATCGCAGGGACAACCGAAGATCGTCGCCGTCGTCAAGGTATTGATGCGTGTCTTTCTAACGACCGTGTATTGTGTGTTTCATCAACGCTAGAATAGTCGTAGGCTGTATTTGTTCCTGATCATTGCAACACCACACCACTTCGACGACCGAAAATCATGGCAGTGTCGACAGGCGATGTGCAGCTCTCCTTCCTGAGCAGTGTACATGTCGCCAAGTGAGTCCGAGCATAGTAGGCATTCGAGATAGCAGACATCATCGTTTCTTTTTGGCGAGAAAAAGAACAGAGAAGATGGGAAGAAAGGAGCGAGGGAAAGGGGTTCAAAAGGAAGGGGGTAGCCGAAGGGAAAGTAAGAGCAACCTTCACCGCAAAACACTCGCCCCGTCATCATAACGCAGACACCAAAGGGACACATGACACACACACACCGACCCATTTCCTCACGAGACAGTCATCTAATATGCGCCTCCGTAGCCAATCATCGGCATGCCCTGGCCGAGTAAGATCGGTGCGGACGACTCGAGTTCCTCCTTCTTGGCCTCCTTCGTCGACATGTCCTTGACTTGCTTTGCGAGCGAAGTCAACATCTCGTGCCGATGTCGTTCTTGGCTCAAGAGATAGGGCACTGCAAAAAGGTTAAGACTGAAGTCAGCTCGCTGCAGCTTGTGGTGTGAAGGTGGACTGTTACTCACTTGTGAAGTCATTCAAGCCGGCCTTCCAGGACAGATATTGTGCAGCATCGAGTCGGATCAGGTCGTAGCAGACGTACAGCGTCGCAGTGTAGCACTCCTTGGAGCCAATATCGACAAAGTAGGTCAAGAGCTCCTCGGCAACCTCTGTCGAGTTCGAAGTCGCGGCGGTCTCGATCGCATCCTTGAACAGCTTGTCCTGCTTGGACAACGAGATCGACTGCTCCCACTTGCCGTTCTTCTTGTACAAGTGAGCGGCGAGTCGTCGGAACTCGAGCAGGTCGTGTTTCTCCAACCGAGTCGCCAGAGCAAGAGCGTCGAATGCATCGTTCGAGTCGGTCGAATCCCGCAGCGTTTTGTAGTCCTCGTCCTCGATCAAAAGATCGTTGTAGGCTTCGTTGACGGCGGGGATGTTGTTCTTTTGAACGGCGATGAGGTAAGACTTGATCATGGGGAGTTCGTCCGCCTTGAGGAACATCTTGACTACTCGGGTGTGGTCGATACGAGGCGCGAGCACCGACAGCAAGTCGTTCAACAGCATCGGTTGCTCTTGCAAGTAATGTGTCAAGGCCTATGGGTAAGATCGCAGAGCTCCGGTTAGTTTTTGCCATAACGGACGTTCTCTTCACCAGCACAGCAAAAGGGACAAGACGCACCTTGTAGTAGATCTCGATGTTGGCAACTTTCACTACGACCTCCTTGAACTGGTTGTGGTCCCAGGCATCGGCCGATCGTTCCATCATCGCCAGGGCCGCGTTGTCGAATTCGTCGTACTTGACGTAAAGGAAGACGAGCTCGGACCAGAGATGGGCCTGTTCGGTGGCGCGGATGACCTTGGGGATGTTGATTCGGGACCAAAACAGCTTGAGGTGCTCCATCAACCTCTCGGGCGCGTATTTTGCGTAAAGGACCGACAACTCGGTGAACATGCCCATGTGCGCTCGCTCGAGACCAAGACCGGCCTCGAGGAGAGCCATCAGCTCGTCGACGTGACCTCGGTGCTCGTACAGGCGCACGAGTGCCTGCAACTCCTCGGCATGAACGATCAAGTTGAGACCGCAGATCTGAGCAAGTCGGAACTCCTTCTTGTCGATGCACGCGGCGTTGACCTGTCGCCACACCTGTGTATTGCCTGCCTTGCGAGCGGCATCGACGGCAGCCTGGTTTTCGCCGAGGTAGATTAAGGTCGTCGCGAGGCGAGCCCAGTTCGAGATGCTGGTGAAGAGCAGACGAGCAGCTTCGTACATGCCAGCCTCAAACGCCTTCTCACCAGCCGAGAGCTGATCGGCAACGTTGGTCATGGCAAGGAACTCCTCCATGTCATGCAAGCGGTCCGTTCGTGCATACGCGAAGGCGAGCTGAGTGTCGATGGCGGGCTCACGCAATGTCTTGCGAGCCATCTGCAAGTATCGAACGAGGTCGTCGTACTTGGCCGCTCGATCCGCGGTTTCGATGACCTCGGCGTAGTTGCTCGGATCCTCGGCCTTGACGTACGAGTCGATCGCGTCCTTGATGCGCAGACCGTCCAATTGAGCTTTTCCGAGTCGGGACCACACAGCGGGCTGGTCAATCTTGGCGGCGTACTGCGATGCGCGGTCGATCGAGACGATATACTCGACGAGCACATTCATCGCGTCGAGGTGTCGGTCATTCTTCTTGAACAAGGTGAATGCTTCCTCGTAGAGGCCGTGCTCAGTAGCGATCGCAGCAATCTCTTCGACGTTGAAGCCCTCGACGCGTTCGATGTAGCCCATCACTCGGCCCTTGTCGGCTCGGATCGCGGTCAGCATCAAGAGCTTCTTCAAGTTGCTGTTGTCGCTGAACGCCGAAGGTTCAAGGATAATCTTCTCGAGCAATTCAATAAGTTCGGAGGGGAGGTCGGCGGACAGGAAGGCCTTGACGGTCACCGAGACGTCCTCAGGATCGGTCGACTCGGGCACGGCGGTGGCCACGACCTGGTCGACGAGCTGTCGCTTGTGGTCGTTGTCGTCCGAGAGGACTTGCTGCCACAGTTCTAGTCGTCGCCTCTTGACGAGGTATCGCGCTTGGTGCTTGAACATGGAGTTGTCGTTCGTGATCGAGATGAGCTCGTCGTCGCAGAAGCCCTTGGCGTATGCGATGTAGGCGAGGTAAGGGTCGCGTTGCTCGCAGTATTTACCGACGATCAGAGGGTCGTACGCGTTATTCTCCTTGAGGAACTGTTCGGGGTTGTTGTTGCTGTCGATCGCGATCTTGGCCAGAGCGTTGTAGATGCCGGCTTCCTGTTGACCTGAAGCGACCTTGGCCTCGAGCCAGGGCAAGATGAGCTTGAGTCGGTTGCGCTGCTCGACCTCGTCGACGAGCTCATCAACGGGGATCGGACCGGTGACCGAGGCGAGCAGAGCCTTGATCGTCGTCTCGTCGCAGTCGACGTCCAACAGGCCGCCAATGACCTGAGGGGTACGAGCCGAGTTGACGCGTTGCACGTAGACCTCAATGAAGTTCGTGAGGCCGTTTTGGTAGAGGTACAGGACGAGATCGTGAACAAAGTCGAATCGATCGCAAACAATGATCAAAGGCAGTTGGTCGGCAAGCTTCGCCTCCTTGAGGAAGTTCTTGACCTTCTCGGGGTTGTAAAAGTTCGACTCGCGAACGATGCGTTCGACCTCGCGAATTTGGCCGGTGCGCGTCGCGGCCTGGATGTACTTGAAGTGCACCTCCGGATCCTCGCTGAGGTTGACGACGGAGCCGAGGTAGTAGTACAGGCCCTCGGACGTCTTGAACGACTCGAACATCTCGATCAAGCGAACGGGGCCGATCAGATCCGAGAACTTGGTTGCGGCCTGAACCACGACCTGCAAGTTCTGGCGAATGTTGACCTTGAGCATCTCGTTGAAGCACTCGAGCGTTTGCTCGACTGTGAGCTTGCCAAAGTAGTTGACGAGCCACTGAAGGTCAAAATGACGGAGTATCAACCATCAGCGACGTTGCAGGGGATAAAGTAGATGTCGGCAGCAAAGGACTTACGTCGGCCTGCAGTAAGTTGGTGTGGACGACCACGCGCTTGATATCGCTGATGTCCTCGTAGTGCTCCAGAGCCTGTCTCATTTGGCAAAGTCAGTGTTCTGCCTCACATCTCTCTCTAAAAAATAAGGCATCTTGCTCACCCTCTGCAACAGGCCAGCTTTCTCGCACAGGTTGGCGATACGGGGCCGGTCGTAGTGAGTGAACATCTCATTGCCGAGGATGGCGTCGGCGACTTGAGGCGCGTTCACGAGGTTCATCTCGAGCAATCGCGTCTGCATGTGCGCCTGCTCGGGCTTGTTGTCCTTGAGCGCGTCGAGCAGGAACGACGTCGCTTGTTGTATCATGTTCTGGCTCATGAAGATGTCGACGACTCGCTCAACATCGACAAGCGGGCCCGATTCATCGTTCACGAGCTGGCCGGCGAATTCGGCACCTTGGTCCGGGTTCAGTCGAGTGATGTGCTGGAGCAGCGAGACGTAGTCGGGCGAGTAATTGACGCGCTTCGAGTAGACGACAATTTTGGCGAATTGGCCGGTTTCGGCGAAGCAAGCGACGACCTTGTTGGGCACATTGGCGCGCAGGTAGACGGAAAGCGCCAAGGTCATGTCGTGCGCACGAACAATGTCACCCAACTCTTCGCTGCACTCGATCTTGTCCTCCTTGAGCCATTTCTCCAGCAGCTGCTTACGGCCTTGCACAATCACAGGACGTGCAAGCTCGAGTGACTCGTGCTTGTTCAGCTTGCCACGCTCAAGCAGAATACCAAAGTACTGCAGGATCGGCGACATCTGGCCCGCGGGAACGGGAACACCCTTGAACTGCTCGATCGTTTGGCTCGTTCGCAAAATGCCTCGGGGCGAGTTGGCAGCGACCTTAGCGGCTTCAGCGTAGTTGCCCGACTGGAACAACTGCGCGAACTGGCGCGTGTACAAATCGTCGGCGCCGGGGAGGTTGGCGCGAGACGCGAGGCGAATAGCCAGCTCGGTGTTGTTGAGCGTTTGCAGGATGTACGGGATGATGGTGTCGTCGTCGACCGTGACGGACAGGACCTGGCCCTTGCGGTTGACACCGACGATGCCCGAGGTCGAGGTGTGCTCGCAGGTGACGAACATCGTCTCGCCCGAGATTCGGTTCATGTAGATGCAGGCGCCCGACTCGAGGTCGTAGAGGTGGATAAAGCCGTACTTGGTCACGAGGTAGGCTATGCCGTAACGCTTTGAGACCTGCATCGCGACGGGGAAGTCGTTCGTCGCTTCCGGAGGAAAGAAGACGTCGACGGCCTTCTTGGCATACACGGGCAAGTGGGCTTGGTGATCGATCTCGACTACGTGGAGCTGTAGCAAGGAGAGGGGCAGATCGGGGTCAGTCTCGTCAGACCGCAATCGTAGGAATGCGGTGTCGCACAACGCACCTTGGCGCCTGTCGCGGTCCTGACCGCAAAAGCAAAGAGCTTGGTGTCGTCGCTCGCACGGTCCATTCTCAACTCTGCGAAACTAGCGGCATGACCTTCGATCGGTTGACTGACGCCGCGCTCGCGCGAGTAGAGCTGCATCGCTCCCTTGACCTTGAACCCGGCAGGGTTGGTCGTGTTGGACGAGATACCGACGAGCACGAGCCACTTTTCATCGGGCGTGACGCGGTAGTTAATAATCTGATTGCCCTGGAGCGAGGCGTGTCGATCAAAGACCTTGACCGGTGCCGGGGCTGTCTGTGTGCCGGGAGCAGAAGCGGGGGCGTACGCGACCCAGCTGAAGCAGTAAAAGGCGTGCAGCCATGTGTCAGATTGAATTATGCAACAACAAACAAGGAGAATGCGCGTGCGACGCACTGATAGACGGCGGTTTCTGTGACGATACCCAAAGTGGTGTTGGAGATCCACTTCCAGAAGACAACGTCCTCGTGAATAGCATGCGACGTGACTTTTTGCTTGAGGTCAATGTTGAAGATTTGCAACTGTCGTTGGGCTGTAGACCCGTTCGCAAGCATAGACTCGGGGTCAGCTGCAGAATCCGGTCGAGGGAGTGGGTTAGAGCGGGGACGTGTCCCGCTCCTGGCTGGGGGACGGTGGGGGGAGGGCTCGGTCGACACCACGAGCACCACGGGGACACGATCTCGCGACGACTAACCTCTGAGCGCGATGACCTTCTCCTCGGGGTGCATGATGGCACTCTCGGCCGAGATCGGTCTCCGGATCACATTTCCCGGGTCGTTCAGGTCGATGATGACGACCTGCTTGGTGCCGTTGACCTCCTCGCGGACGCAGATGAACCGGTCCGACTCCAACGTCAAAGTCGCGAACCCGATTGAGCCCGGTTGGATGCCCAACGCGGTGAGCTGTAGGTCAAGATACGTTTGATCTTAGAGTGTCAACATGCTTGTGCGCGTGGGGGGTGCAGTGTGGGGTTGCGCGGGTGTGTCGGGTGTGTCGGGGTGCGACGTGGTGGGCAGGTGTGACGTGGTGCCAGAGAGCGCGGATGCGTCAACGCAGGCGCGACGGACACGGCTGCGTCGGGCAGCTGTTGCGCACAGATGGACACAGAGCCCATGGTAGAGTGATGCAGCACGCGACCAAGCACCCAGCAGATGGTGACTGACCTGTTGGAGTTCGGAGAAGCTGATGGGGCGGTCGACGGCCATCGTGTACGATGCCTTGGGTCAAGCCAAGCGAATCGGGGGGGGGGGCGGACGGCGGCGGTGCGACGTAGCACCAACGAGAGGGGGGTCGCAGTGGTACAATCGGACTCTACTCGAGTGAGGAGAGATGCGATCGGTCACGAAGAAGGAGAGAGCAGAAGTGACCAAATCACGACGGGCGTGTACAGTGTCAGAGGGCGAGGTGAGGTGGTCGAAGCGTAGCCGGCGGGCTAAAGTCGAGCGTTTCGGATCTTGAATAGCTACCTCTACAGGCAGTTCATCGCACTGTCGAGCTTCTCATATTGCGTAAACCAACGTGAAATATTTTGGAACAATTTCGAAAATTTGGAAAGTAATGCAGGGATTCATCATCGATGTCCAAAGTTGAGGGCAAAACCTTCATTTGCAATTTGCATTTGGTGACCTATAGTCTTTTCGGCTTTTGCTGCAAGACTCTGACGCCGAGGACTCTCCGCCGCCTGTTTCCGCCTGTCCTCTAACCCCAATCTACTCGCCAATGAGCTCGACCCCGATCGGGATCGGCGACTCAACCTGGTGTCCCCTTCGCCAATGTGATGTACAAGCACTCTGCCATGCCATCTGGCTGCATCGCCGCTGTTACAGATCCTCCTGCGGCGGCGTGGCGCCCCGTGTCTCGAAGCAGTCAAAGCGACCTGTCCCAGTATATGTATGACCTGTGGGACACCCAAGACGAGTCCGGCCGCGAGGACCCAGTAGTGGAGCAATGTCAAGCGCTCGGGGCCCAGCTTGATCGTCTTGGGTCCTCAGGACCAGCCAAAGAGGGAGAAGAATGATTTGCCGACTCCTTCATCTCAGCGAGTTCTTACAGCGTACCGCCCTTCCGCGTTCGCCACCGGTGCTCGTCTTCGCGCGGAAGAAGATATCGATGTGCGACGACGACGTTCCTCCTACTGCATCCAAAGCTCAGGACAAAGCCGCGCGGTTGTACGAGCAGACCCTTGCGGTCGCATCTACGGCCTACAACGAGCTTCCTGACCACGTCATATTGCGCCAAGAGAAGGAAGACATGTACATGGAGGCTTTGTATTAGCCCGTTCGCACAATCACCGATTGGACAGATAAGCCTGTCAGTTGACGAAGGATCACGGCCTCAGGCTCCACGTTATCGAGATCATGAACTTCGTGAGGCCGTCAATGTCCAGCCAAGGCCGCTATCCCGAAGAAGAGGCTCATGTGCGCCGGACACACTGAAGTCTCGATGGACCTCGAACGACCCGACTAAAGGAGCTGATTACCACCAAGGTCGTGACTGGAAGCACTATACGCGTTTCCGCGAGCGGGCGAAGGATCCCCAGTTACGCTTCGACTTCATGGTCTTCTACGACGACACGTATCGTAAAAAGAGCTTGGCGATCCCGACACGTCGGTCCACTCGCTCCTCGTTGCGAAAGGCACGCGTCTGGGTGAGCCATCGGTGACTCAACTTCGAGTAAAGTCCGTCACCGAGATGAGCGCCGAGGAGCGAAGTGGCCCGACGTGTCGGGATCGCCAAGCTCTGTACGATAAGTGTTATCGTAGAGGACCATGAAGTCGAAGCCCAATTGGGAATCAGCTTGCGTAAAGAAACAAGGTCGTATCTCACGTCCAGTCGCACTTGGACATTGATCGCATTCATCACAGGTTTGAACACGACCTGTTCACCGTTTCTCTGTTCAACTCGCCGGCAACACGACCCATCACCACTTAAGCGAGCTCGAGCATGTTGTCGTGAGTTTTCTCGCGCACATTTGAGAAGTGTATCCCGTCACTAAGCTGTTCATTCTGTCCCACAGAAAGTTCACCCCGTCAGGTTGTACGACGCGATCAATCATCACAAATCGCCTGGACAGCACCACTTCCACCTCGGCCACGGTCGCGCCGCCTACGCCGATGACGATTTCGCGCCTCACAAGATGACCGGGGTCGACAAGCTTCACAAGAAGGGCATCCTTGGTGCTGGAGCTCTGGTATGCGTGTTGGACACAGGAGTTGACTACAAGCTCCCCGCACTTGGAGGGTGCTACGGCTCCAACTGCCACGTCAAAGTTGGTCACGATTTCGTAGGCGACGATGGGAAACATCCCGGCATTAATCCTTTCGCTCAATGCCAAAGTCATGGGACGCAGTAAGTTCCAGCAGCTCCCTTGAACCGAAACCCCCTCCACCGCAGTTGTCTGATCCGCTTCCGCATGCGTGTGTGTGAACAGCGTTTCTGGTATCATTGGCGCTCTCCCTAACAAGGATGGCTTCACCGGTGTTGCACCTGAAGCGGACATTGGGATGTACAGGTTATTCTCTCAAGCATGAAGCCTTTTGAGGCGGCTAACATTGGCTAGTCCTCGGCCAATCTTCAACAAACTAATCAAGACGGCCCTCTCCACTGCACGGCCAGGCTTTTTCCTTGCAAGGGAGCCGCAGCTGTAGATGTCATCATACAAGGCTTGATTGCCGCCGCCACGAGCAACTGCGATGTCATCAACATGTCGCTTGGCGGCGGGAGTGCGTTTAGCGAAGCCGACGTGATGGAACGGCTCATTGATCGTCTCGAGGCGAGGGGTATCGTCGTCGAGATCGCTGCCGGGAACGGCGGAGAAGCGGGTCTCTTCACGACAAGCTCGCCGGCTTTGTCTTCTGGAGGGACGAGTGTTGGTTCCGTCAATGTCGAGTCTTGTCCCGCATTCCGACTCGATCTTGAGGATGGTGGCTCTATCAAGACGATCCCCTACCTCGCGAGTGCCCGCTACAATTCAACCGCGCCCCTGCCGCTGGTCGCACTTTCCTACGATACGGAACTCAGTTCTATTGGGGCAGCATGCGAACCAATTCCGGCGTCGATCGACTGCAAAGGTGCAATTGTGATCACACAAAGGGGCCTCTGTCCTTTGTTGCAGAAGGTGCAGAACGTCGCCGCCGCCGGTGCTCTGGTGATCGTGCTCTACACCGCCAACTCGTCAAAACCATTCACCATCTACGATTCGGAGGAACTTCCTCTCTTCCCTATCGTCATGACTGCGGAATTCGTTATCCCACTCCTGAAAGCGCTCAAGGCCAACCCGCATATGAAGGCTTCGCTTTCTGGAGAGCTACCCGAGTCTAACCACGACATTGTCGACAACCTCACTGGTGGCCTCGTCTCCGGCTTTTCTGCGATGGGTCCTTCGGCCGACATGCTGCTTCAAAGTGCATTCTGCGCACCTGGGGGCAACATCTTGTCCACCTTTCCTTCCACTGACGGCGGAATCGGCATTGACAGCGGAACGTCAATGGCCACGCCATTCGCGGCAGGTGCCGCCGCGTTGCTTCTTGCCGGCCGTCGTTCCGAAAAGCTGACGCCAGCGCAGATCAAATCGTTGCTCGTGACAACTGCGAAACCGCTTTCAGTGACTCGGAACAGCTCCGATCTGGTCAGCACGTTGAGGCAAGGCGGTGGTCTGATCCAAGTCGACAAGGCATTCGAGGCAAAGACATTCTTCAGCCCCCTCGCGCTAAGCCTCAACGACACGGCCCACCCACATCTCACACACGAGATTGAGATCACTAACACAAACGAGTTTGACGTCACCTACACGTTTGGCTCGAGATCAGCACAGAGCTTGGCGGCGTACAATAATGTGAGTGCGCGCTTTGCTGCGCAGTGAACGCGCGGTCAGCTTGATGTTTTGTCAATTCCTTACCGCGAATTGCTCTATTTGCTTCACCAACGTAGAGCGCTATCGAAGATGTGCTGCCCGCGGAGACTCCGGTTCCAGTAGATGGGGCCGCGGAGGTTCTGTTTCAGGTTCCTGTCCTGCGAGTTCTCGCCGGTCAGACGGGGAAGATCGTTGTGAACTTCAGGACCCCAGTCTTCTCCAAAGAGAACCTAGCTCAACTGCCGTTCTACGGCGGGTATGTCACGATCCAGAGTGACGAGTGCACGCATATCAACTATTCGATTCCTTACTTTGGATTGGGATCGAGGCTCATCAAGATGCCGGTCGTGGACACTACCTCGACGTTCACCGCTCTCGCCCTTGGCGACGATGGCACTACGGAGCAGGATTACTCTTCCTTAAATCTTCCCCTTTTGTCGACAAACAACATCGAATTGAAGGTTCAAGTACCTCAGACGGACCCGAAAAAGGTGGTGATGTACCATCGTGCGGCCGGCGTCGCTTTACAGTTCCGATTTGCAGGTGAGCAACACTCGCATGGACACTCCCCGAGTTCCTGCAGTTGGTAGGAGACTGACCACGCTCACGCTTGTGCAACAACATGACAGGCCCTTCGAGGATGGTCACCGTCGATTTGGTGCACGCCAATACGACCTTTAAGGCGAACTTGCCTCGCCGTGTTCGTCAGACTCCAACCGCAGGCCTCGTTCTTGAGGACTTGAACCCGATAACCATGCACTTCGGTGAGGACGCTGACGACGACGACGACGAGGTGCCGGGATCTCCTTCGTGCCCTGCTTTATCGAATGCCCAAGTCATCGGCCGAATCCAAACGGCCGTCGACGTCCCCCGAGATCTGCCCGACAGTGGCGACGGACCGGCCACGAGCATTACTCTCGTCTTCCAGGGCAAGGTCTCGGAAACGCTGGACCCCGACGACGAGAAGACGCTCACTTCGGTCCCTGCGCACACACCGTACAGGATGCTTCTTAGGTCAGTCCCCACAACTGGATCACCGTCTTTCCACACAAGAATGATCAAGAACCCGCACACATGCTTACCCGCCTTGTCGCGTGTCTTCCTGGCGCAGGGCGCTCAAACTTACTGCCGACCCGAAGTACGAATGCAGTTGGGAGTCGTGGCTCTCGCCTTCGTTCGCGTTTTCGGACTAGCCCTCGAATTTGCTGCTTCGTCCTATGTATATAAGATTGTCGTGCTGTACTCATTATGCCAAGATCCCTGAATATCTTTCGCTGCGCATATTGCACCGTGTCTTCGATCAATTTGCAATCACATTTTTTTTTTTTGGGTGCAATCCGCTGCGTTGCATGAGTTAACTACAAGGTTGTATAGGTCCTCCGATCCGAGTTCCTGGTTCATTGCTTGGCCTTGTTCTCCTTGTCAACCTTATCAACATTCACCATAGTGGGTACAATGTATGTCGCACTGAAGTCCCTCAACGCTTTAGCGACCCTCCCTTGCGGCAACGCCTTGCCATCCCATCGATCCTCGAGCTTGACAATCTTGTCATCACGATCGAGCTCGATGTGGACCAGCGAGTTCATGATCTTCTCCTGGCCCGTTACGGGGAGGACGTAGCGTTGTCGCAGCTCGTACTGGAGGATCGGGGGTTCGTTCTTGGTCACCTTCCATGCAAGCGTCTCGGACGATTTGAAGATATTCATTCCGGCCCACTGCGCGCTGTATTGATCGTAGCCCTCGGCGTATGCGATTGGATCGGCGAAGATTGCGTCTACAAATTTTGAGGAAAGGGAGATCAATAGGAGGGCAACTTAGTATGACAGGACGTTGAGCACGAAAATAATTGATGTAACTTACTCTTGGCCCAGGATCGGTCGAGAATTTCTTTGCTAAACTTGGCCGAGAACAGCTATGTGTGGCCCCGGGAAAGAGGCTCATCAGCGGTCTAAGCATGGCCGACGGCTCGTGCATGATTCGTGGGCCACTGAGCTTACATCAAGGACGTCCTGTACCACTTGGGCCTTCTTGCCCTCCAACTTGATACCGTGATCGGTTTCACCGCCGACAGCGAACTGCTTGGTGCTTTCCGAGGTAGATGACGACATTTTGAAATGCTGATGATGGGCTGGGACGGAGGCCGCGTGAAGACCGGTAGAGGCTGTGATGAGGATTGATCGAGGGGAGAGGATGAGCGGGACGAGGAGATTCGTGCGGCTGAGGAGCATTCGGATGGAGAAGATTGGGGAAGGAGAGGAAGGAAGACAACTCCCACCGCGTTGGAGCTGAAGCGAGTTCTCCCTCGGTGCCGAGCCGGAGAAGCGGAGCGCCACTTTGGGATCGAATCGGCGATGGCCCCGCGGCGGCACGTCATAGAGAGCCTTGCTCGCTGGGAAGCGAGCATCGACCTGCTGCCTGTAGTGAGTGCTGCGCTGGGCACAGTTGTTCTTAGGCTCCTGGTAGGCTGTAGGATTTGCAACAAAGAAATGGTAAAGAAAGCACGGCCGAAAAGTTCATCGCACCTCGAGAAGACGTCTCAGGGGCTTGCCTCGGATCCTGCACAGTGTCGAGGCAGCCTGGAAAGTGGTCAAGCACCATTCGTTTTGGCTACCGTTTTCACGCACCGACAAGCTCATTGTATGCATTTGAAATCAAAAGTTGCAACACATCATGTTCATCGATCTCCAAGTCATAAGTCACCATTACCTAGGTGGCTGATACACGATGTTACCTTCACTGGAACTTGTGGCATACCTCTGCAACGGTGGTCCAGCACTGTCGCTCGGAGGAGGCGCACCATTCTTGGCCCCGCGTCGACTCTGACCCCCGCCACGTCCTCCACGACCACCCTTGCCTCCCGCACGACCATCCTCAGTCCCAGGTCCACCATTTGCGTGGGAATTACGCCCCTGCCCCTGACCTCCTTGAGTTTGTGAAGAGCCTTTGCGGTCCTTGGACCGTCCTCGGGCCTTTCTCGCGCCACTGCTTTCAGGCCGAAGGGGTTCGCAAATCTGTTCGATCGCGAAGCCCGTCTCGACCATATCTCTCGCACGTATCATCTCCGCTTTGATCAGATCAACCATTTCGGGGCGGATGTTGCTCGCGGTGTTGCGCTCGACGTAGAAAGGGTCTTGAACGACCAAGGCGTGGTTCTGCCAGGCGCGAGGTTCTTCGAAGTGGTCGTACTCGATTGGGGAGGAAGACCTTGAGGCGAGATGCACGTTGATAGGCTCAAGGTTGATATGTCGTAGGCCTTCAATTAGGTTCGAGTCCGTTCCTTCCGCGTCCATCGTGCCATTGACGAGTGCAGAAGCAGGGTCCTGCGCGGAAGCCAACCCTTCGATGCCGCCGTCCAAGACACTGAGCGCCGATCGGTAGTGCCTCTCCCGGTCCATCGCTCGCCCCAATTTGACCGCCACGACCTGTCGCTCGGAATGGAACGACATATGATCCTCCCCCGCATAGCAAGTAAAAAATCCCACGGCCCATTCCTTCAACAAGCCGCATTCCATGGTCACGGGGCCGTCGTACCACTGACCAGGATAATGCTCAACAAATGTCGTGTCCCATCCCGTCGAGCGCTGTATATTGTTCTTGCCATGCCGTTTACGCACCCGCGGAGTGGAGTAGAATCGGGTAGATTCAGTCGAGGTGCTTTCAATCAACTCCTTGTCCTGCAAGTTGGGCAGGTGGTTGATTTGTTGTAGGTAGTTGATGGCGAGGAGAATGATGGTGTACGAAGACATCGAGATCGGTCCTTTGCTTCCGGAAGGGTCGTTGAGCTCTCGGCTTCGAGCCCAGTGTTTGAGAAAGACGCAGAAGGGGCGAAACATTGGGTGCAGTTCGCAATATGCCTTGATCAGCCTCGAATTGAGGACGCCTGGGAGTGATTTCACTTAGCGTCATTTAACGGTGTGGTCGGGTACAGTATACTCAAGGGGTCGACCGTGAAGCTCACCCAGTCGCTCGTTGGTATTGATGTCACCTTGAATCACGTATCCATCCACGACGGCCTCGATCTTGACGATGGGTACGTTCGCAAAAGGGATCGGGGTCGCATGTCTGATATAGGGCAGGCTCTGGAGCTTGGTTGCCAATAGCCGCGGGTTGTAGATCTGTGGCAGTGCTTTGTTTGGGGCGTCGGACCGGCTGAAGAACTTGTCTCTGAAACCTTCGGGGCGATACTGTCAAAGGCGAGTAAGGAACAGGGGTAAGGATCATGTTCAATGACGTAGGCAAGGCAGGGTAGAAGCTACCGCGAGGTCTTACGGGATCACAGAGGCACATGTCGAGGTCGGAAGCCTCGGTCGCCAGGCCAAACCGGACCGATCCGAACGGCTCGATATGGATCGGCATGCGATAAGGGTTGTGCGAGTGACCCCAGTTGAACCGCTGGGCGTTTAAAAAGTCTTCGAGCATCCTGATCAACTTTTCTCGTGCCTGCACGACGCCGTTCCGGGGAGACCGGGTCTGAAGGAAAGCATTGAGGGAGCAAGCAAAATAAGTAACAAACCTTCCATTCGAAATGCAAACCGCCGCCGAGCAAAGAGGGAGACTTGCGATGAAAAAGTTCCAGATATCTTCCTCGAGATTGTTTGTAGCGAGAGAGAATCCCGCAGAACCCCATGCAGGGTCCCGATCCGGGTTGATGGCGTCTCGAGCGGTCTCCGGAAAGTGCTCGGCATGTCTCCCGGGGTCATCACTGAACAATTCGTGCGACGAGCCTGGACCGGGTTGACGTTCATAAAACCCTTCATTGAAGGCATCGGCATTTTCCTCGTCGAATAGATCATTGTGCGCCTGTATCGGAGGCTCTGGAGCTGGCGAATGCGGTAGATTGGCCCCTCGAGATGGGTGGGCTTCTTCGCCGCCGAGATTTTGATTTGCTGGCTCAGACTCGCCGTCCGGGGACATTATAACACGGGCCCCTTCTTCATCTTCGTACTCCCGGTTGGATCTTTGATCACTTGTAACGGACGCGGGTGCCGAGCGTGACCCTGCTGAGTCGTTGCCATAGTGCGAGGTGCTGGAAATCGAAGCGGTTGTAGCAGCGGCGGCCGTTCGCTGGGGATCGGGGTGGGGGAGCGTGCTCGACGCGGCCGGATTCGAGTCGCCCTCCGTGCCTGCGCGATGTTTGGGCTTGCGAGTCTTTCTGGTCCGTACTCTTGGCTTGTTCTGTTCAGCGGCTGATTGATCGGAGGATGCAGCAGCGACAGAAGGGGCTAAAGAAGCAGCGGCGTGGGGGGTCTCGATCGAGGGTGCCGAGGTGCGTATTGGTGTCGGTGCTGCTGCCGGTACGTCACGTTGGGCATCGGCAAGCGTGATTCTAGCCTTTGCGGGTGATCTGATCGGTAATGGCTTGATGGGCCTCGAGGTAGACGGCGATGCGATAGAGGAGGGATGATCCGACTGCGGAGGCTGGGACTGATCGGCCGCCTTCCCCTTCCCCTTGGACGAGTTCCTGGGTGCCATGTGGGATGAGAAGGATGGGTGCGAGTCGAAGACGACGGCGATCTTGGTGGTGATTGTGGTCGAGGGCGTGTTGGTGCGACGTAACTGGAGTGAGCTCCGGCTCAAGCGCGACACTGGCGACACTCGACTCCGTCGTCCGAGCGAGAACAATCGGGGTTGGATCACGCAGAAAGAGCGCAGGGAGCTCCACACAGGCATGTACCGATGCCTCGGACACCACGCCTACTCCACTTCGTGCTGGCTGGTACTTGGGCCCGGGACAGTTGAGGCGATACGGCAGAGGTGAGGTGGGGGTCACGCCAGCAGCAGCATTCCAGGAGCGCACCGGCTAACTTATAAAGTGGCGCGCCGGCTCATCGGAATTAGAACACGCGCTATGCGCCTGCACAGGATTACAAAGCTTCTCATTACTTATAGTGTCCGCGCGTGCGCCCCCCGCCGCCCCACTCTCAATACAGCATCCCCAACTCCAAGGTACACATCGAGACTCCTTTCTAAATTTTTCCTCTATTTTCTTGGCATTCTCCCGGGGGTATCATCGGTGGTCTAACGCGCTCAAGTTTTCAGATATTGCATCCCTCCGGCAGTTTTCCCGCGCCGCACGTTGTGCGCGTGGTCAGTATGTACTAGTAACGAGGAGGGTCTCCTTTTCAATCGTCGCACCTGTTTGACTTCGCGGCGGCTTTCGCCGAGTGCCGAGTCGCCGCATCTCCTCTCCTTTCCACGCAGGCGCAATCGTGCACACGCGTTATTCCATCGCACCCCCTTTCGGATCTCGGTCCTTTCGACGGTGTCCACCATTCCACCTCACCTCCCAGCCATCATGCATCGGTCGGTAGCTTGAAGTACCTTTGCCGAGGACTTGCTCGGCGCTCCTAATCTGGGCGCCGCGCTTATCGACCGATTGACTGACTCGTCGAATCGTATTCGCTGCCTTCTGCAACCCCAGCTTGGACTTGACCACCGATCAAGGCGAGAAGGCGGGCGAAACGACTATGTCACGCTTTATCCCTGCACGTCGTCCACCAGCTTCCATTTTGGATGCCCAATCACCACCTGACGTGCTGGCACATCGTGTCCGACTCGCAGCCTCGTCGAGCGCAGCATTCAACCCCTCTTCAACCTCTCGACCACCTCTCCCTCGCATCGAGCCATTCCCTCGAGCCATTCCCGAAGAGATCATCCTCGCGATCGTGCGCTGCAACCTTCCGCCATGTTCACCAGAGTCGTACCTCCCTCGCTATCGGCTCTTGACCCGTGTGTATGGCCGCCTGTCCAAGGCGTGGTACCGGGTCGCTCAGCTCGAACTGCATCGACACGTCGTACTCAAGACGCCCGTACATGCTCAACGATGGCTCCAAGTCATTGCATCCACCGATTCCGTCAAGAGAGCGTGGAGATTCAACACCGTGGCGCTCACCTTGGGCACTCCTGACGGCGACAACGAGGTCTGCACCCCCACTGGATCCCATCGCCTCATCCGAATCGCGTCAAATTGGAGCGAACAGGACGAGACTGATCACCTCGTGACTCGTATCGTCAAGCACACTCCCTCACTCCGCCGAGCCTGGCTTTACAGGTGTCGCTTCGATCCTTCCGATCTCTCGGTCGCCGTCGAGTTGACGACGTTGGTATGCTCCAACTGTGAGCTGGCCCTAGGTGGAATCAACCAAGAGACCAGACACATCGCCGTCCCCTGCTACGACGTCCTTGCGTGGCACCTCCCTCGACTGCGTGCGTTGGAGCTCCATCACTGCCTCATGTGGAGCCATAGCTCAGACCCGGCGAGCTCGTCCTCCACCGCCGGGCCGCCCCACCCCCACCCCGAGGTCGCTCGTATTCTCTTCAACCCGACGTCGGTGCCGTCGTTGGTGGACCTCGCCCTATCGCTACTACCTACATCAATACCCCTGGCGCTGGAGCTCCTCTCTCCTCAACTCGAATCGCTGTGGGTCACTCGCACGCCCCTGCAAATCCGACCGCGCTCGACGCAATGGCCCCTCTTGCCCGAGTTCGGAGCGATGCCCAACCTGCGCCATTTCGCGATCGACGTTTTTGGCGGTGGGATGCTGCAACGTGATGTCCCAGCTCTGGCGTCGGTTCTACAAGGATGTCGGTCTCTTGTGACCTTGAGGATTGGTTCACTTTGGATCCACCACTTTGAACAGGTGATGTTCCACAACCCTTCCTTCCAAGCCACGGTTCACTCTGGAAGGATGCGAGGCGCTTCGTCGACGAGCTCGAACCGCACCCAGTCAGGTCGTAATCCGAACCCACTCTGCATCCTGAACCACCTCTCCCAACTCCGCGTCGTCTTCCTACCCCGACTCCCCATCCAAGAGCTGAAGCTGACCACACACGAAGAACACCAAGCCACCATGATCCGTGACGAGACGAAAGTGGTTTTGCACCGACGTGGGATCAGACTGTGCAACTTTACGCTCGAGTTCGCTGGGGAGACGTTGATCAAGACGTCGCTGGATTCTCTGGAGGTCGATCCTGGTTACAGTGTGTGGCATGCGTTTGTGGGTCGGTTTGTATAGCGGGATTAGGATGACCAACTTTGCGCCGTGCAGGCCAGGGTGGGCGTCTTTTGAGACAATAATTTACTGCGCGGCATCCGGAACTTTAGCAAATCATAATTGGGCACTGTGCAAGACTGTACTGTGCATGAAATTTGAAGAACAAGTATATCCCATTGCGCCATTCTCTCAACCTTACACAGGAGTCGAGCGAGTAAATTCTCCACGCTATTTACAGCTTCCCACCGACCAACGCACCACCATCCAAAGCGATCGTCGCACCGTTCACCCAAGCACCCGCAGGACTGCTCAAAAAGATGCACGTCCCCGAAACGTCTTGAGGTGCACCAATTCGACCGAGGGGAACGCCTGCGACGATGAGGTCGCGTCCGGCTTCGAGCGTCGCGGCCATCACTGAAGTGAAGTGAAGAGCAAGCAATGTGAAGTAGGATCAGTAGGGGTTGATGAGTAAGGTCGTTGAGATAAGAGAACCTACTCTTAGACTCGAAAGGCCCGCAGGCAATCGTGTTGCTCGTGACTCCCCTTCGACCTAACTGCGCGGCGAACACCCTCGAGAGTTGATGCAGAGCCGCCTTTGAACTCGAGTAGGCGTACGTCTCGAGACTGGGGACACGGATGCCGTCGACCGAACCGATGTTGATGATGCGAGCTGAGTTCAGGATTCGGAAGGGAGTATGAGCCACTCGAGAACAGGGGACGGATTTATAGCGAAAACTCACCAGGGTCGTTCCAGGGGCCTTCCTCGGGAGCATCCTTGGGCAGACTAGCCAACAGCAGGGGCACACATTTTTGAGTGAGGGTGAAAACTCGCTTGAGGTTGAGACCCAAGACACGGTCCCAAGCGGCGTCGGGGTATTCTGAGATATGTCGCAGCCTGCAGATCAGGTTCTCGCTCGGGAAACTTCAAGTGCTCAGTCTCCGATGAGACGAACCTTCGAGGGGAGCACCCCAGTTGTTGCCTGCGTTATTGACGAGGACGTTGAGATCTGATGACAAATTCGACAATGGGTGAGAGAGATGTAAAGACCAAGGAGGTCCGAGAGTGAGTATGAAGGCCGGCTCACGCTTCTCCCGCTTGCTCAGCTCGGCGACGAGAGCTTCTACGCCTTCGTACGAGGCGAGATCCTTCAGGAGAGCGAACAATCACACCCACGTCAGTCTCTGAATAGTACGGCAAGAACTTCCTGGAATGAGAACATAACTTGGAACGCACAGCGGGAATCGAATGAGCGGATCCGGGGCCGAGCTTGGTCAACTCTTGCGCTACAGCGTCGCACGACTTCTTGTCCCTCGACGAGATGTAAACCTTGGCACCGGCTGCGACGTAGCCCGTGGTGATCTGTGGTCGTTTTGACGAGGTCATAAGATGGTCGTTCGGGCATGAGCAGTCGATCGCAATTGGTGGCGCACTCTACGAGTACGCTCGAGGATGATCGACTGCTGGGGGTCCCGGGGACACTGACCATCTTGCCGATGCCCTTGGCACCACCAGTGACGAGCACAACCTTGCCCTTGACCGAGAATGAGGGAGCGGACGACATGTTTTGCTAGTTGCGTATAGTTCGAGCGCGAGACGGAGCACCTGACGCCGCGCGCTCGCTGCTCGCCTGAGTCGGGGGATTCCGAGTCGGCGACTCGAAGGGCCGAGCTCCGGGGCCGAAACCAGTCTTGGGCCGAATGGACCAGATGGAATGGCAGTGATCGGGGAGAAATTGAAAACACATCCTTATAAATCTATCTTAGTGGTTCGTTTCCGCTCGCATAGGGTATCGAACTCACAGAGGCGATGCAGCCGTAGAACTATACAGGGGCTACTAAGTATGGAAGCCTCTGGCACGCGCCGATCGATCCGCGGAACGCGCGGCGTGGTTTTACTGGTTTTACTGGGCGTCACGGTCTCGCGCAAAGTCGAATCCATTCGTGTTCGCTGCCGCTGCTCCATCTCCGCTAGACACAATGATCCGTACCGTACCGTTCACCACGCTCGCGAGCTCGACGTGTGCAACGACTCGGCCGTTCACGACTCGGAGCTGTACGCGTCCCGTTCAAGCTGCGCGATCGGATCCGAGTCCCCCACACGCCGTCGCAGCGCGAAGCAGGGCCCCACACGGCACGCACGATGCAGACAACTACGCGAGCAAACTCGCCCGCGGGGAGGCCTACATGAGGGACAACGGATACGACATGGCTTCGTTGGTTGAACAGCCGGTGGCAAGTCCCTCCAGGCTGGTGTCACATCACCTACGGATCATGTGTCGACCTCAATGAGCTTGCCACATGATGCCAGTCTTGTAAGACCGCTAGGCTCACGTACCTTCTCTCATTCATCAGGTCTGGGGCGACTGTGATACATTTCAGCACCTAAACAACGCTATGTACATCCGATACTACGAGACGGGCCGCATCCGGCTTATGCAGACCTTACTGGCCGACCTCGGTCCGGGCGCCGAAGGACCGCTGCTCAAGGCCAAGCCGGGGGGTGTCGGCAACATCCTCGGCAGCATTTCCGCCCGTTTCCGCGTCAGTATCCAGTCTCCAAGTCACTTCATTTTGGACCAAAATGGCAAAACTGATCGTAACGTCTGCCTCCCTCGACTCGAACTCGCCACAGCGCCCTGTCAACTTCCCGGACACGCTCTTGGTTGGCCATCGCGTCACCAAGATTGAGAAGGATCGGTATTCACTCGACCATGTCTGCTGGAGCTTCCAACAGACAACGGCGGCCAACCTCGGGGAATGTGTCATGGTCTGCTACGACTATGGGAACCTCAAGGTAAGGTCAAGATTGAAACCGTCGTTGGCAGAAGGAGAAACCGTTGACGAAGCCAACTCTCTCCGCCTCACAGAAAATGGACATGACAGAAGAGTTTGAAGCTGCCTTGAGGAAACGCATGCCGTGAAATACAAAACATCAAGGTTGTACAGTGAACTCCTCCTCAAGCGACGACCTCCATCTCGTCTTCGTCTTCGTCATCTTCGTCAGGGTCGTCCTCCGCCTTCCTTACATCTGTTGTCGAGCTTCCCTCTACCCCCTCCTCATTCTTAGCTACATGCGCCTCATCCTTCCCTTCGGGCTTGGCATTTTCGTCCCTATTGCCGCTCTTGAACTGCTCTTTGAGCGTCCACATCCCAACATAAGGACCCCTCGGCACCAACGTCCCAACCTCGCCCAACACCTCCTTCAAGAACGTCGCCGGCTGCTTGACGTGCTCGTTCAACAGCTTGAGGTTCCAGTACGGCGCTTGGTCAAAGTGTTGGAAGAGGAGATCGAGCAGTTCGTTGCGAGGCATGCGCACCATGCGACCATTGGGACCGGCGCCACTGACGGCCGCCGCTTTGGCGGTTTTCTAGCCTCGCAACGATGACCGCACGAGGATCAGAAAGTCGTCCACAATAGAAAGACAGGATTCGATGCGTTTGACAAAACTCACAACCATACTGGCAACACGATGCTTCACGCCCGACATGCCTACACCCGAAGCCAGTCGATTCGCCGTCGCGTTGTCGACGTCCAACATCTTGATCGTGCGTTTGGGTTCGGTGGCGAGGCGTTGCCGTTCGCGCATGATGGTCCGGTACGAGTCCGAGGCCGAGATGGACGACAGTGAAGGTGTGAGCTGGCATTCGTGTTGAATTGTGCCCGCCAACGAGGTGATCCCTGACGACGAGTGTAGTGTGGGATGAGCATCGTACTTGCCTCAAAATTTGCCAGGACATCCGATCTCGACTCACGCCTCTTTTTCCTGAACCCCACATCGCCCGTCGACTCGTCCTCTTCCTCTTTCTCGCCGAAGATAAACAGGTTCTTACTACTCGTGTTCTGCAGTCGAAGGTGGTACTCTGTCGGTACGGTGCCGTTCCGTCGTCCGATCGGTCCTTTGCCCTTGATGTCCCGACTCGGTGCGGGTGCGGTTGTTGGTGGAGCCGAGCTTTCGTCTTGTTCGAGGAGGACGGCGATCTTTGGATCTCCATTGGCATCTTTTCTGTGCAATCAGAGTGGGATCGCAATCGTAGGGTGTGGATGAGCCTCACAGCCCAGCCCGGTTTCCTCGAGGTGGGGCTCACGCGAGAGACGGAGCAGAGCAACTGACTCGTCATAGACCCTCACCCGTCCCAACACGACGCCCTCTTGTTGGACCTGCTCCCACTTGTCCAACAAGAACTTTGGAACCTGGCGAGCGATGGGTGATGGACCAGGTTCAGGTCAGCTCTGTTCTGGCTCGCTGACTTGAGTCTGGCAAGAGCACACCAGAGTAACCCCAAGTACACGAGCATCCAGGCCGCTCACTGAGCTCAAGAGCATCTTATTCCAGTGCACTGACCTTGCACAACCACACGCTCCTCTGGCTCTGCTTCAGGTCCAGGTCATCCTCCTCGTCCGCGCCCTCATCGTCGAGGTTCGAATCCGGGTCCGCGAGGTCGATCGAGCCATGTTCGGCTTCGAACTCGGCGGGAAGTGCATTCATGGGGATCGACATGGTGGACAAGAGGGAGTGGCCGGCTGCGTCTGTGCGCGTAGGGATAGCAATCGAGACGCAAGAGTTAGAGAGCGAGTGAGAGGCTGCGCGTGTCGCCAGCGGGGTGGGGCGAGCGTGAATGACGAACTTCATTCGGAGAAAACTCTCTCGTTTATCTTGACTTTACGAGAAGAAAAAGCTTAACCGAGATAAGGAAATTTTAATGAGACAAGTAGGTCATCCGATTTCTTCAACACAAGAACTAGGAAATAGGAGCAAAGGGGGAAAGAGAGCCCTCGGCAACAAACAAAACCTTATCTTCCAGCCGAGGAAAAGCAGACCCCAAAAAGGGCAGTTATGTACTACAGTAGAATACGCCAGCAAGGAGGTGAGAAGAGACGATGATAAAAGCAGGGGTTTCATTGGGAATATTAGAGAGCAGATCCTGCATGCAAGGTGGGGACGGAGTCGAAACGAAGCAGGGGATGAGGAATAAAGCGGAAAAAGCTTCCGGAGAACTAGCTCTTGGGAGTAGGATGAATAGGCTGCAAAGAGGCGTAACTCCGTCAGTAATACAGTTCTTGCTCGAGAACGCCACATTGAGGCAGGGAACTCACTGTACTCGGGGAGAGGGTCGACCGACCGACCGCATTGACGATCGCTGGTGGTTTCAGGTGCGGCAGAGGGGTCGAGCTTCTCGACGGGATTGCCGGTGTTCCAGGGACGGATCGGTTCAATGCCAAATGGGACTTGACGAGCGAACCCGCAGCCAAAGCGGCCATGAGCGAGATTTCTCCTGCGAGCACCGAGGCGCAGATGATCCGCGCCAGTCGCTGCGCGTTCTCGCCCGGGTTTGTCGGATGCGGCCCTCGCACGCCGAGCAGGTCCAACATCGCGCCCTGCGGTAATAAGACTGTTTACGAATCCAGTCTCGCATCAGTACTCCGAACCGGAACAAGTCGAGGAGGAAAGCACTTTGCGACTCACTCGTTCCACCTCCAACGGTGCCGACCTCGATCGACGGCATGCTGCACGAAACCAAGAGATCCTCGCCATCGTTGATCGCCTCCATCAACGTCATGCAGTTGGAACTCTCCACGTTTTGCGCCGGGTCTTGACCCGTGGCGAGGTAAATCGCCGTCAAGATGTTGGCCGCATGGGCGTTGTTGCCGCCGATCGAACCGGCCATCGCACTGCCGATCAAGTTCTTGGTGATGTTGAGCGAGACGAGATCCTTGACGGTCGTTTTGAGGATCGACTTGACCGCCTCTCCAGGAATGATACCCTCGGCCACTACGGACTTGCCTCGGCCCTCGATCCAGTTGATCGCAGCGGGCTTCTTGTCGGTGCAGTAGTTGCCCGACAAGGAAGCGATGCGCATCTCGGGAAAGTAGTCGGTCTGCATCGTGTCGAGTGCTCGTTCTGTCCCCTTGGAGATCATGTTCATACCCATCGCGTCACCCGTCTGCGTCGCGAAACGAACGAAAAGCGTTCGCCCTGCCATCGCCGTCTTGAGCGAGATGAGTCGCGCGAAGCGCGACGTGGAGTTGAACGAAGACTTCATGATCTTGGACCCCTCGTCAGAGTCGATCCAGAGCTTGGCAGAGGCGCACATCGTTACGGAGGGGAACGTCAATGCCGGACCACGGGTCATCGCGTCTTGTGTAACGACTGTCGTGACACCACCATTGACGTTCAAGGCTTTGCATCCACGAGATGTCGAGGCAACGAGTGCACCCTCAGTGGTGGCCATGGGGATAGGAATCGCTACGCCATCAACTCGTAAAGGTCCCGCGATACCGACAGGGATCGGCATGAAGCCGACCACGTTCTCACAGCATTGCCCCATGACTCGAGAGTAGTCAAAGTTGGTGTAAGGCAGATCGGAGCTCTCGAGCGTCTTGCGAGCCGAAGCGCGGGAGATGAGAGCTCGACGAATGGCGACCGAGCGCTCGTAGTCCTTCAGCAGCTTCTCCAACGCGTAGGCGGCCACTTTGCCCTTTTGGACGAGCATAATGATTTCCTCGTCGTTGAGCAGCAGTGCGCCGGCTCCGTTGTCAAATATTTTGGCGCATGTCTCGAGGTCACGGGGCGTGTCGGGGACCGAGCCCTGCTTGACGAGAGCAACGGTCGAAGGCGACAGGCGGATTGTGCGGGTCGAGCCGTTGTCAGAGGGAGCAGCAAGCATTCCACCAGCGTTGTCCGCCGAGAGCGATGCCGTGCCGTTCTCGACCGAAGCGGTAGCGTTAGTTGAGCTCTTGGGTGTTTTGCGGTTCTTGGTCCTCACAAAGATGGGCGAAGGAGGGGGAGAGCCTTCGGAGCTGTCTGAACCGTCGTGATCGTCCTTGGCCTTCTTGGACGACACTTTGACGACTGAAGGCGGCGCCTGCTCAGCCTGGGCCTCGGCGTATTGCTCGGATCGAACATGCTGGCGGGTCATGGCAGCGGCGTCGGTCGGGGTCCATTCGTTCTGCAGCTCGACCGCAAGTTGACTGATGCTGCGTCGTAGCTTGGCTTCGGTCGTGCTCATCGATCCCGAATCGTCTTCATCGATGGCGCTACCGCTCACACCGGCCAACAGAATGCGGGCCGCTGCTTCGGCAGCGGAGCCAGAAGCGAAGCCGCTATTGGAGCCGCTCGCAATGCCCTTGAGGAGGTAACCATTGAGGAAGACGGAGATACCGAGGGCAATGACGATCCATTTCGAGAGGATGGGGTCTCCGACGAGCTTGGTCCAACGAGACATGAACTTGTCAAAGCTAGCGAGATGGCCCGTGACGGTGGCGTCGACAGGTTTCGATGATTTGGCAGCTGTTGCAGAGGGATCGATCGCTCGGTACTGGAGAGGAGGTGCAAGGTGGACGAGCAAAGCCGTCTGGCGGTCGTGGGCATTGACGAGCTGGGCGAGGGCCGCACTGAGCGAAGGCGAGCTCGTGTCGACGGCGAGGGCCACGCTGGGTAGCGAGTTGTTGTCGGTGTGGCGCTTGAAGGCGGTCTGGGTCGTGAGGGTCGTGACCAGGTTCAGCGAGTGGAGGATGAGGAAGGCGGCGATGAGCAGGACCTTCAGTCGGGCAGTCGGGCTGTTGGCGTTCGCCTTGTGTCCAGGTGCGGTGCCGGTTGCGAGCTTGATGACCCTGTCGCGGAGCGTAAGCTGTAGGGTGGGTTCATCGTCTTCGGATCCCGAGCCGGGTGCGTCCTCTTCTAAACCCGTCGTAGGGTCGTCGAGCAAGCGAGCCAAATCAGCCGATGAGTCCGTCCTTTGCAGCAGGCGCATGACCTTGATGCGGTGTACCTCGACCATGATGGTGAGAATGGCGACATAGAAGCCCATGAGCGTAATGCAATCAAAGACGAGGATCAACGCGGCAAGTTGACAGAATTCCTTGAGACCAGCGACTCCGCTCATGGCGCCAATGACGAGCACGGCGCACTCGATCGCATAATCGCGGACGATGGCGATGCCGTGCTTTGACACAGCTGCGAGGACAATTTCGCGAGCAGGGATCGGAGGGGCGAATCGAAGACCAAAGCGAGAGGGTCCGTTTAAGCTGTTCGAAAAGGACGAATCGCCAACGTGCGAGGCGCCAAGAGGGTCGCGAGACGGTGGTACACTGCCTCGGGCGCTCCCAGAGATGCCGCCCCCGGGACCGATTGCGGGGTTCGAGAAGACAGCGCGAGTGAGTACGAATGGCTTCTCGAATCCTACGGTGATTACGAGGAAAGGTAAAGCTTCGCCCAACAGCACGGGGTTGACGGTGATCTCGAGATAGGAAGCGAGCAGGAGGGAGAACATGAAGGCGAGGCACGACGAGACGAGGGCGCAGCTGGCGAGCCACATTCCCAGAGATCGAGATTGAGGTCGGAGCGATAGCGTTAATCGACGCATGTTCAGGAAGAGCGACACGAACGTCGAGTGCATCAGTAGGTAAGCGACGAGCATGACGAAGATGTCGGCCGAGTCCGCTTTCTGTACGCGGGTCAGCGGGTCAGGGCAAGGTCAGCTCAGGTCCCAGATGCACCAGGAAGGAGTAGGAGCACAGCTTGATCGAATGTACCTTGGCGAGACCATAAAAACGCATGACGAATGCTCGGACAGCGAAGATCATCCACTTGACGCTTTGCATCTCCTCGAGGCTGCGTTCGCTCCTCTCCTCGACGAGCAGCTCCTCGGACTGGGCCCTATCGTCCTTGGACCCGCCGCGACTGAGGAAGCTGGTGTAGGTGCGAGGCTTGCGCGTCTTGCGGGCTTCGACATCGAGCGTCGGCGACGACAAGGGCAGTTTGACAAAGTTCAGCGAAAAGTCTCGCGACGCGGCGGCCGAGGCGAAGGCGAGGGATCGGGCGGTACGATTCAGGCTGGGTTGAGTCTCGACCATCCAGCAGTCCCCATTGCCGATCTTGTAGCAGTCGACGCCTTCCAGGGCGACGCGGGTGGCGTTGTCGAGCGTGTCCTTGATCTCGATCGAGCGGACGATGTCCAACCCCAACGGAACCTCGACGACGAGTTGCTTGAGATAGAGCTCGACAGACCCAACGGGAGCGGCCGAGGTTGCGATCGAGGGTGACCAGAGGTGCGATGCCGGGTCATAGAGTATCGTCGGGTATTGATTGTCGCCAAGGGGTCGGTCGAACTCATCATTGAGGAAGTCGGACGTGCGAACGACCTGGGCAGGGGGAAAATGGGAAGGTGCCGGACGCACCCATGGGCCGAGTCAGCGCTTGAGCTCGAGAGAAGATGTGCAGCCTTTCGACACGACTTGAGGCTGGTCTAGAAGAGTGTGGCATCTGCGGTCGGAGCTGGGAGCATCTCGCCCGCCCGCGGAGCGATCGACGCGACGGGTCCAAACGAGGAAGATCTCGGACGAGCAAGAAAAACCATGAGGTAAGGCACATCAGAGGCGACCGATGGACGCTCAACCCTTTAGGCAGTGCTTCGATCATCGATTCTGAGCTTGTGACCTCGAGATGGGCGTTCATACATCGTGCACGGGCCCTCGATGAGAAAATGGACCCAACAGTGTCGCGTCCAGGCGCGAACACTTCAGATCCGGCACAGCTGTCCAGCTCATTCTGGGGTACGACCATACCAACAGCAGGTGCTGCAATGTTCGAGGCCGAACAAGCTCGCCTGTGCGGCGTGTAGTCGAGGTATCGCCTCCGCCTCCGCCTCCGCACTGCCATGCGGTTCGACCCGCTGGCGATCGATCCCTCGCATGGCCCCAGCGCACGGGTCAGTCGTGCCTCGCAGGGCCAGGCGATCAGGATTTTGCGACGGGTGATTCGCATAATGGGAACTTCAAGTGAGGCAGACCCACCTTTAAAAGCTGAAAGTAGACGAGCGTGACGGCGCAGAAGACGGTGACGATCACCTCGATCGGAAATGTCGCACCCAGTCGTGCGAGTCGGAGCAACGGCGGGCGCAGCGACGAGAACGACGACGGCGAAGTAGCAAAGACCATGATGATGGACGGCGGCCGAAACGAGACCACGATCAGGCCAGACCACACACACAGAAGAGGGACCGGTCCAAAACAACCAAGGGGTGGGGGAGATGATGGGATGAAGCAGAGAAGTCCAAAGAAGTCGCGACTCTGGCTAGGAGCAGATCAGCTGAGCGTCCGAGCCAGTTCCGAGCCAGTGATCGACCACGCTGCGCGCTCAGGCGCGCTCCTTCTCGACCTCGGCCCACTCTGGCCAGCCGATGGTCAGATCGACTCTCGTTTCAGGAATTTTGCAGGTGAACCTCATTTTAGAGCTCGGACCGATGGTTCATTCGTTGATTGGAATGCAGCGAAGAATGACAAAGTCGCTGATTAGAACCCTACAATTTCGAGTTGAACGAGTGGTAAGCGAACCATCGAGTCGAAAGTCCAAGCGCTCTGCGAAGGAATCGGGCAGTGAAGATCAGCCGAGCGCCCGGTCGACGAGCCTCTCGCTATAGGGGGTTGGCAATTACCACTTCCCGGCGCGCGCCGAATCTCGCTCGAAAAGGTCCTACAAAAAATGGCCTAACGGTCCTCTTAGCAGAGCTCTGACCGACAGCTCTACCCGTCGAAAGTGTCCAGAAAGACTTTAAAGGCGCTGACCGATTAAAAGCCTTGCGCTATGTCACCTCCGACGAGACGCATCGACTTGCGCGTTTGGGTCGAAGAAGGCTCAACCGGAGCGGCTGGCTCGACCTGTGGGGCTTCCCTGACCACAAGCGACACCAAAAAGAGTACTCGTAGCTCTTTAGGTTGTGGAAACAAGTCTCGAGTGATTGAAAGCTCTGTCGACACCTGCCTGCGCCTTTAAAAATGTTATCGCACTGGACCACCGACTCGATGAAAGTACCGAGCTCGCCTCAGCGCCGGCCTACGCCTGGCAGCGTGCGCGCACGGCCGGCGTTCCCGTCTCGAGCTCGCCTAGCCGGCTTCGATCCTTACGCGCGCGACCGACTAGACGGTTTGCTCGCGCGCTGCCCTCCCGTCGACTTTCGACATCGCTGCTCAGCTCTCGAAACGGGAAGCAACTGCCGCCGCTGACTTGCCTCGAGTTAGGTGCCGCCCCCGAATGGCGTCAAACAGGGCTTACGAACGCTCAAAGCGTTCGAAACCAGCCACGGCTGTGTGCCCGTTTTTTTCTTCGCTCTGCCACCACGTTCACCCTCGCTGTCTCCGCCTGTACGACTCTTTCCTTCCTCCCCCTCACATCCCTCACCATGGCTCGCACAAAGGTACGTCGTAGCGCATGCAACTATCCCGCTTCCCCTCGACGCCCGAATCTGCACCCGCTGCACCCACTACATCATGTAGTAACAATCGGATCATCGCACCTGCATTCATCGAGGCTGTCATTGCTGTTGCTGCACCCCCATGGGGCTGGTGGCGGTGCGGCTGCTCCTGGTTCGGGTTGGGATGACTGGCGTGTGTTGTGGTCGACTCGGCAACGAGCGTCCCGAAGCTCCTCGGCTCTGACTCGGCGGCGGCGTGAGCTTAGGCGCGCGCGCGCGTTTCAGTCTCGCCCGGCTGATCGTGAAGTTGAGCGACGACATCACCGCCACCACCAAGACCCACCCTGGCCCCCGCACCGCGATGACCCGTAGCCACTTTGACAAGAGATGCTGACTTGCCTACTCTCTTTCTCTCAACAGCAAACCGCCCGCAAGTCTACCGGTGGCAAAGCGCCCCGCAAGCAGCTCGCCGCCAAGGCCGCCCGCAAGTCGGCGCCCGCCGCCGGTGGTGTCAAGAAGCCTCACCGCGTGAGTTGATGTTCTACTTGGTCTGGTCTACGCATCGTCGCTCTCTGTCGCTCTCAACACCATCGATGGTGAAGGCGAGCGCGGCGGGGAGTGAAAAATGGCATAACTCGCGCGTAGCCGCTGTTGCGCTCGGACCGCTTCATCCCCATCGGTCGCCTACTCTCGAACCACCATTGCTGACCGCTGCCTATCCTCTCCCTCCCCTGCCCCATAGTACAAGCCCGGAACGGTCGCTCTTCGTGAGATCCGTCGTTACCAAAAGTCGACCGAGCTCTTGATCCGCAAATTGCCGTTCCAGCGTCTCGTGCGTGAGATCGCGCAGGACTTCAAGACCGATCTTCGCTTCCAGTCGTCGGCGATCGGTGCGCTGCAAGAGGCCGCCGAGGCGTACCTCGTCTCCTTGTTCGAGGACACCAACTTGGCCGCTATCCACGCCAAGCGTGTCACGATCCAGCCCAAGGACATCCAGCTCGCTCGTCGTCTCAGAGGTGAACGCTCGTAGAGTCTCTCGGTTTCGACCAGGCTCTATTGCTTGATTGTCTTTTACCCGCCTTTTCTGTTCATTCGTTCCGAAGTTGTTTTAATAGCACGTCATCATCATTTCTTCTCCCTGCTGGCAATGTAGACACTACTGTCGCCTCATTCCGCTGAATCCTCGAGACCCCGAAACCACCAGGATTTGTTCTTCTAGAAAGACATATGCAAAGTCACAAAGAAACAATGCGAGTGGTGTCAGTGAGAGATTGATGCATTTGAAGGTGCAATAGGTTGCAACAGCGGGCCAGCCCAAGCGCGGCGATGACGTTTCGTCGACCACACGTAACTCTCCTCCCGCTGCCAGAACTCACACTCACGTGCTCTGAGCCTGCCCAATCGACGCGATCCCTCACCGCTCGCAGGATGCAGGGCGTCGCCATCCTGGCTGGAAGGTGAGTTTCAGATCCTGGAGTGTGATCGAGGGTCTTTGTGATGCTGACCACCTCTGACTGACTGGTTGTACGTGCTGCCTGCCGATCCTCAGCCGTCGGGTGCTGTCGACTCAATTCACCACCTCACCGCTTCGAGCCGCTCTCGCGATCGATGCCGCTCTAGCCAGCACCGATTCGGTCGTTTGGGTGCCCAATCTCAACTCCGGTGTATCCTTGAGGCGCTCGGGGAGCACACGCGGCGACGAGGCCGAGTCCGACGATGACGACGATCAGGTCGAGGATAGTGCTGAGGACGAGGAAGGCATCGAGGTGCAGCCCTGGGCGAGTACGTCCAAGCGACAGGCCACGATGGGTGGATCGGCCGTCTGCCAGATCGAGAGGAACGGTCTAAGATACATCGCTCCGATATCGAGGGAAGGTGAGCCCACTTCAGGGATTTCGCGCCCGTGCATGAATCTTCGCTCAGTCTCGCTTCACCCTGGAATCTCTCAGTCGACCCCATCATTCCACTGCACTTCCTTCACCAACTCCACGAGGTCTTGGAGAACTACATCGGCGGTGCGGTGACAGAGGCCAGCCTCAAAGTGAGTCGAATGTCGCCGAGCCAGGCAAGTGCCGAGCTCATCACTCTCCTTCCCCACCCAGGATCACTTCAACATCGTCTTGGCTCTGCTCGAAGAGATGCTCACTGCAGAACGCCCTCAGTTGACCGAGGCTGCCCAGCTGCGCGAACTCGTCGTCCCACCCTCGCAACTGCTCGCCAAGGTCGCTTCGACCGCAGCCAATGTCGCCGGCTTGACCGTGGCAACACAATCTTCCGCCAACGCGTTGCTCGCTTCACCGCTTCCTTGGCGGAGAAATGGGATCAAGTACTCTTCAAATGAGATATGTGCGTAATTCAGGTCTGACGGCGCCCCAACCGGGTGTCGCGATGGCACGATTGAATTTGGTTTTGTCCCATGCGCAGATTTTGACGTGACCGAGGCGGTCGACTTTGTGCTCGACAAATCGGGCAAGATCGTTTCCGGTGGCATCACGGGGAATGTCGCATGTCGTTCCCGACTATCGGGCATGCCCGACTTGGTGCTATCGTTCACAGACCCGAGTCAGATCGAAGACGCTGCTTTCCACCCGAGCGTTCGGTACGGTCGGTGGACAAAAGACAAGGTCGTCTCGTTCGTACCTCGTAAGCAGTCATAACTATTTCTTGGGATCGTGACGTGTTGTACTGAGGCTATCAATTCTGCTTTCCGCCATCGTAGCCGACGGCGCCATTTCGCTCATGACTTTCCGGGTCGGTTCACCTGTCTCCAAATCGAGCCTCACCTCCTCAGCAGCATCATCCCTAGCCATCCTCCCCATCCAAATCGCTTCTTCGGTGACCCATGGATCTCAAGGAGGCGCGTTTACGATCTCCTTGACCTCACGTGCAGCGGCGAATCGGCCACTCACGCGCCTGGTCGTTCGACTCCCTCTGGGCAAGGGAGCGAATGGGGTGACGGCCAACGCCACCGGCGGACCCTTCCATCGTGACTCGAATGGGAATATTGAAGGTGGTGGAGCGGGGCGATGGGATGTGGTTACCTTGCCGAACGGAGAGGGTTCGGTATTGGTGTGGACCGTCGATGAATTGGCGGCGACGGATCGGGCGGCGGTCTTGCAGGGGCAATATATGAGGTGAGTTCTCGCCACTTGTTCGCTATCGATCCAAATCAAGTACATTTTGCTCACACGACTCTGTCATTCTTGCTTGTGCAGCCCGAGTGAAACAAGAGGGACCTCGGCGTTCACAGTGGAGTTCACCTCCGCCGAGGCTGGTTTTTCGGGGCTGCGTATCGCTGGACTCAAAGTCACAGGGGAGACGTACAGCGTCTACAAGGGGGTCAAGATTGGAGGAAGAGGCAAGATTGAAGTGAGGTGTGTCTGAGAAGGGGAGAATGAATGGCCCTTTCAGATGCCGAGCTCGTGCTCGTTCTGCCGATAGTTTGGTCGGAAGAAGTGTTGTCTTGGCATCCCGCAAATGTAGTGTCAAGTGAAAATCGTGAAAGCGTATGTCGATCTTGAGGAAAACGACAAGTTTGAAATTTACTTTCAATTTTCGAGCGCTTTTCGCCGTCCCACTCTGTCCAGTCTGCCAGGACGTTGCTGGACGTTGCAAGAGGTTGCAAGTGCATAGGCGGGCCTTAATTAGTCTGGCCAGCGACGCCTCTCCCTTCGCCGTTCGACCACGTACTTGCTCGCACCCAATATCATGTCGGACGCATCAAAATCACCCGTCAAGGTTCCCGGAGCCACAGGACCCCAACTTCGGTCAGTTCCAGGTCGCCTTTTGTGGTGCATGAAGCCCAAGTCGTCGAACACGTTACACGTTACCCCAGTGGGGACGTGGACCCTTGCCACGCACGCACACTCGCACCCACCCGTACGGACACCCGTCAACTGACCCGATCTGCGCGCTCTGTCTTCGCATCCCTCCTCCTCCTCTTGTATTCAACTGACATTCCACAGTCGACGAGCAGCCGCGCTCTCGCCGACAAAGAAGGACGCCGATGCACCGCAATCGCTCCGAGCTGCCGGCGCAGGAGGCAGCAGTTCGACGATGATGAAGCTCTACACCCAGGACGAGAACCCGGGGTTGAAAGTGTGAGTGCTCCCAACAGATTCACGGGTGGCTACTCTGGAGGAAGGGTGCTCCGCGCTGTATGCAACCTTGGAAGCGGTCGGCAGCGCTGTGTGGCGCTCGTCGAAGCAGCAGAGGTCGTATCACGTGGCGAAATCGTGTGCGCAAGTACCTCCAGTGGTGTATGAGATGCACCACACTCTTCGGCATCGTCCAATTGTGTCCTCGCTACGAGAAGTGATTCTGATCTACTTGCCTCCCCACCTCGAAAATCTCACTCCCCTCGTCAAACCGACCTTCAATCAAATCTGCTGAATGCCTTCCAATCCAACAGCGATCCGGTCATTGTCCTCTCGCTCGCTGTCGTCTTCATCTTCTCCGTCGTCTTTTTGCATCTCTTCACCAAATGTGGGTCCCTATTCGGCTTTTGACACGAGCAGGAACGAGCCGAACTAACGCTCACACGCTCCGGTGCGGTGCTCAGTCGTCCGGTACTTTTCCAAGTAAAAGCAACCGCCACAACAAAAAAACGCTGGTCGATCAAGGTATATTCGAGTCGTGCGAGATGGAGGATCACTAGCGATCTGGACAGTTGATCACGCCAGGGGGAGGAGAACGGCAGAAGCGAGGAGAGGGGCTTCGGGTGCCCCGTGTACTGTTTTGTTCTTTGTGTTTTGCTTCAACTTTTCATCCACCTATACCTCACCAACACCAGTCCTCGAGAGAGATCAAGAAGGCAAACATAGAACCGACTCGATTGAGCAGGTCGTTTTCTTTCGCTCTGTTGTGAATGAGACATGCCCGAAAGGCAAGCCCGCAACGGCAAGTGATTCACCGAGCGGCGAAAATCCAAACCGGTCGGTTCACTCCCTGAGACTGACCGGCGAACCCCAGCCACATCTTGGTCTGTTTTTGTTTTTTTTTCGCGCCGAGGTGTACAAGCATCGGTACCTGTGAACCTTACTCGAGTCGGACATGTGGAATGCTGCGTCCGACTGTGCTATTCGCCGCGGGGCGCCGGGCGCTTGCCGAGTCGTTTCCGATCGCGATCGGGTTTGCGCGGGCTTTGGTGGGCGTTCTAGCCAGAAACTGCCAGAAAGCGCTCGGGCACGCAGCGGCTTGGGTGTCAGGCTGGGGCTGGCTGGGGTTTCCCCTTTGGCTCCTTTGCTCGTCATCCCAATCTCCTCTGCGGTTCGTCGGTCGTCTCGTCGTCCCTTTCGGCGCTCCACGTTCCCCATCTCGGGGCTCGAGTACCCTTGTCATCACTTTGTTCCCCTCTTCCCTCGTATCACTCTGACTGCGACTCCTTTTACGACCCTTGTACGACTCGATTTGGCTCTCTCCTCTCGGCCCACGCTCGCTCTGATCTGTGTCCTCTCGGCTCGACGACTCGCTCGTACGACCGACTCCCGCCGGACCGCCATCGTCCACTGCGCCTTCTTTGGCCGCTTCCCACCTCACTGAGCACCTTCTAGGCGAATCATCCGGCCCGCACAGTCACCTCGTTTACCAACTCCCCCGGAAAGGACGGTCGAGCTCGAGAGCGCATCGACGCTGCTGGCGGGATGATGCGCTCAAGTCCACCGTTGCTCAACTCGTCGTTCGATCACCCCGACGGCCGCATCGACTCCCCCGCCTCACCACCGTCCCCTTCGTCCTATGCGAGCCCAACCGCGACCCTGTCTCGCATCGGATCCGGTCGAGCTCGTGGTCCGCCCGCACGATCGCAAACGTACGACGATCACTACTACCTCGGCCCCGGAGCTCCCTCGGCCCAGTCGAGGGGGTACGGCCCCGCCTCTCCGCTGTCGTTGATCGCAACAGGTTCCGAGAGTCCGACCACATCCATTCACTCGAACCGGACGTTCGATGCCGGCACCATAGGCGGGGGGTGGCCCTCGCAGTCACGACGCAACGTCGAATCCGGCGCATACCTCGAGCCCAGCCCCGGTGGCACCAGCGGCGGCGCCCCGGCCCCGTCCTCGTCTTCGTCCTCGTCCTCGTCGCTCGGCCTGTTGACCGACCCTCTCCCTCTGGGCTCGTACACTCAACATCAACAATCGCTATGGGGCCAGGCTCAAATACACCCCTCACATTACGCTTCGTCATTGCACTCGCCCCGTGATTACGCCCGTGAGTCGTCATTGTTCATCGTATGCTCCTCTCTCTTCCCTTCCCGTTACCACCCCCACGTCCACGCCCTCCTCCCCGTCCCGCTTGCTCGCGTGACCAGGTGTGGGATCGATTCCAGCACGGGTCTGCTTTTCAGCCTTTGGGGGTGCACAGTATCCCTACTCCTGTGCGCCCCAATTGTCATTCGATTTCATGATGGGCTGCACCGTCCTCAGAACCTGTCGCTGACTTTCCACCTTTTGACACCGTGCACTTGCCCGTTGGCCATGCTCTCCTGTCCCATCATCGCAGATCTTCCACCACCACGAAGTATAGGCCTCTACAACCAACAAAATCACTCTTCTCCTGCTCTGGCCGTCAACTCGCGTCTGTCGGCGGGTAGTGAGCCCGCTGCACCGTCGCTGGACGACATAAATCTCGGCCTCGAGAGCATGTCGTTCGAGCAACGCGAGCAGCGCCATTCGGCCGGTGGGAACGGCCTGACGTATCGAATGGACCCAGGGCGATCTCATACCCCTGGACAGGACGGAGCGATGGAGATCAGAGGCCGGCAAGGCACAGCGAGCGTCTACTCGGTCGATTCGATGTACTCGATCGGTTCCGGTCAGGCCGGGCCAGCAGGTCCCGCACTCTCGCACAATCGGCGCACGTCCAACAACTCGATGCGGCAGAGCTTCGGGGCCGTCGGAGCCGAGCATTTGCGGGGATCACAGGCCTCGAGCGCTCCCCTCGAAGACGAGTTGGGTGCGCTTCCCTTTGATGACCACTACCGCGAGGTCCCGCAACACATACAGCACCCACCACAGGGCTCGCCCCATCCCTCCTCGCAGTACTCGGACTATCACGCTGCCAGTGGTCCACCACCTGCGTCCCCCTACGCCGATGGCTCGGTCTACGGCCCCATGCCTCAGCTGCAACATCAAACATCGTACGCTTCGAGTGCGTATGGATCCGAAGCGTCGTACCAACCGGGCGCCCCTCATTTCTCTCCTCAGCCTCCTCACGGCTCATGGGGCTACGACCAAGCCGGACAAGTGGCAGCACAGAACCCCTACTATGCGGCTCAGTTTGGTGGGGCTTACCCGCAGCAGAATGATCCGTCCGTGTGGGGTCAACACCTCTCGCTGAACAGGCAGCCTTCGACGATGTCGAGTGCGTCGATGATGATGTATGGGAACCCTGGGGGTGCACCATCGGGTCGACCCGGGTCGTCGCTCTCCGTTCCATCGGCACAGCCTCGCATGGCACGCAAGGGCACGGGTTCGTCGACGGGCAGTGGCGCGTCGAACAACTCGGGGCCACCCATCACGAAAGCCTCAGTTGACGAGTACCGACAGCGCATCAAGGCCGACCCGGATCCGGAAGCGCAGTTCAACTTTGCCAAGTACCTGATCGAAGCGGCCAAGAAGATCAACTCGTCGGCCCACGGCGACGAAAAGTCGGCCAAAAAGTACCGCGATGCTCTGCTCGCCGAATCGCTCAAGCTGATCAAACGCTTGGCGACGCAGGGTTCCGGGGTGGGCAAGCCTGCGTACGCGGACGCCCAATTCTTCCTCGCGAACTGCCTGGGCAACGGCTCGCTGGGCCTACAGGTCGACCACGAAAAGGCCTACAATCTCTACGTCCAGGCTTCAAAGCAGAACCACTCCTCGGCGACGTATCGCACGGCGGTCTGCAACGAGGTCGGCGCTGGCACTAGAAGGGACCATGCGCGTGCCGTGCTGTTCTACCGCAAGGCCTCGGCCCTGGGCGACACGGCGGGGATGTACAAGCTCGGCATGATCTTGCTCAATGGCTTGCTGGGCCAGCAACGTAACCCTAAAGAAGCGGTTAACTGGCTCAAACGAGCGGCATCCCAAGCCGACGAGGACAACCCGCATGCGTTGCATGAGCTCGGTCTGCTGTACGAGAAGCCGCCGCCGCCGGTGCAACCGACCGGCCCGAATGGAGGTCCTCCGACCGCAGTGATCCCACATGATCCAGCGCAGGCCCGGGAACTGTTCACACAGGCTGGTCAGCTCGGATACCCGCCTTCGCAGTTCAAGTTGGGCAGTTGCTACGAGTACGGCTCGTTAACGTGCCCCGTCGATCCGAGGCGCTCGATCGCGTGGTACACGCGCGCCGCCGAACGAGGCGACGCCGAGTCCGAGCTCGCACTGTCGGGATGGTACTTGACCGGATCGGAAGGCGTGCTGAAGCAGAGTGACTCTGAGGCGTACCTGTGGGCGCGGAGAGCAGCGAACAAGGGATTGCCCAAGGCCGAGTACGCGGTCGGGTTCTACTCGGAAGTTGGGATTGGCGTCAAGCAGGATCTTGAAGAAGCCAAGAGGTGGTACATGCGGTCCGCAGGTACGTCTTGGTGCTCGGTGTGAGTCAACGATGGGTCAAGAGCTGATCAGCTTCGTAAACACTCCTCTACACAGCTCAAGGCAACAAGCGAGCGATGCAACGCTTGACGGAATTGAAGAAGCTCGGCGCGACGCGAGCCGGGGTCAAAGGCGGCAAGGGCCAACAAGCTCGACCAACTCGCCAAGAAGCGGCGACGGAATGCATCGTCATGTAGTCGATGTCTGGTTTCTCTGTCTTTGCGCTTTGGTTGTAATACTTTTCTCTTTCTTCTATTGGTCACTGTTATATCCTTTGTCCGTGTGTGTCTCCGATCGACCCCTCCCCTTTCTCCTTCTTTCGACCCCCTCGCATCTATAATTTTCCCTTCCCACGTTCTTCACATTTGCACTCGGTAGCTAGCTATCGTTTCAATTTTGCCTCTGCCCGTTGTTTCTATGCATGATGACAAGAATGATCAAACATGACCCTTCTCCCCTCACCTTGATGTCTCCTCCGAGGATCGGCATGGGCAAGCATGGGCAAGCATGGGCAGTGCTCCAAACTAGTGTGCGCCGCGAACGCTGCACGACGTCGCTCGTCGCTCGTCGCTCGTCGCCAGTCGTCGCCCGTCGCTTGCCCGCTTCCGTCCGCAGCGGTGACAAGTAGCGATCACTTTGTACTCTCACTCGTCTCCTCGCTTGCGCTCCTCGTTCCTCGTTCCTCGTTCGCGTCTTGTCTTTCCCTTTCGGCAGCTCTCGTGGCTCGCTCGCTCGCTCTTCCACGCGACACAACCCGACGCGACACGACACACGACACTGATCCCCATCGTACCCGACGCCACGTCCGAGGGTCGACTTAACGCGTGACCGGTTCACGTTCCACCGCGGGCCGTATCTCCGACCTCCCGTCCTGCGCATACAAGTCGATAACGCAACAACATCATCATCATCATCAGACACGTTACTACGAAGCATCGACTTGATCCCATCGCCCACTATGAACTTTTTCAAATCGTCGTCGTCCAAGATCAAGACGCCTTCGGAGCTGGTCAGGTCCACGCGCGAGGCGATCCAACGGCTCGATTCGGCGTCGACTTCGGCAGAGGGGAAGCGCAAGGTGGGTCGCACCACGAGCTCAGAGACCTGGTGGTTACGAGTCGTCCCAGGGCTGCCCGGGATCTAGAGTGATTGAGCGGCTTGGTGGATAGCACGGATGAGCTGAGCGAGGCGATCGTTCACCGACGACGACGAGGAGCGTGCGACACGAGCCGCCGCCGATGGGGGGGAGCCTACCGGATGAAGGAACTGATCAACCCGTGATCAATTGGGCAGGCGAGCGAGGACATGTCCAAGAACCTGTTCCAGATGAAACTGCTGCTGTACGGCGATGGAGGTACGCTCCTCTCAACTCAACCTCGCGCGCTCCTCTCTGCTTGAGCCCCACCTGCTGCGCTGCCCGAGCGCCGCGCCGAGGATGCTGACATCGACCGTGGCTTTGGCGTGCAGAGAACGAGCCGCAACCCGAGTTGATCGCACAATTGGCCCAAGAGGTGTATGCCAAGGACATTCTGCAACTGCTCGTGTTGCACATCTGGCGATTCGAATTCGAGGTCCGTGTTCTCGAGCGGGAGGGATAAGGTTTTCGACCCTGGTACCCGAGTGACTCACAGTGCCTGCCCCACCAACCACCAGGCACGCAAAGATGTTTCGCAAATCTTCAACAACCTCTTGCGGAGACAGATCGGATCGAGGTGGCCGACGGTCGAGTACCTTTCCGCAAAGGAGGAAACCATCTTTGCTGCCCTCAAAGGGTAGGTGTGGCGATCAAAGCTCGAATTGATTCGCAGGGGCGCGAAGTCTGATATGCTCCTATGGAAATAACCCCGTTATAGATACGAGAATGCAGAGGTCGCACTCAACACGGGCATGATCCTGCGTGAGATGCTGCGGCACGAACCTTTGGCGAGGACCCTGCTCTACTCCGACAGGTTGAGTTGCGATCACATGCACTGCCCCTTCATCCTCAACGAGATCAATGCTGACACGTTCATCATGTTGCTGTAGGTTCTACGACTTTATCGACTACATTGAGCAGACAACGTTCGGCATTGCTTGTGATGCGCAGGCCAACTTCAAAGTGGGCGCATGTCTGGAGAATCTACCACGTTTGGCGACTTTGCTAATAAACGATGAGCTTTCCTCGTAGGAAACCTTGACACGGCACAAGTCGATGGTGGCTGGGTATCTTGACGAAAACTACGATCGAGTAAGCGACTACGCCGGAAGAACAAAGATCGCAATTGGCCCGTGTCACTGACGTGCCAATGCTCTTGTTCACAACTCACCATCGGGGTCGCAACTCTGTTCAGTTCTTCTCCTCCTACGCCCTCCTCGTCCAATCCACAAACTACGTCACCAAGCGTCAATCACTCAAGTTGCTCGGCGAGATCCTACTCGACCGAACGAACTTCAAGGTCATGACACGGTACATCGCCAACGAAGAGAATCTCAAGATGATGATGAACCTTTTGAAGGATCGGAGCAAGAACATCCAGTTCGAAGCGTTCCATGTCTTCAAGGTTCGTTCTGTCCTGCATGTGGTGGAGGCTGGCGCACCCACGAGCTCACCTGTGATTGTGTCCCTCGTTCAGGTCTTTGTCGCGAACCCCAAGAAACCGCCGCAGATCGAAGCCATCCTCAAACGAAATCGGATGAAACTTGTTACATTTCTGCAAGGCTTCCATAATGACCGAGACGGTGAGTGGTCTGGAAGCTGGACTGCAACTGTAAAGGGCGAAGCTGATTGATCGGTGAGCCCAATTTCCCACAGACGAGCAATTTACAGTGAGTTTTCAACGATTACCACAAAGATCTCCTGACCCGTAAGATGTGAACTGACTTTTTCGCGTCATTCTCATCCTCACAGGACGAAAAGGCGTTCCTCATTCAACAATTGCAGCAGCTGTGACCCAGAGCGTCCGAGTCCCTCTCTGTGCCCAATTCCCCCACGTCTTCCTCTTGCCCTTCCGTCTTCTTGCATATGATCAGTTACTTCGTTCCCAATGTCCATAATTATCGTTCCCTTTTCTAGCTCACTATTTTCGCATCATCGGACATTTCGCACTGTTATCGCACCTTCTTGGTCCTTTACATAATCAGGTTCGATGTGCCTCCCGCGCTCAGTAGTCCTCCTTAGCGACAAGTCAGCTAGCTAGATACCCTGCGTCTCGTACGTTGGATGCGACTAATTATTCGTTCGAGCTCTTTGTCGGTCCCGGCCTCGAACGCAGACGTTCTGATCGAAAGCGTTTTCGGCGATTCCGGTAAGTCGATCAGTAGTAGTAGTGACAAGCAAGTTTGGGAATTGCGGGGCCCCGCGGCTGCAATTTATAATTCGGAATCGGCGACCGTCAGTCGATCAGTCGGACGTCATTTCCACGACTGGGCATTGTAAAAGTCGGCTTTCCCTTCTCTCCCACCTCTCTCTCTCTCTCACACACACACACAAACACCGCTTTCGTTCTTTCACTTCACACCACACCAACGAGGAACAGAAGTAGCTATGACAACCAACGCACCCACGCACTCGGATGAGAACGTTTTGATCTCGCCTTCAGTCGGAGGCGCCGGACCGACCCATGGCCTCTCGGCGACCGGATCGAGCCGCTCGAGCTCGGATGATCGTACGGGGGAGAAGACGGTCGGGGAGAAGACACAGTGAGTGCATGTTCAGAGACGGTCCAGCTCATGAGGTGAGTTTGGTATCAAAAGTGGGATTATGTTGACAGGACTTGTTTGCTGTTTCACTGTGATTCCCACTAGGGGTTTGATGGAGACCATTCACGGTGCGGGGGAAGCGATCCGAGGCACCATCAACGGCGCTTTGGATGGTGCAGGTGACGCGTGAGTGGCGCACACTCAAGACGAAGATCGACGTACAACAGAGGTCGATCCATACAACTATGAAGGAACTGACGAGTATTGCCCTTCGTTTGGAAATATCAGGATCGCCGGTCGTGAACAAGGATCGGTCCCCTCTCGAAACGACGGCGACGACGTCGCGCGCAAGGGCGTCGAGGAACTCAAGGAGGGCTATGCCAATTTGACCAAGTAGTAGCGAAAGCGAGGGATGATGCGCTCTGAACACCTGTGTTTTCGGTTCGTTTGGTTTCTGTGAACACTCTGAGTGTTTTATGCAATATGATATTTCGGTTATTGACTGGTAGTAAGGCAGATTCTGAGAGTGAGGTAGCTAGAATTCTTTCGAACTTTTCGGACGACTAGGGTGAGAGCGGTCCACATCGGACCACTTGAAGGCCAACTTCAATCGAATGCCCTCAGACAGGCATTTGACTTCTAAGAGCTCGCCTCGGGTTCGGAATTGGGTAGGGGAAAGACAGGGGTCCAAAAGCTGGTAAAGATCAAGTGCGCTTCTGAGGCGATTTGGTTGCGCAGCAAAGACGTGGTCCTGCAAGCTGTGGAGTGAGTAGGAGCTGAACGAAGCTTCAGCATGAGATTGGACGCGTTCTGGTGACCTTGTGCTCTGACAGGGATCTCAAGCAAACTCGTCTCCGGCGTGCGCGCTACGAGGACTGGCACAAGCGCCTGTGCGGCGTGTACGGCTGGAGTTGAAAGCGGAGGCGCTGACTCTTAATCCGCGGGTGAACTGTGGGTCTACGTGACGGCGCACCACGCCAAGTGTCATTGCGATCGCTGGTTCTGCGATGACCCTTGGGAGGTCATGGTTAGTCGTCCTAGGGTCTCGGCCACCAAGTATTGCTTCGAGGACCGAGTATGCGCGTATTGATCATTCTCCCAAAGGGGTTCAAGGGTCGTCATTGAGCTTGAAGGGAGCGCTTCGAGGTTTATCTCGTATCCACGGAGTTTGTGTTACAACAATCGGACTACTCTTTTGATTATCACGCGTCTCGGCTGATATGTTACTCGGTATCCATCCCATCGAGTTCCGGCCCGGGCTTCTCTTTCGGTTTTGCTTCGGAGCGGTCTTTGGTTTTGTTCTTTTTGTTCGGTTTGGTTGCGGCCACCTGAGACTCGGCGTACTTGGACTCGATGCTCTTCCGAACGAAAGCGAGCACGGCCTGGCAAGCCTTTTGGGCCACTTCTTGCGCTTCGAATAACTGTGCCAGAAAACTGGGAGCTGATTAGATTGCCTGCAGTGTCTTGCGCGCCGAACACATATCGCAAAAACTGACTTCGTCTTCATCAAAGTTGCCTTTGGATTCGATCCCCGTGCATTCGCCGAGTTCTTCGCCCACTCCGACGCCGAACGAGAAGGCAAAGACGTGGGTCGAGGCCGCGATCGATTCTTCCATCGGGGTCGGGTCCAACCGCATCTCTTTGCTCGACTGTCTTGGGTTCTCAGTGGAGTGGTTTCCGAGGGGTAGGAACGCGACGGCTATGGAGAAGAGCATGCCTTTGAGGTTGATGCCCGCGTCGAGCAAGGCGCCGGTCGAGGCGTTGATCAGGGCTGAGAGTTCGCTCGCTCCGATCAGAGTGGCTGAGGACGAGGATGAAGGCGAAGGTACGGAGGGGTCGATGGTCGTTTGGAACGAGATCGAGGGGGCTGATAGGGTTTGTAGAGTCAATTGGATCAAGGAGCGTGGGTACTGGTGCAGCTGGATCAGCGGTGAGAGCAACGAGCGCAGGATCGCCTCGTGTGACTTGGACGCGGGGCCTACGAGGGAGTGAGTACGAGCATGAGTTGCGGGTGGTTTCTTCGTGATATGGGTGACCACTGACCTGGTAATGCGTTGCTCGGTCGTAGATGGATCTCGAGATAGGCTCGATCGACGAGCTCGTCGCGCAGCCGCACCTCGGTCGGCCCCGTGATGGAAGCGAGTGCAGACAAATCACCTGTTTGAAGTCGGAGTGTTCCGATACTTGTTAGCTTGTAAAGACCCTCCCGATGGTGAGGCCGTCGACTCGCCGAAAGCGAAACGACTTGATCCATCGGCTCGCGAGAGCGGCGACAGGCTCAACGACAGAGCGCGCAAGGCGTTGGACGATCGATCATGGCGGGAGAAGAGTGGAGAAGTGTTGGATGCCATGGTCGGGGTTCGACAGGGGCGCAGCGAGAAAGGGCGACTCGTCGATCCGGAAACGAGGACGGCGAGCGGTGAGCGGCGAGCGGCGAGCGGTGTGGGGGGTTGCGAAGCTGCAGCTGCTCAGCGCTGAGCCACGCCCGCGGTCGGTCGGGTCGGCCGTGCGCGGCGGCGACGATTTGAAATCAGCCTAATCAGTGCCTAAGTCAGCTTGCTCAATTGATAATGGCAGACGGCACATCGCCCGAGCCCGGTTTCTCGGCCGACACTCGCTTCATGCGGTCGACCCAGTCGGAACCATGTTCACTGTCCAACGCCAACCGGCACGGCCTAGTTCGACCACTGCGGCTGATCTCGCACGCAAGATCTTCCTCGTCAAGTACAACCTGCAACTCGCCGTCGGCGCGATCGAGTGGCTGCAGGCGTTTCTCGACGAGTGCGAGATCGACGACGAGCCGACCATCCTCGATGTCTACGAGAGGCTCGTGGCGGGTATGCAGGGTGGAGGCAGTGGCTTGGGTCAGTTGCACCCCGTTCCCATCTGGAACGCTAGGCTTTGTCCTCTGTGCGGGACAGAGTTGTCGAAGGACCAAAGCGCTCTTGGCGCGTCGCGTCGCGTCGCGTGCGACGTCATCGAGACTAGCCCCTAAACCGGCACAGACTGATCGCCCCAGTTCATCCACACAGATGGGCCCTCCAAGGTCACACCAAGCTTACTGGAAGCCACTCGAGAAAAGTTGTCGGTCCAAGCCGATCAGCCCGTGCACGAGCATGGCCACCATCTCGAATCGACCCACTACCTCAAGATCGTCGACGCGTTTGAAATGCCCGCCTGGAGGTGGGGCGAGGAGAGAAAAGGGTTTGAAAAGTGTGTGCGGTTGTGCGGATTGATATCCTATCTCGGATGCCCAGGTCTGACCGGAACCGGGTACGATCTTCCGACGTCGCACAGATCCGAGAACTTGCCCTCGCTCACTCCCGGACCCAAAGCCAAGGCGCAGTACCTTCGCGATCGCTTCAACATCATCAAGCAGACCATCCTCCGCAACGACCACTTTTCACCCCCTGCGATCGCCGGCATTCAACGTGCAGAGTACAACCAGCTCACCTCGATCAAGAACCTGCTTGGTAGGCAGGGAGGGCATTTTCTCATCTTTGGCCTTTTGACGAGGATGGAGGACGGCGCGTTCTACCTCGAGGACCTCGATGACAAAGTTGAATTGGATCTATCGGAGGCAGTAAGCTGATCAATGATGGTGGAAAGATCTGTTCGCCTTTGGACATGGGACTGATCAAAGTTTGCACCCCACGTCTTGCGCAGACGCCCGAAACTGGCCTCTTCACAGAAGGCTCGTTCGTTCTTCTTGACGGCGATTACACGTTGGAGTCGACGTTCAAGGTCAGCGAGATGGGCCATCCGCCTTGTGAACGTCGCGAGGAGGCCATGTGAGTGCGACCACTTGCTGATCACCCGAGGCCCGGCTCACACCTCACACCCCGGATCGGCAACACTCCACAGGAAACTCTACGGCCACCATGATTTCCTTGGATTGGGCGCCATTTCTAAAGAGGAGGAGGTCAGTCCGGCACTTGTCAGGGGATGTTTGCTATAGCCGCTCACGCCCGAGGTTTCTGTCCATGCAGGCCGACTTTGTCAAATCGGAGCGATCGCCTCAGCATGAAACATCCTTCATCGTTCTTTCGGATCTGCACCTCGACAACATCAAGATTATGAATGCCTTCAAGACCGTACTGGCTGCTTACGAAGACATGGATGACGCCGACAAGCCCAGCCTGTTCATCCTCTGCGGCAACTTCCGCAGTCGGCCTTTCTTGTTCGACGGCGAGGCAACAAGAGACTACCAGGGTTAGTCGAGCTCGACTCCGACTCGCTTATGACGGATCTTAAGAATCGCTGATCTCATTCACAATGCCGCAGACCTCTTTACAAATCTAGCAAACGTGCTCGCTTCTTACCCCACCTTGATTGCCCATGCTCAATTCTTGCTCGTCCCTGGCCCGACCGACCCTTGGTCCTCGAACCTCTTGCCTCGACCAGCCCTACCCGAATCTTTGGTCAAGAGCTTGATTGCCAAAGTACCCAATATCACGTTCGGCAGCAACCCATGTCGGGTGCGGTACTTCTCGCAAGAGATCGTCGTATTCAGGGAAGATTTGATGGGAAGGATGATGAGGAACGCCGTTCGGCTCGGCGGTCCACGGAACGACGGGGACATGGCCAACTCGAGGAAAGCAGTGAGTTCTCAAAGTGACCCCTGTTGTCGATCGTTCGACAGGAGCTGACAGCTGTGCGCACTTGGCAGCTGGTACAAACAATAATCGATCAAGCCCACCTTACACCGCTACCGCTCAACGTTCGGCCAGTGCTGTGGGACTATGACCATGCGATGCGCTTGTATCCGATGCCAACTACGGTCAGTTCATGTTATTGTTGTAGCTCCTCTCCGTTTTTTGCGCTGATAAAGCTCATCGCCTTATTGCCCCACAATGCCCTTTTTTCTACAGCTCATCCTCGCGGACAAGTTCGACCCTTACAAATTGGTGTACGAAGGCTGTCTCGCCTTCAACCCCGGGAGCTTCATGCGCCAACGCTTCACTTGGTCGACGTACCATCCCCATATGCCGAAGCCGACGGACCGTATGGAAGAGAGGTATGTTCTGAAACACGTGCTCCGAGAAGGATCAATGTGGCTGATGTTCAGGCTTGATGTTCACAGTGAACTACCGCCACCATGATCTTGGTTCGTTATTGTGGTCCTTGTTAGACCGGAGTCGTGTTGTAATGTCATTTGAAATGGCCTGGCCCCGTCTGATCTATTAGATGAAGAAAGGGATCCTGCCGCGTGCCGACGAGCTCGGGTCGAATGTGCCGACGAGTGCCGACGGGCTGTCGAGCGGCGTCTCGCACGCGCGCCAAGCAGAACGAGTCGTGTATGATCGTGCGGGTGCTTGCGGGTGGTCGACTCGGGCGTACTGGCCGTCGCGTCGCGCGTCCGAGTCGAGCCTGCCAGTGGTCGAGCGCCGACGGAATGGATGGCTTGGCTGCAACCTATTGACTGGATGAGGATGATGACTCGTCGGTAGGAGCTCGACACTGGAACAACTCCTCGACCATTCGCGCCACAGACTCGCTCTTTTCTCGTCTACCCATCGCGTGCGACCTCGACGTGACTATATTACCCAGCGGTCGATCAATCGATCAATCACGCGCCCCGCCTTTTAGTACTGTCTTCACGGATCCAACCACAGGCGTGCCTTCACCCCGGTGCTTCCGGTCGCAACGGGCCTTCGACGACGAGCAAGAGCGCTCATTCGCATTCAGTCGTACCCGGCTATACGTTGGCAGTGATCAGCCTATCATCTAAGCAGGACATCATACACGCTCGGCGCGAGCGAGCACCGGATATAGGTCAGGGGCCGCACCGTCCGCGTGCTCTGTCTCTGTTGGTGGGTTCACCTTTCCAGACCACCTCGGTGTCACTTCGTTCCAGTCAAGACGGCTCAACCTTCCTTTAACCCAAACCCAACACTGCGCTAAGAAGTACACACACGAATTCGTCCAACCTTGAGCTCGTTCGGAAGAAGGCTGCCACGTCTCTGCTCGGACGAATCGAACCCGAACCGCCTTTCATTGATCAGCACCAGTACCGACACCACATCACCCTCAAAACACGCGTTTCGACTTGACAGGAGCTACGTAATGTCGGGCCTCGGCATGCAAGACGCCCGCAGAGCAGGGACCAACGGCGTGTCGAACGGCTCCAAGGTCCGAGACGTTTCCCCGAGTCGGCGGCGGCGTGATTCTTCTGCCTCAATATCGATATCCCGTCGTCTGACGGGCAAAACGCTCTCGACACGGAGGGTCAGCTATATCTTTGCGCGGGTCGTTGCGGCGCTCGTCGTCGTGCTGCTCCTTTACTGGATCTTCGCCGATCGGCAACCCCTGAACAAGTCCGAGACACTCAAGACAAAATGGTGGGAATCAGACAGCCCAAGTGAGCGCCGCTTTACATGTTGACATTGGGAGAAGAAGCACGAAACTCATGTATCATCCCCTCGGAACCGGGACCCAACCGACGAATAGCAGACCGGAATCAATTGTTGCCGAAACCTGCGATGCTGCCAAAACCACCGCGGCCAAAGCCAGTACCCGAAATGTCGCACTCGCTCGCCCAAATCACACGGATGTCATCGACGTTCAATGCCATCTCCCCTCCAGACTGGACCGCGGTCGTACACGTCTCGGCCGCGGCCCAATACCCATTACTGTCGACCCTGATACCCTCACTCCTCGGGCAGGCCGTAGCACCGAATCGCATCATCGTTTTCGCCGTCAAGGGCTTGACACCACCGATAAAGACGTTTGGTCCGGCCGTGTCGGTGCAAGCATATCCACCCGGGCGCCCACCGGTCGTCGCACTCCTTGAAGCGGTAGTGCCCGCCACAACGACCGAGTTCATCCTCTTTGTCGATGGCCACCTCGACACGATCGACACCAACTACGTTGCGCGCTTGTTGCATGCCTCGGGCACCAAAGAGTATAGAGCGTCACTACTAGCATCCGGTGGGCTTGTGTTGCCGACTTCGCTCGATGCACCCCCGACGCAGTGTCATGGCGCTGGTTCCACTTCAGGCCGCGACGTCGACAAGCAGCTGCACCACCAACGATCAAAGCGCATCCACATCCCTACGACCCCGTTCCTCTTCCAAACCAGCTGGATGAAGGCGATCTCGAACGGCGTTCGTACCGACATGGAGATCGAGGCGGCGATTCCTCTTGGGCTGTGGACGAAAGCGGGCATTCCGGCTTATGCGCTCCCCGTCCCATTGTATGCCTCGCTGGGACCGCACGTCGTACCCAAGCTCGCCAGCTCAACGTTCGGATGTGAACGCCTCAAGCGCGCACTCCAGGGCGTCGGCACCGATCGCCGAATCGGTCCCTTATTCCGAGCCGAAGCTGCGGGAGGTGGTGGACTTGGGTTCGCCTCGAGCCAAACGTACGGGTCGAGGGCAATCGATGACCCCTTCGTCGCGGGCAAGAAATTCGCGCGCGATCTCGGGGCGATCGTCATCCTCCTGAGCGGGGAAGAGGAGCTTGCGGACGCGAGCGTGTTGGCGTGTGGCTTGGCGCAGGAGAATGATGTCCGAGTTTACGTCGCCGACTTGCCGAGGGGAAAACGGTCGGGCGGGAAAAGAATTCTCTTCGACGACGCCGATACGGGTGCGCATTGTCATATGGACGTACGTCCCCTTGGGTCGGGCAAGGAAGGCGACTCGGTATCGCTGGCCGTGCTGGACGAGCTGGACAACGTGGGCCGCGTTGCCGTCGCCATCTATCTGGCGGATGGTCATCGGGGACGCGAGTTCGAAGAGGTACTTAAGTGGAACCGGGGCATTCTGGGCAAGGGAAGAGGGGGAAGGCGACGGACCAAGAAGGAGATGGAAGCTGAGAGCGCCACTGTCATCATCTCCCTCGACAAGCACGAGATGCAGGTCGCCGATTGGATTGCAGCCCTTCCTTTGGATGCCTTGAGACGTGAGTCAGATAAAACTTTGATGGGCGATGCTTTGAGGTGATTTGGGTTGCTGACAGCGGGTTGATTCCTACAGATTGGCACACACCGAGAATAGACATCTCCCTCGTCACGAACAACCGTCCGGCATCGCTGCATCGCCTCTTGTCGTCGCTGCAGAAAGCCCACTACTTTGGCGACGAGGTGCCTCTTTACCTCAACTTGGAACAGACCGCGGATTCCGTCACGCAGAGGCTCGCGAGCGACTTCGACTGGCCCTATGGCTCCGTCACTGTTCGCCATCGCATCGTTCTAGGAGGGCTGATGCCGTCCATCGTTGAAAGCTGGTACCCTGCCTCAAACGACACGTATGGCGTGTTCCTGGAGGACGACGTCGAGGTATCGCCGATGTTCTATGGATGGCTCAAGATGACGATTCTGTACTACCGCTATTCCATGGCCATGCGCGATCGATCGACGCGCCTCTTTGGTGTGAGCCTTTACCAGCAAAAGTTCTTTGAGCTGCGTCCGGAAGGTCGACAACCGTTCGATGCGCATGTCCTGTTCGAGTCGCTTGCACTGGATCCAACGCTGCCTTACTTGTCGCAGATCCCATGTAGTTGGGGTGCGGCCTACTTCCCCGAAGTGTGGCGGGAGTTCCATCTCTACCTCGCGCTCCGACTCTCTGAAATGGCGGTACCGATCGCGGATCAAATCGTCCCCGAGATTCGATCGAACAAGTGGCCGCAAAGTTGGAAGAAGTACATCATCGAGCTCATTTATCTACGAGGCTACGTCATGCTCTACCCCAACTACGCCAACTACTCATCGCTGTCGACCAACCACGTCGAGAAGGGGACCCACATCAAAGACGCCGTTGTGTCGAAGACGCGAGCGCAGTACGAGGTTCCGTTGATGACGCGCCAGGAGTCGCTGCTCGCTCTACCCTCGGGACGTTTGCCGTCGTACGAAACGCTTCCCATCATCGACTTGTGGGGGATGGTCGCCACTGATGATGACATCATCGAGCGAGGTTGGCAATCGGCAGCCCTTCTCGACTCTTGCCCCGTTCCTTTCCGACTGGACGTACATCCAAGTTACAACGCGCGGGAACTTCTGTGCGCCAAGGACTACGAGCGGGTCAATCGATACGTCGATACGCAACCCTTGGCAGGCAGCATAAAGGATATCCAACGGCGGCGGGAGAAGGAGGCTCAACAAATCCTACGTGATCGCGAGGCTCAAGCCAATGCCCGAATTACCGCGGCTCTCGCTCAGGCGGAAGCAGCCGCGCAAGGCGACATGCGAGAACGCCCCATGATGGTTCCTCATCCGGACCATGGGTCCGAGCATGCCGACGGTCCACGAGCAGCCGTTCTGCGCCAGCCTGGAGAAACGGTTGAGGCGCATCGTGAGGAGCAAGAAGAGCTCGCACGAGCCGCCAACGCCGCAGAGCAACGTCAAACGCCTCACATCATCGAGAAATATACCCCTCGTCAACCGCCCTTGGTGGAACAAGGCGACAATGATGATGACGCAGATGTCGTTGATGTCGACTCGTCAGAGCAGGAGGAAGCGTCGCCGTTGGACCTCGATGCGGATTCGGAAGGCGAGGTCATATCCGACATCTTTGAGTCGGCCCGATCTCGAGCAAAGGTTCAGGAGATCGAAGAAGATCAGGATAGTGCCGACGGCTCTGACGGGGTAGACGATGCCGGTGGTGTGGAAGAAGAAGTAGGCGGGCGATTCATCCCAAAGGACCGTCGAGAACCACTGGGGTGGGAAATGGAAGGAGAAGCGGCCGATCAGGAGTAGTGATTAGCATTCTTGGGGGTTCCCAAACTTAATTCGGCTCATTCAGTTACAGCACCTTCGCATGGTCAGGTTGGAATGTTTTATAGTCGGTTGTCTACGCAGCGCCACACCATCAGATTGTGTCGGCTGTTTTGTTCATTTTGGCCAGTCTATTTTTTTTATCATCGCAATCATTGGATATCATTCATTTACTGCCGCGTCCGCCTCGTCTGATGTAATCGCTTATGACCCGACATCGGTGGGAACATCGCTCGACCTTGCGCGCGAAGTCCCAATCCAGTGTGTGCTGCGGGTCGTGGCAAAGCATTGTTCCGAACCTTGATTTCGACGCAAAGTCTCTAGCCGAAACCCCACACACGCATACCAAGCAGATCTTGAATCTGTTCGTGCACCAGAGCTACACCAGTTTCCCCACGAGCTGCGCGCCGGTTTTCTCCAAATCGATCAATCTTTCGCCCATCGCCTTCATGCGGACTAGCGTAGACTCATGAATTCGTTCCGCAGCGCGAGCAATACGATGTCTATCCAATATACGGGAACTTATGATTCAGCTGGGGTAACATCTCGAAGCATGGGTAGGCACTCACGTGTTCTGCAGAATAGGCATCGAGCATGCCCATCCCTTGACCCTGATAGCCTCTTGCGCGGCAGTCAATCGCTCTAGCTGGAACTCGCAGCGACTCTCATGGGTATTGAGAATAATCTGGGTTCATTTTTCAAATTCTTCAGCTTCAGTCAACCGATTCTCGAACGCGTCTGCAGCGCACCTACCTCGACGATGCCGTGAAGTTGACTTCGGATACCGGAAGAGCGATCTTGATTGGCGAATGCCGACTTGAAGTTCATCCTGGCGGCGGTAGCGGGCTCGCGTCGAATCTTCTTGGATCTTCGCTCTTTGGTGATCTCAGATAGGGGACTGCTAGAATCGGGAGGAGCACTCGATGCTCGGACGTTTCGGCCTGCAGACTGTGGGCCAGCTTTGCTCTTGCGCTTCGAAGAGACCATAGGCTTGCTGCTTCGAGCCACGGCCTTCTTGGTACGATGATCAGAAATCTTGCTACGGCTCGAGATACCCGTATTCGAAAAGAATGGATCGTGCGAAGGAGCCTTCCATGTTCTCGCTAGACCACGGTGGCGACCGCGTTCCGATTGCGCAGCTGCGTCACGCTGAGCAGAGCTGGGGAGGCCGACTCGAGCGGGTTCAAAGCGAACTTGCGGAAGTGCCGTCGCCACCGTTACTGTGATTAGAGTAGATGTTCATACGTATTAGACTCGTATCTCCTGAGATCAACGAAGAGGTTTTATGCCAACTCACGAGGTGAAAGGGCGCGATGCCGGATCTGCTCATCGTTTGGTTGTCCAGACAGCGCGAACTCCTCGGCTTCGTGTATTGACTCGGTGCGGTCGTCCCGATCGCTTTCCGTGGGAGCGTCTGGGATCCCCACCTTCGTTTTGGCTTTTTCGTTGTCTATGAAATCAATGACATCTGTATGCTTACCACCGTCAATGTCCTGTTCCATCGCGGCCTCCTCTTCAGCATTGTAGAACATTCCATCACGTTGCGTGTGCTGAGGTGTCTCGCCGAGCACGTGATCCCCCAGCCTCAGTGGTGGAGGTGAAGGCGATCCAACGGAGTGGCTCGAGCTTTTGTCCTCATCTTGATCGGAGACTTCATGAAGCACACGCTCAAGATTCGACTTTGTCGAATGCGCTTTGTCAGGTGGAAGCTGTGCATAGGACTTTTCTCCTCGAGTCTCACCCGTCTTGTGGCCCTTGGAGAATGCACGTTCGGCCCCAGAAGTGTCTTCGGCGAGAGCGTTGGCAACAAAGCGGGTATCGAGGGCTGGGTCGAGCATCGTCGATTCTGTAGAGCGCGCACGCGCAACACGGAGGGCTTGCGGACCACCAGTGGCTCCCTTGACAGGGGTGTCTGCGGTCATCTCGGTTGCGGGTGCATGAGGCGGGGGATCCGTTGAAAAGTCGTGCTCCATGCCCCCCATGCCATCACTCTCGGAATGCTCCAGTCCATGTGTCTCTTTGATGTCGTGTACCGGCGCTTTGGAGGCGGAAACCCTTCCTTCGTCCTGCGGACCGACCTTCATTCTCTTGCTACGTCGAAGACTGGCCTTCTTAGCACTACTCGCGACGGCAGGTGAAGGTGCCTTGCGTTTCGAAGGTACCACGGCGGTTACGAACTTCTTCTTCTTCGGACCACTTTTCCCCGGAGATGGAAGCTGCATCCCCTTCAGCTGTTTAGCTTTGATAGGCTGACGATTGTTGAGCGGGGCCTCATCGTAATCGGTCGTTTCGCTACAAAATTGTTGAACTCGATGAGTAAGCCCCGAAGATGACAGACCGCCTGGACCAGCAAAGTCTACTTACTCGTCTTCCGTAGACTCTTTACTTTCCTCAGAGTCATTTATGACTTGCTTCATCTTCTTCGTCCTTCTTTTTTCGACTTTCTTCCGCGCTTTGGCCATCTTTTGCTTCGGCTGATCATGAGAAGGGCTTTGGACTCGAACGAGCTTGCGCGACGCCTTGGTAGCCAGTGCCTTCGAATTAGCTCGAAACTTGGCCTTGAGAGTTGAAGTGTCCCTCGGAGCGTCTGCATCGTCACTGTCCTCAGCAATATCCGAGAGCGAGGACATGCTTTTATCTTCTTCGACGGTTACCTCGACCCCGGCTTTGTTCTGATTCTTGCCCATCAGCTTGCGATCGCTCGATCGAGTGGTGCGCTTGCTCTCCTGAGGAGTGTCTTTCGTCTTCGAGTACTCCTGGATTACGGTGACTGCAATAGGCTGGGGCTCGGGTGCGTCGGATCTTGGACTTGAAGGGTGAGATCTCATTCTAGGGGCGTTGATCGAGGCATCCGTCCTGTCTTCGCCCTCTTCCGTCGATACCACCTGACTCTCTTCCTCGACGGGACCGGGATCTTCCACTGAACCACCTACCTCGACATCGATTGGAACTTGTGTTTTCGCCAGTGCTGGTTCTGCTGCACGTGTGTGAACGTCGTGAACCTCTTGAAGAGGGAGGAGGAACGAGGAGCTATTGTTCGAAGCTTCGAGTCCGGTCTGTGGCAAGTCCGCCATCTCCCGAAGTTCTTCGGCACGTGCTTGCGACTGCACTTTGCGTGAATCAAATGACTCGATGGGATCGTTTTCCTCTATTTTCGAGTCGAGTCCAGGGTTTCCGACCGGACCATCGGCTTCCATCGAGTCACCCCTGCCCATAGGGGCTTCGATCGCAACCGTCCTTGCGCGTGGCCTGCGAGAGGATCGAACGCCTTTGGGCCTATCGATCGAATCGGGGATCAAACTGGTACTGAAGGTCGCATAGCGCCTGCCTCGATCCGCGAAAGTGCCGCGAATGCGATCCATGACTTCTTGACGCCACTTCAGACGAACGACGAGCCCATATGAACCAGCGGATTCATCTTCCTCGACCACGAACTCGGTAGGGGGCATGTCAAACTCTGGAGCGCACGAGAGGCTAAAGGTTAGTACAAGCATGCCTGTGAATACCAGAGAGGTGTAAGACACAAGGTCAGTTGGCCGCACGTTTCCAACCGACGACGAATGAACCCATACCTGGCTCTGACGTGACATCAACATCAATAGCGTTGATGTTTTGGAGTGGAATGTATAGTTTGCGATCCTTCGGTGTCGAGGCAGACGAGGGTTCGGTGAGGTCCGTCGGGGTTTCGAACTCGGTCTCGAGAAAATCCTGAGCGATCCAGAAGAAGCGTGACTTGTCCCGCGTCACCAAAACTTGTCCGTCCAGAGCCAAGGTACTGATTTCGAAAGGCTGCGCTCTGTTCCACAAACTCGTCTGCGCTGATCAGGACCACGTTCATACGAAGACGCGTAGGGAGAGGAGATGACTTACCGCTCGTAAGATCCAGCCGCGATTATCGGTAACCACTTGTCACGTAGCTGCAACATCGAGCGCACCAGTCAGCAATTGATAAGGAGTTTCGACGTAAGTTGGCCCCGACTGCTGAGCTGCGATGCCCACCTCGTAGTAGTTGCCGCCGTTGAAGCTCAGCAAATCCTTCTGCATGCCGCCGTCTGGTCCGCCGAACTCCTTGCCACTGGAGGTCAGGGTCTCGATGTATGCGAAGCGCTCCTTCTTGCTGGCGGGTAGCAAGCGATACGCTAACTCGAAGATTGACACCGCCCAGAACCCGTCGCGGCTGTCTCGTATCATCTCGGACAGACCTTGACTGAGGTGACAGAATTTGTATCAGCGACGGTATCACAGCACTTTGGGCTCGGAGATGCTTACGCCGACAAAAGCTTAAGCAAGGCGTTCTTGTTGGGCCGATGCTTGCTGATGAGTTCGCACATGGTCTCCATCGCCTGAGATTCATAGGGTAAGGGTCGGCGCTCCCCTATCGTTCCGTGTGCACAGGATACGTGAAGCTTACCGCCGACTGTACAAGAGGGTGTACATGGTTCGCGAGGGGACGGAGTAAATTCGCGAGCGCCTCGAGCCAGAGTTCGCCAATCATCTGTCGGTCTGTGGGAGAAATGGCAAAATCAGTACCATCAGGTCTCTTTAAATTGAAAAATATTTGACCGACATGGCTGATTGATAACCGCTTTGCCCGCTTGATCCGTCTCGTTCGTGATGTCGAGATGTAGCTGGCGCCGATCTCGGTGTGCGCGTCAGTGACTGCGTACAAGGCCAAGGCTGACATCAATCTCACCTCGAGAGCCTCAAGGATGTTCGCAACAACCAGGTTCCACTCGTAATGTCGCTGCTTCAACTTCCCGGACTTGCTCTGTGCGCTCCTTCCTGTCTGATCGTCGCGAGACGCTGGTGCCCCTGGCGCAAGCTTGACGTGAACGAGGTGGGTCATCACCGCACGAGCGGTCTCGAACATCAACCGAGCGTCGTCATCATCCGCTGGACGCTGTCCCGGGTACAACGACTTGAGAGATGCAATCAAGGCATCGATATCGAATGGATCAACATCCGAAGAGCTCTGTACAGGAAAGATACAATGCGGTGGAAGCCCAACATAAGCACGTCAGCGTGCCTCCCGCGAAGATGTGGGGTAAATTGGCGGGCCCGAGAAGAGGAGCTTCAAGCTGGGCTGCGGCCCCGCTTGAACAAGTTGAGTTGGAGATTGTGACGTTGAACAGCTGGTCTCACGATCACTCGGGTGACTCGTTCGCTGCCTTGGGACCGGACTGTGCAACAACAGGCTTCTGCAGATACTCCACTTACCTCATGCTCCAGTAGGCTCTCCAGCAAGGGTCGGAGTTTGATGAGCCGTTGCACCGCCAGAGCGCGCGCGTCATTGACATTATTGACATCTGGCGTCACCTGAGGCGTCGCGTCGAGGTGGTGCCGATCGAGCGCTTGCAGTCGACGAATGATGGCAGCGAGGTCGCACGAGTCGTCGCTCATTCTGGGCGCTTGAGTTGTATTTGACGTGGTAGCTAAATGGGACGTGCTGCGAGCTTGCCGATGTCGTTGATGGGGTGTTGGACGCGGCGTAAGCGGCGTAAGCGGCAAGAGCCTGAGCCTGAGCGGATCGGAAGATCCAAACGAAGCGTGTGCGCTCCAGCTCGCACGAGCCCGCCCCGCCTTGCCCACTCACTCCGCCTACTCTCCCCACTCAGACATTATATATGGTGCATAAGAAAGATGCGAACGCGTTACAAGGGTTGCAATTCGTGATAGGTCTGCTCTGCTCAACAATCACATGCTTGGCTTACTACGACACATCAGTTCCCAATCCAATCAGTCAATCGTAAACTTCACTCAACGCTTCCGTCACACGGTCGCATGGTCGTCTTCAAATCTTTCGAGGTATCGGGCATACAGACTCGTAGCGAACGCCGGTCGCTGTGAGAGAAAGAATGCATACTCCCGAGTCAGCACTGAAAGCTCAACTATCAGCAGCGGTTTCCCTCGAACACGGCGCACCTGGATCAATTCATTCAGCGCTTTGATGAACTGTTTTTGATCCAGCGGCTCCTTCTCGTGTACACCGAGGCCAATCTGCGCTTTCTGGGCTGCAGCATCCACGACCTCCAAGGCTTCAGCTCGGTTCACACGCGGCGACGAAGCGACCATTTTCGCATCCGAAGTCGATGGAGGCACGGCGGGCGAGGCGGCCGCGCGAGGAGGTGCAGTGTCCGACGGCTTCGGCTTGGACTCGGAAGCATTCGAGGGCGTCGAATTTGTCGAGGTGATTGATACTCTGATCGACTCTCGAGTCTGAACGGGCTTTTCAGCGGCGGGAGTAGTGTCCGGTGTACGTGGTCGAACGGGTGCGACTTCAGCGTGATCGGTCTTCGGGACTGAGCTGTCCGCCTTCTGCTTCGGTCTCGACCCGATGGGGGGCAGACTAGCAAACACGTCGTGGCTCAACAGAGGAGCCGAGAAGAGGGACTTAATCGCCGGGTTGGGCAAGGTCGCAGATGCCTCGGCAGCTGGCGTGGTCCTGGTGGGAAGCGCCCCGGCTTGTGCGGTCGGCGAGGAAGAAGGCACGGCAGCGGAAGCGTGAGCGGTGGGTGCCGGCGCTACCGCTGGCGAGGGGTCGGTGGACGAGGCAGTAAGGATAGAGGGAATCGCTGCAAGAGATTTGGGTTTGGTGTCACTACCAGCTGGCTTTGTAGCCGTGGACGGCTTTGCAGAGTGACCCAGCATCGCGAGAAGATCCCCAGCGTCCTGCGGTTTTGCTTGTGTCGTCGGAGGAGTTGCGGCAGGCTGCCAAGGAAGAGAGATACACCGATATGGGAAAGGTATAGCGAAGTTAGCAAGATGGCCAGTTCAACGGACATTACAGCACTCACTGGAGCCAATGCGGACTTGAACAGCGTGTCGAGCAGATTGATACCCGACACGGGCGGCTGACTGGAGGCTGGCGGCGATGCCGGTTTCGGAGGCGATCGAGACGCTGCCGATGCCGCCGAGGACGCAAAGAGCATGTTGAGGGTCGAGGGGGTTCCTTTTGGGAGAACAGCAGGCGCGACTTTGGGCGAGGCAGCTGGCGAACGGGTGGAGTTATTCGCCGAGTTCGAGGGTGCGACGGAGGCAAACAGAAAGTCGAGCGGAGAGGCCCTCACAGCCACGGCAGGAGCTTTGGCTCGAAGTCGTAACCTACAGTGGTGAGATGGCTGCATCAGCACCTTTAATCGACCGTGTACCTGCACTGAACGCTCCAGATGAAAGCGCTCACTCCTCCATCCTACGGCACAGCTCGATCCGATCCTTCTCCTCGGCGACCCAGATTCCCGTAGCGCGATCTGTTCATTGAAGCTGGATCTCAGGTGTCACAATTTCTGCCGATTAAGGCAAGTCAACGTACCAGCATCAGGACGGGGCTCGTAAAGAATGAACTCGCCGTCGACGGTGACGTCGGACTCTTCGGTCAGGAACTCCCGCGTGTACTGGAGGCCCTGTCGGTTCAGCACGAAGAACCCATACAGCGGGGCTTGTGATCTGCGAGAAGTGAGAGAAGATTGAGGTCAGCACTAGTTCATGGACGGCTCAGACGATGCCCGGCTCGACATGAAACGGCGTGTGGCGACTGACCGAGAGAAGAGGAACATGGGGCCTTCGATACCTGTCTTGATCTGTGGACCCAAGCATATCACGCATATTTTTTCGTGTTGTCAATACGAGCAGACTAGGAATGGTGCGGAGCTTGCAGCTCGCGACGCGGGCGGATCCACCACAAAGGATCCCGCCCCGGGTGCGCTCTGACGAAGGGGCACGCACCCATTCGGCGCCGTCATTGTAGTATACCGTGACATAGGACGTGCTCGAGACGATGTGTTCGATGGTTGGGTCGTGGCGTTGCAGGTTGCGCAGGTTGATTTCGGCTTTGGTCGCCTCAATTTTGGCCAGCATCGACATCGGGAGTCTGGTCTCTCCGTGAGGGTGGAGGCGGGAGGCGAGACCTGGCAGAGTGTTTCGGGACGTGATACTTCTTGAGGGTCCAGCAGGATCCGAGATGGCTTGATGTGAGTAGAATCGTAGGTATTGATGGGATGGAGGATCAAGGAGAACGACGAGGCGCGAAAGTCCCGCTCAACCTTGCTCCCCCCACATCTACACGGGCAAGCACGGGCAGTTTCTGGCAGTTCTACAGCTGCAGGCGGGCGGCCGTAGTGCGAATCTGCGCCGCTTCCGAGTTGCCGGCCCTCAGGTAATTAAAAGTGACCTGCCCGGGTCGGCCGTGACCGCGATCGATGCGCTGCCTGCCCCAGCAATTCACTGTTTGCCCGGCTCGCGCCAGCTGCCGGTTGGCAGCGCGGGCGCGGCGGTGGCAAGCGGTTCGGTCGGTGCCTCTCGGAGCCTCTCGAGCGACCCAACCAACTTTTCTGGATTTTTCAATCCAATACAACACTTCCATAACCACAAATTCCCAATTATCTAGTACTTCTAAGCACTCCCTCTTTCACTTGTTCGGAAATTTTCTGATCACTACATGTGCTATAGCGCGATAAGGTCTTGAAATGATGATCTCGCTCCCTCTCGCGAGCGAGCGAGCGAAACCAACGGCCAACTGTTGCTTGCGCCGCTGCTCCTGTCGCTTGCACATCCTCACTCCACAAGACGGACCGGTTGGCTCTCGAAGACACACGGTACCTGCTCCACGCCGATTGCTGATCATCTCTCACCACACGACACGCTCTTGTCGCACACGCGTTGGTGATCGGGTTTCGGTGTCGGGGCCAGAAAGTGGTTAGTCGCGGAGAGTGGACGGACTATTTGTCGGAGTAGCATGGCTTGGCTGACACCCAGAATGGACGACGTCGACCGACCCCGACGCCTCCCCTCCCCTCAGCTCCTTGCGGCCTCAGATTCACCTTGTCAGGCCCAGCACGAAAGGCATGTCGGCACAGTAATCAAATCATCGACCCCTGCTCCCCACAACGTGACTCGACCTTTGATCTCGACGTCGACCGGTCCCGTTGCTGGCTTTTGAGCATGAGCATCGACTCACAGGCGCAGCGTCGCCCTCAGGCGCGTCGGGCAGCCCCTTCGCGCCGAGCCGCGCGCATCCCAAACGAGCTCGAGCTGGAGCGCGAGCCTCCACCGCTGCCGGTGCCGCCGCCGCCGCTGCCGTCGCCGAACAACAACCACAACCACGGGCTCGGGCCGTCGTCGTCGACTGCGTTGAGCCCGAACTCGAGGTCAAATTCGTTCTTTTCGTTGCCATCACCGCCATCAACGGCCATGCTCGTCACCATCGTCTTGCTGGTTTCGACGGGGGCCGTGCTGTACGTGTCGCTGCAAACGCGCTTGAGGTATCCGGCTGCCACGCGCCCAAGTACCAAAACGGGCCGACGGAAACAGCAGAATCTGGTCAAGGCCGTCGCTGCAGCGCAGCAAGCGACAAGAATAAAATCGGGCACCACTACGAGTCAGACTACTTCGGCCTGTAGTGATATTGGCGCAGGACCGCTCATGAATGCCTCGAACTCGACGACGACGACGACGACCGCGACGACGGACGACGTCGGCAGTGGAGGTCCGAACCGAGTAGGGGATCCGACGCGGAACCGAACCGAAGACGAAGCAAGGATCAGCGATTCGGAAGCCACGACCGAAGGCTGGATCCCGGCATGCGTAGCCACCGCGTTCGTTTTGATTGCTTCGTCATTACCCTGGAGTCGGATACCGAGGGTTTCGACGCCTTCCCCTGTCGACCAAATCGCCCCAAGCCCGCCCCAAGTCACGAATGCGCGATCCGAAGACGTCGGGGCAGCAGACCGATCATCCTTGTCGCCGCCGAAACAGAGGCCATCTCCGGGTTCGCCAGGACGAAAGTCGTCTAACCGCAAGGGAAAAGGCGGTCTTACCCTAGCCTCGTTGTCCGGGCTGGCCACTTTATCACCAGGTCCGTCTCCGCATCGCTCGACTTTTCCATCGGTGCCGCCGACATCCGCATCCGAGGACGCAGATGCCATCACTACTCCACGCGAAGGCAAGAGCGACGGACCGACACCACCCATCATCACGATTGCCGCCAGTTCCCCCAAAGACCTCGAGGAATCAGGCTCGAGCTCGACGCGAGGGCGGTGGCCCACAACGCGACCTGTCTTGTGCGATGCTGAGGTACAAACCTCCCCGATACTAGGCGCGATTGCGGCGTCCGAAGGTTCGACACTCGCCAATTTCGAAGACCTGGACGTGATGTCAGAAGGCACGTCACTGCAACTTTTCGACCCCAATGGCCTCAATCTCCACACATCATTCGAGCACACGCTGCAGCTCGGTCAAAGGCAATTTGGCCCCGCCCCAAACTCGGACAGGTCCTCTTCTCCGATCGACGCCACCGTCGCCTCTCGCGCAGATTCGATCAATTTCGGGACAGCACCTCCTTCTCCTTCGACTGCTCCCACAACCCCGGCGACGACACATTCCCAGCTTCGTCGTCCGAAAAACGGTGCGCCGCGGAGCATAGCCCTGGAGAGCACTGGCACTGTGAGTCATGTACTTGAGGCTCTAACTGAGTTTTATTTTGGTTCAACCGACTGATCTGTTTCTGATGATCTCAACCTTGACTCCGCAGACGGACTATAGCGGAAGCAGCCAAGGCCCGGAGAGTAGCAATGGCGCTGGGAGCGCACCGTTGAGCCCAGTTCATGCTGGCCCAGTTCATGCTGGCCCAGCTATCTTAACCGTTCTCGATCTCGACGCAAGGTGGAGCCGAGGCCGAGATGGCACGAATCAGGCTTCACTCTCCGGCTCTCACAAACACTCCAACAATGGGCATACAGACTCCACCCACACCACAACCTCCTTTCCTCCCGACGACCGACGACCTCCGCCCTTGTCTCGGTCCATGTCCTCACCTAGCACACCATCATCGGAAACGCGCCGAGCCGCCGGAGGTAGCAAGCCATCGTCCCATCGCAAATCCCCGAGCGTCGTCAACGGCGCCGGTCGACAATTGCGACTAGATGACCCTTACTGGAAGACCGGGCAGATGGGCCTTGCGATCGATGGCAGCTCTGCTGGAATGGCGACACGAGGACCCCTGTTCCGCTTACCTTCGGACATTGTTCATCACGACTCGCCGAAGCTGGCTCGTGAGGACGCAGGCGCGGGTCCTGGGGGATATTGCGGCCCCAACACAACCACAAATCGCCCTGACTATGTTTCGTCTTCCGAATGGGCAAGTCCCCACTCGTCTCCAGCTCCGAAGCGCTCGCAACCCTCCCGGTCCGCCCAGCAACACGCCTCTGCTTCCGAAGACTGGGAGGCTGCCGACGGTCGATGGCCACCGTCCGTGATCACGTCCGGCCTCGCTTCAAGTGGCGGTCAAGCCTCGGCGCCCCCGGGCCAAAACCAGCATTTTGGAAGCAATGGCGGTGCGACACAGTTGGAAACACAAGCTGCTGCCTCACGGCAGCCGGCAGGTTCGTTCGGCTTCTCTCCAATCACGCCTTCTCAGGCCACAACGTCGACTTACCCGCCAGGCTATCATCTCATGGCCGGCCACAACAACTATGGAGTGGCTGTTCATCCTTCGCCGCTTTCTTCGCCGAGCGTGCTGCAATCGATGGCTCAGCAGCAGCAGCAACAACAGCAGCAGATGCAGCAGCAGATGCAGCAACAGATGCAGCAACTCCATGCCCAGCAGACGTTTCAGCAAGCGCAGGCGCAGGCGCAGCATGTCTTGGCACTTGAAGCGCAAGTTCATCAGCTCAGTTTGCGACACCAGCAGCTCTCACAGATCGAGCGGGCACGACTGGAAGCGGAACAGCACGAACAGCACCGTTCGATCCTTCTGGCCCAAGCAATGGTCGATGGTCCCCTTTCCCCAACCGCATCCACGACCTCGAATACCGCGTCTGCTGACCAGATGCACGCCCCGACCCTGCATTCAGGAGCAACCGCCGCCACGCCCAAGACGCCCGTAGATGCCCTCGTCTACCCGATCTCGAGCTCGTCGAACGGATCCAATTGGACTCCGCCGTTGATCGGATCAGCGACATCCACTGCGTTCCCCAGCTCGTCCTTGCTGCTGTCTCCAACTTCGACATTCCCGTCGACGTCGATCGGAGCGTATCCAGCTTCTTTGAGCGCTGCACCTGCTTTCTCCAACGGACTGGCCTACAGTATGCCGCACCTTTTCAACGCGCAAACGGTCGCGAGCATGAGCGTGCTGTCAGCCTCGATCCAGCACCAGCAGCTGCGCAGCGTCCTGCCTACGCCATCGATTCCCCAGCGGCCGAACAACCAACGACGCATGTCCTCCGGTCGGAATGGGAACGATCGCAATCGCTCCACTTCCAACGCAGCAGGTCTTTCCGCTTTCGCCTTCTCGAATACCGACCGGTCCTCGCTCGAGTGGCAAGAGGCCTTCAGGTCCAAAGTCAAGGCAGTTGAAATGGATGCAGAGCGGACTGCCAAGGAGCTGGAGATCGCTCGCTGGCGCTTGATCGTGCTCGAGGAAGAGCAGCACAACCTAGAGGTCGAGGTAGGATCATTGATTAAGTGCAGGTTTTTACGATGTCGCATCTTACTCATCCGATTTGTGACGTTTCCAACCCCCCCCCCCCCCCCCCCTCCGGTTGAACAGAACCAAGAAGCGCTACGGGCACTGGCGAACCGAGCAATGCGAGCAGAGGCAAGACTCAAGGCCATCGACAACAGTCGCCACGAAGCCTCGTCGACGTCGGAGTCTGGCTCTCCCAAGGCTCAAGCGTCCAGCTCGACGGTGACAGAAATTGGTGTCAGTGCGAGTCGCCGCAAGTACAGCGCGGAGCATATGGGTGATAGCCAGGTGAGTGGAGACGAGCACGCTTCTTTGCTCGTGTATCGGAACATCCGTGCTGACTCCACAGCCCATCCCGACGCGGCATAGACGCATCCCTTGAGCTACATCGATCTTGACTCGGTTTCCTTCGGAGTCACCCCGCTGCCTTCGACCCACTCGAGCCGCCCGCCGCTCTCGAACGAACGTCGCCGCAGCAGTCGCCGAACATCGGATCCCTCACTCCCCGGAAAGCAGCAGCGACGAAGCAGCCAGAACAGTCGTCGTCGCTCCACAACCACTTTCCCCAACACCCACCAAGCGGATGCCGCCGACGGCCCCGACAACGATGACGATCTCGTTATCGTGCTCGACACGCCGACCAGACCGCACAGGCTCGTGTCACGACCCGACCAGGCGTCATACCCTACCGCCTTGGCCTCATCATCGTCTAAAGGTGGCGCTGAAAGTTATCGCGAAGGCGAGTCTCTGACGCTGATCGACGAAGACCAGGCTTCTACTATCGACGTCGACGACTTCGGAGGACCGCGCACTCGAGCCAGCAGCATCGTCGAGACCATCTCCGGTCCTGGGTACATTGGTTCGCTCCCAACTTTCCTCTCGCCGCGATGGGCGCCTCCCGGAGGAACTTTGCCTTTGATTCCAAATCCCGGCGGCTCAGGCAAGGAGTCACCCAACCTCGGCTCCAGTAGTGACTCTAGCTTCGACATTAGTCCGAGGCGTCGCATTGAGGCCCTGCCCGAAGAGCCAAGCCCCCCTCAGCTGGACCACCAACAATCGACAACGAACTCGTCGACGCCGCTTTGCACACAGGACGCCTCCGATATCCGGTCATCAGAGCTTGATGCTCCGGATGGTGCTGTGAAGGACCAGACGATTGGTCAGTTCGCCCATCCCCGCGCCTTCATCGAGCGACATGACTCGAGCGAGCGCACACCACGTGTCGGAGCAGGCGACCCTGCTTTCTCCGCCGTGCCGGATGCGATTGTGGAAGCTCGACCGACGGGTCCTTGAAGGGCCGTCGGCTTAATTCTTATCCACCTTTTCCCAAGTCGACATCCCCTCGGTCCGGCCACAGCAGTGGCGTTTTCCTACCCTCGCGGGCGACCATTCGTCTTGCAATCTTTCGTTCGACGATCCCGCAACTGTGCTCGTGTTGTAAAATTGTTTTACCCCTGCAGTAAGACCCGAGAACAATATGCAACCGCAATATACACACTTTTTTGACCTTTGAAAGCATTACCCCGTTCTTCGTTGGGAACCTTTTAAGCTTGCCTGCGGAACATTTCTCTCGCTGTGCCGGAGGTACACTTCGCACGTGCCACTTACTATATTGACGCTTTCGCTTGATCGCAAAGGCGCAGCAAGAGCGGACAGAAATCAAAAATAGTGACGTTTCAATCAACAAGGACAACATAGAAGATCTATAAAAATAAAAAAAAAGGACAAAAGATGAACGAAACCGAGAGACTCTACGAGCGTTCACCTCTGAGACGACGAGCGAGCTGGATGTCCTTGGGCTGGATCGTGACACGCTTGGCGTGGATAGCGGCCAAGTTGGTGTCCTCGAACAAGGAGACGAGGTACGCCTCGGCGGCCTCTTGCAGCGCACCGATCGCCGACGACTGGAAGCGAAGATCGGTCTTGAAGTCCTGCGCGATCTCACGCACGAGACGCTGGAACGGCAATTTGCGGATCAAGAGCTCGGTCGACTTTTGGTAACGACGGATCTCACGAAGAGCGACCGTTCCGGGCTTGTACTATGGGGCAGGGGAGGGAGAGGATAGGCAGCGGTCAGCAATGGTGGTTCGAGAGTAGGCGACCGATGGGGATGAAGCGGTCCGAGCGCAACAGCGGCTACGCGCGAGTTATGCCATTTTTCACTCCCCGCCGCGCTCGCCTTCACCATCGATGGTGTTGAGAGCGACAGAGAGCGACGATGCGTAGACCAGACCAAGTAGAACATCAACTCACGCGGTGAGGCTTCTTGACACCACCGGCGGCGGGCGCCGACTTGCGGGCGGCCTTGGCGGCGAGCTGCTTGCGGGGCGCTTTGCCACCGGTAGACTTGCGGGCGGTTTGCTGTTGAGAGAAAGAGAGTAGGCAAGTCAGCATCTCTTGTCAAAGTGGCTACGGGTCATCGCGGTGCGGGGGCCAGGGTGGGTCTTGGTGGTGGCGGTGATGTCGTCGCTCAACTTCACGATCAGCCGGGCGAGACTGAAACGCGCGCGCGCGCCTAAGCTCACGCCGCCGCCGAGTCAGAGCCGAGGAGCTTCGGGACGCTCGTTGCCGAGTCGACCACAACACACGCCAGTCATCCCAACCCGAACCAGGAGCAGCCGCACCGCCACCAGCCCCATGGGGGTGCAGCAACAGCAATGACAGCCTCGATGAATGCAGGTGCGATGATCCGATTGTTACTACATGATGTAGTGGGTGCAGCGGGTGCAGATTCGGGCGTCGAGGGGAAGCGGGATAGTTGCATGCGCTACGACGTACCTTTGTGCGAGCCATGGTGAGGGATGTGAGGGGGAGGAAGGAAAGAGTCGTACAGGCGGAGACAGCGAGGGTGAACGTGGTGGCAGAGCGAAGAAAAAAACGGGCACACAGCCGTGGCTGGTTTCGAACGCTTTGAGCGTTCGTAAGCCCTGTTTGACGCCATTCGGGGGCGGCACCTAACTCGAGGCAAGTCAGCGGCGGCAGTTGCTTCCCGTTTCGAGAGCTGAGCAGCGATGTCGAAAGTCGACGGGAGGGCAGCGCGCGAGCAAACCGTCTAGTCGGTCGCGCGCGTAAGGATCGAAGCCGGCTAGGCGAGCTCGAGACGGGAACGCCGGCCGTGCGCGCACGCTGCCAGGCGTAGGCCGGCGCTGAGGCGAGCTCGGTACTTTCATCGAGTCGGTGGTCCAGTGCGATAACATTTTTAAAGGCGCAGGCAGGTGTCGACAGAGCTTTCAATCACTCGAGACTTGTTTCCACAACCTAAAGAGCTACGAGTACTCTTTTTGGTGTCGCTTGTGGTCAGGGAAGCTGAACACGCTCAGTAGCACTAGCCGGCAGATCTTTGTGGCTCCAGCCGTTCTTGGAGTGACTTTCCCTCGACAAAAGAGTGCCTGCAGTGGACTGGGCACGGACGCTGGAGAATACGCTGCACTTTGAGTACAACATTTTGAGTGAATCACTTCGACCCTTAGTAGTAAAATTAGAGTCGCCTCGCACGGGCTCTTATATCCCAAGACCGAAGGTTGCATGATCTACTCTGCGCACTTAGGTCCTCGGCGTTCGTACTTCCCGGCGTGTTCATGCCACATTGCCACTGCTCGAGCTCGCTCTAAATCACCCTTCTAAATTCGACAGAGCTGGGCTCACGACCTACCTATCTGCATCTATTACGAGGAGCTCTGCTCGTAACATCGCCCTCGTCCGATTTCGAAGCTCTTGGAACATAGCAAATGCCTGAGCGCTCGCAGCGAGCTCGCTGGTTGGCCGCCGCTGCCGGCGAGATCGCCTTATCGCTATCAGCGGATCCGGCCCGAGCGCAGATCAGGCCAAGCCCAGCCTGTCGAAGTTCTGTACAGGGTTTTGGGGTCATCGGTACAGTGTGAGGGCGATCCGTCGAGGTCCAGGCATGAGAGCAGATGAACGGTAACGGTATATCCCATCCTTGAATATAGCCTACACAGATGGCAGCAGCTTCGGGCTGTCCCGTGTTTCTCCGGCGCTTTCGATCGGAAGAGCAAGCGATCTAAGCCAAGAGCTCTTCGCGATAGAGGCTGAGGAGCGCTGAGGTGCTTATAGGCGGAGGGCCGAGCTGGGCCAAGGGCGGCAGGTCGCTTGAGCTGTCGGGGCGATCTACATCCTTCTGTCGTTCCCCTACCCCCCACCAACCTCACAAGATCGGTACCTGTACGTCTCGGTTGAGCGTGGACTTCTTCCCCATACCTCGGCTGTAGACTGTAGACAGAGGCAGAGTTCTCGAACCAGAACTGACGAGCGTGTGGCTCCGTCCCCTCTCGATTTCGTCATTATCGCTGGACCGCTGGACTTCCCTTCGGCCTCTCAAGATCTTAAGCGCGGCGCCGCCCTTTCGCCTTCTCACAAAAAGCCCCTCTCACCGCACCTTACCCAGCCCACAAGTCGCCGCAACCATGGGACTTTTAGATAAGGTCAAGGAGAAGCTCGGAGACGGTTAGTTTTTGCTCGATCGCTGTGCGCCCTCAATAGCCCGAATGCGCTGTCACTCCATGCCCAGCCCCGGCCCTTATCGTCGTCGGGTTGGTCATCGGCCTTGCACTACCTGGCTGGCCGGGATCTTTCAAACTACCGCCAGCATGCACTTACATCGAATTCACTCTTTTCTCTCCATTCCGGACGACGGTTTTGGTGGACTTGCCCCTGTGCGCACATTCGAATGACGTCGACTTGCAGGCCACGCTCACTCAACCCCTACCGCCGACGACACTCAAGAGCGTGGTCGTTTCATGGCCAGCACTGGACGTGGTGAGTCGTACAACACTCCGCAGTCATGACCAAGACCGTGTGCCAACCCCACCATGTGTGACGCGCTTTCTATCCAGGTGGAGCCGGCAACATGTCTCGCTCTCGAGCTCGCCAGGCCGACGAGTCGCCCGAAGTGATCGCCGCAGCCCGATCTCGATCGCAGTCACGCTCGCGTGCAGCCCATCACGGTCACGACCCCCATGTTGCTGCTGGTCGCGGAGGAACGGGGAACGTGCGCTCCACTTCCAAGAATGCCGAGTCGCGCGAGCGTCAAGCCGCGCTCGATGCCGAGGAGCGTGTAGTCGAGGAGAAATACGCCGCTGAGCACGCCGGCGAAGAGCCAGTGCATGGACGAGGTGGACTCGGCAACATCCCTCACCATGCCCACCACAACGAGCCAGCATGATCCAACGGGCATATCTTTACTGGCGTGGAAGCAAACGGATACCCACGGCGAATCTTCTCCCCTTCCTCTCTTCCGGTTCCCCCCCCCCGTTCTCGCCCTTGCTCTCGCCCCTCTCCCCCCCTTTTCTATTCCTAGTTCCCTCCTGCCTAGCCTGTGAATAACCACTACATCCCTACATAATTCCTGTAATCACCCATCCCCCTTTGCTCCCTCTTTGTCGCACGGCCCTCGGTTGCATCAGACACCGTCAGCGCTGTGGCCCGACGAATGAACGTGAAAGGGTTCATCGAAAAGGATCGGAAAGCACCATTATTAAGTTTTGCCTGCTATGAGTCAGTTTTTGTTTGCCTCGGGTCGGTCACGCTGGAGCCAGAGCGCGGACGACCCGGCGAGGACACGGCCCGTCTTTACGCCGGCCGCTGGTGCCGGCATTGGGTGTCTTGATCCACCCTATTAGACATCGTCGATCCTCTGAAACTGCTTGTTGGGCTACCCACCCTCCTCCTCATTCAGCAAGCACGTCGGCGCTTCACTCTTGACTCCTGCAGCCCCCACCCCCACTCGGTGCGAAACCGGCCCAGATCGCGGAGCCGCCGTCACACGGGCAGTTGAGTACAGCGTCTGTCGCCCCTGCGCACGTCTGCATATATATGCATGCCTGTGCACATCGGTGCATGTATTTGCATGCCCCTCTCTGGTTCATCCATCATTTCTGCACGACATCGCACAGCTATGCAAGGCTCGTGCGCTGGGATTGCATCGGTGTTTCGCGACCTGCTGCGTTGCCAACCCCACTGGATAATCATTTACATTTTCTACATCCTCACGATAGGTTAAATGGCTTCATCCTCAAAGAAGCCATCTCCAACCTCGCTCGTACAACCTACTGCTCGAGAACGGTAAGTCAGCCAGCTTGTGGTGCGACGTGGCTGCCCGCGCCGGTCGATCGGTTTCTTGAGCTCGAAGACCCGAAGGCCCCGCTGACCAATCCGTTGCCTCACACGCGCCCGGCGCCCGCCCCTGATTTTGTTGCTTTTGTTTTTGCTCCAGACCTGGCAGAAGCCACTTGATTACTATCCCTACCAATTACTACTCTGGTGCGCGTGTTTGTCGCTCTCTTTTTGTCCATGTTCTGTCGTAGATTTTTTGACGGCCCCACTCGGGGCACACTGGTTGGCCGCCGAGTTTAGTGCGGTTTTCTAAGCTTTAAGTTTATCCAATGGGACGGCACTTCATTATTAATAGCGCCGGCCGTGCTGCGAAACCGGCTCGTGACTCAAGCCGACGGATCCATCGGTTCACCTCTTTCTCCCATCCCATCCCAAAGCAGAGATATACCTCTGCTCGAGATAACATGGACTCTGCCGGCGTACCACCGATACCCACTGGGACCACAACGGCATCCTCGCTGGCTCTGAGTCACGCCGATTCGGCGACTGGAACTTGTCTGGATGTCGACGTCATCATCTCCGCCGCAAACCCCGTCCCGGGCGTAGTCGCAGAATCGATGATAGCGGCTGCAGAACACGCTTCACCGGGGCAAGATTACGACTCTACCGTAAAACCCGAAGTCGATCAAGATGGAAAGGTCGGTACAACGCGAGGCCATCAATTGCTGGTCGACGCGACCCAGCCCTCGGAGTCTGAGTTAACCGCCACGATCGATTTGAACCATAATGAGCACGAGAAAGCCGTCGGCACCTCGGGAACATCGCCTGACGCCTTCAATGCCTCTTCACGGCCACTCACGCCCCAGCTTGGCAAGGCAGCCAACATGGAAGACGACGAAGTGACCGTCGTCGGGCGACCCCCCTCCCTGCCCGTCACCCATGTTGCCGAAGACCCAGAGCCGCCACGTCGACCGCCTGCCGAGCAACTCGATATTGAGCATCTCGAAGTCACGAATGACCCGCGAGCTTGGTCGACCAGGAGGAAAAACCTCATCTTGGTTTGTATCGCTTACAATGCCGCTGGCGGGCAACTGTCGTCGTCGATCTACTTCCCCGCTTTGAAATCGCTTCAAGCCGATCTCAACGCCAGCGACTCGCTCGTGGCCGCGTCGGTGTCCTTGTTCATCCTAGGGCAAGGTGTGACCCCCGTCTTCTGGTCCGCGCTAAGCGAGATCAAGGGGAGAAAGACATGCTACATCACGGCCATAATCATCTACCTGGTCGCGACGACGGTCTGTTCTCGAGCCGACAAAATCGGCGTATTCGTGGCCATGCGATTGCTCCAGTCGCTCGGAAGCGGGGCGCCACTATCACTCGGGGCAGGCACTTTATCCGACATATTTGATGTTCACGAGCGCGGTACCAAGATTGGCTTCTTCTATGGTGTACCTCTTCTGGCGCCCTCGCTCGGTCCTCTTCTTGGTGGCGCCCTCGCGGAAGCTGGCTCATGGCGGACAACGTTTTATTTTCTCATCGGCGTGAGTGGAAAGGGCGACTAGACCAACTTCCCGGCTGGTGTACTGAGCTTGATCCATACCACGTTGTCCCACAGTACGGTGTCATTTGTTTAATGACGATGATTTGGCTGTCAGTCACATTCTACTTCGACTTGAAGGGGAAACCTAGCGGGACTGATCTTACACCATGGTCCGCCTCTTCTCCTTGCAGTCCGGAAACATTCCGCAGAGAACGGTCCTTAGCTTGGCGGTTGGCAATGAAACGAGCTAGAGCCCACGCCAAAGCAAACAGGCTCAAAGCGGAAGCAGCGTTGCCCAAGAACGACACCCTTCCTCTCACTCGAGGGCCGCCACAAACCTCGTTCGCGCCCGGCCCCCAACGGTCGAATGGACCGACTGCGCTCACGAGGGTCATGACCGCGCTGAGCGGAAGGAGCGGCGACGACAACGTCAAAATCCACCTCAGGGATATCAATGTAAGTCAAAGAAAGCCCACCGTACCGTACCGTAGGGCACCTATCTGACTCGCGCATGACTCCTTTTCTGCCCAGCCATTCGCCGCCACAGGGGCTGTCCTCGCCCAGAAGAACAACTTTATCTCAATTGCGTTCAGTGGACTGGTGCGTGCGACGTCCGGCCCTCCTGGAGAGATGCACATAGCTTTCCCTTCGTCCTCTGACCGGCGCCTTCCCATCGAACAGCTATTCGCCTCCACGTATTGCATCACTTTCACCATTTCGAGGACCTTCGCGGCGGCGCCGTACAATTACAGCGCGCTCAAGACAGGACTGGTGCTGCTTTGCTTGGGCACGGGCAACTTTATCGGATCTGTACTCGGTGGTCGGTACTCGGACTACGTGTTCAACAAGCTGAAAGCGAAGAGCGGGGGAAAAGGGTCCCCCGAAATGCGCATCAAGTCGACGCGGCTCGCGATGGTGCTTGTACCGTGCTTCTACATCGTCTACGCGTGGACCGTGCAAAAGCGGACCAACGCCGCCGGCCCTCTGGTCGCACTCTTGTTCCTCGGCCTTTCAATCATGGTGCTTTACTCGAGTCTGTTGAGCTATGTCGTCGATGCGAACCCGGGTCGCTCGAGCTCGGCCGTGGCTTGCAACTCGCTCTTCCGAGGCGTGCTGGCGTGCGTCGCTTCGCAGGTCGCGGAACCCATCATCGGGCATATCGGGAATGGCTGGTTCTACACGGGATTTGCTGTGTTACTCACCGTTGGATCTGTCGCGTTGCTGTATGTCGGGGCCAATGGCCAGAGGTGGAGGGAACGTCAGCTGGAAAGAAGCGTTCACGAACTGGACCCATCACGGACCAAACCGTGACCGCTGTCCGAGGAGCGCTCGAGTTTTACGACCTTTTTCGTCTTGCTTTTCATACATGTGACTGTTAGCAATTGCATATTATCAGTCCTGCTCTTTGTAATTTGTAATGTAAGAAACATCTCTTCCAGAACAAGGGGATGACTCAATTTGAAAAGGCACGAGCCGATCACCTTCGATCGCACTCGATCGATTGCTCTCGCGCGCACCTCGGCCGCCTTATGAGGCACAATCTCCCGAGTCGAGTCGGCGTGCAGTGTTACAACTAGCAACCGTGTAAAATGTGCGCCTCTGATATGTGCCATTACGATCTGTCGTTCTTGACCGCTTCGCTAGCTTCAAGGCTGAGTTGGCAACCTTATATTACCACTGCTTGAACTCTTGAAGCTACGCGATATCGGGAACAGGTCACGTGTTCAGTGTAGCTTGCAGCCTGCGCAGTAGACGACTACCCTTTTGTGCACACGTATACAGTACCTGGGCCTTCGGCAAAATAATTATTCAATTCTTTTGTATAAGAGCACTTTGCTGATGGTGCATGGTTCTACTCATTTACGAAGTGAATGTAGAGGGAGCAATCCGACTCCGCGCAGACTCGGCGAGGCTAATAAGCCGTTTGCTGTTAGGCGAGCTTGTCGGGTCTGGCACGGCCCACTGCACCGACACTCGTCGACGTTGCTCGTTGGGCGTCAAGACTCGAGCGCTGCGGCGATGAAGGCCGGTGTGTCGCTCGCCAGGCTGTTGCTGCTCTTGCACTGCAGCTGCTGTTGGGCCTCGTCGAGAGAGCCCCATGGTACTGCGGACAGTGCTTCGGTCCAAGTTGCGCCAACCGCCGTCGAGGTTCAGGTCGATCAAGCTGACGTCGCACGAACCTTCGAGCCCGTGACCACGATCAATCACACGACTGCGGTGCTGCCCACTTCGACACCACCTCTGGCTCCTTTCAGTACGACGATTCCGCCAGATCCGGATGCGCAGACCGTGGCGACGACTCCAGATGACGTCCACGTGTCCCAAGAACCGGTGCCACACCACGCGACCACCGCAGACTCGAGCCTGCCGCCGTCCCCGACCGCGGGCTCGTCGACGCCATCTACAGCTCCAGCAGTAGCACAAGAGACCCCGGACGTAGCCGCAACCTCTTCGGAAAAACCAGCCCCCACATCACCTACGACAGCTGCAAACCCGACCGCGCCCTCCGTCGATCCGTCCAGCCAATCGACGACCCCACCTTCCGCAGACGCGCCGCCGGTCGTTTCTTCGGCCACTTCTTCGGTCACCACCACCCCTAATGATGAGACAACCGCTTCGAGAATAATCTCGACCGAAGGCGAAGCCACCGTATCAAGTTCCACTTCAACGACTTCTTCAACGACAAGCACAACCGCAACGACTGCTGTAGCATCTACTACAGAAGAAGCATCGAGTGTTCCGCCTATCGCGGCTCAAACCGGCGTCGCTTCGGACGAGACCGTCGAGGCCCCCGAGTTCCTCTCCTTCAACGAATGGAAGGACAAGTACGTCATCGTCGCCGCCGACGCGAGTGCTGCTGCAGCGAGACGATCCAAAAAGACGGCGCAACGTGCTCGACAGGATGCCCAAGGTGGTCAAGCCAGCTTTGACGGCGATGGCGCTGACTTTGGGAGTCTGTTCGCCAGCGAAGAAGCCAGCGGCATGGGGGACAATCGAGCCAAGGACCCCGGCCCCGGCACATCGAATGGCGCCGCAGGGCCAAAGACAGAGGAACGTGGATCACATAAACCGAGACCAGTAGCCACTGGATCTGGTGGGAAGAGCGATAATGCCCTGAACGTCACCCTCATTCAGCCTCTGCCCAATGTCGGGACCGGCGAAGCGTCCGACCCGCTTCTTCTTCTCAAGGATCGCTCCAACTATGCCGCATTCGAGTGCGCGGCAATGGTCCATCGCTCCTCCCGCCAATCCAAGGGTGCTTCGTCGATTCTGGTCGAGAAGAAGGATCGCTACATGCTCACGCCGTGCTCCGCCGACCCCAAGTTCGTCGAGGTTGAACTGTGCGACGAGATTCAAATCGACGCGATCGTCCTCGCCAACTTTGAGCTCTTCTCGAGCATGTTCAAGTACTTTGAGATGACATGTTCGGTCGACTATCCTGGACGACCCGAGACATGGCACAACTTGGGTACCTTCAGGGCTCGGAATGCACGAGGAATACAGGTGCGTGCAGGCTGGGCTCGACTATGCTGGGTCAGGGTCAAGCTGCTGATCCGCGTCGATGTCGATCACATAGGTCTTCCGACCTAACCCGGTCCCCAACTTTTGTCGCTACGTGCGCATCAATTTCCTCACCCATTACGGTTCAGAGTACTACTGCCCCGTATCTCTGCTACGCGTCTACGGCTACACCCAACTCGATGCCCATCGTGAATCAGAGCGCAAGAAGGCCGAGTTGGAGGCGGCGCTGGCGTCTGCGCTCGAAGAGGGTGATGCGGAGGAAGAGGAAGAGGAGGATATGGCACCTTCACAATCGGTATCAGAGCTACCGGCCTCGCACGAGGCTTCGGCCTCCCCAGCACCCGACGTGGACAGCGCGACAAAGCAGGTCGAAAATGCGACCATGTCAGATCGAGACACGGCGTCCACGAAGCACTTGATCCCCGATGGTCCTCCTTCAGCGACAAGTGGCGATAAGCCTACGGATGCTCCCAGTAATACTGTCAGCGCAGATACGAGTGAGAACGGCAAGAGGCTGAGTGGTTCGGTGAATAAAACGGAGCCAACGTCGACCGTGGATTCCGCCGCCGTGGCCGCATCGAGTGCCCCAACTCGCGGTGAACCTAATTCAAACGGCAGCACGACGGAATCGGCAAGCGCTTCGTTGGATGAAATAACTTTGCAAACGCCTACCTCAACACCTGGTACTGCTACATCAATTGACACACAGTATTCGTCAAGCTCAGCCGATCCTATTCATCCCTCGCCGAGCGTACCAGCTGGACCACTACAAGTCTCTGATGCGAACGCGACAGAGCCCACCCGCCCCTCGACGTCGGAAGCATTCGCTGCTTCTTCCACTTCTGAAGTAAATGCGACCACGACGACGCCATCTGAGAGTGCCAACGCAATGGATCCTACAGCCTCGTCTCCACCTGCTGCCTCGACAACGGCGTCAGCCCCTCGCCCTCCCGCGTCCGAGCCACCCATCGTCACGGTTCGTCACGCTCCTCGGAACGAGACTATTCGACCGATGCCGCCTCTGCCCCAGATAACGCCTCCACAGCCTCAGCCAGGAGAGTCGATCTACACGACCATCATGAAGCGCTTGACGATCTTGGAGCAGAACCAGACGATCGCGATGCATTACATTGAGGCGCAGAGCACGATGCTGCGCGAGGCGTTTCTTCGCGTCGAGCGAAGGCTCAAAGATGTCGAAGGCATGGTAAGCTAGCCAAACTCTCATCTTACAAAAAACATATGTACTGATCTTTCCAGTTGTGTCCCATGCGCAGCATCAACGCCAAGAGCAAAGCTTTCGACTGATCCTGTCTGAGCTGGACAAGCAGCGACTCGATATCGAAAGCGAGCGGCTGTCGCTGACCGCACAGGTGGCCGTCCTTGCCCAAGAGGTCCGACTCGAGAAGCGCCTGAGCATTGCGGAGCTCTTTGGTCTCCTTGCCCTCGTTGTCTTTGTCGTCGCAACGCGGGGGTCGCCGACGGCACCACTCATGCACCTCACGTCGTCGCAAGTGCTGCGGCGAGCGGCGGCGCAGGCGGACGCGCGAAAGGTCGAGCTTGCGCGCAGGGAAGGGGCCGATCAGCATCGGCGATTCGATGCATGGGAAGAAATGGTGACGGGTACAGAACGAGACCGGGAGCGGACGCGCAAAGCCTCGGCCACTCGCAACGCAATTGCAGGACTTGGTCGAGCCCCGTCCGGCAAAAGGGCGCCGATCTCGAGCAAGACGGCGCCTAGGCGCAACTATGCCACCACGAGCGCTTCACGCACCCCGGTATTGCGAGCTAATCGGGCCTGGTCGCCGCCGGTTCGACATTCATCGGCCCCACCGGACGAGATCTTCCCCGACTTTGTCATCAACGGGGATGGGCCTACCACGACGAGGCCGCTGCAACGTCGCGGTAGCCGCAAGTCGAATGGCGGATACGGGAGTTTCGGACTGGGCGTCTTTCCTAATGGCATCGACACCAATCAAAGTGCTCGTGCGTCGAGTCCTCTTCAATACTCGACACTCCGACGTCGCGGATCGGTCGAGCTATCGGATGGGATGTTGTCGGACGATCAATTTTCAACAACGACGAGCGCGAGCGAACCGATGCATCACCCCGTGGGACTGTACAGCGCACACGCGACCGACGAAGCCGACGACGAGCGAGGTTCACGGCACAGTGACGATGAAGCGGAGGAGACGCTGCTGTCCCCTTTGCCGATCACGAATAGGCCGAAGACGTTGATCCCGACTTCGCCTTCGCCTGCCGCTGTCTCGACCTCGAGGGCGTCACCGCCGAGGAAACTTGGCCCACCGCCTTCGCCGCGTCGGCATTCGTCGCTGTTGATCCCCTTCCCTCTCGTCGATGATGCTCCGAATCCTCTTGCTCCGACGTCTCGCTTGCCCTCACCCCCTCCAGAACCTGCTCCACCCGAAGTTGTCCCCACTCCCTCCAGCGACGTCGCCCCTACAGAATCGAAACCATCCCCGACGCCATCCCCGACGGAAGTATTATCCTAATAGGCCTGTTCACCTCGATCGTACACTTTGCACATAATACTCATTGGTATGAGGACCGTGTTTTGTAGTTTGTATATTTTCTTTGTATCACCGTCGTCATCGTATGCAATTCGCAGGGTTGGATTCTCCCCTTCACTTGCGGACCGAACGAGATGGAATTCCGAGGGAGGGCCCTTCGTCTTCCTCCTCCTACTTCCCCCCCTTCGCGATCGAGCGTTGTTCGCTTCTCCATCGTCGCAGCCCATGGCCCCTCACGCCAAAGGATTCTCGGCGACGCGACTGTACATCGGGAACCTGTCCCCTTCTGTTGATGAGTGAGTGTGTTGCATCCCTTATCGCGTCTTCGAGCGGTCGTTGACTGAGATCATCATCCCACGTGACCTTCACCACCCCGCGCCCGAATCGGCTACCTGTGACGGTCGCTCCGTTGATGTACGACCCCTCAAACCAGGTATACGTTGATGCAACTCTGTTCCAAACACGGCAAGATCCAACAACTCGACTACCTCTTCCACAAGAGCGGTCCTTTGAGGGGTAAACCGAGGGGTTACGCTTTCGTCGAGTTCTCCACCAGGGATGTACGTACAGCAGCGCTTTTGAGATTGGGGGGTTCGCTGAGAGTGAGGTTTGAAACTTTTTGGGGGATTTCTCTTTTCTTTTTCTTTTTTCGTGTGTGTGTGCACAGGAGGCGCTGAGGGCGATGGTCGCTATGGACGATCAGTTGGTAAGGGGGAGGAAGATCTCCGTCACGGCCGCTTCGGAACAACAAGTACGTTCCATAGACAGTCGATCCCATGGGCACGGCAACGAGATCTTACTGATCCTTTGTTTGGGGGGCCTTTTCTAATCGATAGACGTACGACGATGCGACGAGTAGTGCGGGTAGAGGTCGAGGAGCCGGACGAGCTTCGGACCCGACTCGACCGACGGCGATCTCGTTGCTCAAGAGTCAGAGCTCGGGAGGAGGGTGAGCAAACGGAGGCGACCCCCCCTTCAAAGTTAGTTACGATCGAGAGGGAAGCGTTACTGACTGTCACCGGTTGGTGTGTTGCCTCCCAGTTCAACGAACAAGAAGATCGCGGCCCTCGAGGCTAAACTCGCCGCGTTGAGGAAGGAGAAGCCGAAGGAGGGGACAACAGCAAAGTCGAAAGCTGGGACTTCGGAGACGAAGAAAGTGGAATCGAGCACAGCTGCTGTCGTGGACGGAGATACCTTCCTCGGCGCGATTGAGAAGGAGATGCAGGTCGAGCCGTCAGAAGCGGGAGGAAAGGAAGGACCGAGTAAGACTCCTTCGACTTTGCCGTAGGACGGCTGGTGCGAGTTTCATTGCTGCAGGGTTTCTGGAAGGTCAAGAGACGGAGTAGGCTTGCTGCCATGTTGTCATACTATGTACGAAGAACCAGGAGTGGTTTTCTCCCCAGTACTCCAAGCGAGACGTCGTCAAACAAAGCAATCATTATCATTCATATCGAGGCCCTAGCTCGGGCAACAACTACGTCCGGAAAGGTATTAGAAGCACGACACAAGCCTTAACAAAGCATGCATGCCTATCATTCCAACCTCTTGCTCAGCTCACACCGTCTCGGCGTCACTATTCTCCCCCGTGCCCGTCCCACTCCCCGAACCAGGCGGAAATGTCTCCCCCCCATCCCTCCGATGGAAATACGTCCCATACCTCGTCGAACCCGGTTCAGGTTGATCCTCATCAGTCCCTTGATCTTGCTCATCCTCGTCCGCCTCGTCGTCGGTGTCCCGTCGATTGGATCCGTACAACGGTTCAGGGGTCGATTCCCTACTCCCCCTCCAAGCCCTCGAAGGATCATCCGATTCGATCGACCTGACCCTAATCTCCCTCGCGCCATCGTCGTCATCACCACGACCATCTCCTTCATCCGAACTCGTGGTCGCCCTCTTGCCAGCCTTGACCCGCGCGGCCTTCTTCCTCAACGCATTCTTCGCGATCGACCACCTTCTCCGAAGATCGACCACCACCGTCCCATGCAAAGCCTCCTGCACCGCATCGGGGACCTGTACTTGATCTTCCCTCGTCTTGATGACGGGTAACCAAGGTTCGGGTAACGCGCCGGCCAAAGCAGGATGGTTGTACAACCTCGCGCCGGTGTTCAACACGCCACCGTAAACGTCCGATAAAGGGGGTTGGTCATAATCGGTCGCTTCGTTGCGAGCGACGACGTAGACGCCTTCGTTCGTCGAAGAATGCGGTTGGTACCTACCTCGACTGAGGTGCGTTTGACTACGCGTGACGGGGTGACCTCGACGCAGTTTGACGATATCGGCCGTCGCGCCGTGCGACACTTGGCATGCTTGCGAGAGGTTCACGAAGCGCGAGAGCGGGGTGTAGGTCGCGCTGAGGCGGTAGATCGTGTACGACGTGCCGAGGATCAAGGGGATCACGAGGCCGGAGAGCAGGAAGGCCTTGCGTACGGTCAGCAGACCGAGCATGAACACTTGGAAGATGAGCAGACCCCATCCGGAGCGGTTGAAGGCCAATGGCCAGGCTTGGCCTCGTGATTCGTACGGACGGTCTGGAGTGGAGTCGTCGAAGACGGGAATGAGTTTGCTGACGCTCTCTACTCGACAAGAAAAATCTACCCGGTACCCCTCGACTCACAGAAAACAAAGAGGAACTTGTACTTGTACACGAGGTACGCGATGCCAAAGTACAACGTCGCAAAGGGGAGAATCAACGGCGAGATGATCGAGTAGGTGACCCCGAGCGTAAAGATCAACAAAGCCTGTGCGAGGACACGAAATGAAGCATTAAACGAGGCTCTGCAATACTGTTCGAATAAGGGCCCTGCGCACCCGAGGATAAACCGTGCCCAGATTGACCGTGGTCGGCGAGTTCAACTGCGCATGATCCCTCGGCGTCTTGGTCCAAAACAGCTTGGTCCAGCCGCGAAGCAAGATCATCGCCAGCTCCAACAACTGCAACGGCATCAACGCCAACCCGGCCAACATGACGTACGAGACGAAAAAGTTCCTGGCGCCGGGAAGGGTCGTCGCCAGTTTGTCGAGGGCTCGGGCGGGGGATTCCGAGATGCCTTGGAGGAGCGAATAGGTCGATGAGGTGATGAAGACGAAGAGGGTCGTGAAGAGGAGGGAGACGTGGTATTTCTTGAGCGTCGAGTATTCGATCCAGGATCGAGCGGAGAGGCCCGATAGGACCGAGAGCTCGCCGAGGAAGAGCGGCAAGAGGTTGTTGAAGCTGACCATCGCTAGCGAGGGGAGTGAGGTTTGCACGAACCCTCGAAGTCGTGGACTGCGAGTGCCACGTAACTGCTAATCAGATCGGACTCGAAATATCCTAGTGGCGAATGGTACCACTCACCTCTTGGCAATAAACTTGGCCAACCTCGGCGCCGTCTCCTCGATTGTGTCCCAACTGAGCAACTTGGCCAAATACGCCACCGGCACAGACCACACCGAGAGCAACACCAACAACGTCACCAAAACGAGCACCCTACGCACGAAGACGGACGTATTCGACAAGGCCAAGTTGGACCATTGGATGTCACGAGGTTCAGGTGCGAGTTCGGTCTTGAACGCCGTTGCGGAAGGGTAGTGCACAGCCTGAGCAGCGATCTGCGCAGCCGCCAAACTCTGAAACGTGACGAACGCGACTCCAGTAGGTCTGAACCTGCCCCTCCGTCTCTTTCGTACTTGCTCATCCGCTTCCCTGAATTTGGCAGCGAGGTGATCCAACTTGTCGACTCGCTTTCCGAACCACCCGAGACGAGTCGTCGGTCTCGGCTTTTTGGGGTGCACGATCTTGGCTCGTGCGGGTTCCAACAAGCGTGCCTCCAGATCATCGTCGTCGTCGTCGTCGTCTGGACCATCAAACGTGTGGATCAAGCGCCCTTCTCTTGCCCCTCCGCTGGTACCTCGCTCGGGTGAACGATCCCTCGTCGGTGTCGTCGAGGGCGAAGCACCGGGTTGCAAGATCCTTTCGACTTCGACCTTGGGATCGTACCCCTTGACGCAGATATCGACGTCGCTCGCTTTGCCCAACAAGACGCTCAAACTTCCCCCTTCGACGGGAACGGGGACGGGGTTACCCAACCAATCGACCCAGGCCTTCTCCAACGCCATCAACGCTTTCGTTCGTTCGTGCAACAACTCCTTCATGCCTCCGACGGCACGGGTGACGACGACGCTGTCGACGCCGAGTCCGGAAGGGGCTTCGTGCGCCTCGTTGAGGTGGATCGACTCGAAATAATCGGCGAGGGCCTTTTCGGATCTGAGGTGGGGTGGGAGGTCGGTGACGAGCACCGTCCTCGCCGGGATCGCATGGGCGTGTTCCAACGAAAAGAGTTGGCGCAAGGGGATGTAGCGTCGCCAGCTGCGGTGGAGAAAGACGAGCGCGAGGATGGTGAGCGCGTAGGTGAAGACGAGGTGGGAGGTGAGGTACAGGGTCGAGCCGTGCTGGACCTTGCCGAGGGCGAACTGGAGGAGGAGCGCAGTCTTGTCCTCCTCGTCGTGGTGGTGATGGCCGTCCTCGGGGGCGCCCGGTCGTACGCCTTCGGAAGATCCGTTCTCGCGATAGTTGATCGGCACGAGGATCGACCAGACGAGAATGGAAGCGGTGAGAAAAAAGAGGAAGCAGGTGCGAAGAAACAACAAGAGCTGTGGGGTGGAACAACGTGGGGCTCGGTTTCAATTTTTTTGCCTCGACACTGAACCGATCGTCGACGGTCTGGGTGTGAACGTACGACCGCAGCATCCAACCCAACGATCTGCAGCACGGTGAACTCGCTCGTGCGCAAGGTCGGCAGGACCCAGCCAAACAACGATTGCGAGTCATGGACTTGGTGCGGGGAGAAGCCTGTTGTGACGGGTCAGAAAGGTCAGCACCGCGTTCGTTCGGTCGGCTTTGCTTCGATCGGCCGAGTTGAAAAGTTGCTGTTCGCATCGCACCTTTGAGCAGGGTTCGAGGCCGATAGAGCACCTTGAAGCGCTCGACCCTTCGCACGACGCAAAAGGCCAGGAACGAGCAAAGACCGATCGAGAGAGACAGAGCCAACTGGGTCGTGAACCACGGTCCTCTGTGATGTAGTGCAGTGCAGTGCGAACGGATCAGCAGCCGAGCGGTGGGTGTGACGAAGTGGCCAACGCGACGAATCGCACGTACTCGTATTTGTAGACCTGGCCTGGTGGTAGACCTGTCGACGAGAGAACGGTGTCAGTTGACGAGGTTCCACACTGCAACACGCGAACAGCGGGATCGGACGTGGTGGTACTGGTCGCCTCCGCCGTCTCGCACTTTTCGCCGATCAGCGCTCAGCGATGACGACACCACGCCGACGCAACGCACAACTGACCTGTATTGGGATCACTGCCATTGCCGCCCAGCCCAAAGCCCAGGCTGAAACGGTCCATGGCCACGGGGGGTGTGATCGGGTGATCGAGGTGTACAGGCTGCACACAAGTGAAAAAGTGAAGCGAGAGCAAAACACAGGCAGCAAAACACAGGCAGCAAAGACCGGCAGCAAAGACCTGACTTTGACCGACGATCAGCCGCGCTTTCCTCCGAGCGCTTCCGAGCGGCGCCCGACCGAGTTTGTTCAGCGTGAGGTGCTGATCCCGACGGTCGACCCGAGGCCAGCCTGAGGTACGACACTAGAACACCCCATTTGGTGGTTTCCAGCTTCATGACTCGCCACGTCCACGCTTCGAGTACTCCGGCTCTAGCTTCCAAGTCACACGTCTCCGAGCGATGATATGCTCCTCTCCGAGACCCAGACCCAGACCGAAACCTCATAAGATGTCTTGGGCTTGCGTGTTCAATGTAGGACCAGTAAAAAACAAAAAAAACAAAAAACAAAAAAACAAAACAGATTTCGCGCCGCCGAGGACGAATCGACAAGCAGAATCCGGTTTTTTCGCGACCTTTACAGAGACGACCCACCGACCTGTGCCAACACAAGCATGGTCAGTTCACGAAGCTCGTTGATGATGTTCGCTCTGTGCACCCACCGCTTCGGACGCGACCTCGATCAAGACCTCGTCCTCGTCGTCAATGTCGAGCTGTTGAACAGGAATAGGCCCCCACTATCAGCACCAGCACCAGCACCGTTGCGCGTTCCATACGCCGACTGAGATCGGTCAGACTCACACTAGCCACGGTCTGATCTCCACGCAACTTGACACCGTCTGTTGGGTTGGGCCGTCCAAGTCGATCAGTCGGAGGCTTCATTTTGGGCACACAAAGTACCGAGGTGCGAACTTGCCAAACATGAAGCGCACTTCGCTGAGCGACTTGCCCGCTCGTTCGCAGTAGGCGGCCATCATCTTTTGCAGCTTGGTCGTCCTGGGAGAGAGAGCAAGAGGTGTTGTCAATTCGTATCCTTGCTGTACGGAGGAGGAGCCGTGGGTTGGCTCCGCTGTGCCTCTCCCGGCGCGCTGTCTCCGCCTGCTCACTTTTTGACCTTGATCATCAAATCGGGGAAACCCTGTCCTGCGATCTGGATGCACCACCACAAAGCGAATGATCAGATGACGCGTCCGAGGAGTGACCATGGACCACATCAACGGCAGACCAGACGCACCTTGAGCGAGACATGTTCAGCCTGGGGCTTGACCTCGGGCGCTTCTTGTCGTTCCTCTGTTGGCGTGTGAGCAACAGTCTGAGTAGCCGCGAGCGGGCACGGAGCGTGGGGGAGAGACCGACCAGACATGGTGCGTAACAGATGGGTGGGGGGTGCAGGTGCAGGTAAGCAGAGGGAAGCAGAGGGAAGCAGAGGGAAGCGTCCGAGTTGAAGTGGCAAGTCGAGCGCGGGGTGTGTGGCACGCAATCCTCTCTCTCCCATTCCACGCGCGTCGGAGCCTATTACGACGCCAATACGGGGATTTACTAATGCCCCACGCTCATCGTGTATCAAGCGCGGCAAACGCGGCCCTCCCATCTAACGCGCGTCGGAGGCTAATGCCTGGATTTACTAATACCCCCAACCTCAACGTGTAATATTAGATCTTCCAACGACGCGCGTCGGAAGCTAATGCGTAGATTAGATTTACCAAGGCTCAATCCTCACCGGGGTGAGCTTTGCTTCTGGCCTGCTACTCTACTTGATCCAACACCTCCAACCTCCGGCGACCATGTCTACCTCGACCTACTCGACCTCGGAGCTCTCCTACACCCAAAGAGCCCTCGCCTCTAACACCCCGACCACCAGCTCCTCCGCTTCGCAGCCCCTGCTCCTACGAGCCGACGGTCGCTGCCCTCTTTCGTTCCGCGATATCATCCTCACCACCAACGTGTCCCAAGCACAGGGGGCCGTCGGCAGTGCGTTGGCTTGTTTGGATGATCTGGGTGGCCAGAGTCAGGTCATGGCGGCGGTGAGGGCCGAGGTGGAGGACGTAAGAACGGCTGAAGATGAGGAAGTGACGACGAGTGGTAACGGTGGGATGACGATTTCGATAGAGTGGTCAGTCCTTTCGTACCTCATCCTCCGCCGTTTTTTTGTCCCAAAACTAAGACGACCCCTCCGCCCTTCTTCTCCCCCTTCCCACCCACACCCCCTATATGCGCCTCCTCTCGCTTCCCTCTTTTCCTCTTTCCCCCCTCCAGCTCCCCCACCGCCCTCCCGACCCTCCGACCCGACCTCCTCCCTCACCTCTCCGCGCTCCTGACGAGCCTATTCTCCCCCTCTAGTCTACCCCCCTCCCTGCTCTCCCAACTGATCATCATCCCCCATTCGAAAACCTGGTCCTTGAAACTCGACCTCCTCATCCTCGCTTCCCAAGCCGGGAATATCGTCGATTTGGTCTTGGTCGCGGCTAGGTCCGCGTTGGCGACGACTAGGTTACCCCGTACGAGGGCCGTGGAATACCGAGCACCTCCTTTGACGATGGGGACCGTATCGGCGGTCGAAGGAGAAGGTTGGGAAGCGGAAGCGGGCGTGGGACCAGGAACGATCGAGAGTGGGTTTGCGGGTTTGGTTAAAGGGGGGAAGGGGGGCAGTAAAGCGATGGACTTTGAGTTGGTGCAGAGGCATGATGGGCGGATGGTCGATGGTCGAGAGGTGGAAGAGGACGATCGAAATGGTGTGAGGTTGATCGGGTGGAGGGAGTTGCCGATCGGGTTCAGTCTCCATTTGGTCCGTCCGCGCGAGGCAACTTATTGATGTAGGGAACGGGTGGAAGGAGCTGACCGTCTTGGGTTCGCTAGGTCAACCAATTACCGTTCCTCGACCCCACGACGCTCGAAGAAGCGACGATCGAAGCTTCCTTGCTCGTAGGTTTCCAACACCAGGGTCACGTGTGTGCGATCCAAATGGTCGGTCAGGGCGAGGTCGAGGTGGGGAGGTTGATGGGGTTGATCAAGGTGCGTTCTCTCCCTAGATAGGGATGGTTGGGTTTGGGGGTACGAGAGCTTCACTGATCCTTTCGAGTGATGGGATGTTGGGGTTGTTTGTAGAAAGCGAAAAATCTCGCCGATGACCTCAAACTCGCGCTTAATCAGAAATTGGCGACTGCGTAATCATCTACGACCTATGCCTTCGAATGAACGTTGATGCAATATGACACCTTCCCTCGGCCCAAGGCAGGGCTCTCATGCTTCTTCCGTAGCCCGCTTTCGATGCTTGTTGGCGTGCCGATCTATGCAGCTGCTCCTTTCTAGCGGTGCCCCGAGCGAGCTTGCCTTGAGTTTCAAAGTACCTACTTGATTCTTGAAGGAACGCCAGTTCGACGTTCTACTGGTGTATGAAGCGGTGCAGAGCCACCCAAGACGCGAGGGCCAAGACCCGTTTTTCAAAGCACTCGATAATCCAAGACGTGGGGGAGAAACACTCTTGAATAGGTCCAAGCTCAAAGCGCAACAGGGCAGGTCTGGTCAGGTCATCGATCCAGCATTCCAGCTCCGCTCTTGCGTTCTCGGTCTGCTCTGCCCATCCGTTCGACGACCCCGAAGCGTATCAGCCAAACGGACCGCTACCGGTGTGCGTCCCAACGAGCGATCTCTTGCGCATCATGTCGTCCCGCAAAGTGATGGTGCAACCCATCGTACGTTGCCCCCCCCACCGTGTATTGGCCGTGGTCTCCCACACACGGCCCATCGCTCCAACCGCGCGCCGTTCGTGTGAGCTAATGCAAACGGTGTATGGTGATTGGACAGAATGTGATCTTCAAGCACCTGCAATCGGGCACGCCTGTGCAAGTGTGGTTGTACGATAACCTCGAGCAGAGACTGGAGGGCAAGATCATCGTCAGTGGTGTTTGCACGGTCGGAGCCTCTCCTCGTGCCCCTGATTCGACCAGATCATGTTACTGACCTCTTGGTCGAGAACGTTGTTCGGTGCAAAGGGTTTCGACGAATTCATGAACGTCGTGCTCGACGATGCGCAAGAGGTCTGGATCAAGGACACGAAGCAGCACAAGCTCGGCCAACGACAACCGTTAGGTGCGCCTGGGCACCGCCGGCGCAACGCCGAGGGTGATGAGCACTCCCTAAACGCAGCATCGACTGATGCTCTCAGCTTTGTATCCCTTGCTAGGTCGCTTGCTGTTGAAGGGGGAGAACATCTCGTTGATTCAGATGAGGGATCCACCGCCCAACTCGCGTTAAGTCGAAAACCGGGAACTCGACATCCCATTCCTCGAACAGTGGTTTGCAAGAGGATAGGAACGACGTGCAGAGTCGGGAAGCATGTGTAATGATCAAACGAAAAAAAAGGGGGGGCTAGTGTACCATCTTTCTCTTTCCCACGCCGGCCGTTTGAGGAGCCAAAACGCGGCAGTCTAGAGCCGCTCTTGGGACTGTACAACCTCGATTCCGTGCTGGATACCTGAGCACTACTTGGGGACCCTTCATCGCTCGATGACCATATGTTGGGTAAACTCTTTCCCCGTGAAAATTCCCCCCCCCCCCCCCCCCGAACGCCCGACCGGGAAAAGTCACGTGCCGAGACGTGCCGTAACTCGACTCGGAAGAGCGCGCGCTTCGCTCCTCATCACCTTCCTTCGCTTCGTCCTGGCCCGTGCCTGCCTCCTTCACCTCGCGCTAACCGCTGCTGTGTGGGCATCTAGCGTCAGAGCTTTGTCAGACGCCTTCACGCCGGGCGTTCCTCCTTTCACTTTGGCACCTCAAAGCGGGTAACGTCCGCAAACCGACGTCACGACACCAGCGCACCTAAGCCGACCCCACTCCCATCCCTTGCAACCAGCGAAAGCAAAAACAAACAAAAAAAAGTCCACTTATAGAAACTATCGAACCTGTACCGTTATAACGGCGTGAATCAAGATCGTCCCGCGATGGCTCCCACCTCCCTCACGCCCAGAACCTGTTCCTCGTCCTCGTCCTCGTCCAGCGTTCGCTCGAACCCATCCAAGCTTCCCTCATCCACCACCCCCTCCCTCAGTGCGATCGTTTCCAACTTATTCCAACGCACGTCCCTCCATCGCATCAACGCAGCTCCCCCAACCGAAACGGACCCTTACTCGGACAAGACGATCGCTTCCCTTCTGCTCGCCGAAGCTTCTCGACCGACGTCGAACCGATCCCGATCGGGGACGAGAGCAGAATTGGAGAAGGAGGCCATTCGCAGACCGAATAAGAGGTTCTTGAAGGGCGTGTTGGGGCACGTGGAGGCGCATAATAGGGCGGTCATACGAGCGCAGAGGCACAGGTTCGAGAGTTCTGGAAGCGGTCCGGATCGGAGGACGAGGGAGAGGAGGAGCGGGGAGGAGGTAGACGAGGATGAGGAGGACGACAACGAAGAGCAAGAGAGGAGACATAGAAGGAGTAGGCAGGAAAAGGAAACGGACCGAGATCGACTACGAGAGCGAGATCGTCCGAGGCACAAACCTCGCCACCGAGATCGGGACAGGGACGGCGATCCCGGCGATGAAGGACGACACCGCTCGAGTCGACGGAGCGAGGACGATCATGACAAAGCACGATCGGATGGGCGGAGAGATGACGATGACACGAATCACCGAACGAGTAAGCAAAGAGACGAGCATAGGGAACATCGGCACCGCAGAATCAAGGACGAGCATCAAGATCGACATCGAGAACGATCGGATAAACACCGACCCCGCGAGGATGACAAAGATCGGTACGTTCCAGTTCCTTGCTCCGTGTCAATCGACGTCGAACATTAAGCTGACACCGGCCCCGCATTTCCAGGTCCTCCACCAAAACCGCATCGAACGACGCCGGGCCCATCGCTCACACCACCGCTGGCGTCCCTTCGAAAATGGACAAATATTTCGCCCCCGATTACGACCCTTTATTCGACGTGTCAGTAGAGAACGACCTCACCGACCCTACGACCCGCCTCATCGCTCCTGGGGCATTCGATGAATGGGATACCATGCTGAAAACGATCAAGGAGAAGGAGGAGAGGAAGCGGGAGGAGAAGGAGGGTAGGAGGAGGAGAAAGGAGAGGGACAAGGAAGGACGGAGGAGGGAGAGGAGGAGGAGAAGGGGGGAGAGTGTTAGTTCGTCAGATGAAGGGGCTGGTGGAGAGCACGAAGGGAGGCAGGGCAAGAAGATCAAGGTGGGCGAGGGGAAGGGGTTGATGGAGGTGGAGTATACCAGAGTCGGAGGTACGAGGGAATGGGACAGGGGGAAGGAGCATCTGTCCTAGCTCTCTCTCGGCTCGGCGCTCTTCATTGTGTAGGAAGGCATCAGATGTTGTAGTGACCCAGAGAGGTTGAAGAGGGTATCATCTTTGCCTTTGCAGTGCCGTGTCAGCCACTCTCTCGTCGTCACATATTTCTTTCAAAGTTGTGACCCGCCAGCTCGGGACCGAGGGTGTCAAAGTAGGTCAGAGTAGGTCAAAGTGGGGGCCAGCCTGCCTGGGGTGGGGTCAAGATGAGAGCCGGGCTCTTCGGCTTCGCTCCCCCACGAGCGACCCGGGTTGCCTGGCCAGATCCGATCTTGTAGCTCCGCACGCTCCAGCTCGCCGTCGACACGTCAAGTGGTCATCCCAAACACGTAGGAGACAATGGCAGACGCCGAGTCTTCGACGCACACGTCACCGACCGCTGGTCCGTCCACGTCGAACTATGTCAAACGCGCCGCGATCGCATGCACTCGCTGCCAGCTCAACCGCAAGAAGTGTATGCGCGATGCGCGCAAGCAGAGCGCGTGCGTCGCTTGTGTTTTGGCTGACGATGGAGAGGCGTGTATTGTACGAGACCGAGCACGACCCAATCGGTGAGCTCGTAGTCCTTGAGGGACGGGCAGAGCTCGAGCTGGACTGACACTTGCCGTCGGACCCCGGACCAGCGGCCGCCGGAAAGCTCAAGCGATCTCAGCCTCCACAAGTCCCGACTCGAGGCATGTCTCCGTCAAAGTACACCCACTCGGGCCCGGAGGTGTGGTGCAAACCAGCAATTCGGTGATGAAAAACAACGCGCAGACACTCGCTCCACCGCGTGGGCTCGTACACTCCGTCCAAGAAGAGGTCGAACGCATGTACACAATCCGAACCGGTCTTTCGCTCGACCTCTCGCTCCCCGTCGCGGATCTGCATAGTCAGAACCAGTCGCTGCTCTCCTCGGCGTCATTCGATGCTCTGGACGTTGTCGACACGACGAGCCTCGTGAACATCTTCGTCAAGGACATGAATCACGCCCTTGTCTTCCTTGATAAAGTCCACCTCTGGGGCATCCACGCCAAGATGGTGGCCAGCACTGCTTCGGGGGAATCGACGCTCACTCCGGGCGAGGCCGCGCTTCTCGATATGGTGTGTTGCCTCGGAACGTTCCGAGCGCTCACATTTGACGACCAGTCCAAGAAATATGTACCCCCTTTGGGCGGGGAACGACTGGATGAGCTGTGGTACCGTCAATCGTGTGCCATCATGGATAGCTGGGAAGGGGCCTCCTTGACCGCGCTTCGTGAGTCTCCGGTGCGCTGAAAAAGCACGGCCGTGACTTGGAGGATGGCGACTGATAGATGACGGTATATTATGGTGCAGAGGCGCTGTTTCTTCAATACATTTACATCTCATCGACGGGCAACTCGGCGAAAGCTAGACGACTTTTGGGCAAGGCGATTCGGATGGCCCACGATGACCTCAAGCTGAACCGAATTGAATCTACCGAAACGTTCGCACCTCAGGACAAGGCACATCTGTTGTACTTTTTCATTTATTTTGCCGACTGGTACGTCGAGGCTGATCGTGCTGCTCCTCCTTCATGCTGTACTCATCTCGACGATCGATTGCACTCTCATTCCTACAGCTACCAGTCGGCAATCTGCGGACTAACCCCCCTCGTCTCGCTGAACGATTTTGACTCCGCGGTGCTGGACCCCCAGCTCCTGTTCCAAAAGGGGGCTCAAACCCGACCAGGGGGTCGATCTCTCCCGGACCTGGTCAAGCTCGTCCTGATCCAGGGCGATACGTTGAGCGCCCTGGCCTCAAACGACGATCCAGACCTCGTTACGTTTCGGAAGATCGACAGGAAGCTCACCGAATGGGTCCAAGGGCGGGTGCCTGAGAGCGCGTCGGCTTCATGGAGGGAGAAAACGTTGGCCACGCTTTGTACGATACATTTCAATTGGTGCGTCCAACCTTTTCGCTCAGTCGACATGTTTTTCTTCTTTCGGCGACTTAGGCTCCGTGATGTGCTGCACAGGACTCGGTTGATGCTGTACAATGGACACATCGGGCGAAACCCTCTCTTGGCGGACGGGACGCTGACAACTTTGCTGGCTCGATCGGCCGTTCAAATCATTGAGGCGTACCACGAGGCGTTGCAGGGGCATCTGAACTTTCCATTCCATCAACTGCAGCGCGTTATTACGGCGGCTTACGTCCTTTTGCTGTCGTTCGTGAAAGGGGAGATGCGTATGACAGGTAAGCGAGAGCGCCCCTCACCTCATACAATCTTTCGGCTGACGAGATTTCCTCTGTTGTGCTGGCTAAGAAACCAACCGCGCGCTTTCGTTGGTCTGCAACATCCTCCAAGTACTCCATACGCGCTGGCACAGCGCCGAGCAGGCCCACGAAGCCCTGGGTCTCGTTGTCGCGTCCTTGGGTTCGTCCACCTGCCAACCTTTCCCCTTCTGACCTCTCCTTCCGAGATTATCACCTGCATCAACCACACCTAAGCTAACCGTTCTTTTCCAACACTAGGACTTTCTCCCCTCGCCCCCTTGATCAAACCAAATGACGCCCTACCGCCCTTCAATCTCGCCCCACCTCTCTCCGACCTAGACCGCACGTGCATCGACGCCTCGACTCTTCCGTCACAACCTTCGGGAAGCCATGTCTTTGCGCCTTGGACGTTCAGTCCGGATTTCGCGTGGGACATGATGGATTTCCCGCTGGGATTCGAGAGGGGGGGGAAAGCGGGGTTCGTGTAGGCTAGGACGTAATGGGTTTCACTAGTGTTGTCAGCTTACGGATTGGCCCGAGCGATGGGGTGGGTCTCAATGGTTGTAATATATGCATGAATGTAACTCGGTTCCAGGGTCGTCTTGACAAGGTTCCTATCGAGCTGTAGCAGCGAACATGAAAGGATTTGCCTCGTGAAGGCCCGTTTCTGTGCTGCAAGTCTTGTGAACTCAAGTCCGAGGTTTCTTGGCACGACCTTCAACATCTAAGTCAAAACGCAATCCCCCGCGAACCCTGTTCCCTTCCCTTCATCATCAATCATCAAGCACCAACACCTCCTCCACTGCCTCACCACCCTTGACCACCGTGACTTTCTGCACGGACTCGGAGACGAATTCACCCAAGGTCGCGGAAGCTTTGGCGTGGATGGGGACGTACACGGTCCTACAGATCGAGCAATGTTCATTCGGGACGAGTAATTCGATAGGGTTGAAAACTCTGCCTGAATTACGGGAGAGGTAGACCATCTTGGCCGTGACCCAATCGTTACGAAGGACGTTGAGAGCTTGGAGGACCAAGACGCCAGCGATGATGGCGTTCGTCGTCGCGATAGCGGGGATGATGTTACCCGCGTATTCTTTGACTTGGAAGCGGGTCTGTGACTCGATGTTGAAGCAGGATGCGCGCAGGTTCGCACAGGCGACGACAAAGTCGAGGGTGTCGTCGTCATCTTTGTCGAAGGAGAGGGGGGAGGTCGGGGAGATGCGCGAGGAGAGACGTTCGATGGAGGAGATGAAAAGATTGAACGAGTCGCGTAGGGATAAGGTGCGTTGATCTTTGATCAGACCTCCGGTCGAGCCGTTCGTAGCTGATGGGGTCGCAGTCGATTCGGTCGCCGCGTCCGCGCTCGTCGAGGTCGAGGTCGAGGTCGAGGTCGAGGCCGAGAGTTCGTCCCATGACAAAGGGTGAGGCGGTTTGCGGTGCTTCCACATGTCCTCCATCTTGAGCAGTCGATTGATGTCTTGCGAGTAAACCTGTTGAGCGTGCGACCAGATTGAGCCCCTTTGTGTGCCCAAACAAGGCTCTTCGAACGTTGTCGGGCGGGCGCACCCACCTTGTCAAACACCCTCTTGGCAGCGCCAGGTTCAGCCAGCGATCCACGCAGTTGTTTGATCGCAGCCGCTTCTTTGCGAAGTTCCTGGATCTCCTCAGCTGTGAAGCGGTCGCTCGAGGGTCAGTTCGGTCCCAGCCACAAGGGATGCAGGAGCAATCAGGGCACACCATTCTCGCCGTTCTTCTCGGCATCGTCCAATTCTTGCCCTTCGGCCTCGTCATCGGCGCCGTACAGTTGACTGTGAGAGGTGCAATTCGACACTCAGTACTGTACACGGACGAGCTTATAGATATTCCCGCTTACGGGAAAAGGTAGCTCTTGGCCCAAGCGATGCAATGATGGGCCGTGGAGGGCGTACTGCGGATCGTGCAGACGGCGAACGTCTTGGGAACGGGTTTGGCTGAAGAGAGTCGAGGAAGGGTGATCAGCAGTGTAACTAGTCTTTCGTGCGCCTAGGATATGGAGATCACGCACCTGTACAGTCGTAGCACTTGGTCTGGTCCTTTTTGATGGGTTGGACTTGGCCCGTGTAGCCGGACGTGCCGGATTCGATCAAGGGGAGCTCGATCGCGATGACAAGATTGTCAAGCTCGAGGATCGGTGGGATGGCAAGCCGTTGCCGCAAGGGAGGATCGCTAAAGCGTTGAGGGACTTCAATGCGACATACCTTGTACCCACTATGGTGAATGTTGATAAGGTTGACAAGGAAAACAAGGCCAAGCAATGAACCAGGAACTCGGATCGGAGGACCTATACAACCTTGTAGTTAACTCATGCAACGCAGCGGATTGCACAAAACGATTTTTGTGATTGCAAATTGATCGAAGACACGGTGCAATATGCGCAGCGAAAGATATTCAGGGATCTTGGCATAATGAGTACAGCACGACAATCTTATATACATAGGACGAAGCAAATTCGAGGGCTAGTCCGAAAACGCGAACGAAGGCGAGATCCACGACTCCCAACTGCATTCGTACTTCGGGTCGGCAGTAAGTTTGAGCGCCCTGCGCCAGGAAGACACGCGACAAGGCGGGTAAGCATGTGTGCGGGTTCTTGATCATTCTTGTGTGGAAAGACGGTGATCCAGTTGTGGGGACTGACCTAAGAAGCATCCTGTACGGTGTGTGCGCAGGGACCGAAGTGAGCGTCTTCTCGTCGTCGGGGTCCCGCGTTTCCGAGACCTTGCCCTGGAAGACGAGAGTAATGCTCGTGGCCGGTCCGTCGCCACTGTCGGGCAGATCTCGGGGGACGTCGACGGCCGTTTGGATTCGGCCGATGACTTGGGCATTCGATAAAGCAGGGCACGAAGGAGATCCCGGCACCTCGTCGTCGTCGTCGTCAGCGTCCTCACCGAAGTGCATGGTCATCGGGTTCAAGTCCTCAAGAACGAGGCCTGCGGTTGGAGTCTGACGAACACGGCGAGGCAAGTTCGCCTTAAAGGTCGTATTGGCGTGCACCAAATCGACGGTGACCATCCTCGAAGGGCCTGTCATGTTGTTGCACAAGCGTGAGCGTGGTCAGTCTCCTACCAACTGCAGGAACTCGGGGAGTGTCCATGCGAGTGTTGCTCACCTGCAAATCGGAACTGTAAAGCGACGCCGGCCGCACGATGGTACATCACCACCTTTTTCGGGTCCGTCTGAGGTACTTGAACCTTCAATTCGATGTTGTTTGTCGACAAAAGGGGAAGATTTAAGGAAGAGTAATCCTGCTCCGTAGTGCCATCGTCGCCAAGGGCGAGAGCGGTGAACGTCGAGGTAGTGTCCACGACCGGCATCTTGATGAGCCTCGATCCCAATCCAAAGTAAGGAATCGAATAGTTGATATGCGTGCACTCGTCACTCTGGATCGTGACATACCCGCCGTAGAACGGCAGTTGAGCTAGGTTCTCTTTGGAGAAGACTGGGGTCCTGAAGTTCACAACGATCTTCCCCGTCTGACCGGCGAGAACTCGCAGGACAGGAACCTGAAACAGAACCTCCGCGGCCCCATCTACTGGAACCGGAGTCTCCGCGGGCAGCACATCTTCGATAGCGCTCTACGTTGGTGAAGCAAATAGAGCAATTCGCGGTAAGGAATTGACAAAACATCAAGCTGACCGCGCGTTCACTGCGCAGCAAAGCGCGCACTCACATTATTGTACGCCGCCAAGCTCTGTGCTGATCTCGAGCCAAACGTGTAGGTGACGTCAAACTCGTTTGTGTTAGTGATCTCAATCTCGTGTGTGAGATGTGGGTGGGCCGTGTCGTTGAGGCTTAGCGCGAGGGGGCTGAAGAATGTCTTTGCCTCGAATGCCTTGTCGACTTGGATCAGACCACCGCCTTGCCTCAACGTGCTGACCAGATCGGAGCTGTTCCGAGTCACTGAAAGCGGTTTCGCAGTTGTCACGAGCAACGATTTGATCTGCGCTGGCGTCAGCTTTTCGGAACGACGGCCGGCAAGAAGCAACGCGGCGGCACCTGCCGCGAATGGCGTGGCCATTGACGTTCCGCTGTCAATGCCGATTCCGCCGTCAGTGGAAGGAAAGGTGGACAAGATGTTGCCCCCAGGTGCGCAGAATGCACTTTGAAGCAGCATGTCGGCCGAAGGACCCATCGCAGAAAAGCCGGAGACGAGGCCACCAGTGAGGTTGTCGACAATGTCGTGGTTAGACTCGGGTAGCTCTCCAGAAAGCGAAGCCTTCATATGCGGGTTGGCCTTGAGCGCTTTCAGGAGTGGGATAACGAATTCCGCAGTCATGACGATAGGGAAGAGAGGAAGTTCCTCCGAATCGTAGATGGTGAATGGTTTTGACGAGTTGGCGGTGTAGAGCACGATCACCAGAGCACCGGCGGCGGCGACGTTCTGCACCTTCTGCAACAAAGGACAGAGGCCCCTTTGTGTGATCACAATTGCACCTTTGCAGTCGATCGACGCCGGAATTGGTTCGCATGCTGCCCCAATAGAACTGAGTTCCGTATCGTAGGAAAGTGCGACCAGCGGCAGGGGCGCGGTTGAATTGTAGCGGGCACTCGCGAGGTAGGGGATCGTCTTGAGAGAACCACCACCCTCAAGATCGAGTCGGAATGCGGGACAAGACTCGACATTGACGGAACCAACACTCGTCCCTCCAGGAGACAAAGCGGGCGAGCTTGTCGTGAAGAGACCCGCTTCTCCGCCGTTCCCGGCAGCGATCTCGACGACGATACCCCTCGCCTCGAGACGATCAATGAGCCGGTCCAACACGTTGGCTTCGCTAAACGCAGCCCTGCCTCCAATCGACATGTTGATGACATCACAGTTGCTCGTGGCGGCGGCAATCAAGCTTTGCATGATGGCATCGCCAGGCGCGGGTCCCTCGCAAGAAAAGATCCTGACCGTGCAGTGGAGAGGGCCGTCATGATTAGTTTGTAGAAGATTGGCCAAGGACTAGTCGATGTTAGCCGCCTCGAGAAGTTTCATGCTTGAGACTAACCTGAACATCCCAAGGTCCGCCTCAGGTGCAACACCGGTGAAGCCATCCTTGTTGGGGAGAGCGCCAATGATACCAGAAACGCTGTTCACACACACGCACGCGGGAGCGGATCAGACAACTGAGGTGGATGGGGTTTCGGTCGAAGGGAGCTGCTGGAACTTACTGCGTCCCATGACTTTGGCATTGAGCGAAAGGATCACTGTCGGGATGTTTCCCATCGTCGCCTACGAAATCGTGACCAACTTTGACGTGGCAGTTGGAGCCGAAGCACCCACCAAGTGCGGGGAGCTTGTAGTCAACTCCTGTGTCCAACACGCATACCAGAGCTCCAGCACCAAGGATGCCCTTCTTGTGAAGCTTGTCGACCCCGGTCATCTTGTGAGGCGCGAAATCGTCATCGGCGTAGGCGGCGCGACCGTGGCCGAGGTGGAAGTGGTGCTGTCCAAGCGATTTGTGATGATTGATCGCGTCGTACAACCTGACGGGGTAAACTTTCTGTGGGACAGAATGAACAGCTTAGTGACGGGATGCGCTTCTCAAATGTGCGCGAGAAAACTCACGACGACATGCTCGAGCTCGCTTAAGTGGTGATGGGTCGTGTTGCCGGCGAGTTGAACAGAGAAACCGGTGAACAGGTCGTGTTCAAACCTGTGATGAATGCGATCGATGTCCAAGTGCGACTGGACGTGAGATACGACCTTGTCTAGCATCTGTAGCACCGTCACAACCACAAGCATGAGTCGACGTCCTGTGTTCGGATGTCCCCGTCCCGGAAGTGTCCGTGCAAACCCTGCTTTGCGCGCGCGGTTGCCTCGAGACACCGAGGTGACGCGGTTTGACGTCGGAGAGGCAACTCACCGAGGAGATTGTATGGTTTGAACCAGCGGGAGGAGACGCCATCTCGACGATGTAACGACCCGGAAGGTGGCGTGGTGTACGAGCCTGGCGGTTGGGCAGGAGACCGAGCGCGAGCGCGAGGCCGAACTGCGTCTGGACGAGCAGCGACCACGCGCCGTGCTGCGGTTTCAGTCGCAAATGCATCAGCGGTAATGCGAGTGGTTCAAAGGGTCGAGGAAAAGCAGTAGGATGGGATAGAACGGTGTATGATAAGAGGATGGGCTGTGGTAGTTAAGAGACAGAGGTGGAAGGTGGGCGAGGTCGGCGCTCAGTTGCGCGCTTATGCCTCGTCGGGTCGCCTATTTCACCGAGACAGGAGAGTCCTCGCGTAAGGAGCACCGCCCTTGTTTGGTGGCGAAGTCGCCGCGGCCAAGCCTAGCCGCACCGACTAGCGTAGACCGGGTGTCAGACTGCCATTCAATCGCACGAGGAGATGCTCAAATCCGTACACCGCATGGTGCCACAGGCAATCTCATACGGGAGAATGGGCATACTCGGTCAGCCACTTGCAGTTCAGTTCCTTGTCGTGGTTGCGTGACCACTAACGAGTGATCAATGGCCAAAGCTGACATTTCGCTTTCATTCGGCCCCCATGAGTGATCGCGGAAAATGTCTAAAGCCTACCAATGTCCCGGTGGGCGCCGACGCCTGCGGGCGGGTCGCGAACTTGACAGAATATCCATCGACTAGCGCCTTGACCTCGTTCGCGACCCCCAGCTGACTTGGTTTCCTGCGGGTTCGACCCGATAGGCGTGGACGACCGTCGCGGCAATACCCACCCGACCGGGTAATACCGCCGCCCGGAAATACCTGTCACCCTGGGAAGTACCCGCTAAGAATGTCCCTCAAAGCTCGAAAGAGCTCGAACGACTCGAAGTGGCATTCGATTACCACCAAGGTCGCGGTTGGAAGCATTATACGCGTTTCTTTACGCAAGCTGATTCCCAATTGGACTTCGACTTCATGGTCCTCTACGATAACACTTATCGTACAGAGCTTGGCGATCCCGACACGTCGGGCCACTTCGCTCCTCGGCGCTCATCTCGGTGACGGACTTTACTCGAAGTTGAGTCACCGATGGCTCACCCAGACGCATGCCTTTCGCAACGAGGAGCGAGTGGACCGACGTGTCGGGATCGCCAAGCTCTTTTTACGATACGTGTCGTCGTAGAAGACCATGAAGTCGAAGCGTAACTGGGGATCCTTCGCCCGCTCGCGGAAACGCGTATAGTGCTTCCAGTCACGACCTTGGTGGTAATCAGCTCCTTTAGTCGGGTCGTTCGAGGTCCATTGAGACTTCAGTGTGTCCGGCGCACATGAGCCTCTTCTTCGGGATAGCGGCCTTGGCTGGACATTGACGGCCTCACGAAGTTCATGATCTCGATAACGTGGAGCCTGAGGCCGTGATCCTTCGTCAACTGACAGGCTTATCTGTCCAATCGGTGATTGTGCGAACGGGCTAATACAAAGCCTCCATGTACATGTCTTCCTTCTCTTGGCGCAATATGACGTGGTCAGGAAGCTCGTTGTAGGCCGTAGATGCGACCGCAAGGGTCTGCTCGTACAACCGCGCGGCTTTGTCCTGAGCTTTGGATGCAGTAGGAGGAACGTCGTCGTCGCACATCGATATCTTCTTCCGCGCGAAGACGAGCACCGGTGGCGAACGCGGAAGGGCGGTACGCTGTAAGAACTCGCTGAGATGAAGGAGTCGGCAAATCATTCTTCTCCCTCTTGCGCTGAGGACCCAAGACGATCAAGCTGGGCCCCCGAGCGTTTAACATTGCTCCACTACCGGGTCCTCGCGGCCGGACTCGTCTTGGGTGTCCCACAGGTCATACACTGGGACAGATCGCTTTGAATGCTTCGAGACACGGGGCGCCACGCCGCCGCAGGAGGATCGTAACAGCGGCGATGAAGCCAAATGGCATGGAAGAGTGCTTGTACATCACATTGGCGAAGGGGACACCAGGTTGAGTCGCCGATCCCGATCGGGGTCGAGCTCATTGGCGAGTAGATTGGGGTTAGAGGACAGGCGGAAACAGGCGGCGGAGAGTCCTCGGCGTCAGAGTCTTGCAGCAAAAGCCGAAAGGCCTAAAAAGACTATAGGTCACACGATGCAAACTGCAAACGAAGGTTTTGCCCCCAACTTTGGACGATGATGACACTTTCCGGGCTTCCGAAAATGTTCTGGTCAAGCTCGTCCTGATCCAGGGCGATACGTTTGAGCGCCCTGGCCTCGAACGACGATCCAGATGGATTGGCCCGAGCGGTGGGGTGGGTCTCAATGGTTGTAATATATGCATGAATGTAATTCGGTTACAGGGTCGTCTTGACAAGGTTCCTATCGAGCTGTAGCAGCGAACGTTCTCACTGGGAAGGATTTGCCTCGTGAAGGCCCGTTTCTGTGCTGCAAGTCTTGTGAACTCAAGTCCGAGGCTTCTTGGCACGACCTTCAACATCTAAGTCAAAAACGCAATCCCCCGCGAACCCTGTTCCCTTCCCTTCATCATCAATCATCAAGCACCAACACCTCCTCCTCCACCTCGCCACCCTCGACCACTTTCTGCACCTTACTCTGTGTCTTCTCATCCCCCTCCAAATCCGCTTCCACCGCCGTCCGTTTGACTCCCTTCTTCTTCGTCGTCGTCGTCGTAGCATCCACCTCGGTGATGATGAACTCGTCGTCGTCGTCCTTTTGTGCATCGTCCAAGTCCTCTTTGGCAATAGGTTTCGGCGCCTTCCTCGGAATGGGGGAAGGGATTTCCCCGTCGACTTTGAACGTCTCCGAAACCTCATCGGATAAGCTCGATCTGTGTGGAGGGGTCCATCGACTCGCGCGTACCAATCAGAAAAACGTATCCGCAAAGCCCTCACGAGCCCCCCACCCCGCGCAAAACGATCGCGATCGAGTCTCGGGAGACTCACCCTATCGAAAACACCACCGGCCAAGGTTGAGGTTCTTCCTCGTCCTCCATAACGGTAAGGAAACTCCCCTCCCCGACGCCCAATTCGACCAACGTTTTATCTTCGTTGTCTTCAAAATCTTCACGTTCGTACAACACTCTTGAACCCTGCGCGATGGAGACGAACCCTTTCCAACCTAGTTCTTTTTCGACGAGCTGCGTGACGAATTCACCCAAGGTCGCGGAAGCTTTGGCGTGGATGGGGACGTACACGGTCCTACAGATCGAGCAATGTTCATTCGGGACGAGTAATTCGATAGGGTTGAAAACTCTGCCTGAATTACGGGAGAGGTAGACCATCTTGGCCGTGACCCAATCGTTACGAAGGACGTTGAGAGCTTGGAGGACCAAGACGCCAGCGATGATGGCGTTCGTCGTCGCGATAGCGGGGATGATGTTACCCGCGTATTCTTTGACTTGGAAGCGGGTCTGTGACTCGATGTTGAAGCAGGATGCGCGCAGGTTCGCACAGGCGACGACAAAGTCGAGGGTGTCGTCGTCATCTTTGTCGAAGGAGAGGGGGGAGGTCGGGGAGATGCGCGAGGAGAGACGTTCGATGGAGGAGATGAAAAGATTGAACGAGTCGCGTAGGGATAAGGTGCGTTGATCTTTGATCAGACCTCCGGTCGAGCCGTTCGTAGCTGATGGGGTCGCAGTCGATTCGGTCGCCGCGTCCGCGCTCGTCGAGGTCGAGGTCGAGGTCGAGGTCGAGGCCGAGAGTTCGTCCCATGACAAAGGGTGAGGCGGTTTGCGGTGCTTCCACATGTCCTCCATCTTGAGCAGTCGATTGATGTCTTGCGAGTAAACCTGTTGAGCGTGCGACCAGATTGAGCCCCTTTGTGTGCCCAAACAAGGCTCTTCGAACGTTGTCGGGCGGGCGCACCCACCTTGTCAAACACCCTCTTGGCAGCGCCAGGTTCAGCCAGCGATCCACGCAGTTGTTTGATCGCAGCCGCTTCTTTGCGAAGTTCCTGGATCTCCTCAGCTGTGAAGCGGTCGCTCGAGGGTCAGTTCGGTCCCAGCCACAAGGGATGCAGGAGCAATCAGGGCACACCATTCTCGCCGTTCTTCTCGGCATCGTCCAATTCTTGCCCTTCGGCCTCGTCATCGGCGCCGTACAGTTGACTGTGAGAGGTGCAATTCGACACTCAGTACTGTACACGGACGAGCTTATAGATATTCCCGCTTACGGGAAAAGGTAGCTCTTGGCCCAAGCGATGCAATGATGGGCCGTGGAGGGCGTACTGCGGATCGTGCAGACGGCGAACGTCTTGGGAACGGGTTTGGCTGAAGAGAGTCGAGGAAGGGTGATCAGCAGTGTAACTAGTCTTTCGTGCGCCTAGGATATGGAGATCACGCACCTGTACAGTCGTAGCACTCGGTCTGGTCCTTTTTGATGGGTTGGACTTGGCCCGTGTAGCCGGACGTGCCGGATTCGATCAAGGGGACGTCGGCGGCCAAGCACATCTTGTTGACGTGCCTCCGGGCGTCTGCGCACGAAAGAGAGGTTTCGATTAGGATGATGTGCCAGAGGTGTTGGCTCGATAGGATGGAGTTCTGACCCAGGTTGTCGAGGGCGTTCATGACGAAATCGAACGATTTGAAATAGTCGACGCTGTACTCGGCGTCCTGTGGATCACTGATCTATCTCAATGGGCCGATCCAAGGCGTGACCGTTGACCCAGGGGCAGTGCGCGCACCTTGATGTTCCTGTGCAAAGCCTCGATGTGGACGTTGGGGTTGAACTTGAGCGCGGTCTCGCGAGCGACCTGCGCAACCAACGCAAGGTGAGAGCGCTCAGTTCGATTCGTGATCGTCGCGGTGCGCAAGCTCGGCACTGACCACAGCCTTGGGTCGCTTGACGTGTTGTTTCTGGAACAGGAACTGGCGGTTGAGGTTGGAGAGGTCGATGGTGTCGAGATCGAGCACTTGGATGAGCGCGTTGGCGCCGCCTCCGAAGCCGGTCATGACTGGGGTATATGGGGGGTCAGCGTTGGTTTGAGGGTGTCACCAGAAGTGGCCTCGAATGCCCACCCATGTTTTTGATCAATTCGCAACCGATCCCACCGGCGCTGCAGCGGCCATGATCGCGTCGTAGGCAAAGTCAACTCGGGGACGAACCTCACCAGACGAGGTGGAGCTGCGACCGGACCGGACGATGGTACTGACCCTACGACCAGCACACGACTGTTGTGCACCTTGGCAAAGAGCTCATCGCCGAGGATCGCTCGAGAATGGGCGTACCGGTTCGTAGGCGGGGCCATGGGAGCGGTGAGTTGGCGGGGGCGACGACGCGGGTGCGGGTCAGCACGCGGTCAGTGCACGAACTCAACCTAATCAACCAATAGCTACCCATAGCGGCCGCCGACCCAAACCGAATGCAATTGTCAATTCGCGCTTGGATTCGCCCCAGGAGACGGGTTATTATTAGTAAACCGCGTCGTCGTGCTTCGGCCGCGCTCCTAGAACGTAATCTAATAAGAACAGGCCCACCTGACATCGCGCGGCAGTTACTAGCAACCTCACCCCGCGACCACCTCTTACCTGCCTATTGCCACTTGCCACCCCTACCTGCTTAGCTTCCCCTCCCTCGGCCACTTTGCCTCCTCTCCCTCTCATGGCGGCACAGGACGTGCTCCCCCCGCCTGTGCAGGACTCGGTCGACATCAGCCATACACCTCTCATCCCTTCCACCTCGAGCGCACGACCCGATGCGCACACCCAACGCTATGACCGCCAATTGAGGTCAGTCTGACGCGCGCTGCGAGCTGCGAGCTGCGAGCTATAGGAGATTGCCGCTGAGCCGACTCTGGCCGCATCACAGGCTGTGGGCCAAGTCGGGTCAATCCGCTCTGGAGAATGCGGATATCCTCGTCGTGAATGCGACCGCTACGGCTGCTCAGACGCTCAAGAACCTCGTTCTTCCCGGTCCGTCACTTCCGCTCGACTCATGTGGGGTTCGAGCTCCACCTCGGCTTGGGAACGGCCAACTGCAACTGACCTGACCGGACTCTCCTCGACGCTCGCCAGGTATTGGCAAATTCACCCTCCTCGATCCAACCAAAGTTCAAGGCTCCAGCATTGGCAACAACTTCTTCCTCGACCCGACCAGCCTCGGCAAGAACAGGGCCGAGCAAGTGACCCAGTTCTTGCTCGAGATGAACAGCGACGTCAAGGGGGAGGCCATAGTAGAGGTGTGTTCGCGCCCCCGTACGGCTTTCCAACGGACCGAGCTGATCTCTTGCGGCCATACACGACTACCAGGACCTCTCCTCGCTGCTCTCGACCTCACCCGAAGCGCTCGAAAAGTACTCGCTCTTCATCGCCGTCGACGTCAACCCGACCGACTTGCTCCAGCTTTCAGACCTCGCATGGAAGTACCACACCCCCCTTATCAAAGTACGATCCTGTGGTTTCTACGGGTCCTTGAGGACTCAAATCAACGAATTGCCTAGCAAGTCCCTCGAAAGCTCTCTCTCAAAATGAAAGCGATCCTGGCTCATCCGAGACTTTTTCGTCCCACAGTCGTCGAGACCCACCCCGAGAGCCTGATCGACCTCCGAGTGCATCACCCGTTCCCCGAACTGATCGAGTACGCCAACAGTTTCAATTACGACCGCATGGACAGCGCCGAGTTTGGCCACGTCCCCGCCGTCGTCATCCTCGTCAAGGCGTTACAGGAATGGCGAGAAAGCGTGAGGATGAGCTTTACGCTCAGTATAAAGACCCTGTATTTGTACTGAAAAAATCCCTTCCATCGTCTCTCACTTAGCACGAAGGGAAAGGACCCAGTACGACGACCGAACGCAAGCAATTCGCCGACTCGGTCCTGGCCAAGAAGCGCCAGCACGACGACGAGAACTTTGACGAAGCCGTGACCTTGTTCAGGAGAGCGGGAACAAAGACGGGAGTGCGTCGCGCCACCTGGATCGTCCCAGGTCAACTTTACTTTGAAGAAAGATGCTGACTCTCGAATTGCCGTGCACAGATCCCGAGTGAAGTGCAGGCGTTATTCGACGATCCGTCGTGTAGCGACGTTTCTGCCTCTGTGCGTCAATGAGCCACGTCGAGTTCCCTGGGTATCCCAGCTGACTTAGACGGGAAGGATCGCGCACAGTCCGCCAACTTTTGGCTTCTCCTGCACGCCGTTCGTCTCTTCACCCTTCACGCATCGAACCCGTCCGGTCTTTTACCCCTCTCCGGAGCTCTCCCCGACATGAAGGCGCATTCCTCCGTCTACGTCGGTCTACAGAACGTCTATCGCACCAAAGCCCAACAAGATCTCCACCTCGTCACTTCCTTACTCTCCCAACTCCTCCAATCGCTAGGTCTCGATCGCTCCCGAATCGAAGTAGAAGAGATCGAGACTTTCGTCAAACATTCGGCCTACCTCAAAGTCGTACGAGGGAGGTCCTTGAGGATGGAGATGGAGCAATCCTTGTTGAGCGAAAAGGGAAAGTTGAAGGAAGTGATCGAGGCGGCGAAATGGGACGATGTACCTACGCGTGCTATGGAGATTTATTTGGCGTTGAGGGGGGCTGAGGTGTTTTATGAGAGGAGGGGCAGGGAGCCGGGGACTGGGGAAGGGGATGAGGACGGTACGGCGGATAAGGAAGACTTGGTGGGGATCGTCAAGGAGGTTGTGGAGGGGTTGGGAGGGGGATGGGACGAAGAGGCGTGGGAGGAAATTGAAAAGACGTGTTGGGAAGTGTGAGTTACCATTGAGGTGGCTTCTCGTCAGCTTTTACGGGTGGCTCCGGCGAATCTTGAAAGCTGAAGCCGCTCATTGGACGTTTCACAGCTGTCGAGCAGGCGGGTCGGACCTCCCTCAGATTGCTGCTTTGTTGGGGGGGATGGTCGCACAGGAGGCGATCAAGATCGTGACTAAGCAATATGGTCCGCTCAATGGGACGTGCGTGTTGAATGGCATTGCCTCGGCGACAGGGGTCATCAAGGCTTGATTGAGCGTTGGGTCGTCTGAGGGGTGTTGAGTAGCGGTTCGGGGGTAAGGGCCGGGAAATTGGGAGAGAGCATGGCTAAACGCACTTTGAGCATTGATCATACTGGCATTGCAAAAAACATTCGGCCCGCAGGGAAGAGGGCAATAGGCGCCTGACCCCTGTCTACTAGTGTCCCGAATTAGAACTCGAAGAGAACGCTGACAGCGATCGATGCCTTCGGTTAGTATTCATATCGGGCTTAGCAATCAAAAGTTCTTGCGGATTCCCAAGCAACACACGGTACCTGTCCTAGCACCTCCACCCACGTCCGGAGATTCGACCGGCCACCAATCAAAACGGCTGCGTTGCGAGTGAGCCGTTTTGAGAGGCGCGGGCGAAGGCAGGCTCGGGGACGCGCGCCGCCTATTGAGGTCGACTTGACGGAGCTCGGGAGTTTGACTCTTTCGCCTTCTCCCCACCACATCCACTCTCCACAGTCCCTCTTCCTCCAACACACATCCAACCAACCACTTTCTGAACATGTCTGTGAGTCATGCATGGATTATCGCATCCCCTCCTAGGTTGCTTCGTATCGCTGACCCGTCGTTGCCCGATCCGGTCTGATCAGGACAACTCTACGTGAGTGAGCGAGCACTTTATCGAGGCGCGCCGCCGGCCTTCCCACACGGTGGTCGATGTGGCGGGGCGGTGGGATATCTTCGCCGCCTGCCTACCCGTCACTTCTCATTCATGATCCTCACCAATTGCTTCTGAATGCCACCCACAGCCCCGCCAAGTGCCCCAAAGGAGGCGACTGCACCTGCGGTCAAGCTGGCAAGGTAAGCCTCGTCAATGACGACGACTCGCGCTTGGCGCTTCATTTGCGACGGCGCTGGACGAGGCGTACGTCAGCTGACCCCCACCCGTCGGTTGTTCGTTGCATACAGTGCGGATCGAGCTGCTCGTGCTCGACCACCCAAGCTTGTGCCTGCAAAGCCGCTGGAGGGTCAGTTATTCAACGGTCTGATTGCCCTTCTCGATGCGGTCGCGAATAGAGCGCTCTCTCCTGACTCAACGTCCCCCTCGCCTCTTTATTCCGCGCGCCACAGAACCTCGACGTGCTCGTGCGCCGAGGGTCAATGCGCCTGCGCCCAAAACAAGGCTGAAGAGCCTGCCAAGTCGTAAGTCGCTGTAAGATGACACAGGATACATTTAGCATGAAATCATCATGCTCATGCTGACTCGATGGATCCTCTGTTTCTCTACTCGCGCCCGGCCTCCTGTCTATTTTACCCCTCTCCACAGTGGCTGCTGCAAGTCCAAGGTCTCCGTCTCCACCCCCGCCGTCGTGACGGCCGAATCATGCGGCTGCGCCTCCTTCTCCTGCCACTGCGGGGACAACTCTACCTGCTCGTCCTGCGACCGCGGCGCCTCGACCAAGTCGTGCGGCACGGGTCCCCAAGCGTGCTGCAAACCTGGAACGTCGGCCGGTTCGTGCGGTTGCGCTTCGACGTCTTGCACGTGTGGTGAGGACCGCCAGTGCTCGTCGTGCACGCGTTCGAAGGCCAAGTCGTCATCCAACACCTCAGCTTGCTGTTCGTCGTCCAAATCGTGCTGCTCCAAGGACGAGAAGTCGACCGGACCTCAAGACTGCTGCAAGTCCGGCTCGTCCGCTGGAACGTGCGGCTGCGATTCCTCGTCGTGCAACTGCGGTGACAAGTGCACTTGCTCTTCCTGCCCCAAGGGGAAGGGAAAGGCCACTGGTCCTCAAGAATGCTGCAAGCCCGGCTCGACCGCTGGAACTTGCGGCTGCGACTCGTCGTCGTGCAACTGCGGCGACCAGTGCACTTGCTCGTCGTGCCCCAAATACAAGAGCAAGTCGACCGGCCCTCAAAGCTGCTGCAAGTCCGGCTCGTCTGCTGGAACGTGCGGTTGCGATTCCTCGTCGTGCAACTGCGGCGACAAGTGCACTTGCTCGTCGTGCCCCAAGAATAAGGGCAAGTCGACCGGCCCTCAAAGCTGCTGCAAGTCCGGCTCGTCTGCTGGCACGTGCGGTTGCGATTCCTCGTCGTGCAACTGCGGCGACAAATGCACTTGCTCGTCGTGCCCCAAGAATAAGGGCAAGTCGACCGGCCCTCAAAGCTGCTGCAAACCCGGCTCGACCGCTGGAACGTGCGGCTGCGACTCGTCGTCGTGCAACTGCGGCGACAAATGCACTTGCTCGTCGTGCCCCAAGAGTAAGGACCAGTCAGCCGGACCTCAAGAATGCTGCAAGCCCGGCTCGTCTGCTGGAACGTGCGGCTGCGACTCGTCGTCGTGCAATTGCGGCGACAAGTGCACTTGCTCGTCGTGCCCGAAGGCCAAGACCTCCGCTTGAGCAGTAGTCTCAACATCCCACACGACGTCAAGAGCATCTCGACGTCTTCTTCAACCCCAGAACCCGGTGGAAGTGTTTTTCTCGGAAGGTGCAACGATCTTAAACTGGCATTGTAAGCTATTATTAGTCGTGCTGCGGTTTCGGGTCTGCATGGAATGATTATCCGAGCTTCTTTTTATTCTTGCTTAAAACATTCGGACGTTCTGGTATGAACATGTGCCCTTCCTTCTCGCGAGAGTGGATATGAGGCTCGAGTGTTCTTTTCGCCTGCGTGACCCTGCCAGCAGAATGCCTCTCGTAAGTGGCGCCGACCGCCACTCATCCGACTCAGGGGGCCATGGGCGCTGAGCCGAACATCATGGCTCTTATAGTCGCTGTGAGGGACGAGACGAGCGAGCACCCATGCGCATCTGGATTGGGCCCGTACGACCATTCAATGAGGTCGTTCATAATTTTGAAGTTCGGAAACTCAAACTAGGCCGCGCCCTGCCGCGTCGCTGGCTTCGGCTTCGGTCCGGTCACGCGCTAAGCCCTGATCGGGAACTTGAAAGGCTTGCTCATTCCGCCACAACGACGACCGACACACCACGATCGCTCTTCTCCTGGAACTCCACTTCAAAGCCCCGGCAGTGGGGATTCTCACGGACTCGGGACCATCACTCTTTGGCATCGAACACGTCTTGGCTCTCTGGATCCTCAACCCGTTTTTCAAGGTACAAGGAGAATCGTCATCGTTGCGCACAGTCTGGATTCCAAGGGAGCCCAAACGAGTCGTGATCTCGACGCCGAAGTCGGAGTCCGGTGAGGCCGACTTGAGCGGCGGGGAGGTACCACGACACTCCATCACTCGAACGGCCCACACCAAGTTCAAGAACGATGGCCCCCATCCGAATGTTCTCCCTCGGACGCCTCCTCTTCGTGCTCTTCTGCCTCCTCTTCGTCCTGCACCTCTTCAGCTCACCGGCACCAACCGACCAAACCTTGAACGACGACGACGAGCGAGAAGCAGGGTGGTCCGAACGTTTGGGTCTGGACCATTATGCCGATTGGGAAGCTGGGGTGACGAACAAGTTGGGGAGTGGTTTGGATGTGGTAAAGCAGGGGCTTAAGGGGAGTTTGGGGTGGGGATCGCAAGGGACTCGAATGGGGAGCTTGTACGAGGTGAGTGCTCGCGATAGGCTGGAGCCGGATGACTTCGCACGATGAGATAGAGTCGAGTGGGGTGCACCTACTTGAGTTACCCCGCACCCGGGGTGCGAACTCCGGGTTGTAATGGACTCAAAAGATCGCCTTCGCATGTCTTGCCCGTCACCCAGTTCCAGTAAAGGCCCAACGCTGACCCCTAAATGCCGCCTCGGCTCTCCACCCCCACACAGCTCGTCGCTTCGTCAGATCCATCACCAAGACCAGCATACTTCGACGCTCGGACATCATTCGATCGTATACGGCTCACCTCAGCTCGGTATCTTGGCCATGGGCCGAATGATGACGAGAGGACGCCTACGACGGCCGAATCTTCGGCCGCAGAAGCCGAGGACAATATCGCCTCGTTGACACGGAGGCATATTCTCGTGACCGGAGGGTTTGGGTCGCTAGGGAGATATGCCATTCGCGACCTTCTATTGGGACACTCTTCGGGCGCCTTTAAAGCAAAGACGTCGAAAGACCCCGACGAATGGGTCGCCGTACCGGGTCAAACACCGCCGATCGACCCGAGTCGCAAAGATTTGCTGGTCACCATCGTCGACGTCGAGGACCGATCCGCCGAGCTCGACTTTCTCTTGCACAACGCCCCGATCGACGAAAAACCTAAAGTCAAGGGGACCGATCCTCGAGCATCGGCTTTTGCTTTGAGTGAACGAAGCATCGATAGTTTCAAGAGGCAGGGGAAGCTGAGGATCGTAATCGGCGATGTTCGCGATAAGGACCTGATGAAGAAGATGCTCTCACCTGATGGGATGCTCGTGACCGAGTTGGCGACGCAACAATCTCCTGCGGTAGGAGAAGTCAAACCCATCGTGGCAGGAGGTCATCTGACGACGACGATCAAGATCCCTCCCGTTTCGGGCATAATACACCTTGCAGCCTACAACCCCTCAGCATGCCGGCTGAATCTGCGGGAGTGCGAAAATGTAGAATCGGAAGGGATGGACGTTGTGTTGGAGCAGCTCGAACGACCCGGTCTCGAAAAGCCACCCTCGTCGAAGTCGAACGCCGTCTTCGCGAACCGACCTTGGATCGTAGTACCCAGACGAAGAGATTCTTGGAATGATGTCCCCGAAGCGTACAATCGCAACGCATCGGAGCTATCGACGGAAGGGGCCATCGAGGCGCTCAAGACGTTCACCGTTCATCACCCTCTGCATTCGCTCTTGCTGCGTCTTCCTCCTCTCGATTCGATTGTTGGTGATCCTTACGCATCTCGCTCGGATGTGATCCCTCATCTCGTCGAGTCTGCACTGGGACACATGCCCTTGCATATTTACACCTCTCCCGATAATTACGAGCCATTTCTCGCCGCCAACGATGCTTCACTGTCGATCATTCAGAGTGCTCGCATGCTCGAACTCGCCTCGAGGAAGAAGTTCCTGCGTGCACTTGGATTTGTCGCCGAGGTCGATGTGGTCGGTGCCGAACGGAGAACGAAGGGCCCAAGCACGCTCCCGATCGTCGACATGGTCAAGACCATCATCCAATTAACGTCGAGTCAGTCGCCCTTCCTCGAGATCAAGCAACTCAATGCTACCTCGTCGTCGAGCGGCTTGAATGCCGATCAACTGAAGGCGCAGCAAGCGTCATTCCGCAAGAGGGCCGACAAGACCATTGGGTTCAGACCCTCGACCACCCTGCGCGTCGAGCTCAAGCGCTATATCGCCGCCGTCTTGAAGCGGCACATGCCATATTTGAGCAGCAAGATCAAAGTCGCTTGCGCCTCGCCACCGTCGACCTCGGTACTCGAGAGCGGGATCCTGGCGTTGAACGGGTGCAGTGCGCAGCTATTGACGATCGTCGAAGGGAGCTATTGGATGTTGGGCTGCTCCGAGGGGGTTGAAGGGCCTCATTTGGAACCTTTGGCGATCCTCCCCGCGGTTCCGTTCAAGGAGGGGGTGCGCGCAGTTGAGATTGTTGCCGAACAAGGTCACGATGGTAAAGCCGACCTGCAACTACGGTGTCCGCGTTGGAAGGATGGTAAACTGACGGGTGAGAGCGAGGTCATTATTTGGGCCGAGACGCGCGACGGAGGTGAATTTGCGTTTGCTTCCAAGCCGGGCGTGCACAAGATCGCGGATTGGTTCCCTGTCGAGTTTGTCAAGCGCGATTCGAGGGCCTTTTTCCTTTCACTTCCGCCGACACAGGGCAAGGCCGAGGGCGAAGAGAAGAAACGGCACTTGACTATTCCGGAACCGACGTCAACGCTGAAGAAGATCATGTTCAAGACCGATATGGACAACTCTAGGGTCGCGCATTTCAAGATCAACCCTATTTGCTGCCCCAATAAAGACGTCAGCAAGGAAGGATGGGACTTTTTCAAAGAAGATCGTGAGTTATTTATTGGGCTATGTTGCTCTTCGTCGCGAAGCGTGACTAACCTACGCTGCACGCGCCACCCTTCAGCCCTGCTCGCCTCTCAAGTGTTGTTCCCCGTCCAGGAGGGACACGTGTCTTTGATCGCCTCGACAACGAGTGTTCAAAGGTGTCGAGAGCTGCACGCCGAATACGAACGCATCCGCAAGCTCGAACGCACCCTAGATCCCAAGGCTGCGGAGCCCGTATGCAACCCCAAACGCGGCGACGCCTCCGGGTGGTCGGCAAAGTCATTCCCCATCTGCCCTATCGACTGCGATGCCCCACTCAAGTGCATCGCCACGGAAAAGTGCAAGTGCACACGCGATCGATGCGGCATCTCCGGAAGAAATGGTCCATTCCCCAGTGTTGCCTGGAGTGATCGAATCTCGTTCAGCAAAACCGTGGTCCCCGTGGCCAAGTTGACCTTGCAGCAGCGCGTCAATGCGATTCCATGGGAGCACGTCCTCTTGCCCGGAGCACAACACGCGTTCGCGACGCCGCTCAACGATCTACCATTCGCCCACGTCGTCGCGTTGCCCAAGTCCGTCGACAACCATCTCACTTCGCCCGCGTGCTGGAACATCGACAAGTCGCCTCTACCTTTCCTCGGGGATCATATCCTGATCGAGGCGCTGAAGGAGAGGAGCGTCCCGCTTGCGGAAGCCGACTTTGTCATGGTTCCATACTACCAGGGGTGCTACTACAACTACCTCCAAGAGAACACCTTCAAGAAACTCGCCGACACGATTGGGTTTACCGAGTCGCGCACAGCTTCGGTGCCTCACCTCAAGGCATCCAAGATCGTCGTACCCTTCACACACGACTTTGGCTCCTGCACCGGATGGTGGCCCAAACTCGGGGACGTCCTGGGCCGGACGCCGCCGGTGCCGATGGATCAGGCTCTGGCGTGGCAGGTTAACGGCGACTACAATACCAAGTGCGTCAAACCCGATCGCGACGTCATCATCCCTGCCGTGACGAAGCATACCAAGGCATTGCTCGAGACGCACAAGACGGCCAGCGACATCGTCCCCGTTCAGGATCGAAAGTTCCTTGCGTTTTTCGCCGGTGGCGTCCGTGGCTTTGGCGCGATCGTCAGAACCAAGCTTGGCTGTGGCCGCTCGGGTGGTCACCATGGTTCGGGCAAGATTTTGTACCAGCAGTATGCGCCAGGTCAACGGTACCTCGGGACGCTCTCGAACGCTCGATTCTGCCTGCTGCCTCGCGGGATCCCAGCGTGGACGACTCGGACCTTCGAAGCGATCTATGCGGGCTGCATCCCTGCCTTTATTGTCGATCGCAACCTATTCCCTTTTCAAGACATCCTCGACTACTCCCTGTTCTCCGTCTCGATCCCCGAAGCCGAAGCGCACCGCGTTGAAGAGATCCTCGGATCCTATCCGGAACAACAGCTGATCGAGATGCAGGCCGTTTTGGTCAAGGTGCGCGATGCGTTCGTCTTTGACCAGGGGCATGAATGGGAAAGGAAGGGCCCGTTGTTTTTTACTTTGGTGTCGATGATGATGAGATTGGATTTGGGGTATCCTCAAGTCGGGAGTTGTGGGATGGTGGTCAAGGATACGACGCAGTGATTTCATTCTCTCGTCTTTCCAGAGGCCTTGACAAGTCGCGGATGAGAATCTCTTGGAGGTTCGGCGTTTCTCCGGTCACTTTGTACAAACAAATGTCGTTACTCGCACTCTTTTTGTGACATTATATTTGAAATTACCTTCTGTCAACCTGTTCACTCTTCTTCGTCTAATACGCGGCAAGCTTTGCGTGATATGCTTCTACCCGGGATTCGCGGCCGGTTCGACGACACTCCGGCGTCAGCCCGAGGGCCTGATAACGCGCCCCGCTCCGGCGAAGGTCTTCCTGCCACTAATAACTGGCAGGGGTTTCGGGAGCGGGAGTGAGGCATTTCTCGAGTAGATGATGATGGTCCCCTTGCAACTCGGCGACCCTGGTGACTGACACTGTCACAAGAGCTGAACTCATCTTCCTGCGAGAACGGTCATGCTCCGATCTGCCTCTCGAACTTCGGGGATCTGGACGCGGGTGGGGAAGAAGTGTGAGTGATATCGACCTCGAAAAGCCTTCCACTGCACCAGTGCGAGGCTTGGCTGACACCCACTATGCGCTCTCGGCCTTGTGTTTAGGGTTGAGTTATGGGCTCTATGCGTCTGGTGTAGAAGTCACAAGTGTAGCATCTTCTGCTGGTGAGGCTCACATGACGTGGAAGTATGGTGAGTCAGCTCGTGTGTCGCACAGGGGGTTTCTGTCGGACTCGACCTCGCTCGATCATCATCATCATCATCATCATCATCATCATCATCATCATCATCATCATCATCATCATCATCATCATCATCATCATCATCATCATCATCCACGAACATCACCATCGTAATTCATCATCGTCGTGGTTATGCATCATCGTGCTGGCTATCGCATACTTTGCTGTTGTACATCAGGTCATCTTCCAAACCTTCATTGAATACTGGTGGACCATGCGCCACGTCTTGCACGCCGAGTCCGAGCTCGATTTAGAAGCTCTCAACACGGCCTGCCGCTGACCAATCCGTTCGCTCACGCGCGCGCACGCGCGCCTGGGCCGATTTTATTGTATGGCTTTTATCTGCGGCTTGTCGCCTTTTTGTCCATAATAATGATCGGTCGTAGACCTTTGAGTCGACGGCTCCAGCCAGGGCCGAGCAGCGCCCGTACAGATTGCAAGTCACCCGTTTCCCAGCTTCCCACCCACGTTGCGTCGAGGAAGCGAGTTCCCCCCCCCCCCCTTCTTGTACATCTTCCCCTCAACCCCGTTCGCGTGCTTACTCGACACTCGACGTGGTGCTCGGGAGCAGATCTGGGACGCTGTTGATCTCCGCTTGATTGTATCGCTTCCCCGCCCCGCCCGCGCCGTGGTGACGATTCGGACTTTGTGCCGTCGTGTGGATCGACCAGCGACAGCGTGATCACGACGACGACGACGACGACGACGACGACGGCCGACGTGTGTGTGCGCGAGTGTATGAGGAGTCAGGAGACGGTCTACTCCGAATAGAGATCCAGACGACGAACCATCACGACCAAAGTGACGACTCGGAAACCCGAGACGACGACGACGACGACGACGACGGTGCCCGCATCCCCTGTCCCCGCCTCGCGCCGACTGCCACCGCTCATCCAACTCAAGGACAAGAACAAGGACCGACCCAGGACCGGCTCCTCCTCACGCCCGCACACGCCCCAGTCGCACACCCCGACGCAGACGATCAACGCCTACGCGGTACCGCCGGCCATGTCGACCCAACACATTGTCTCGAGTTCGAGCGCGAGTTCACACCAACACCGCGGCACCGACGGCGGCGTCGTCGGCGTGCACTACCGCGTCCTGCGCAAGATCGGAGAGGGTAGTTTCGGCGTCATCTTTGAAGGTCAGTCAGGGGATTGCGATTGCTGCTGGGATGCGCCGAGGGGAGGTAGGCTTGGTCTAGATGGGTCTGGCTCTGGTGCGCTTGGCTTGTCGGGCGGTGGCTGCTGGCGGACTGGCCGCTGGCTTGGGCTCTCACTCACGCCCATACTCGACTCGGCGGGTCGTTCCTTTGCGCGCACGCCCACGCACGCGCATCCACCCACCCACCCACCCGCTGCGCCCGTCGCCCGTCGCCCGTCGCCCGCGCTTGCCTCGCGTGCCGACCAGGGAGGTTGGTCGATCGCCGCTCGCAATGATGAATCTGACACCCCCGCGGTACTACTCGCACATGGCACAGGCACGAACCTACTCAACTCGCAGACCGTAGCTATCAAATTCGTGAGTCATTGCAGCAGGTCTTGGCGGGATCTTTTTACTTCGGATGCGATCGACAGCAGTAACGACCGCATGCTCGTGTTGTGGCACCCCGCGCGGCATCAGGGGGCGGCATAGAGGCGCCGCGAGGAGGCGCGCGCCCAGCCAGGGCCGATGTCGGATCAGCAGCAGCTCGAGCTCGACCGACGTGGAACCCCCCGCCCCGCAGCCCATTTGCCGATCTCTACCCAACGATCCGCTGACCTTCCTTGTCACTCTGTGTGCATGTGATCCAACAGGAACCAAGAAAGAGTGACGCGCCGCAGTTGAGGGATGAGTACAGGACATACAAGATCCTCGCCGGCTCGCGTGCGTATTCCCCCTCGTCTCATCGATCTCGAGTGACCGAACCTGGCACTAGAGAAACTGACACGCGTAATCGTTCCCATGTATCTTCTACCCTACAACAATCGACTACGACCTGCACCTCCACCACCCGCCATTTTCGCCTTCCGTCGACGTTTCCTGCACAGCCGGAGTCCCCCAGGTGTACTACTTTGGCCAAGAAGGCCTGCACAACATCCTCGTCATCGATCTGCTCGGCCCTTCGCTCGAGGACCTGTTCGACATGTGCGGGCGCAAGTTCTCGATCAAGACCGTGGTGATGACGGCGAAGCAGATGCTCACGCGCGTGCAGACGATCCACGAGAAGAACCTCATCTACCGCGACATCAAGCCCGACAACTTTTTGATCGGTCGCCCGGGAACGAAGACGGCCAATACCGTCCATGTCGTTGATTTCGGGATGGCGAAGCAGTTCCGCGATGCGAGAACGAAGCAGCATATCCCTTATAGGGAGAGGAAGAGTCTGTCCGGTACGGCCAGGTACATGTCGATCAATACTCATCTGGGACGAGGTGAGTTGTAAAAACTGTGACGGCGTGATTGGTGGTGAGGAGGGTGAGCTGATCCCGATGCACACCCGCAGAGCAATCTCGCCGAGACGATCTCGAGGCTCTGGGGCACGTGTTCATGTACTTCTTGCGGGGCGGTTTGCCGTGGCAGGGGCTCAAGGCGGCGACGAACAAGCAAAAGTACGAGAAGATTGGCGAGAAGAAGCAGTCGACGCCGATCAAGGAGCTCGCCGACGGGTTCCCCGAAGAGTTCGCCATCTACCTCAACTACGTGCGCAAGCTCGGTTTCGAGGAGACGCCCGATTACGACTTTTTGCGAGAGTTGTTCACCAAGGTGTTGAAGAACTCGGGCGAGGCCGAGGATGGGATTTACGATTGGATGATGCTCAACAACGGCAAAGGGTGGGAAGCCGGGCAGACCTCATCATCGTTGCTCGCACAGGCCGGAAACAACGCTGCCTACGACAACCGCCACCACCGACAGCCGCGAGATCGCGAGAGGGAGCGTGAGCGAGCCGAACGACATGCCCAACGAGCGGCCGCTGCCGCTGCTGCTGCCGCGGGGACATCAGGGAACATTGCGAATTCGCCTGCGTTGGCGGCGAAGCGACAAAATTCGGGCTCGGCGACGCCGGTACCAAACGCCTCGACCATGGCCGTCAAGGGTGTGCCTCCCCCGGCTGGAGCGGCGACGACCGACCGTGGGGATCGACAGGCCAAGCGGAGCTCGGCAGGGGCGGCGCAGACGCATCCTTATGCGTCGCATAACCAAGGTGCTGGAGGCTACGAACGCAACGATTCGGATTACGAGGCGAGAGGGTACCGGTCCGGTCAACAGACGCCGGCGAACCAAGGGATGTCGTCGCAGAACATTGGTGGTGCGACGGGTAACGCCAACAATGCCGCTTACGACGACGAGGATCGTCTTGACAAGGGGGGCTTTTCGATCATGAAGCTCTTGACATGCCGGTGTGCTTGAAAGGGCTAGGCCAAGGACTGGCTTTTCTACCACCCCTCCCTAATCATATTCGTCATCATTCTCTACGGCTCGTCGTTTTATCTATACCCTCCCCGACCCCGACCTGTACAGAACCCCGCCGAAAGCATCCTTGCACTTTCTTCGTCTTCGCTTATCTTGTGTGCGAATTCCGACCTGCCCCGGCTTTCTGTTTTCCTTTCTTCATCAGCAACCATGCGAGCTTCATCGACGTCTTAAGAATCACCATCTCTAATCCGTCCCGTCCCGTTCCGCAAGATACCCCAAACCCGCACGACCCCGCGTGACTTGACCACTCCGCCCATTAAAGCTTTTCCTCTCTTCCTCCGCGGTCTTGGTTCTGCGTCAATGCAGTTTTTTCTACCACCGTGTGTTCCCCCCCCCCATTACGTCTTTCAGTTTCTCCTGCTCGATCTCCGTACGCTTCATCTTCCTCCCGTTCCCCTTCCCCCCTCCCTTTCTCCTCTCTTGTGCAATCGAAATCCCATCCTACGCTATAGTTTACACTCTTGTTTTTTTTAAAAAAAACCCCTCTCGATCTTGGGTTGTGAGGCGTGCTACAGTCGGCTTTACAGCTGGTTCTTGAATTGCAGGGGACGCAAAGGGAGGGAAAAGGAAGTAGTGTGCGCAACGGTCGGTTACACGAGAAAAAGAAAAAAAGAAAAAAGAAAACGAGAACGAGTAAGGAGGGATGGGTGTATAAGGAGAAGCAACAGAATGAGCAGGACAGTAAGGGCAGTATCTAGAAGGGCGTATAGTAGGAACAATGATGATGGCAGGCTCCGGAGTAAAGGGGTCGATAGGTACATGGGTCGGACTGGGGAGAGTGGGTCCTTGGGTGTGGGTGTGCGCGAGAATGCGGCTTTTTTTTTTTTTTTTTTTTTTTTTTTTCAATATCTAAGCAGTGTTGGCTTCGACATCGGGTTGAGTATCGTCACTGATTAAGCTGCGTCGTGTGTTCGCCTCCACGTCCGGTGGAGTATCCTCGCTGATGATACTGCGCTTATTGTTCGACCCGCCGAGTTCGGACAGAAGGCCCGAGATGTCCTGATTTTTTTTGGGGTGACACGAATATCAAGGAGTGATCAGTATGCAGGTTCTTGGGGAACTGGGGGGGGGGGGGGGGGGAGCGAAAGCAACTTACGGATTGTGAGAGAGGACAGGCGAGGGAGGTAGAGGAGGAGAACCTACGAGAGCATATAACGCATAATACTGAATCAGTCTTTTTCCCCAATCGCGTAGACAAGAAAGAAAAGGATACTTACGAAGGACTGATCTTGATCCCCACCACCTTGAACGTAAGTCGAAGTTTATAATTGACCGTGATGTCCGTATTCGAAATCGAAGACGAGGTGTTGTAGAAGCCGCACCTCGTGGCGATATCGCGCAGGACGACGAGGTCCAAGTCGTACGCGGTCGTATAGTTGACTTCAAAGGGGAAGCGGATGGTGGTGCTGTTTTCGGAGGGAGGGAGGGAGGAGGGTGGTTAGTGCGAAAAGGGTTGGTGGGGGATGTAGGGTCTTACTTGGAGTCTTTTTTAATCTCGACGCCGTCGAGCGTTCCTCCGCCGAACGCGATCGAGGGCTTGAGAGGGTGGTAGGCATCGGCTTGGATGCGGTCAAAGGTCACTCCAAAAACTGGGTATGAAGAAACGTATCCGTCGGGGTGTCAGTATACGTTCATTCCCGGTCAACCTTGTGAAGCAGGTCACTCACAGTTGGGGTTGAGCACACCGATCTTGCGTGAGCGAAAAAAGTTCATCAGGGCCATGAAAAGCGTCAGCTTGCCCATTCCAAACTCAGTGCAGAGCCACTCTAGTCCACACACTGACCTTGAGCCTGAAATTGATCAAGAACCCATCGCCGGTAACGGTAACTTCTTGGCCGTTCGAGGGGAGTTCGATCCCATTGAACGAGACCGCAGGTGGTCGAGTCCATACTGCGCATGGGAATCCGAATCGGGGGTTTGAATAAGCTCGGCGTTTCTCTGAAACATCCAAAACATGAAGACGGTCCGAATGAGACCCCAGCCCATGGGCGCAGGCCGAGAAATACGAACATAGGAACGAGGTGACCACTCCAACGAGGATGATGATGAACATGAGGACGATGCAACACACGACGCGGCAACAGGCTCGCCCCTTTCCACCGCGGGTGAAGGTCCCCTTGTGTTCGTCCGTGCGCCACTGTCGTAGCCCTTCCTTTTTGGGGATCTGCCCTTCGGCTGCCATCTGTGGGGCAGAAAAGTTGAAATTAAAAGTCGGGGACTGGGGTCGAGAGCTGGTCTGCCGGTGTGACTGACCTGAGCGGCAATGGACCCCCTCGTGACGGGATTCAACCCCTTTTCGTACTCGAAAGCGTCGTCCGCTGCGGTCGCGGTTGTCGCACCCTGCGCCGGCCCACGAGGAGGGTACGTCGTCGTCAGATCATGCTGATTCCTGCCTCCGGGGATGGCGTGATCGCGCCCCACGTAAGACGCTTCGGAGAAGGTCGAGTCGGCGTGTTGGGCTGGGGCTGGGGCTGGGGCTGGGGCTGGGGCTGGGGCTTGAGCGTGGGTCGCGTAAGGGTTGTGGTAGGCTTGTGGGGCGTAGTACGGGTCTGAAGCGTCGTGAGGGTCGTAGTGGTTGGGGTAGGACATGGTGGGATGCTGAAAGGGGAGGGGGGTCTCCCTAGGGCGAGCACCAGAGTTGGTGTCGAGCGGAGCGGAGGCGATGCAGGTGAGCGATAACCGAACCACCCACGCCGATCGATGGGTTGGGAGGGGAGGTGCGCAGTGACAGGTCGAGGGAGCAGTCCTGTTAGCTGATCCTAGTGGGGTCGACGATCCGCTGTCGAGTTCGTATGTGGTGGTGCAGGATCAGGTTGCGGGGGAGAGCGAGAGCGCAGCGGAGCAAGCATCGACTCGGATAGACCCCAGCTGACCCCAGCTGACCCCAGCAGCTGCGTAACGCGGTGCCGAATTCCAAGTTTGAGCTTGGACCACCTCCCCACCTCCCCACCGTGCAGTAGTGAACCGCTACAGAGGCCACGGTCCCGGGGGCAGTGAATTTTCCATGTATCGCGAAACGTTTTGAGAAAGTTTCCGAGAAAGGTTGTGGTCAAGTCGAATGTAGTTGGGAATTGCTAATGAGATTGCGCTAATGCCATCTCTAATCGCCTTTTGACGGCTAATGAGGCGCGCGCCACGCTCTGCCACGCTTCTGAGGCAAGCAACTCGATCGATTGTCGCTCCCGACATTTTGACCTTGCACTGCACCTTGCACTGCACACGTCTGCGCGGGTACATCACGTCGACACTCAACCGACGGGCTCACCGACGGGCTCACCGCCGCACACCATCCAGTACCCCCTCGTGGCTGTTGGCTCTTGCCCTCCACTCAGGCTGTGCATCTGAAGGCATCTGTGGACCAGTGACGATCTCGATCGAGCACACGGCCACGACACGTCAACGCCTCGCCTCGCTCCGTACTCACTCCTCACTCCTCACTCCCACCCCTAGCTAGAGCAATCGCAACAGTAAGCCATGCTCACCGTCTCCATCCTTTTCTCACCACCAGTCCTGACTGGCCACCTCTACCTTGCCACAGTGTACGGCTCGGGCTCAGGCGCGCGTTCCCCGCCGCCGTTGCAGCATCCACGCCCCAAGCACCCGCCCTCCCAGATCCCGTCCACCTCACCACCCCCACCCGACTTTCTCCCCAACGACTCGCGCTCGTACCAACGCTTCTCGTCTCCTCCCATTCATCACCAACTTGCGCCGCCGCCACAGCAGCAGCAAGGAGGTGGCGGCGGCGGCGGCGAAGGCGGCGGGTACTACGCCGCAGGAGCCGGAGCTTCCGGTTCGTCGAGGAATATCCCACACCAAGCAGGCGGAGCACACTATGGCCACCCACTGCAACAACAGTGGTCACCTCAACAATCGCACGCACAGGGCTACCCCGACGCCTACATCCCTTCAGGTCACCAAGGGCCGACCACGAGCCACTCGGCTTACTCGGCCCATTCCCAAGCCCCGTCACAGCAGCAGCAACCACCACCCCCATTCGCAGCGGCCGGTCGAGCAGAAGGCGGTGGCGGTGGCGGTAATTGGCTTTCGGGCGGGATCGGTCAAGCTGCGGGTGCGGTTGGGCAGGGAGGTATGCCTTCCTGGCCCGGGATGAACGACGCCACGACCGCGATGGGCGTCCAGTTCGGTAAACACGCCTTCGACGCTGGGCAAGCCTACCTCGACAAGAATTTCACCCGTCTCTTACCGTTGGCGCATCTCAAGCACTCGTTCAACGTATCCAACAGCTACGTCCTGCAAAAACTTCGTCTCGTGTTGTGGCCATGGCGACATCGTCCTTGGTCGCGTTCGCTCAAGCGCTCCGAAAGTTCCGGTGTCGCCGAGGGTTGGAAACCGCCTCGCGACGACATCAACTGCCCCGACCTTTACATCCCCGTCATGAGCGTCGTGACCTACATCCTCCTCTCCGCCATCATCGCCGGAAAGCAAGGGCAATTCGATCCGCGGATCGTCGGACAAACGGCCTCGAAATCGTTCGGAATCCTGGTGCTCGAATTCATTTGCATCAAATTGGGGTGTTACCTTCTGGGAATAGGGGAGGAAGGCACGGTCGTGGATATGCTTTCGTACGAAGGGTACAAGTTCGTCGGGGTCATTGTCACGCTTTTGGCGGGCTTGGTCGGCTTGAAGGGGTGGTCGTATTGGGGCGTGTTTGGCTATGTGTTTTTGGCCAACTTCTTCTTCCAGGTTCGTGATCACCCGCTCATACCCTTCCCAGCGTTGTAAACCTAACGATGCTTTTCACATCCAGCTCCGTTCCCTGCGGCACATCGTCCTGCCCGACCCGAACAACATGACCACGCCGATGGATTTCGTCGACCAATCCACTTCGTCGTCGAACCATTCGATGGGCATGGGCACCTCCACCGGCGTTTCGCACGGTCAGAGGTCGAGGAGGATTCAGTTCCTCTTCGTCGTCGCGGCGTTGCAGGGCGTTTCGATGTTCGTTTTGGTGCATTTCTGAACGACGGTTTGGGAGAGATTGATGGAGGGGAAGAGGGGGAGCGGGCGCGAGGAGGCCGAGAGAGATAGGATAGGGAGGTGGTTGTGGACGAGGGTTACGTGTTTTTGAGGAATGATGAAACGATATTGACTATATTACCATCAAGATCAAAGAAGTTTCTCAAGGTTTTTGTTTTTGTTTCCTGCGCAGTCCCACCCGAACAAGTGTTGAGCGCTCGCTCGGCCTCGAAGAAAGGCAAAAACCACGATTATCACGCTCAAAGTTCGGCAGCCGCCAAGTCAATCATCCGAGCTGACGTGGCTTCTTTTCTCTAGCGAAATGTGGAGATTTTATTCTAAAGAAGAGGGTTCGTAAGAATTGAATTAGGGGAGGTAACGAAACCAAACATTGATGAACAAGGATATTCTTAGTCGGGTGAATCTGGTGGGTCAAGGAAAATCCAAAGTCCGGACAGAAGTGCAAGTCGTCGCCGCCCCCACCGGCCCCACCGGCGACGGTTGTCGTTTCGATCTCTTCTTACTCCACAAGACTCGATTCGATCACCGTCCGACACGCTTCTCGCTTCTCGCTCCGACGCTTTGATGGCTAAATCGAAGGGAAAGGGGACTCGGGCCAAGTCTGAACCAGAACCAACACCAACACCAACACCACCAGCACCCAAGAAGCTACAAACACCAACAGCAGCAGCAGCAGCAGCAGCAGCGCCGCGCGAAGACGCCGAACGCGTTGGGGGCGACGACGGCACCATGCCCACGCCTACGCCCACGCCTACGCCCACGCCTACGCCTACGCCTGGGCCTTCGATCGGCGACGCGCGAGTTTCGGCCGTGGTCGATGCCGTGCCTACGTTGGAAGCGACGAACAGCGCGGCGTCGCAGGTCGAGGAGAATGCGATGAGGGGGTATAAAGTGCCGAGTGGGATGACGGTGCCTCTGGATCGCGAGCAGGAGCAGGAAAAGGAGCAGGAACAGGCCTTGGTGGGGGAGGATGAGCCGAGTGCTGCTGAGGTGGACCCGACCACGACGTCGACGACGAGTTCGAGCGCGACAGAGTTGGCCGCCGCGCCGCCACCTCAAGCCCACGCCGACGCTGAGCCTGAGCCTGAGCCTGAGCCTGAGCCGAGCGCCGTCACAGCAACCGCAGTCGCGGCGGCGCCCTCGACTCCGACTCCGACCTCGTCCTCGTCCTCGTCCTCGTCGTCGCCCTCGACGACCCGCACGCTCAAACATCTCACCTTTGACGACAGTGTGATCTTTGCACCGGCTTCGAGACAGTTACCGACTTCGAGTTCGAACCTTTCGACCAGCCCTGAACGCACGAGTCGATCGGCGGCCCGAAGAGGCTTCTCCTCCTCGTCGTCGCCGTCCAAGACGAACCATCCCGTCGCCTCGACCTCGCCGGCGCCGCACCCCAACACCTCCGCCTCCACTTCGACCTCGACCTCCCCGCGTCGCTCCTCCTCCTCTTCTCCACCACCCCCTACCTCACCCAACAAGAAACGAGCCTCGTTGACGCACACCCACCAGGACCTGCGCCAAGTACTCAAGGCGCTGATCGTCGTCGTGCCTTCCTCGCTCCGTCGACTACTGCGCTTATTGGTCCCCCCGCCTCTGCGCCGCTTCGCCTCGTTCCTCCTCTCGCGCGTCGCCATGGTCCTCCATCGTCGCGGCGCCTTGGCCTCGTCCATGTTTTATGATCTGATGGTCCTGTTTTGGAAGACGTTGATCAACATCTTCTTCAGGGAGATTCGGTCCAGGGGCGCTTGGAAGGTGCCTAAGGATGGGGAAGGGGCCGTCATTTTCGTTGTGGGGCCACATCATAATCAGGTCGGTCGAGGGGTTACTCAGGGGGTTCATACTCGCGATAAGAGCTGACGCGGAAGCTGATCTATTTTGTGATTCGATCTTGGTTGACAGTTCTTGGACCCGTTGTTGTTGATGTCGGAAGTGAGGAGGGAGGCCGGCCGACGGATCTCGTTCCTCGTCGCGGCCAAATCGATGGACCGTAAATTCATTGGTCAAGCCGCGCGCTTGATGCAGAGCAGTGAGCACATCGTCACGTTCTACAAAATCGCACTTCCATCGACGCTTACGTGGAACATTCCGAACATTCCCACAGTTCCCGTCGCGCGAGCTCAAGATCTCGCTACCCCGGGCAAAGGCACCATCACGCTCTCCCCCGACGACCCGACCGTCGTCATCGGCCACGGCGCGACCGAGTTCACGAAATCGTTCGCGCAGGCGAGGAGCCAGATCATGTTGCCGAGGAGCTTGGGGAGCGTTTCGGTAGAGATTGCCGAGGTGATGGATGATCACAAGTTGAGGATCAAGAAGGAGTTCAATAAGAAGGTGCGGGACGGGTGGATGGATAAAGGACCAGAGGGGGTTGCGTACAAGGTCGGTCTAGTCATGCCGGTGGGCTGTTGGGGGAAGGGATACTCATTGCCACGCTCTTTCCGTTCGCAGGTGCTCCCCTACGTTGATCAATCCAAAATGTACAGCTCGGTATACCAGAAGTTGACCGAGGGTGGGTGCATCGGTATCTTCCCCGAAGGCGGATCGCACGACCGAACCGACCTCTTGCCTCTCAAAGCCGGTGTCTCGATCATGGCCCTCGGAGCGCTCTCGGCCGACCCTAACCTGCGACTTCAGATCGTTCCCGTCGGGTTGTCCTACTTCCACCCGCACAAGTTCCGCTCGCGTGCCGTCGTCGAGTTTGGTACGCCGATCGATATTCCTTCGGACTCGGTGCGCGCGTTCGAACGTGGGGGAGACGACAAGAAGAAGGCAATCGGCGACGTTATGGACCTCGTCGTCGATGGGCTCAAGAGCGTCACCGTCCGAGCCCCGGACTTTGAGACGTTGATGTTGATCCAAGCAACAAGGAGGCTGTACCGACCGCCGGGACAATACTTGACCTTGGGGCAGATCGTCGAACTCAACAAGCGCTTCATTGCTGGGTACGAGGCCTACCGTGACGATCCTCGATTGAAGCAGTTGATGGTCCGCGTCAAGGAGTACAACACCTTGTTGAGGTACATGGGCTTGAAGGACCATCAGATCGAACGTGTCGCTCGGCCATTCTGGAGATCGTTCGTGCTGCTCTGCTACCGATTGGGTTTGTTCGGCGCGTGGTCGATCCTCGCGTTGCCTGGTGTGATCCTCAATGCCCCCATCTTCATCGCGGCCAAGATCATCAGTCGCAAGAAGGCCAAGGAAGCGTTGGCCGCATCGACGGTCAAGATCAAGGGCAAGGACGTGCTTGCGACGTGGAAGGTCCTCGTTGCGCTCACCGGTGCACCGACCCTGTACACCGTCTACGCGATCGGCGCCGCTGTCCTCGCGCGTCGTCTGAACCTCGCGTACAAGTACCAACTCTACGCACCCCTCGCGACGCTCGTTGGCTTGCCCTTGATTGGTATCTCCGCGCTCAAGTTTGGCGAAGTCGGTATGGACGTCTACAAATCCATTCGACCTTTATTGCTCTCCGTCCTGCCGGGGAACCACAAGCAACTCGACAAGTTGCGCGCGATGCGTTCCTCGCTCCAAATCGAGATCAACCAACTCGTCGAAGAGTTGGCGCCCAAGATCTTCGAGGACTTTCAGACGAACCGGGTCGTGCAACCGAGTGCGAAACCGGCGCCTGTTTCGGAGCATGCGACCAAGCGCAGGTCGAGTTATGGACCGCAGGGGCAGGGGACGTTCTTGACCCACCCTTTGTCGTGGGTCGATGAGTACCTCTTTGGGTGGTCTGTTGGCGGGAAAGCTGGGGAGGGGAGGGATATGGGTAACGAGTCGGATGAAGGGGCCAAGAGTGGGAATGAGGATGAGGGGGGACGGAGGTCGGGCTATGCAAGTGGGTATGCGAGTGGGTATACGACTGACGATCCGGATTATGATGAGGTCCGTTGATTTTCTTTCGTTTCCTCGTCGCCTCATGAGCGAATGAAGCTGACTCGATTCTATTCTTCTCGCCATACCAGGTTATCAACATCCTTTCCCGAGAACAAGGCCACGTCTCCACAGTCGACGGCGCCGCTTCCGACGCCGGCACGGCCATCTCCGCTTCGAGCGGGATGCGCAAACGCCGCGGATCGAGGAGCCGTTCGAGGTCGCAGTTGGACCTGACGGCGTTGGATAAGAATGAGGAGAGGGGTTAGATATGAGTGAAGCGATGCGGCGACATCTCTGGGCGGTATGGGTTTGATTGCTTTCTTTCGGTCGAACGTGTTATATATAAGTTTTCTGATGCTCCCTGGCAAATAATTCTGTAGTGGCGCATGCGCCGTAATTCGGGTAGTCTACTCTAGTACCATCCGTCGGGTTTCCTGTATCTATCTGTACACACGTGTTCGGCGCTTTGAGTGAAACACGACGACGAAAACTACTTCTTCACGGGTCCGAATCGATTCGCTCGATGCTGCTTCGACAAGTGGTGCGATAAAAATATTTGGATTATATACTGCTGACGACGAATTTGACTGCTTACTGACGACGGATTGGACTACTGGCGACGAATTTGGACGGATTACAGAACAGCTAGCGGTGGACCTGACATAAAGCACCGAGACCTCGGAGACATGGAAGGATGACTGTCGAGTGCTGTGGATCGTCTCGGGCGCGCGAAGAGAAATTGGCTGGGTGCGCAGCAGCTTTACTCCTCTGGAGCATGGTCGACACCTAGCGACTCGAAATCTTCCAATGAGAACGAACGCGTTGTCTTTGCGACCACCAAATCCCGTGGATGGGCTCTCGCGACGTCGTGTCGTTTCCGGCTCATGTGGAAGCACAGTGGAGAGCCGATATTCATCCCCCACTTGTAAAGTGGCGTCGATATACCGAAGCTCGGCACTTTCGAATCGTTGAAGCCGCGTCCGAATGGATTGGGGCCAGGCGCGTGCTCGTTCCCGGACTGGTCCGATTTTTCGAACGAGGTGTCGTGGGTAGGATGAATGTTGAAGGTAGTCGAGCCGTTGTTTATGGGGTTGCCGGGATTAGGGTCAGGCACGTGCTCGTTCCCGGATTGGTCCGATTTTTCGAACGAGGTGTCGTGGGTAGGATGAATGTTGAAGGTAGTCGATCCGTTGTCTATGGGGTTGCCGAAATTATTTTCAAGCGATCTCTTGCCGATCGGGATACCAAAACCCCACGGATTGGCGCCTGCCGATGCCCCGACAGAAAGCACGATTGAGATCTTGGGTTGGGCGAAAAACGTGTGGCCTAGTGAAAGAGAGAGTGTAGAGTTAATTAGCAATGACATCAAAGCACAAGACCTTGTGGCCGTACGATCCATGTGGGCCTGGGCGGTGACATGGTGACAGGTGACACTCACCGCTCGCTCGCGCTACAGCCGAGCAAGGGCCCACGCGTGGGCCCGCAACTCCGACAGCTGGGAAATAGAGGTCGTGGGTATGCAACGATTCGTTAGCAATAAATCATGATGGTCGGCGAGTCCCTCTTTGCAAAGCACGCTTACTAAGTGCAGGGCCAGCACCGAGTGAGACGGACATTGGGGAAATAACTGCCATACCCGTGACACACGAACAAAGCAAGCGAATGCCAGCGCACATGGACCGAACAAATCAGCGACATTGGGTGATAGAAAAGAGAGGTGAAAATCACAACTCACACCCGATTTTAAAGAGGTCAATCTTGAGACTTAGTGCCAAACTGACACCAGCGGAAAGTGTGCCCGAACCGAAGCCGGTGATGCTGGTTGGTGTGGACGTGTGAGTGATTCCCCACTTCCCCAAGGGAACAACGACGCCGGGCGCGGCAAGACGCAACCCCATACCGTCAATGAACCCGAGGTCGACGGTCTTCTCGACTTGCAAATTTCCCGTCAAGCCTGAGATGCCGTAGCCCCATCCGAGGGTAAGGAACACGCCCATGTCGAGGATGTGCGGGATGCTGAACGATAATTGAGGCACTCCGAATTTGAAGAGCGTATCGCCCCAGCCGTATGACTCTGGGATGGCAGCCTATGAACTCGTTGATAGCGTCCTGTCAGTGATCAGAAGTTCCGTCGGGCGACGAGCGCCGCCGCGGAATCGGGGCAGCGACTTGACAAAGGAGCTGGCGTGAGAGCACGAGCACGACTAACCGTTGCATCGAACCCCAAATGAAGCTTAAAGCCGACTTGGCGCGCTACGACCACAATGGAGGGTAAGATCGGGACCCACGCGACAGTCGTGACCATCAGTGAAAATTCGACTGTTCCGTGCGCTCCGCAGTCGTAGCAAATCACTGTTGAATGGAGCCCCCTCGGATCTGTGGAAGTATGCCGGTGGGTGGTGGTCCTTTGGTGGCCGAGTTGAAGTTTGAGAGGTGCCGTCTGACGGTTCCTGATGACTTTGTTCGCCACCTTATGAACCACGTTGTGAAAGAACTTTCCGATCTTATGCCAGAACGATCGCTTCGAAATGTGCGGCTCCTCCATCAAGTCGTCGAAGGTCTTCCCCGTCGGCAGGCCGATCGCGAGTCGCATAGTGTGCGTCGCCGTCTTCCAGTCCGTCTCGACGCCGTGAAGGGTGATCTCGAGTCGCGCAGGATCGAAAGACATATCGTGAAAGTGGAAAGGCTTGAGGGTGTCTTCGGTGAGCATACACCCTGCCCAGTTGGCGAAGAGCACGATGCGATGATCGGGTTCCGCTTGGACCCACGACGACCACGCTTGGACCGCGTGATCGAAGACTCGTTGGGACTGAAAGACGATGGTGGTCTGCGATGTACCACACGTGACGCCGGCGAGCAGGTTCGAAAAGCGTTGCATGTTGATGACCTACAACATCGGATACGCAAGAGGTCACGGATACGTTAGACCAATGGCTCGTAGCGGCGGGCCCCGAGGCAACGAGCGGTGAGCCAGAATGGGAACAGGAGGCGAATGTGCAGGAGAGGTGAGAAAACTTGCCTTTTCATGCTTAAACGTCTGCATTTCCATCGTAGCGAGTTGCACGTAACCACTCTCATCTGCGAGGTAGATGAGGTACAGAAGAAGACGTCAACAAATTGGTCTGGTTAATGAAAATATTCCAGGCTTTTCCTTGCGCACAGGCCTCGTCCCAAACGCGCACCTTTTTCTCCGACCCAGGAAAAAACCTCCTCGTCCCGTAGGTCGAGCGCCGCCGACAGGTCTACACTCTCGAGACTTTTCCGATCCTCGAGCCATCCAGGATGGACCAACCCTTTGGTTGCGTACTCGCTGCCTTCGGGGTGAACCGTCTTGAGCACCACGTTCGTGTCGCCACGAACGAGCAGTGCCAAGGAAAGGAGCGTCGCCCACTGACTCAGGGGACGCATCGCGCGCGCGAAAAGGAGCGAGGGAGCGAGGGGGTGGGGGCAGGAGGTGCGCGTGGAATCAGACAGGGAGGACACAACGAGCACTGGTCGAGGATGAAGTGTAAGATGAGGAGATGACGGTAGAGGGCAAAGAGGCGGACGATCGATGTGATCTGCAGTCTTGGTGCGAGGGGGGTCAGGACACAAGATGCTAAAAAGGCTCAGTGGTGCCTGCTAGACTAAGATTGGTCGTGGATATATCGCCCAGTCAATCGAGCTCTGGCGCCCGAGGGGTTGACGGTCACAACAGCAACCCCATGTCCAGACAGGTGCTTATCTGCGTTGGATGGGCAGACATCCTGCTTGGCAGAGGTTTCAGAATGTCGCCATCCAGTCGCCCCTATCAGGACCTACCGTAACCGCATTGGTGCCCACTCAGGTTTCACTGATTGGGTGAATCATCTTGAACCCATGACCATTTGCCAGTTGCCGGTAGTGCCAAAGCTGGTTATAGGAGACTACGCCAAGGGGGCACTCGCTCTCGGCGTTTTTCAGCACGCGGGCATGACACACCCTGTATCGATCAAGCGCCGACTGTAAAAGAGTCACGGCGAGATTGCGAGTCGGGCCTAGCGTCTGTGGCACCGCGCCGGCCTTCCGGCCTTCCGCACGTGGTGCTCGACTCGCGAGAGGCGATCCCGTGGGCAAGGGTTTACAGCGGCGGCGAGGCATCCGAGGCGGATCAGGGCGCGGGGACTCGCATTGTTCTTCAAGAATCTCTTTTGGCGGGTCTGAAGCGTCGAAGATTAAAAGGTGCACCAACATGTCATCGGAAGGTCGGGACGGAAGCCTGTTGCATCTGTTTCCTGACTTTGACCTTTCGGGGCTCGTGAACTGGTTCTGCCTTGGGTAACGCGTCTGAATCATGGAGCAGTAAAGGATGGTGTCTCTGCTGTAGGACAACGGCCCTGGGTCCACCCAGCCTAATTAAGTCCAGCTTCACATCTGGCCGGTTGGCTCTCACTGCAGAATTCACCCTATACCAGAAGTTAGCCGTGTAGGGGGGGGCCTAGGTACTTGATCTCTTCATTGTGGTAACCACCCCAGAATAATGCAGACAAAGAACAAAAAAGAGTGGGGGTGTGCCTGCTTTTATTCGACCCTACGGGCTTGTTAACTGCGCGGAACAATTACGTGGGCAGATCACGTGCTCGAGGATTTTGGACTGCGCACTGCACGAGTCGCACGGTGGCACCTAATCTAGCTCATAGAATTTTGCCGCCTTACACTCACCTTGCAGATGTACAAGGTGAACTGCGGCCCTATATTCACCTTGCAGATGAACAAGGTGAGGCGTTTATTACGGAGAACTCTAGGCTGTCGCGAGCCGACTCCGAGTCGCGTGGAAGCTGAGTAGACGAGAAGCCAAGCTTCGGAAATAGAAGGCGGCAGGCACTGGCGGGGTTCTGCGGGGTTCGGCTTAATCTGGATTAATCTCATCTCAGCTTACGAACACATTAGCGCACCCGCGACGACCGCCTCTGCCTGCCTCTGCAGTGTCCACACCGGTCAACGATGGCGGGACCTCAGACAGCAGGGTCAACTTCCACCCCAGTCGCTTCATCACATGCCCATGCCGAAGAGGACCCCGAGCACATTCAACAGTTCGGTCCCGTGCGAGGAGGGATCGTGTTCCTCGAGAGTGGAACACCTGCGATCAGTCGACGCTCGACGAGGAGCGGCAACAGCCTCAAGGATGGCAAGAGTAACAACTGCGATTTGAGCGATGATCATGATGTACGTCATGCCGACCGTGTCTTGTCTTGCCCCGCCGCGGCTGGACCGCCCGTAAGATGGTGGTGTGGGGCCTCGTCTACTCGGGCACTCGGGAGCACTCGCTCGCTCTCGCGCTGGGCCTGCCGGAACCTCGCCGGAACGACACTAGCACCCGGCAAGATTTTGCTCACGGATGAACCACAGACTCAACACTGAATGACCCAAGAGATTACTGACACCCCGAAGATACTTGCGCATACCAACAGCTCATGTGTCTGCACGACGTGTTCAAACCTCCTGTGGTTCGGCAGTGGCTGTCGAACGGAAGGCTTTTCCGGGAGCGAGTCGAACGAGTACCCTCCCGCTTCGAGCTCATCTTTGACTTGATCCTGGTTGGTGAGTGGGGTTAAACCACAAGGACACATGGGGCACGAGCGCGCTGCTGATATCAAGATCGCGCTGTTCAAATTAGGCATTGTGCACCAACTGGCGGATGCCGCTTCGGAGCACGTCTCGAGACTTTCGCTCGCTAAGGTCATCTTAACGTTCTACCCCGCGTGGAGCATTTGGAGCGACTACAGAAACTGGCAGAATATATCAGGCGTAGAGTGAGCTTTGTGTTCCCATGGTCTCGACTTGCGATATCCGAATTTCTTGCGCTGATGCACGTTTCAAGCTCTTCTCGGATCCCACAGTGACGTCTCGCAGCGCATTCAGACGCTTGCTATCCTCATCTGTCTGGTCGGATACAGCTCGAACGCGTCGGCAATCGAATTGCACGTTGTCGAAGAAGGCCATACCGCTTCGGAGGTGGCTCGTAGGCTCTTACGACGCGCAGCCGCAGCGGTCACGAACGGCGAAATAGCCACTGCTTCCGAGATCATCGGCCACGGTGGTCAGCAGCACGCAATCGTGGCGGCCACTACTTTCTTCCTCGTCGCGAAGCTCATTCGAAGTATGTCGTGTTCCCACTGAGTTAGTCTCGCCTGCTGTATTCTTCCCTCTTGTTGACGCTGACCTTCTCTCTCTCTCACACACACAATTGTTCTGTTTTCCTCCTGCAGTCGTGACCTTTGTCGGCTACGCGGCGGAGATGACTGATTTCCGCTCCGCATTTCTTGCCCGAGCTGGTGCCCTCACTATCGTTTCGCTCATTTTTATGGGATGCATCTGGGCGCCTTCGCTGAGAACGACGGCGATCCTTGCCGCGGTTGGTGCGGCCGTCGAAATCGGGTCGCGCTTCTCGGTCGGCGTCATCGTGTCGGTCACGAGGCGGCAATGGATGCGCGAGGCCAAGCAACGAGCGGAGGACGGCGAGCTTGTGGATGCCAGTCAGGTGCCTATCGGAGTAGGGATTAAAATGATTCCTGCTGTCAATCTGGAGCACAGTTAGTCTCCTCAAGACAGCGTCGGGGCACAATTTTTGGCGACCTCCCTCTAACACACGATGCGATCCTCCACTTTGCTCACAGTGGTCGAGAGGACAGCAGCTTTCGTCACGATTGTCCTCGGCGAGTCGGTCATCTCAGTTTTGTTCGTGGCCAAGCCAGGGACCTTTGGGCTATCGCACCAATTTGCACGAGCGGTCTTCGGGCTCACCGTCGCGTTCATCATCAACGCCGTCTACTTTGATGCAGCGCTGTCCAAAAAGTTCTTACACGCAATTCGAAGGCACTGGTTTACGAACGTCGTTTGGGACATTACCCACTGGCCTCTCTGCACGGGATTGATCCTAGCGAGCGCGGCTTTGGCAAAGTTGGTCCAAAACGAAGAGGTGAAAACGCATCAATGCATACTATGGATTAACTTCCATGAGTTGATCTAATATTCGCGTGCTATTGTCGCTGCTTGTAGGTTTCGCAAGGTATCCGCTGGCAGTATGGCGGTGGAATGGGCGTGGCACTGCTTTGCATCACCGTGCTCGGCATCCTCCACCAATCTTTGGATCCGGCTGGTTCATCTCGCGTCAACGCTGTGAGCTCCCTCCATCATATGGTCTCAGATTGAAAATTGCTGACTGTATTCCCTTTTATCACCATCACCGACGACAGGCGTTCCGCGCCTCGATTCGTCTCCTCGTCGCCATCATTTTTGCTCTGCTTCCTTTGATCAAGTCGATCAAGGACCTCGCCTTCCTCGGCATCTACGTCGGCATCGCGAGTGCGATGGTCATCTTCGAGGTCTGGGCCAAGCTCGGAGTCGAGATCGTCGAGCACGAGGATCAACGCCCCGTCGAGGATGAGGAGGATGCAAGTCTCGACAAGGGAGGCGGGGATGGTGGAGGCAGCGAGTCGATGCATGCTCCTCACTGATGGGCTGCGCAACCAAACCCCCGTGCAGTTATGCGCGGGCGAATCTATGTATCTGTTTTGTATACTATACAATATGCTCGTGGGCGTTGGATCAACTTTACTGTTCGTTTCAGCAAATTTGATGCTGCTGTAGCTTTTCTATATGGGTTTCGGGGGCCGTAATAGGAGACGGTTCAAGTTGCTTGATATTGGTACTACTCGATTCTTGATGAACGACCTCGTGTTTGTCATCTATGTCCATGCTCTTTGAAACGATCGCTTGAAATGTATACTTTGCTCGTCACGGGTATACCACGGCAATTCGGCCTGGGTGACGGTCTCAGATCGCGCCCACTGCAGTACGAGCAAGTCCCAAGTTGGAACTGCCATGATCGGATCGAGATGTCAAAAACTGAAAACGCGCGGTCGGGGCGCGACTGCCAGGCTGCTCAGCGCGCGCGTGAACGCGTAAACTCGCGTAAATCGATCAGCCAAGTCGCGTCCCAGCCCAAGTCGCAGCCGCATTCGCTCTCTGTCCTGCCATTCCTCGCGCCCATCTCGCTCACCACACGCACACCCACACGCACCCTCACTCACAAGCAAAAAATGGATCACAGTAAGTATCGCAGTCGTCTCACTTTGTCAGCTGGCATTGACGACGTATGCCGCGGCCACTGCAACAGGTTACGGCGCCGGTGGTGGATTCATGCGCGGCTCGCAAGGAGGCGCCGCGAGCAGTCCCGGAGAGGGTGGATCAAGGGTGTGTCTGCGGTGGGATACAACTAGTAACGGTGCGTCGATGCGCGCGAGTGCTGATACGGGTGCTGTTCGGGTCGCTCGTGCAGCGCAACGGCCCTTCGTCGCTGCGACCGGTGACGATCCACCAGATCCTCAACGCTTCCCAGGCCCACCCGGACGCGGACTTGTTCATCGACGAGAAGGAGGCAAAAGATGTGAGTCCGGTGCCATGGCAAGTTTCGTGTGCCATCAAGACCCAGCGGTCGACGGTGGGTGCCGACGCTGGGCTTGGCGCGCCGTAACGTGAGCGAGGTCGAGGCTCAGCGCCGTGTTGGAGGGTGCTGGCATCAACCGCTTGGCCGTACGAACCAGAAGCTTATTTCGCTTCAATTTTTAGATCACATTCGTCGCCTGCGTTCGCAATGTCAACAGCTCAGCGACTCATCTCGGTTACCTTGTCGAGGACGGGACAGGTGCGTAGAACGACCTTGTCGAGCGAACACCAGCCGTATGGGATTCTCAGCTCACCCTGTAGACGTACTGATTTCAGGCCAGATCGATGTGCGAAGATGGATCGATGGCGACGTGGAAGCGGCGGCGAGCGAATTCGAGTCAGTCGTTGAAAATTTGTCGCGCGACCGAACCGTTGGCCTGTACGCTGACTTACCTTCTTCTTCATCCGACTCGGATCCTACACTGCAGCATCAACACATACGTTCGCATTCTCGGCACGATCAAGGTCTTCCACAACAAGCGGTCGATCCACTGCACACGCATGCGCCTCGTCGAGGACAAGAACGAAGTTTTGTACCACGCGATCGAATGCGTTCACGCCAGTCTGTTCCTCACCCGAGGGCCCGTAAGTGAAGAGAATCAGTCGTTGTGACTTTCTTTCATCCCGTTGCTCATCAATCTCGAATCTGCGATGATAGCCGGGGAAGGGGAATGGCGCAGCCGGTATCAACAACCAAGCCGGTGGCCAGTACGACGCCAACAACCCCTACGACGGGGCCGCCAACGGTGGTGGCGCAGGAGGCGATCCCTTTGCCGACTTCCCGCCCGTCCAGCGCAAGCTCATGCAGTTCATCAAGGACACCATTCCGCAAGCGCAAGAAGGCGTCAACATCCAACACATCGCCAGGTCCGCCGGTGTGCCGCACGACCAGGCGATTCAACAACTCGGCTTGCTACAGGAGGAGGGTCACCTCTATTCGACCTTCGATGATAATCAGTCAGTCTTCAAGCTGAGCGGGGTCGACGCGAAGAGCAGCGATAAGCGCGTTTGCTGACTTGGTCCCTCCGATCGAACAGCGTGTTGATGACCTCGGGCTAAAATCGGGTTTCGTTGGAGCGCCGCCCCTTTTCTCTTTCGCTTGTTCCTCCTCTCTCTCTCTCTCTATTGGACGGATGCGATGTACTTTTTTTTTGTCCCCTCTCCTTACTCATCGAACTTGCAATCTCGAGCGTCCTCGAACAGCGTACTGATTGCGAGAGCGGTACGGAACCATACTGGATTTCATTCGAGCGACGACAGCTACGGGCAAGCCAAGAAAAAAAAAAAATTGTTCTAGGAGTGATTGGGGGGGGGGGGCACGATGACGCATGAGAAAAGAGGGCTTGCAAGCACATGATAGTAGTAGGAGCGAAGTGCGCCCAAAGTGATATTATGGAGCGGGGGGCATCGCTCATGCTCAGAGCCAAAAAAAAGTAGGACCCGATCACCTTCCCTTTTGGTTCAGTGCGTGTTGCAGCGAGTCAGCATGGACGACCGACGACCGTGAGGCTGCGCAGGGACTGTAGGATGAGCGGGTATGTGCCAACGTGCCAATGCGACAGGATAAAGTGCTCTGATGGGGCATCGTGGAACAAGTTCAGGAGTCATGCTGAGTGGGGCCTCGAAGATGCCGAGGTAGACGTCCGGGACGGTGAAAAAGCGAACGGAGGGGAAGCAACAATAACGTGCAAAAAGGTCCGAGCGCTTACTCCTCGTCTGAGGATCACGCGGGGGGATTGAGAGAAGATTGGAAGAGGAGAAACTGGCTCCGCTGTAGAGAAAAGGACCGCGTGGGGCCCATGTCTTATTCGGTGCTTTGCTTCAGGCGACAGATCCTTATCCGTGATTCCGGGGTCTCACTTTCTCGGGTTTTTCTTTTCTTTTTTTGTTTGCGGGGATCATGTGCTTCACAAGCGACGCAATCACATTGCCTATCGGATATTGGAATGTGGAGCTGGGTGCTGGGTGCTGCGCACGGTGCGCTTCCCTCGGCCGGTTCCGCTACTTCCCCACTGAGCCGACTGCCCTCTAGCTAGATTTTTCTTTAGTCCGAGCTCTGTCGTCACTAGACATGGACCACGTTCTCGGGCTATCCATTGAGATGATACCACCATTTTGCAACCCCCTGAAGACGTTCGGTGGCGAGGATGTTGTACGCCATGCGAGCAGTGCACTCAACATCATCTGCCACTGTGACAGTCCCGGGTATTTACCCGGTGGAGGTTTCGGGTATCTCGGTAGGCGCGACGATCCTTTCGCCTTCCCGATTCGTGTAGAATCATCGTCCTTGCAAAACTTGTCTTTCCAACGAAGATTAGATAAGAGGGGATGGGCTCATCACGAGTTACTAGGTACGAGTTCGCCTCGTGAGGGGAAAAGGATCAGGGGTTTCGGCCTAAAAATAAAATAATAAAACAAAGTCAAAAAACCGCGTGGGAGCTTTGAGATAAAGCCACGGTTTTTGAGTGAGACAATACCCCTATCGAGAGAGCATGGAACGGAGATTCGCCGGCCCGCGAGGACAGGTGAGACAGCGATACTGTATCAAAGGATCGTCTCAGGTCTCGGTTCGGAGTTCCAAGTCATCGATTCCAACGAGTGTTGTTCGGAGTCACTTTGGGCCGAGAATGAGAGGACTCATCGGTCGTCCGTTGCGATTCAAGTGCTCGCTTCACAAGCTTCTAAGCGACACCGTGGCAACAAACGTGCCGACTTGTGCCATGTGGGAATATAAAGAATACAACAATAAATATTTAAGCAAATCAACAGTGATAGAAGAAACTAGAACCTCGGCACCGTCCCCATCCCCCATCCCCCCCATTTTGTCCTAATCCTCATCCGCCACATTCCGATTCACGAACTTCCACAACGTCCTTCCGGCTTCGACCCCAATCAATTCCTGCATCTGTCCCAAATCCAACTCGCACAAACTCTCGACCGAATCGACGCGGTTCATGACGTAGCGATAATTCTTGGTCGTCACGCCGGGGAGCGAACGGAGGATCTCTTGAGGCGCGATGGAGAAACCCGAACCTTCGATCGAGAGGGACGAGGTCGAGTCGTCGGCTCCTATCAGGAGAGCTTGAGTAGGGTCCGGTTCCGGTCGGTTCTCCTTGAGCTCGCGGAATATCTCGACGGTTTGGTAGGGGGAGGAGGACCAGATCGTTTTGAGGCGGGGGAAGGCGATGGTCAAGAGGACGAGCTTGGAGCGTAGGTCAAAGTCGAAGGATTCGCCTTTGGGGCGCAGTTCGACGTAGGTCTGGGAGGAATGCGAGCGTCGCCCTACTTAGCATTTTGATACTTGGGGTACATCCAGTCCTCCTCAGAGAGTCCTTACCTCGAGGTTGAACGACTTCTTCTCATCGAATTCGATCAACAAGATGGGGGTCTTGTAGTGCGCGCTCATGATCTCGCACTGTTGGTACAACCTCCCCGAATTGAACGAGCCAATCAAATCCGGCAAACTCTTCCTTTCCACACACATCTCGGGCGAGAGGACGTAGTCCCCTATCGAGATGGTCAAGGGTTCGATGTCGAAACCTCCTTCGTGCAAGAGGGAGGGGAGGGAAGAGCGGAATTCGCGCACGTCGATGATCACTTTGGATGGGGTCACTTCGGCGTTTCGAGATCCGCCTTTACGGGTGGAGGTGGTGCGCAGGAGGGTGGATTGGTACTCCTCGTCGTTGGGTCGGTATTCCGCTTCGTGGGGGATCGCCATCGAGCCTCGTTCCCTGATCAGACGCTCAAAAGCATCCTTTTCCTTGCGGATACTGCTGAGGTAGCGTTGTTCCTCGACCGAATCCTTGTAGGTCAAGAAATAGACGCGCAGAGCCAGGCCTTGATGCAGAGCCCGATAGGTTTCGAGACGTCGTACGAACGCTGGGTCGGGGTCAAACAGGACGACGTATTTGGGGCGCAGTTCCTCAAGTACCTTGTCGTCATCGTCATCGGAATAAGGTCGGATGAGGACGAGATCCTCGTTGTCCAAGAGACCGAACGTCTCATCGAAGCGATTAAGGTCGATTTCCGAAGTGAGAGGTAGATCACCTGCTCCATGGGTGGACAGCATGAACGCCGGTGTCGTCCCTCCTTCTTCAATCTTAGCGAACGCCTGACTCGCATCGAGTAGCTGGGCCACTTCGTTCGCCTCCACTTCCAACGCCTCGGGATTCGCACCCGTCAGCATGACCGAGCTAGCTCGATCAGCGACGTTGATGGTGCCTCCTCCGCGCACGCGCCGACGTTTTTGACTGGGCACTTGACCGCGTTGCATCTCCATCTTGCGCTTCAAAGCCTGGTTGATCGGTCCCCCATACGGTGTCGGAGTTGAACCACCTCCACCACCAGTCGAATTCGAATTGGATGACCGAGCCGCCGAAGGCTTTTGCGGCGACCTATCCTTCTTGATCGTCTGGTTCATCTTGCCCATCGCTCCTTTCCAGAAAAAGTAGGCGTTCAACTTGTTCAACAACATATCCTTGCTCCTTCCCGCATCCTCGGCTCGTGCTTCGAGGTAGTCGCCGAGCGCTTGACATGTTTCGGACGAATTGCACATGATGAGGATCGTATCGGAGGAATAACCGACTGTGCGAAAGGTGTTGACAGCGGCGTGAGCGACGGGGGAGGGATCGTTTCAGGTGGAGTAGGCGAACTCACAGGGATCGGCAGGTATCCTCTCGATATCGGTTTCGATCTCCTCCAACACCTGCGCCAACAAGTACCACTTGGGTTGTTCCTCCAGCACGGGTTCGATATTCGGCGGTAACCAACTCGTATTCGGGATAGGGCGAGCTTCAGCTGGAAGAGGCACCTCCTCATCTTCCTCCCTGACCGGATTCGCCATTTTCTTCGCGGGGGGTGTTGGCGCTTCTCGAGTCGGTAAAGGCAACTTGGTAACGTCGACCCCACTCTCGATCGCACGAAGCATCTCCTCCTCTTCCTCCGTAGGCTCATCGAACCCCCATTCATCTTCCCCCAAATCATCAGGGATCACCTCTCCCTCAACACCAACACTTTCCTCCTCCCTCCCGTTCTCCACCTTGGGTTTTTTAACGTAGACGCGTTTCTGGGCGACGGTGAAGATCGTGTCCGCTGCGGTGGTGTATAACCATGGTGATCGGTCCTTCTTGTCGAGTGCTGTGGCGTTGCCGTTCGTGGTGAGGGAGGAGGAGGACGCTTGGGAAGTGAGGATCGTTTCGAGGAATCGATTGAAGGAGACGCAGTCGAGGGCGAGGAGGTAACTGTGAAAATGGTACACGATGAGCTCTTCGATGAACATCGGCGGTGCCGATCGAAGCATGGGAGAAGCACTCACGCCTGCAACTTTCTCAACAGGGTCAAATCCTGCACGAGCAGTTTGGTCCTGCTACCAACTTTGTGCCATACGGGATCCAACCTCGAACGGACCAAACCGTCGAACGAACGAAAGAGTGCATTCTCGACCGTCAAATCTTCCACCTCGAGCTGTGTGAAGAGCGACGACCCCCCAAAAAAAAACAATTGTGAATTCGCCTATTCGCGGGATAATCCTAGCGTCAACAGCAACCTCACATAGGTATTACTCCTCTTGATCTCCGAAAGGGTCGCTTCCATGCATTCGATGATGGCGCCTTGTATATCCAACATCGTATCCGTCAAAGGCTGATACAATTCGACGACATCGGCTTTGCGCTTCTGGAGGTCGCGATCGACGTCGGCGTGGAAACGAGGGCAGATGATGACTTCGCGTAGTTTGAGTTGTTGCAGAACGGTTTGGAGAGGGGAGAGGCCAAAGGTGAATTGTTCGGGTTGGTCCGAGAAGGCTTTGAGAAAGCCGATCTGGTGGTGGGTGAGAGAGAGAGAAGGGGGGGGGGTCAGGCACCCGATCCTGTTTCTGGAATTATACTGGGGACTGACCCGATTATGTCGTCGGTATATCCTGACGATAAAAGCCTCGAGGGACGTCGGCGTGACACTGCGTTAGGGGGGAAAGCCGATCTGAACCGTCAGATCTCAGCGTCCAAGAGAGCGAACGCGACGGCAATGAAAAGCTGGCCCCGTACGTTTCGGCATGGAGGACGATGATGCCGGTGATGAGGACGACGGGGATCTTGTTGTTGAGCATGTCGACGACCAAGATACGGGACGTGACGGAGAATAGGCCACCTTGCTTGTACATCTTTTCCCTGTGGGCACGGGCGGGGTGGTGTGGCCGCCAGTCTGGGTCAGGACTTCGACGTCAAAAGACGGGCACTGCACTCGGTGAGCCCACCTCGTCTCTGCGGCGACTTCGAACCCGACCGATTTGAGGTGGATGCCAGTCTCTTGAGCTAGACCTCGTTCTTCCTCCGGTGTGGCGTTGACGACGAGGAGGAGATGGGTCGAGGTGTCGTAGATGCGTAGCTGCCAGGAAGGGATGGGATGATCGGGCGAGCGGAGGTCAGCTCGGCCTGACTAGAGAGAGAGGAGCTCGCGCGAGGTGGTAGCGGTCAGTGAGACTCCTCCGGTGATGCTTAGCTCACCATTGTAGCGACAATGGTCCTCATCCCTAACCCCCTCGCAATCAACAACAGTGCATCCCCCCTCTCGGCACTCGTCGTCGCAGCAGCTGATTCTGATTCTGATCCGGCGTCGGACACGTTCGCGCGCGGCAACATCCGCTGCAACAACGAGCGTTGGAAGGGGAGCAGCGGGAGCGCATCCTCTTCTGTGGGGAGAGCGGTCGATGGCGATGGCATTTCGGGGTGCAGTCGGTGGGGCTGATCCGACTCGACGAGGTCAGCCTCAAGGCCTAAGTGACACGTCGGATCACGGCGGCCGAGGGCGATCGATGACGCGCGCGCGGGAACAATTGCGCATTACCACACGCCAAAGGGCCGAGTCTAGCTCGCAATTACCGCGTCGCTTAATATCGTCGTCACCGCGAGTCAGCGCGCAGGGTCGTCCGCCTCGTCGTCCGCCTCGTCGTCCGGCTCCGCTCTGGGCGCACTTGACCCTTCCCAACCCCTCACACCCCAAAGGTACGTTCCGCCACCTTGAGCAGGTCATCGACCCCCGACGCACGGGCAGCTCCACGCACGGCATGGCGAGATGGAGCTGCCCGCCGCCCGTCGGAGGATCGGCCTCTTGCTCGGGAGACGGGTGCTGTACGACCCCCAACCGATGATGACCGGGTCGAGGCAGTCTACGACCTACACCCTCACCGATCTCGCCCGCAATCAACGAACTGCCATCCAAGTCCGACCAGAGAACCGCACTGACCCGTTTAGCTGATGCTCCACCTCCGCGCTGCCTTCCCAACTGTTTGTGTTGCGCATCTGCACTCCCACTAGATGCCAGGCCTTACCGACGATGAAGTCGTTTCCGAATTGCGCAAGATGGTTCGTCCGCCTGATCGCTAACTAGCCTTGCCTCATTCGTTCGAGCTGCTTGCTGATCCTCGTCTCGTCTTACCCGGCTTATCCCCAGACCACTTTCATCAAACAAGAAGCGCTCGAGAAGGCACGAGAGATCAAGGTCAAGGCCGACGAGGAATTCTCCATCGAAAAGGTACGCTTCATCAAACAGCGGACCGCCTCGGCGCAAGCAAAACGGTTACGCGGTTACGGTCACGCAGCGCAAGGGAAGCGGTGACGGTACTGACCGCAGCGGTCCGCTGTCACGTACATCCACGCGCAGGCCAAGATCGTGCGACAGGAATCGATCAATATCGACGCGACGTTGGAGAGGAAGAAGAAGCAAATCGAGATCGAAAAGAAGATGTGCGAGCTCCTTGCCCTCTTTCCCTCATCTCCTCTTTTCGCCCCCCCTTAAAAGCTGATCCCGTCCCCCTGCGTTGTGTGGCCCCACAGCGCCATCTCGAACCAGAACAATAAATCGCGCTTGCAACTTTTGGAGAAGCGCGAAGAGTTGTTGGAGAAGGTCTTTGATCACGCGAGGGATAGGATCGGGCAAGCGACCAAGGACGAGAAGAAGTATGCCGAATTGTTAAAGCGCTTGGTCTTGCAGGTACGCTGTCCAGGCGCTGCGGTCGGTCTGACGTTCGATAAGATACAGGACCTGATCTCGTCTGGTCGTGCGTACAGGCCATGTTCACCACCATGGAGAAGGACGTCAAGGTTTCGGGACGACAGAGGGATGAGAAGTTGTTGGAGAAGGCGGCCAAGGAGGCCGTCAAGGAGTTTGAGAAGCAGACGGGGTGGGCACCCAAGTTCGCCATCGAGACGGATCTGAATGACAAGTCGTGAGTTGAAAGTCCAGGGAAGGAAAGAGAGGCGACTGATCCGCGTCGGGCGTTCTTAGTGCCGGCGGTGTGATCATCAAGGGATACGGCTCGAGGATCACGGTCAACAACACCCTCGACGAGCGATTGAGGCTCTTGGAGGAAAAGGTGCGTGACGGCGCTTCAGCGATCCCATCAGCTCTGGCTCAGAGCATTAGACTGATGGATCACAACCTTCTTCGCACAGATGTTGCCCGAGTTGAGGGAGTCGTTGTTCGGCAAGAATGAGAACCGACGAGTGAGTATACCTCTCGAAGCTCATAGCCGCCAGATGGGTATTGACATCTCGATTTACTCCACCACAGTTCTATTCGTAATCGGCCCCTTCTCGTACATGCTATCGTATAGACAACTTCACCGCAACACGGAGCCGATCCAACCCCGTGTCAACCTCGACGTATCCTTCTTCGGATCGACCCCACCTTGTTTCCCTCTCCTCTTTCAACCCCTGCTGTGCTAGCGCCGTCTTCTCTTTTCTTCCTTTCGGTGCTTCTTGAAATTACCATATGTGCAACATGTGCCCTATCTTCCAATACGGACTCAGTTACGAAGGCAAGGCAAGGTAGGGAGGGCCAGTGCAGCGGGAAGAACGCTTGAGTTAGTTCGGATGCCGCACGTGATCTGAGCCAGTCGGGCGACGTGAGACATGGTCGGGCACATGTTTAACGGGAGTTGCTCGAAGATGTGGATAAGGTCCGGTAGACTAGTATCTGTTCCTCGGGACGGGCTAGGCTTTCCGAAACGTTCTGTAGTGAAAGTAAAATGCTAAACATGAGTCGTGTGGACGCTCCTAAAAAGACGATGGCCCCGCTTCAAGTTGAGCATTTCCTGCACTGTGCCGTACCCGCGCTTAGTGGAACCCGCGGACCGGCTATCGTCCTTTCGGATTTGCCGGAGGCTTTATCAGCTCGATCGTTAAAGCCCCAAACAACAGCTTCCACCTCTTTTTTTCGATCCCGGTCCTTGACTTGACGACGGAGGGGACGGTTGCTTTCTTCTTTTTTTTTTGGTTTTGGATGCACCGCAGACTGTTTTCGACGTCCTCCTACACGCGTTGTCATCGACTTGCACCGTTGCTTGCCAGCCTTTCATCCTCTCGGCGCCCTTGCGTGCTCACGCCAAGATTGCCGACGATCAGGACCATGTCCAAACCGCACCAAAGGCTCAACCACCTCCTCTCGTCCACGGGCAGTCGCTCACCTTCCCCAGCCGAAAAGAGGGGAGAACTGCTCGGAACTCTCAAGATCGGTGATCTCAGTGTACCTGTCTACGAGGCGGTCGATAAGGAACGTTGTGTTCGTCAGGAAGGGGGCAACGTGCTCGATTTCGAAGCGAGTGGGGAAGGCGCTGGTACGCTCGGCGATGATCGCTTGGGAGAGGATTTGGTGTGGATGTGCAAAAAGTATTTATTGGGTACGTTCAAGCAAGTTCACCATGAGCGTAGAGGACGCTCAGTACCGAGCGGTAGATTGATTGAACCCCCCCCCTTCCCTTCGTTCACGTCGAACAGGCCAGGACATGTTCCTCTACTCCCCACCGGGTCCTTACGCACGTCGATTGGCCCTCACTTTCGCTCATCTCCTCAACCGACCTTTCGAAATCGTATCCTTGCATCGCGATGTCGGAGAATCCGAGTTGAAACAGGGGAGGGAGATCAGAGGCAAGGCACAGTTGGTTTACACGGACTCGTCGGCGGTCAGGGCGGCCAAGTTGGGCAGCTTGCTGATCTTGGATGGGATTGAAAGGGTCAGTAGAGATCGGACTCACTTTTCAGAGTTCAGATACAGTAGAGCTAATCTGGCGCTTTCTGGAAACAGTGCGAACGAGGTGTCTTGCCCACGCTCAACAATTTGCTCGAGAACCGAGAAATCGTCAGTTTGCATTTTGCCGGAGGCATGGATCCTTCTCTTATGCCGTAGACTGATCCCGCTGGGCGTGTTCGAACAATGTAGAACCTCGAAGATGGAACGCATATCGTCTCGGCCGATCGCTACGACCTCATGGTCAAAAATGGCGAGGACACGACCTTGTTCATCCCCGCCCATCGCGATTTCAGAGTCATCGCAATCGGAACCCCTGTTCGTGAGTCGTTGCCGTGCATACACTGTAGCAGACTAACCACAGCAAGCTAATTCTCAATATTTTTTCCGCTCCTTCAGCTCCATTCCCGGGATACCCACTCGACCCGCCTTTCCGTTCGCGCTTCCAAGCGCGCTACCTCGACCCCTTGGCGACTTGCAAAACGCTCGCCGTGCCTCAACTGCCGCTCGACGAACCTTCGCGCTCGTTCGTGTCCAAGTGCTCGGACGCGATCACGACCTTGCAATACACCAAAGAAATGCGAGCCAAGATGGCCTCGGGCGTGATCGATTCGAACGAGTTGCCTTCCTTCCCTCAGACGGCACTGTGGAAGCTCGCGCGCTTGCTCGATCGGTTCCCCCCTCCCGTTGACGCGACCTTGACGAAGCCGGCCCAAGTCGCGAGCGTGTTGATGGCCGTTCATCCTGCGCTCGCATTCGTCACCAAGGCGCATTGGAGATCGGTCGAAGAGGCTTTCGTCGCCGCTGGCTTGGGCGATTGGGTCACTGGTTTGGACGAGGTCGATCCTGGTTCGGTCGGGATGGAAAAGGGCGGCTTCTGGGGATGGGAATTGGACAAGATCGAAAGGGTCTCGTCAGGCTTGGCCAAAGTCAGTTTCGTCAGGGGTGGTGGCGTTGAAAAGATCGTGCTCGAGGATGTCGCGATCGGTGCGAGGTCTTTGACGAACTTGGAGGAGGTGCTCAAAGGGACGCGAGATGGTCGCGTCATCGTTACTGCGAGGTTCGTGCATCTGTTGACGACCTTGGTCCAGCTCCACGCGCTGGGATCCTTCGACCTCGCCGTCACGCCTCCTTCGTCGTCGCTGCAATCCTCTTCGTCATCGACTAATCTCCTCATCGATACCTTTGCCGGATTGATGGGTTACGAATTGGAGACGCTGCATCTCTACAAGGAGCTCTCCGGTCGAGAGATTTGGATGCGTCGAGTTGTCAGTCGAGGAGCATCCGAGCCATCGGCTTCGACGGAATCAGGCGTGGCGGGGACGACGACGTGGGAACCTAGCTTGTTGACCCAGGGTGCGTGGGAGGGCAAGTTGGTGCATCTCGAAGGCATCGATACGATCGGATCGACGGTCGGAAGTCTCGGTAGGCTCTTGATGGATCGCGAGGCCGAACTTTGGGAAGGTCAGAGGATGCTCGGGCCCAAACCCGAGAGAGAAGAAGGGGCCGACAAGGATGGGGCCATCATCTCGAGAATCCATCCGTCGTTCAGGATCATCGCCACATCGTCCAAATCGTCGCCGCCGAAGGAATGGCTGACCGAGGAACTATCCGCCAACTTTATCGCCTTGCCTTCGATCGCGATGTCTTTGGAAGAGGAGAAAGCTATTCTTCTCGCGACGGGGTGTACGCCGGCTATCGTCGATCGATTGGAAGTCTTTGCTCGCGCTTATCGACGCGCCAATGCCGCTCCAGGTAGCAAGAGTCGTCGATTGGGCACGGCGAGCTTGGTCCGTATCGCGACGAGGTTGAGCAAATTCCCCGGCGAGGGTTTGTTTGGTCTGTTGAATCGGACGTTGTTGAGCGAGTTCTTACCGAACACCGCCAAGGAGGAGTTGTGGGCTTTGTTCAAGGATACGGCAATCGCTCCGGATGCGGAATGGGTGAGTGGTCGAGCGATTGCTGTCGAGTCAACCTTGAGCCATGGCTGATTCAAAGTTCGATTTCGCAGTGGAACCCACCTCCCGAAGTCAAAGCCGGCACTCTTGTCTTCCCCGCCGCCAGCGATCCTGCCGGCGTGGCCAAGGCTTACGAAGTGCGCCTCTTCGACCTCAAGACCCACGACGCCCTCGGCTCGTCCTACATCCCTTACATGAACAACTTTCTCGACAACTCGCAACAGACGGCCCTCATGCGGGATATTGCCGTCGATCTCGAGCTGCTCGGCGAGCACGTCCTCTTGCTTGGCAACCAAGGTGTGGGGAAGAACAAGATCGTCGATCGCATGCTGCAGTTGCTCGATCGACCTCGCGAGTTCGTGCAACTTCATCGTGATACGACGACGCAATCTCTTCAATTCAAGACCTCGTTGGAAGGTGGTGTCATTCGATACGTAGATTCACCCCTCCTCCGAGCCGTCGCATTGGGTCGAGTGATCGTGATCGATGAAGTCGACAAGGCCGCTGCACCCGTCGTCGCTTCGTTGGCATCGTTGGCCGCGAGGGGAGAGATGACTCTTGCCGATGGGAGGAAGATCAGACCTGCTGGATCGGTTGGATCGGACAAGGATATCATCGTTCATCCCAATTTCAGGATCGTGCTCTTGGCAAACCGACCGGGTACTCCGTTCTTGGGTAATCGTAAGTTGCGAGATAGCGCAGCGAAAAACTAAGCTCAGCTCTATTGACACTGACTGACGCTCGAGCTGGTGCTTCACAGCATTCCTTCGTGTGCTCGGAGACACGTTCAGCACCTACGCGGTCACGAACCCCGATATCGACTCTGAGCAACGCGTCTTGGCGCAGCTCGCCCCAGAACTCGACGAGGAGCTACTGAGGTCGCTCGTACAAGCTTTCGGTGATCTACGCAAGGCCTTCGATGTGAGTCAAAAGTTTGGGAAGGGGAATGAGACGAATTATATACCAGTGGCTTACTTGAATATCTTGTCCATCGTTCCCAATGCAGAGCGGTGCCTTATCGTACCCCTTCTCCCTGCGCGAACTTCTCGCCATTGTCCGTCACCTCAAGCGCTACCCGGACGACACGCTCGAAGAAGTGCTCCGTAACGTCTTTGATTTCGATACGCATCGACCCGAGACGATCGACAAGCTCTACTCGATTTTGAGAAAGTACAAGTTGGGCGTCACGAGGGTCGGCCTGGACGCCGTTCGTGGACCGACGGGGCTCGATGGCGAGAAAATCAAGAAGACCAAGGTCATCGAGTTCGAACCCAAAGGTGCGACAGATCTTTCTGAACCCAAGTTTGGCAAGGGGCCTGATGGAAAATTACATGTGAGTCGGCGTATGCGATTGTGCTTCGATGGGTTGGCGATAAAACTGAGGTGCGTTCCTCGACTTTGAACGCGAAGGTTGGCGGCAACAAGTGGGCTGGTGGCACAGGAGGTCGATCGACGGCTGGATTGGGTGGTCGAGTGAGTAAAATCTCCTCCGTTCACGGACGGGTGGAAAGTTCATAATGCTGAACCTGGCTCACTTTTCGCGAATATAGGGTGGTGCGCAGCGACTTGCCGTCAAGGGTCAGGACATCCACCAAATCCCCGACTCGCTCAAAGCCGACGTCCCCGACCACATCAAGCAGCAAGCGCGTGACATGGCTCGCAAGGAACTCGCAAAACGTCTTGCCGACATCGATCTCACCTCGTCGCAGGCATCGCAGTACTCGGGCTACCACGACGCCGTCCAGAGTCACGTGCAGCAGCTCGTCTCCTTCCTCGACAACCTCGAAGCGAACGAAGAGGAGCGTGTGTGGCTCAAGCGACAAACCGATGGCGAGCTAGACGAATCGCGCCTTAGCGAAGCGTTGACGCAAGAGTCGACGGTTTACAAGCGTCGAGGCATGGAGAAGCCCGAGTTGGGCCGTCCGCAGCTCAAGCCGAAGCGTATCCGTTTCGTCTTCGACTGCAGTGCGTCGATGTACCGCAATCAGTACACGGGCGGGTTGACGCGATCGCTCGAGACGGCGGTGATGGTCATGGAGGCGTTTGCGCGCATCTCGCGCAAGGAGAAGTACCGTATCGACTTGATCGGCCATAGTGGTGAGGAGGTGTCGATCCCTCTTGTGCCGATTGATACTTTCCCCGCCCATGCGGGTGAGCGCTACAAGGTCATTCAGAAGATGGCTTTGATTCCTCAATTGTGAGTTCAGTGAAGTTCTACGTCGCTGTTTTAAAGAATTTGCGCCGACTCGATTTGCCAACAACACATTTTTTTTGGCAGCTGCTGGGCCGGCGACAACACGGTGCCGTGCATCGAAGAAAGCGTGCAAGCCGTCGCTGAATCCGATTCGGACGACTACTTTTGCATCGTCATCACCGACGCCAACCTCCATCGGTACGGTATTACTCCCGAGGACCTGAAGCGTGCGATGACGTCCAACTCTAAGGTCAAGGTTTCGTTGGTTGCGATCGGCGAAGGTGCCGAGAGCGAGTGGTTGCCCAAGGTCTTGCCGGGGAGGTGCCATGCGGTCAAGGAGACGGCTGATATTGCGACGACGTTAAGGTCCATCTTGGGGTCGATGTTGACGGGCGAGTTGTAGAAGTTGTGATAGTCTTAGTATGAAATAAATTGTATTTTGGTGTTGAGCAATTCGTAACTGGTGAACATGAAATCATCGAGAGCGCTCAGTCGGGTTTGGCTCTTGGTCTGAGCGGAGAACGGATTACCCTGCGAGGAGCAAAAGTGACATTACATCAATCAAATCATATATTCCCACGCGGCTGTTGTACTCGATCCCAAGCGATCCTCGCTTCGGTTGCGCTGCCTCGGACAGTTGGGTTCCAGATCACGTCCGGGGAAGAGAAGAGAGGAGAGCGGTCCGACCGTTACCCCGCGCAGTTGCGGAACCGCGGCGGCCGAGGTTGCGGCACGGCACGCTGACGAAGAGAGCTTGAAGTTCTCGTGCAACCCACCTGGTTCAGTCCGCGGTCCATCGCACATCAGCTATCCGGACTTGACGTTCTCTTTTGTTTCGTGCCTGCTCTTTGCTCTTCCATTACTTCGACATCATCGGCGTCGCCACTGGTGAACTCGAACCGCAACGGCGTCGCGGACTCCAGCGCGATCTCTTCTCGGGGTTTGGAGGCTCCCTCGTCACCACCCCCTCTCCTCTCCTCTCCAGGCTCTCGCCTTCTCGGGGACGACATCACTCGTCGCCACTCGCGCTTGGTGCTGATCGAGGGGGGAAGCTATGACACCCCAGACGCAAAAAGGCTCCACTCGTCGAATGACTCGCAACAGCAACCCAGATGACGTACCGCGACGACTTCTTGTCGACGACTCGGCACCGAAGGCGGCAACGGCAGCGGCGGTCGACAGACAAATGAGCGCGCCGGTCGAGTCGACGCCCAGCGGGGGACGGGACGAGGGAGGTGGCGACGGCGACGACGGCGCTGCGAGTACGATGACGGCATCGTTGAAAAAACTCTCAAACAAGCGCAAGACTACCCTCAACACGGTTACATCCAAGAAGGCAGCAGCACCGAAGAAGACCGCAAGAATTCAAGGTACTGCCGAGCAGGCTCAGGCTCAGGCTCAGGCTCCCGCCCAGGCTGGTCCGAGCTCGACGATGATAAAGTACCCCGATCAGAGTCTACCGCTCGCGACATCGACTAATTCTGCGAACACCCACCGAGCCACATCACTTCAAGCAATCGATGAAGTCGATGCCAACGCGCGAGCCCGAGCTTGCGACCAAAACGAGATGCCCACGAGCGATTCGGAGTTGACCTCGAGCGACGATTCGAACGACGAGCCTTACCTGCCTTCGCGAAAGAGGGGTCCGAGCGGCGCAACCTGGGCCTCCAAACGACGTCGCAAGCCAGCGGGCCCCATCAAGACGAATCAGAAGTCACACGTGGAACAACGAACGGAAAGCAAGTCCGTAATCTCGAGATTCGACCACTCCTCGACCCGAGCCCTCGGCAGTTTTCCGGCCCTGCAGAGTCTCACCGAGAATGTCGAAGCCGTACTTCACAGTGCTCGAACGCGGACCCACTTCGGCAGGAGGCTGCAGTCCGAATCACACCAACGCTTAAAGGCTTCGATCGAAGTATTACCGGATCCACCTCAAAGAGCCGTACTCGCCTTGCTCTTGAAGTGAGTCTCTCCTCTGACGCTGCTGACACGCCGAACGAAAAGTCGACTGAACGTTGGCGCAACCTTAGTCGCTACACCAGCTTTTGCGAAACTCAAGATGTCAACCTACCCGCTTTTCCACTCTCCGTAAGCCTCTCGGCATTTCCGGATCCGAATCCGTGCTGAATCACTCGCTTGCACTTTTCGCTTTGCACGGAGCAGCCCGCCAAAGTCGCAATCTTTCTCGCACGGGCAACCGACACATCCTTCGGAGAAAGTCTGCGCCGGCGATTGCCACAACCCTTGACCTATCCTCTACCCATTGCCGGCGGCGGCGATCAGGGTAGCTTGCTCGGCCCGAGCGAGGGCTCACGAGTCGATGTCGCGTTGATGCGTTGCTGGCTCCAGGCTTTATCCTACGCACAAGGCGCAATCGCTCCCGTGTGGGCGCCGGTGCTTTCGCCGCTCGACCCCTCCCTGGCGAGCATTGAGCGTGACCCGGCCATCATGGACATCGTCGCAACCTTCCACGAACCCGAAGCAAGGGAATCGTCTTCATATCGAGCAAAATCGACGGCCGTGGGAAGTCGACGCTCTGGAGGCACACGGCAGACGAGCCAAGTCGCCGCTGTTCCGGTCGATCTGGCGAAGCGACGTCAAGATCTGCAGGCCGCCGGGGCGAAGACTGCGCAGCGGTGAGCCAGTCAAGACATCACGAGCATGCCGCGAATTCTAGCTCTGTAAGCGACGTAAATGCTGACATTGACCCGCTTTGGTGACGGGTGATGTTCGATAGAACCTCGGCGATGAAATCACTTTCGAAAGCAATCTCGGAGCACAATGCTCGTGCCGCCCGGAGGGGTTCGATGTCAATTCAACGGCCTTGCGACGCGACCTCTTTGATGCCGAGCATCGTTCCACACCCCGCAACGGGATATGACGCTCCTACTGCCGAGATGAGCCATCGGACCCAAAACATGCCCGTTGGAATTGGACCGTCAATGCCGTGGCCGCACGGCACCCGGACTCCCTCATCCTCGAATGCTCCTCGCCCTTGGCCCTTGTCGACCTATGGAAGCATACCGTCACCCCCCCTTCCGATCGGACCAGAAACTTTCATTAGGCACCATGCGTGTAAGACCCCCCCTACTCAACCTGGCTCAACCTATCCTATTCCCTTGACGAGGTCAACTTCGTACGAGCCACATCTGCGCAGCGCTTCGGCCGCATTCAGTCTGAGTGACTTTCAGTCAATGGCAGGGGAAGCGGTGCAACCGGCTAGCACACCCCATCTCTCTGAACGACTTCGATCGGAGCAAAATGGGATGCAATCGACTTCGGTTGGTTCCCAATTCGATTTTCGCCAAGAAGCTGCGCCTACTGCACGAGCGCCTATACATCAAGGCAACCCGTCACAGGCCCGCGGCCAAAGGTGGTCTCGACCGCCCCGTATCGGCATGCTTCAGAGCGGTCCCAAAGGGTACGAGGTAGGAGCTCAAAATTTGGGTCCAGGAATTCTCCAACCCATTGACAGCAACGGCGAAATTACCTTCGGTGCGGTTTCATCTTCGCCGTCAATGATGCCGCCACCGGCGTCGACGAGTTTAAGCGTTTCTGCTCGCCGAGATTCACAGGTGCAGAGCACCCCACAGAGGCCATCGTCTTCTACAGCGACCGTTCTCCAAGAAGGGTTATTCGTTAGTCCGACGATACCGGTGTTGCACGGCAATGGTTCTCAATTCGAGATGGAGAGCTCGATGCGATGGGATGCGCTTCCCTCGGCTCCGACGTTGATCGCGCTGGCCGCCGATGTGCGGCCCGTCGGTTGGTTCATTGAAGCAGACACGATGCGCACCATCCAGATCGGTGCTCCACATACCACTACATCTCCTCCCTCATCAGCAACAATCCCAAGGGGTGTGATCAACGCTCAAGGCCCAAGCACTCTTGGCAACCCCTACTTTTCCATGCCCGTTGCGCGCCCTCCCCCTGTTCGGCCGAACGAATCACCCGAGTCGGCGGTGGTGGAGCCGCAGCCGATTGCAGAGCTTCCAGGTGATACTGTCATGGGCGCGCATGCAAATGACAGCCAAAACATGGACGGCACCGTGGATCGAATGTCTCGCCCTTCTTCGGCGGCCGGATCGGCCCCTCCTGAACAGCATCGCTCCTCGTCGCATGCCGGTGTTGGGGTCGCAGCGGGCCTCGAGGGAACGTTCCTGCTCGGCACCTCCGCGACGCCATCAACCTCATCTCCTCAAAATGGTCAAAACAGCTCCAAATTAATCTCTGCGACACCACTCAACAGATATGAGCCTCACACTCACCTCGACCCGGTTTCGCCGTCAAACATGCGGCCCACCGACTCGCCGATCTATCGCGAATCACCCCTGAGCTTGAAAGAAGTCTCGCGCGCGCACTCGACCTGATCTCGATGCTTAGCCTTCTCTTGCTCGACCCATCTTTGACTCTTGCTTGTCGGTCAGTTCTTTCCCTGTGCTACGTCTAGTTAAATCTCCTCGGCGTTCCCACCCATGCGTTGTATCTCGTTCTCTTTCGGCTCGTCGCTTGTCAGTTGTCACGTGCCGCGAGGGGGAATTGTCGGATCGGAAAGCCCGAAGCCGAAGCCGGCCAGACACGAAGACGCTCGAGAATCTTGAGCCGAAGTGTGGTCCGTACGAAAAACATGACGCAAACCAAAGCACGAAACATAGCATGTACTTCATCCAATTCTCCAGTGTTATCATGATATCTCGCGGTGCTCGAGCTCAAGAGCGAAATAAAGTCTGGCGTTGCAATCACGGGAAGAATATCTAACTAAATGTGGAAGGTCCGAGGGAACGGAACGTGGGTGATACGAACGGATAGAGAAAAAAGATTGGATATCGGGAAGAGTGAGTCGAAAGCAAAAGTCGAACGCGACCAAATGTCACACAACACAGCAAGATGATGCCGAGGCGTCGAGGAGAGGATCGAGGCCCGAACCGGCCGGGCGACTGCGCAAAGGCCGAAAGAAGACTCGAGGGGCTCAATCGGTCACCTTCTTCACGTCGAACCAAAAGATTTCTTGTTGTGGATAGAAAAGCTCGTACGCAAGACCCGGGGCGCCGCCAAAACCTGTCGTTTCCTTGGCGGTGAGACCGGCGGTCTTCATGTCCTTGAGGTGGTCCAGGCCGACGAGGCAAACCTTTCGCGATTTCCCAGACAGGAGGTCCAGCTTCAGGGCTTCCGCGATGTCGGAGTTGGACCTGTCCTCCCCAGAAGCCGGATCCGGATCTCTACTCGCTTGCTGCGAACCCGCACCTTCCTGTGTTTTCTTGGCTTCGCTCTGCAGCCCGGGACCATGATGTCCTGCTGCCGAGCCCGCTCGTCCGCTGGCCCCTGAAGCGGACTGCTTCGGAGTGCCGCCCCCAGTTGCGGCGACGCCGCTCGGGGAGGAAGGGCCTTGCGTGGGGACAGGGCCTTGCGGAGAAACTGACATCGGGCCTCGCGAGTCGCGTTTGGCAAGGTGATGTCTCCGACGTTGGCAAGCGAGGGAATTCCCCGGGCAGAGAGAACGCACGTGGTGATGTTGAGAACGACCGCCGCCGTGGTGGTTGCCGCCCTTGTGGCCATGGCCGCCGTGTCCGCCGTGATCGCGGCGACCTCCACGACGACCACCGTGACCGCGATTGCCAGTGCGGCCGCGATGACGCTTGCCCCTGTAGCCGCCGTGGTGACGACTGAGATGACCGGGGTTGGACCGTTGCGATTTAAAATGATGGTGAGTATTGGCGCCTGACTTCCCGCTTGATTTTTGAGATGGGGCCGATTTCGAGTTCGCCTTCTTGAACTTGAAGTCCTCCTTCTGGCTAGCCCCGCCTATCCTTTGTGCGAGCGAGAGAGCGTCGTTCGAGTGGCCGCAGGTGAGCTGTGCACGGAATCAACCACTGTCAGCGCGGAGTAGCAAACAGGGCGTCAGAGCAGCCAGGGGGACTTACCACACTGAAAATCATCTGAGTGGCGGAGAAAAGCGCCGTTGGCATCAAGTCAGCACAGACCAACGCAATCGACACCAACCGCGACTCAAACGGAGGCTCGAATCAACGATTATTGTACCTTAACGGCTGTGTGGTGCTTGTCATCGTGGAAGGCGCCAGTGTAGGGGACCACGACACTGTCCCGACCCTCGTCGAACTGCGTCGCCGCACACTTATTTTCGCCACAGATCGAGACGCCGCTGAAAGTACCCAGCATGCGTCCGCTGTGTCCATACGCCGTGCGGTATGTAAGATTGACTGTTGCGTATTCCGGCTGGAACGAAATGCCAACTTGACTATGACCGGGCGCGCCATCGCTGCGGCGTGTTGATCGTGGTCTCCTCAGTGATAGCTCACGAGAGGAAGTGAGGCGCCGTGCGCGGAAAGGACGAACCGATGAAATGCCATGAACTGTTGCGACAAGCCGATGCACGCCAGAAGCGCAAAGAAAGTGGGAGAAGATGCGTCACATTAGAGAAAGAGGGGTCATATAAGTCGCATCCGTGCGTTGGCTCCACTAGGATCCACCGAAGTTTGGCATAGCCACGACAAGAAGAGCAAAATAGTACTCACTTCGCCTGCGCCGTTTTGAATGGTGTATACTGTGTGATGAGGGCGGCCGCAATCAGCGTCAGGGGCAGTCTGAGTGACACGCTCGGTCCGCCCGTTGAACGCCTCGCGGAGGGGGGTTCATCGCGGGGAGGTCGAGGTGTCCATTCTGCGAGTCGGACGAAGAACTCACCTCCGGAAATGTTGGCACTGCTTTGCTAAGTAGGATCAATCGAAGTGGGCTTTATATGTTAGTCTTCTTGTGCTTGGCTTGCCTTCTCGTTGCGTAACAGAGGCGCAGAGATAGGGGAGGCAGCGTTGTGGCGATGCCGAGAGGCCACGGCGGGGACGCACCGTGATGACCTGAGCGGGGCCAGTGTTGTTGATGATTTCCGCGAATGCGGCAGGCAGGCAGGTAGTGACCAGCACCGACAGTAATTGCAGCGAGCGCATAGTGAGAAGTGTAGAAGCAGGTGGCCGGAAGAGGGAGGGAGAGAAGGAGAGTGGGCCCGCGAGACGTAGCGACGAACTGAGCGAGACAAAACGTGACGCAGGCGCGCTGAATCAGGACGGAAAGGAGCGAGGGAAGGTGCGCGAAACAAGGAGCGGCAGTCGACGACGAGGCTTGCAAGAAGTGTGAGAGGAGGAGAAGAGCACCTGTACTTGCTGAGGCGAGGATACGTTAGGTGAGAAGGAAAAGACAAGGTCCAGAACAGGATGAGCTCCCGGGCAATGCAGGTGGGAAATCGTCGCCGTCTTGATGGCGCAGTGCTAGCGCTCCAACGACAGTGAGTGGGAGTGTGGGCCTGAGCTGAATCATCTCCGTGCCTTAAGTAAGACTAGCAGCTACTAACAGTGGATGTGTAGATATGTGCGGGGCCCTGTATTGCCTGAACGTGGCGCCAATCAAGCGCGATCGCCAAGCCACGGCAATCAAAATGCAAGACCTGCTCTCCTGTCTCAGCTGTGAGCTCGTGTTGGGGCCCGGCTCTGAGCCCGAACGGCACGCGCTCGCTCGTTTCAAGTAGATACCCTAATGATGTCATTAAACATTCCACACAAGCAAACAGCTACAACATGCTATGGACCCAATGCTACACGTTGTTCGAGAGACGGCGAATGGGAGAGTAGGGCCGGAGTCTTTAGAGTCGTGGGAGTTTGGGCGGCTAGCCCGAGGTAGCCCGAGGTCGCCCCTTTTTCGCTGGTTCGGACCGTTTCGTTCTATTTCCGCCAAGAGGGGGCTCGAGCAATCCCGGGTTTCACTACCAGGCCATGTGATCGGGATGACACAACGGCCCACCATTGCGACTTGTCCTTGGCGTTGAAGTCGACCATACCCTGGCTGGTGAAACCTCCGGCGCTCTTCACGGCTTTGCTGCCGACGGCCCTCGCCCTTTGGTCGAATAGGTGGTCGTGGGTGAGGATGCAGTAGGTCGAGCTGGAACCACGCTTGCCCAAATTAAAGTCGGCGTCATCGTCGGTCTCGGTGTACTCGGCGACGTCTTCATCGGTGAAGAGGGGCGACTCCTCGACGTCGTTCTCGTCCTCGTCCTCGTCCTCGTCGACGACCACGGGCTCGGTGATGGCGGCGTTGTTGGCCCTGTCCTCGAGATCGAGCGAGCGACGACGACGCGAGACTTTCTTGGAGAAGGTGATGGCGCTCGACGAGGTGCCGCACGGGACGAGGGCCCACACCTGCTTCGCAACCGACTCGCCCGAGGTTCGGCAAGCGTACGCGACCGCGGCAATGTCCTTGCCTTGACCGTTCTGCTTGCCGTATTGAGCCGCCAAGCATTTGCCGTTCTAAACAGTTTGATCATAGATGAGCTTAGATGCAATGCAACGCGTGTCAGGCTACGTTCGAATTGCTACAGAGGTCGAGGTGCCGGCCGCCGAAATGACTCGCGGGCCAATTTCTCCGCCAGCCGAAGCGGGACAAGCGGGACTGCCGAGCTGAGTGAGACTTACGGAACTGCCATCGGCGATGCTCACGCCCTGCCAGGAGCCCTTGGATTTACCGCTCGAGCCGGAGACACGGGTCCATTTGAGCGAAACGGATTTCTTGGACGATTGGGTGTAGACGTTGGCTTTGCCGGAGTTACTGGAAGGGACGGGACGGAGAAGGTGATCGAGCGGCCAGAGACCGGGTCAGATTCTTGGCCGGGAACCGGTGGTGGCGAACCCGCGCGCGCGCAGAAATGTGTGGTTTGCATCAAGGCCGTGGAAGGGAAGGCGTTGATGATTATGATAGAAAAGAATGATGTAGGGACGGTAACTCACCGAGTGAATTGTAGGTATCTGATTGAATGACGCGCAAAGAAACACCCAGAAGAGGAGACAAACAAATGCGAAGAGGCGCTCGCCCGTCAGCGCCAATTTTAAACGAAGATGAGACCGGGGTGCTCGCGAAATTGCAGCTAATTCGCAAAGAGGGACGCCCCGATAATGAATCGAGGATCGCCCCGCAGTTCGAAAATTCGTAAGAGACAACTCACTTTCCGGTCTGAACGTTCCTGAACGTGTAGGAGCCGCTCACTTTGGCTTGCGAGGCCTGTCGAGTAGTAGTAAAAAAATGTGGTGGTAGGGATGGGATGCGATCCGTGATGCGAGCGAAATAGTATGAAGGGCCGTGCGTAGAGCAACAAAGAACGGGGGCAGGAAAAAGGGAGCCGAAAGGGGAAAAAAAGGGGGTTAGTACGCTCGATCAAGGATTAGGATTAGGGTAAGCGCAAATCGGCCGATTGAAACCCAGGCGTCACCCGGGATGCGCCGTGTCTCAGATCAAGGCTACCAGGCACCTGGCGGGTGCCCTGGGCGTGGACCCCAAATGAGGAAAGGATCCCCTCAACGAGAGATTGGAAGACATCGTTCGTCGTCGTCGTCGGGCGAACGCGAGCTGTGCACGGAAATGAAACGCAAGTCGAAGGTCGACCGACAGGCCGGGAAACACGACACTAGCGAGAGCAGCGAGTGCACTACGACTGAACCGGACGGAACGATGTAGGGGCGTGCGGGCCCACTTCCGAAGCCGAAGCCGACGACGGACCGGCGCCAGTGCGCGGCTTCGGAGCTTGGGAGGATAGGGGGTCCGTGCTGGAGCGTCGGCGACCGGCGCGCGCTAGTTCAAGGACCCCGCTCGAGGAGAAGTCGCCTCGAAGCCAGAGGAAAGCGCAGTAGAAGTGAAGCGAAACTCACGAGAACAACGGCTTGCATCTGGGTGTTGTCGATGGACGATGCAGACGCCATGGTCGCGACGAAGGCGAGAGAAAGCATGGAGACTGAGAAAAGCATGGTGGTCGTTAAAGAAGAGGAGATAAAACGTGATTGTCGGTGAGGAAGAGTGAATACAGAAACAGTGGTGAGAGAACGAAGGAAGGGTAGTTGTTGGTGAGGACAGGACAGAGGAGAAGAAGAGCAAAAGGAGACGGGTGGGGAGGCGAGTAAGGGGTGATAATTAAATCGAGGTCCTTGTGAAGAGGTGCAGGGTAGTAAAGTAGGTCTCACACGAACAACGTGTGTTTCGATCGTAAATATGGGTCTCGGGCACTTGCCTGTCACCTAGTCTTCCTCCGCGCGCCGGACGGGAGTCCTCAGAGCGACTGAAACAACGAGGGTGCTCGGCGCATGCGCACGCACCCCCTACCTCCCCTACTACTCCCCCACTCCCCTGCGCGGACATCCGACGCGCGAGCCTTGGGTCCGTGCGTGCGCCTCGCTCCCCCGTAATCGTGTCTTCGCAACACCGAAAAAAGAAAGCCGCCGTCGCGCAAGCGAAGTCCGGAAAAGGGGACACTTGTCGTACTTGGAAGTTGAGAACTTGTCAATCGGCAGTGGATACTAGGTGTCGGCTTGGGACCGGGGTTACTACCACAGCGGATTGCCCGGCGGCCACCATGGCACCGTGTCACCGACTCATGTGTTGCCTTGAAGAAACTGGCAGATATGGCGCCTTGGACTTGGTCCCGCGTCGTCGAATTCTTGTCTAGGGCATGCATTGCATCATCAAGTAATCCAGGATTCTGAATGCTTTCTCTTTAGTGGTAAAGAGGTTGTGGGTAGAAGTTGTCACCACGCCGCTTCAAGTGATGAAGCACGTTTCTCATTTGATCGTGGATCGACTGCCGCGGCCGGCTGCCCGGCGCAATTCCCCCTCGACGCAGCCGAGACCGCTCGATTCCGCCGGCTACGGCCGGCCGGCACTGCACCAGCTTTGCGAATCGTCTCCTAGTAGTACGCCGTACCTCCTGCAAGTCCGACCTATGGCGTCTGATTCTTCTTGAAAGTGTTCTGTCATTTTCAAACTCTCGAATGGGTTACATTTTGAAATCCTGGCCAGTACATGCATGTAATGTACGGCGTCAAGTTTCAACACTTGCGAAGGCCACCGGGAGTCCGGGACCCGGGTCCAGTGAAATTGAACCTTGAATTCGCCAAGTTCATTACCCAAGCGAAAGCCAGCAGAAGCCAGCAATAAGCCAGCTAAAAGCCGACCCGCGTCCACCCGCGTTTACTCTCGTTTACTATACCCGCGCGCGCGAGTCGACGCGCCTCCATTACTCCTCCTATCCTCGCTCGCTCACTCGACTGATCGTGATCTACAAGGCCACGTAACGTCTCACCATGGACGCCCCAGCTCTTCCGCGTCGTAGCGACTCTCGGCAATCCTCACGGTCGCAGTCGCAATCGCAGTCGCATGCTTCCTCTAAGCCGCTTCATCCGGCGTCTCATACACGCGTCGGGTCATCGTCGGCACGGGCGTCGAGCGTCGTGTCCGGCTCGTACGCCTCGGCCTCGACGACGCTGTTTCCCAAGACGCCCAAGTCCTCGGCTGCCAAGTACGGAGGACTAGGAGAGAAAGAGTTGCAGCAGGTAAGCGCCGTAGCCCTGCGCCATGGGCCTACACGCCCTCGTTGAAATCAACAAACATGACGACCGACCTCCTCGCGCTCGCGTCGTGTCCTCTTAGATCACAAGCAGCATCCGCACGGCCGTCAAGACGACGGGATCGTACAAGAATAGAACCATGCCTGTACCGGAAGAGTTCGATGCCTCGCTTGCGCAGGATCCGATACGAGGTTCGTGTTGGACCAGCTCGCTTCATTTCTGCCCCCCCCTCTCGTTCCAGCGTCTCACTGATCCACTGTCCTCAAATGATCACTTGGCGTAACCTCTGGACAAATATGCTCAGATCCAACACCTTCGGGATCGTTCGTCGCCGAGACCTCGTTCAGTCGAGCGCCTCTCAACTCGCGCCTCCCTCCCATGTCCCCCCACCGCGTCGCCCTCGCCTCCGCTTCTCGGCGCAAGAGCTCCAAGACAACGACGACAGGTGCCAAACGGCATTCTTCCACCGTAGCAAGAGAAACAATTGAGTCAATTGCGCCACCCGCTACCGCGGTTTACTCGGACGAAGATAGTCTCAATGAGGACAGCGAGGGGCTCGACGAGTTCGAACCGGCCGATGAGCTCGAAACGAGGCAACGCGAAGGACTCGATCCGGAACCGCTGCAGGGCCTTAGTCCCGAGCTGCAAGAGGCTCTGATAGTCGAGGACCTATTTTTCGTGCTCACGGTGGGTCCGACAAGACAAGATTCCTTCGTCCTTTGGTTCACCTGGCTGATGTCTTATTGTCTTTGCTTACAGGGTATCGAGGGTCAGTACATCGAGTACGATCCGACGTATACCCCCGAAGATGAGTTCGAGCGACTCTATGGTTCTAGATTTGTGGTGGCGCCGTCTTTGGGTATGTACTCGGACCGTTGAAATAAGTATCAACTCGCGCTCCGATCTGATCTTGCGCACGTACCTTTCAGAGCCGTGGATGGCAGCAACGGTGACGCGGTTCCTCGATATCGCCAAGCACTACACATCCATACACGCCTTTATTGAGCAGTATTCTATTCTCGAGTACGGCGTCATCAACCATGCGCTCTGTGCTGCCATTCGCGAAATGCTCAAGGTAAAAGCATTGCTGCTCGATGGCTTGCGACCAGGTTTTATCGGCTAACGAACATCCCCCTCCACTTCCGTCTGCAGGAGTACCTCATCCTCCTGGCTCAGCTCGAGCACCAGTTCCTCAACTCGCCCGGATTCACTCTACAACGCTTTTGGTTCTACCTCCACCCGACCCTTCACACCCTTTCCCTCATCAACTCGCTCACACTCGACCTCGTCGCGCTCAGCATCCCGCCGGAAGAAGTCTCGTCCTCGGAGGAAAGCGGTGACTCGGACAGCTTCGTCGGTAATGCTGCTTTGCGCGACGTGCTCGCCGATATGGAAGGTGCGGTCAAGTCGGCTGCGAAAGCGGATCGAGCGAGTCGAGGCGAAGGCATCGCCAAAGGCGGCGAAGTGCTCTTTGTGCTCTCGGAGAAACTCGATCGAACTGCGGGGGACCCTGCGGCGAGGGAACTTTATACGACGTTGCTTTTGCGTGCTAGCCAACCGTACGCGACGATCTTGCTCGGGTGGATCAGTACCGGCCACCTCTCGGACCCGTGGGACGAGTTCATCGTGCGTGAGGACAAGAAGCAAACGCGCGAATCGATCGAAACGGACTTCACGAACGATTATTGGGAGAAGCGCTACAAGTTGCGCGACAACCTCAGCTCGGATGGACCTGCCGAACCGGTTGTGAATAGGAATGTCCCGCCGAGGGAAAGGGGCTTGAGTGGAGGGCAGATCGTGCCGAGGTTCTTGGAGCCGTGGAAGGATAAGGTCTTGCTGGCGGGCAAGTACTTGAATGTGTTGAGAGAGTGTGGGATCGACATCGAGTCCGCGAGTGGGGATTGGGCTAAAGGGCAATTGTTGGCGCTCAATGATGAGAGGTCAGTCGCGATCGTCACGACAAGTCCGGTCAGGGCCCCCTTTTTCTTGCTCTCTTCTGACTCGATCACGAGGATGGCCGTCCACAGCTTCTTCAGACGCATCGACGAGGCGTACACGTACGCGAACAAGGCTCTGCTGAAGCTCTTGCTCGAACAGGAACACCTCTTGACGCGACTACGATCGCTCAAGCAGTACTTCTTCATCGACCACGGCGACGCCTTTACCCATTTCCTCGACCTTGCGAGTCTCGAATTGCACAAATCGCGGCATTCGGCCTCGGATGAGAAGTTGCAGTCTTTGTTTGAGCTCGCATTGCGGAACCCTTGTTCGGCTTCGGCGGCGGATCCGTTCAAAGATGACTTGATCGTCGTGTTGGCGAAGAAGACGTTGACGGAGATGCTGGTCAAGATTTTAAAGGAGGATGGGAAGTTGGTTGATGCTTCGGAGGGGAAGAAGAATGCGAGGGACAAGGAAGAGGATAAGAAGGACAAGAACTTTTTGGGTGAATTCTCAGGACCGCAGTCGGCGATCGTAGACGACTTTGCTGACTCTACCCATCTCACAGCCCACCAAGCGGTCACGCTCGAGTACCACGCCAAGTTCCCTCTCTCACTCGTCATCTCGCGCAACACGATCACGCACTACCAATTCCTATTCCGTCACCTGCTCCAACTCAAGCACACCGAACGCGTCCTCGCGGAGATGTGGACCGAGCTCGCCAAATCCTCGTCCTGGCGCGTTCGCTCTCCCTATCCCGAACTCGAACAATGGAAACAGCGGGTATTCGGTCTGCGCGCGCGCATGTTCGCGTTCGTACAGCAGATGTACTCGTTCACCGTTAGCGAGGTGTTGGATGTCAATTGGGCCGTGTTGGAGAGGAAGTTGGCCAAGGTCGAGACGGTGGATCAGTTGTTGAGCGATCATGTCGATTTCTTGGCGACTTGCTTGAAGGAGTGCTCGATGACGAATGAGAAGCTGCTGGTGGTGAGTTTCCGAGGACGCTTTCGGATGGGGAATCGTGATCGATTTGCAGCTTGGCTGATCTTGTCGAACGATCGGGGCCATCCACTTTGTTCTGCTCAGATTCATTCCAAGTTGCTCGAAGTGTGCACGCGCTTCCCTCCTTACGTCGCCAAGTTCACCGACGCGATCGAGATGTCGCTCGCTTCGGCCGAACGTCACAGCAAGGATTGGTCCCAAGTCGGCTTCAAGAAACAATGGGATACGCTCGCTTCGTGAGTGATCCGAAAACGGACGAGCTGGGCAGAGGGAATCTCGCACTCATCTCTTTCGGATGGATTGATGCGATGGCTACTCACAGGTTTGAACAGCACTTCAATCATCACACCAAGGCGAATCTCGATCGGTTGTCGTTCCACGCGACCAAGGAGAACCCGGCGTTGTTGCCTTTGGTAGTCAGATTGAGTAATCTCAAGGTGCCGAGTTTGCCGGTGTGAGGTGTTGTGGGGGTTGGATTGGGAAAACGGTTTGTTTTGACTTCCGGGGTGTAGGGTGTCGATTACGTTCGTAAGGGTCTTTTTGTTTTGTGTTGTAGTAATTTTCAGCATATTTCGGAAACCGGCCGTGACTTGAAGAGCGTGGGATTATTTTAGAGAGGCAAGATTCGGAAATTACTTTTGGTCTCACCTTCGGAATGCGCCGTCTCGCGCGCCGTCTCGCGCGCTGGCTCTCTCTCCCTTCTCCTCCCCACCCCACACGCCGAGCCGAGCTCCCAACGATTCAACTTTACCCCACTCCACTTCTATCATGTCCTTCGGCCGACCAGGGAATGCCTCGATCTCCTTTTCTGCTACTGCTCCGGGTAGGTTGTAGTTGTTCGTTCTTTTTTGGATGCGGTGATGTGTGCACAAGCTCGAGGAACGCTGATGCTCGATCGAGGGTTGCGAAACCTCTCCCGCTGGCGTGGGTGGGATTCCCAAAATCAGAACGAGGCTCTTTCCCATTAGATCATGAAGGTTCGTCAACCACTACGGGAAAAATTGGGACCTTTTTGATTGATCCCTCATTTTTTTTCGACCTGGATGAATGGTATGGGGTTCGACCGCCGCCAGGGGAATGCAAAAGTTTCATGAACCGTTACCTCGAATGCATGAAGCAGAGTCAACAAACCTCCACCGCTTGTAGGGGTTTGAGTAAGCAGTATTTGGAATGTCGGATGCAGAGGTAGGTCGTTTTTTTGTTTTGTTTCGTAGTAGAGTGGGGGATGGGAGCTGGTCCAAGAAAAAAGAAAAGAAAAAAGAAAAGGGAGCAAGGCTGATTTGGGGAATGTGTGTGTGTGTGTGTGCAGGGGTTTGATGGAGAAAGTCGAATGGGAGGATTTGGGCTTTCATGGTGATGAACAAGGGGCGGAAGCGACGGCAGTTGGGGAGACTGCGGGGGCGCAACCGACAAAGAGGAGTACACATGGACCACCGTCGACAACCACACCGCAAGGAGAGGAGACAGGGACTGGAGCAGGCACAGGGACAGGGACAGGGACAGGGAGGCAGGTCTAGCTCCGGTTCGACTCGGAGGAGGGATGGGTGTGGAGTTGGGGTTGAGAGGGTGGATCAGCGTGGAATTATGCTTGGAATATGCTTTGTATCTATCGAATAATTTTGGCAGAACTTGGATCACTGGACGATTCGGTCGCTGACGAGTACGTTTTAGACGAAGCCCTCGGCGCAAAAAACTTTGGATGATCGCGGGGTAGCGTCAGCGTCGACCCACGGATCAGTTCGCGGAGAGTCTTGCGACATATGACCCTACGCAACTCGATGATACTTTGCAATCTGCCCTGATCGGGATCCAGAGTAAATTGACGGCGCGTCGATCTCGGCGGCTTCGCGGCGCGCGCATCCGATCCTGTCCGATCACTCGACAATCGATTCGCCAAGCCCGAGCCCGGTCGCGCCCGCTTCTCGTCTTTCTACCGCTGACCGTCCTCAGCCCCAACACGCGGACACAGCACCGATGGCTTCATCATCCTCACTCGTACTAGATGAGGTGCGCCTGCTCTTGTCCCGGACGCTGTTCCCCATCTTCCTCCTCGCGCCGATGTCGACGACCGTCCAAGAGCAGTCGCACCTCCACCTCGTACGCCACGTGTTACAAGAGTCGTGGAGTTGGAACCGGCTCAAGAAGGTACGTTCCGGCCTCGTCCTCGAGCTGTACAGGCAGATGGAATGCTCAGAATTGGGCTCGGGCGTACAGTACGTGGAGCTGCAGGCGCGATCAAATTCGAGCACGGTCGAACTGGTCACGTCCTATTTGCTTTCCGTGCTGGCGTACCCGTTCTATCGGTCGGATCCGGAAGTGGATCTTGCTGCGACACGTACGTTCATACACTTTTAAAGCGTCCTCAACCGAACCTGACGCTGCCTTGGCCCTCCACCAGTCCGGGTCGTGCTCTCTCTGCTCTCGGCCCTCTCGAGCATATGGCTTGCGCGGAGAATACGACCCGCGTTCGGGACCAGGACTGCCAAGTATTACTTGGTGTTTGAGGCGACGCAGCTGTTGGCGACGAGGGAGATGACGAGGTTGGATGGGCTGTCGTTGGCGGTGCCGCTGGGTGAGTTTGCGAGATGGGGAGAGAGAGGGGGGGGGGAGGAAGGCCCGTTCGTTGGATTGAGAGAGCTCTCGCTTGGTGACTCATTTCAACAGTTCGAATCGCATCCGCACTCCTCATAACCCCACGTCTCCCAAGTCCACTAGACGCCGACGACCGACCCCGCAACGCATCATCGAACAAGACACCGTCCCTCGACACCGTCCTCGGATTGAGTTTGCTCGCTCTTGCGAGTGTGGTGCTGTGTCCGGCCTTGATCGCGCTGTTGGTGCCGAGTTTGTGGAATGCTTGGTCGAGTGGATCGGTCGACGGGGTACAGGTATTGGGGATTGTAGGGGGGTTGATTGGGGTCGAGGCAGGTGAGTGATCTTTCAGCTCTACGGCTTCTTCGTTTCGTAAAGTGCGGACCCTGATCCGGAATTTTTCAATTCCCACCTCTCTAGCTCTGACCAGCCTCACAGACCACCCCTCCTCCTCTCCTCCCCTCCTCCTCTCCACACTCCCCACCACCCGCCTATCTCACCTCTTCTCCACCTCGCAAAACTTCGACCGTTCCTCCCTCTTCCTCCCCTACCTAACCCTCCTAGGCCCAACCCTCCTCTTCTCCACCTTCGCCTTCCTCGTCGATAAAAGATGTCGAACACTCCTCGGTCCCGCGATCATCGCTTTACTAAGCCTACATCATTTCCCTTGGCTCGGCGGCGGCGGGGGTGGCGGCGGTGAGGAGGAAACGATGAAGAGGGTCAGGATCTTGGTTTTGGTTAGTTCGACCGCGTGCGGCGTTGCTGCGGCCACTAGCGCGAGGCTGGTCGGGATCATGTGAGTGGTGGATTGGATTGTGATTGGACTTGTCTATGAAGAACGGGTTGAAGTGTCAAAAAAAACTCCTGCTGATCTTGTGTGTTTGTGTCCGGGTCCTGGGGGTGGTGGGTTTTATGTGTTCCAATTTTTTCTCGCTTAGGTTCGGCACGACGGCGCAGAATTTGGTGCTGGGCAGCGTCGTCGTCGGCAATTTGTATTTGGCTTTTACGAGTACGGCGAGCGCGACGGTGTAAGAGCCTTTTTTCAAGAGCTCGGATTTTTCGATGGAGGAGCAAGTTTTGAACTTGGACGAGGGAGAGGAGGTGGAAGAGGATGAGAAGGCTATTTGAGGGGGTAAATTGAGGAGAATGTTGATCCGAGATCGAGAGGAGGGGAGGATCCAAAGCAAGAGTACAGCCGCCCCAAGACGACTCAATTCTGATTAGATTTTTTGAAAATTTTAAGCAAAAAGTATGATACCCCCTTCTACACCATCACACCCCTTCCTGGAAGAAAAAAAGAAAGAGAAACCCTCTCGCTGCTTCCCCGTTGAAAATGGGCTTCCTCCCCCTTATCATCACATCATCCGAGAGATCTGCATCGGTCCCTGTTCAATTTGTACTACTGCTGCTGCTGTTGCTGGTCGTGAAGGTAGGTTTGTGATTCGGTTCACGGCGCGAAATGAATCTTGAATACACCCATTGAACAAGAGGGAAAGAGAGAGAGAGAGAGAGAGAGAGAGAAAAGTGGGAGGGGTTAGGGTCTGTCTCTTTCCGATGCGAATCAAGGTCAAGACCTTCCGTGGGTGTGTGATAGAGGACTTACTTGAGGAGATCGTCGGGCGTGACGACGCCGAGCACGAATTTACGTTCTTGTTCGGAGACGGGGTGGGGGGGGGGGGGAAAGGTTTCAGTACAAAACTTTGCCGAGGTTGGTTTTTTTTTTTTTTTTTTTTTGTGGGATGGGGGGGTCAAATTCGTTTCGCGTGGATTGTTGGGCCTACCTTGATCAGTCACCAATGCGAAGCTGACGTTCCGTGTTTGACCGTGCGTGAAAAAGGTTTCGAGTTCTTCCAAGGGTGTGTTGGGGGTGATGACTGAGGTACGAGATACGAGAGTACGAGAGTAGGTCAGCCTTGCTTCGAAGCGAGTCCAAAGGGGGGACGAATCGAATGAGCGAGTGGTAGAAACGCACCTTGATAATCCCCTTCTTTCCTAAACCTCGTCACCGCCGACGTTGCACTCCTGGTCGCCAAAGATCTGGTCCCGGAAGCGGTCGGTGTAGTCTCGTCCGAGTTCGAATTCGGTCGTTCGAGAACGGAAGCGAGGCAAGTTCGACCGGAGATGAGGCCCGAACCGACTTGAGTTTGGAGCGCTTGGGAGGAGAGCCAGCCTTGCAGACGACGGGTGGAGGGATGGGAGATGGGGATGATACTGCGGGTTTAGGTAAGGGAGGCGATGGGTGTGAGATGGAACGAGGGAAGCGGGGTGGAGGCTGGTGAGAGAGAGGAGAGAGGAGGAGGTGACTGACGAGAATTCTCGTTCGAAAGCCACTGGGGAGAAGGAGAGGGAGTGTTCAGTTCGTGTATCGCAGCAATGATCGGACCGAAAGAACGATCTCCGAGCACGTGTACTCACTCTGCAATGCGACATCGACCGTCGTATCACTCGACAGCACCAACGCGGGCGACAGCTGCAGTCGGGGGTGATATCCGACCGTTTATTGGCCATGCAACACGTGCGCCGTACGAGGATGCACCAGCTCACCTGAAGATCTTCGACTACGGCTCCTCGGTAGGCTGCCATGGTGGGGTGGTGGGCTAGGGGTTCGGGGATGTGCACCCGAGAAGGGAAAGCACGGCGCAGGCCCGTGTACCGTCCTCGGCGCCGCGGACGATCGGATTAGTAATCGGTCGGGTGGCTATTAGGTCGACGCTGATTAGAAAGCCGACGATTGGCGCGCGCGCGGCTGACTTGCAGAGGGCAACGTTCAGGCAGGCTGAGACTAATAGGCCGAGACTAATCGGCCAAGACTAATCATAAATATGGTTGGCTGACCTGCGACTGCCTCGGCCTGCGAAGACGAGCGCGTCGCGGCGATGATGACGAAAGCAATTCCCATTCGCGCCCTTCTCTCTCTCCCCCTTCTCCTTCAACACTACCCACCCACTTGGATCCCCGCAACGATGAGTCATCTTCCCAAGGACCACAAGCTCAGCACCCAACCAGCGCAAGAAGAGCCACCGGAGGAAGACGAACCCGAATTCGTAGCGGACGAGGACGAGGACGTCGTCGAAGTCGAAGAACTGCAGATCGACGGTCAAGAAGAAGGGGACGAACCCATGGACGATGAGGATGAACACGTCCAAGAGGACGAGGATGCTGCGCACCAGTTGCTGCAGAACGGCTTCGACGATTCGGCGTTGACGTTCTCCGAACACCAAGGCGCCGTCTTTGTCGTCTGCCTTCATCCGACTCGGCAGCACATCGCCGTCTCGGGCGGCGAGGACGATCTCGGTCTCTTGTTCGATACCAACTCGGGCGAGGTGCTGCAGCGCTTGGAAGGGCATACCGATTCCGTCACCAGCGTCGGCTTCAGCTTTGATGGCGAGCTCGTCGCGACCGGCGGGATGGACGGTAAAGTGAGGGTCTGGGGGAGGCACAAGCACGCCGGTGCAGCCGACGATTTCACAAAGTGGGCCTTGGTGCAGGACTTGGAAGGGCCGGATGAAGTTAATGTACGTTGTCCGTTGAGCGAGGAGATGGCGCGACCGAAGGAACGAGCGCTGACTCTTTGTAATGGTAACGCAGTGGATCGACTGGCACCCCAAGGGAAACTTTTTGATCGCCGGTGGCGCAGACGGAACAGTATGGATGTGGAAGTGTGAGTTCCTCCGCGCAGCTCCATGTTCAGAGCAAAGGTTGTGCCGTCCACTAACTGTGCTCCCCTGGCGTTTGGCTGCGAACCCACAGTGCCGAGCGGCGAGGTCGTGCATGTGCTTTCGGGCCATACAACTCCGGTGACGTGCGGAAAGTGGACACCAGACGGCAAGTCATCCATGAAACTGACTGAACTGTGTGCACCTGATGTGCTGACACGTTCCCCCCTTGTCACCCCCTCACCTCCTAGGCAAGAAATTCGTGACCTGCTCCGAGGACTCGACCATGATCCTCTGGGACCCACGCAACGGCGATCAACTTCACAAGCTGTCCCCCTCTGACGCCCGATTCCGTCTCGACGGCGGCGTCAACTGTATCGCCATCAACCCTGCCGCCACCGTCGCCATTCTCGGAGGAGCTGAGGGTGGGCTGAGAGCGATCAACCTGGTGGCGGGGACGGTGCTGGCGCAGATGCAGGGGCATGAGGAAGGCACCTCGGTCGAACAGGTCGCGTTCAGTGAGGTGCCCGCGGTCGGAAGTGTTAGTGTCATGGTCGTCGTTAGCGTAGGGACCGATGGGAGGGTGTGTACTTGGGAAGCGAACTCGTTCAAGTTGAGGAGTACGGGTAAACATGAGGTGCGTTTCAGGAACGTCGTCGTCGATCGAACCTGAACCAGTCCCGTGCGCTGGAATCCGTCTACTGATCGGCGTAGCCTTCTACACCTAGGACGCGGTCACCTCCCTCGCCTTCTCTCCCAACACCACCACCTTCGTCACCGGGTCCGCGGACCACACCTTGAAAATCTGGGACTACCGACGAGGGACGTGCGAGAAGACGCTACTAGGTCATAGGGATGTCGTGCATGCTTGTTCGGTCAGCAAAGATGGTGCGTTGGTGCTTAGTGCGGGAGAGGATGGCGAGGTGAAGGTTTTCAAGCCGTTTGAGGAGCGGAAGGATTCGCTTGCGCTGGACGAGGAGGGGGAGGGGGATGAGGTGATGAAGGAGTAGAGAGAGTGGAGCGGTGGGGAGGAAAGGGTGTTTTTGAGGATGGAATAGAGCAAAGTCTCGGCCCATCGGAAAAAGGAAGTCGACGCTGAACGCGTGAGTCTCGGAGAGGTCGAACAAGGACGTCGGCTGGCGACCGAGCACCTCGATCTTGCTAAGAATGCCAGGCATGGAGTGATTGAGCATGGGATCGAGCAGCAACGACCCGCGAGAACGATCGTGGCGTATCCGAGGCGAGTTCGAGCTCCTGTGCGAAAGTAAGTCGTCCAAGCTAAATCGTACTTCCACACTCTCGAGATCAATGCAAAAGTCGAAGGCGACGATGAAAATCGGCGCTCAGAGACTCGATGTGAGAAAGTAACATCAAGCCCCACGTCGAAGCTGTCAATCTCCAATAAAGGAACGGCCAATCGGGCACTCGGGCGCGAGTCAAAGAATCCCGACTCGCGACTCGCAGTCGGGCACGACTCGCACGCGTAGTACTAAGTCGTGCCCGAGTCTGCTCAACTGGGTAACGGCGAGTCGGAGGACAATTGACAGACTTGGGTGCAATCGATTGCCGTTATCCGAAACACCGACTCGCTCTTCCTCGCCTGCCCGCCGCCCACCCTCACACGTGACTTTCCGAACGTCTCAGGCCGATCAGTGCGATATTTTTCAGACGACTCGACGGGTTCTTGGCACGGCAATGACGTCACAGATCCTGTATTGACTATTTACATGCAGAAGAAGGAGGAGGAGGAGAGAACGAACAGATCATATGAACAGAAGCAATCAAGCAGCGGTAACGGAACCTATCTTCGGTGCGCCCGCTTCTTCCGGCCTTCGCCGCCGCATCAAGCCTTTTATATACAAGCCCGCAATCGCCTGTGATTGGCGGGAATATTAGGTGTCAGAGGTTGGTATACAGCGATTTGGGATGTCTCTCCAGTTTGTCGAGGAACAACGCGTTCGAAAGTTTAGGGAGTCGTGCGACCAAGACGATCGGATGAGGCGAACCACGAGTGTCCTCCCTTCGTCGACGTCGCGAACGTACGAGAGCCTATCTTCGAATTCGTGTTCCAAGACCATGGAGGACGAAAGTAAGACGGGGCTGGGGGGTGTCGGATGGCGGCTCTTTCTTTTCGACTCGATGTCGTGTTGCGCGGCTGGGCCCTCCTCAGAGTCGCGACGGCCTCTTGGCGGCAGGCCGTTGGACATGCGACAACAGAGTGGTGGGGGGTTGCTCTTGTGTTTGGCGTGGAGGGTTCGATCCAGAGCTCGAAGTATCGCGATTCGCTGCTGGGATCCTGGTCATGAGCTGCTCGTTGAGCCGGCGGTAGGCGTTGCAGAGATCAACCTCAACGTTGTGGTACACGGGATTATGGAGAAGCTCGTCGTGCGTAGCCGAGAGAATAATTTCCATTCTGGAGGTCGGTTTTTTGTCTTGGCGCTCCTCAAATTCCCTATCCTCTGGCTTGGAGGTTGACACGACACGCTCACGCTGTGGAAGTGCCTCGACGTTCGGCGCCGCGTTCGGTTCGGGCTGGCCCGCCGGTTGAGTCTTCTTGAACAGGTCGATGGGTTCGGGTCGGGTTTTCGACCATGCGATGGCCCGCTCGAGCTCGTGGGGAACGGGTGCACCGCGCCTGAGCAATCCCTCGTAGTACTCGACGTCTTCTTTGCGGTGGTTGTGAATCGTTGACCTCGCGATGGCACGACCGCCCCTCTTCAAGTCACACGCGTGGAGGAAGCAGCGACAACGAAATCGTGTCGAGCGACCGCCAGAATTCTGAGCGATTCAACGAAACAGTGGCCAGGACGTCAGAAACGTCGAATCGATGTCATAGATTGCTGTACTCACTGAAGAGATCCGCGGCATTTCGCTTGCGAGGTGGCGGTGCGACCGAAGCGTAAGACGAGCCGAGCGTGGCGGCGGAGTTCGAGCCACGTTCTCACCTTGCGCCTCCAGGCGCCTCCTTGACTCCTCCTTGCGCCGCCCTTGCGAGACCTTGCGCGGCGGAGTCGCTCGTCGAGCGTCTACGGTCTCGTGTCGGCCAAGTAACACGACGAGCAGTCTCCGACTGAACGACGTTTGTGCCAATCTCTGTTGATGAGTAAGAATAGTGAATATATAATAATTGTCTTTGGTTCGGGCTTGGGGGCAACTTACCCCATGACACGGCCCCGCGAAGAAATCGGCGGCCCACTGTCGTCACGACTCGGAGACTCCAGGCCCGTGACGCCGGAGAACGATAGGCGGATTGCAATACCAAGGTAGACAGTATTTCCTGACATTGACAGGTGTTGGTGTGGCCAATTCCGTCTCTCAACACTTGACCTGTAGGGTATGCTGCGGACCTGTTACTGGCTGAGCATCGTCGTCACCAACGGCCGCCTTGGTGAGCGTTCGAGAGGCGGACTCTCGGAGACGAGAACGTACTAAGCCTCAGTAACTTCTGGGGCCGCTAACACGTCGTTGAATCGGGTTCCATGTTGCTCCATATAGGACCTATGATTCTTTCAAGATTTCATGCGTTGTGCCTACCCATTTCCTGTCATAGCTTCTCTAGCGAGGCTCGGCCTGAGTCCGCTGATCCGGCATCCCAGCTGGTGTTCAGCTCCGGGTCCCCTCCGCTCCGCACGTGACTACTGTAGCTCATGGTACACATATTGTGCTGGGACATCCTGCACAGGCTACATGCGCTTAGATTCACCCAGCAACAATGCTGTCTTCGATACGGTGCCCAACCACACGGAGGCTCGGCATCCCTTGCACTGGATACGGCATGTGGGCCCCCACATGGGCTCTGAGGTGGGTCGCGTGACGCCTGAAGACCGCCTGCAGGCGCGCCTGTCTGACCTCTCTCTCCCTCCTTCTCTCCACGTCGCCCGCCCTGTGGTTTGACTTTGAACGCTTTTCAAGTTCTAAACACTTCTTTCTGTGAGTCTGGCCGTACTACATGGTCCTAGGGTTGTCGTGGCTGGATGGCTGATTGCGTCGCCGGTGGCTAGAACTCCTCTCCCTCGTCGTCGGCGTCGTCTGTCGTCGTCGGTTCCCCGCAACTTTGAAATCCGCCGCCCCCCCAACCGCAAGAAGGTTAGTTCGACGCTAGCGTGGGTTCCGCCTCGAGGGCTTTATATCGCCACGGTTGACTGATAAGACTTTCTCGTCATACTACAGTTTTGACTCATCATGACTGGCATGTAAGTTCGGATGTAAAAGTCTTGAAGGATGGTCGTTTTCGTCTTCGATCGGTCAGCCCGTCGTGATCGTCGACAGGCACCGCCCGCGCGCGCCGCCGCTGGGTGCTCGTGACCCACCTCTGTGCCCCGATCTCCGTCTCGGCGTTGGCTTATGTGGGCTAGGGGGAGACAACTCGGCCTTTTTCTGGGAAAGGGATCGTTTATCGCAACTATTAAGCTGATGTTCCACTCACTTTTGCATGATTTTCGTCTCCGCCTCTCCGGCTTTTAATGGACGCTTTCGTTTCTTCGTCGTCGTCGTCGTCGTCGCACGCGTGACCCTTGGGTGTCGCTCAACTCTTGCTCACGCGAACGCCACCCGCTGGCCAATGCGTAACGTCTCACGTGGACCTATCCTCGCCCTCGGTTTTCTCGTCACACCTCATATCATCTAAAATTTCCTCCCAAAAGGCCCGATTTGACCGCCATCTCATCGACGGACTCGTCCTCGTCGATCGAGATCGGTGATGGGTACCAGTTCTGCCTCCACGGCAAGGAGCGCTGCGCCGAGTGCCAGGTCGATTTCAGGGAGGACAATTCGTTCACGGGTTAGTCACACGTTCGGGTCAGGTGAGGGATGTGCCAGGACATCATATCTGACGGCAAAACTGTGTCGAATGTCGATATAGCGGGTCTGGACCCTATCGATCGAGAGGTACGTGTGGCGCTGCTGCGCGCGGAGGCATTGGATGAGTGCGGGGTGCTGAAGGTGCGCGGGTTGCTCGGCATTTTTAGGCCATCGAAATCGACTATCACCTTAACAAGGACGGTATCCCTGCGTGCAAGAAACACAAGATGGTCGAGTGCAAGAACTGCTACGGCTTCAAGTGAGTTCTAACATCGCCCCCCTTGGCTTGGTAGTCTGCACGCTCGTGATCACTGATCAGAGAGCTTGCAGAGCGTTTGGCTGACGTTTCAACTTGACCTTGTTTCGGCTTTTCAGAAAGCAGATCAACAAGCTCAACAAGGACGCGGCCAAGATCGCGTCCAAGAAGAAGGGCAACGAGTCCAACTTTTTCTAGAGGCTCTCGAGCCCAAAATCCCATTCGGTCGTTTTGCCATCCATCATGGTGAAGTGGACAAAGTGCCGTCCGCATTCTTCAGGCATCCGTTCTACGACTCCTCTCATATCTCAACGTCTTTCATCGTCGCCGCCGTTGTCCCTTCTCGTTGCTCAGTCGACTCCCGCTTCATTTTTCTCCGCTGCTCGCCTTCACCCGACCTTATTGTCTTTCCAAGGGAGAGGAAGAGCTTTGGGTGTTTCTTCGTCGTCGGTCCGTAGTTCTGGGTGACACCCCTCGTCTGCCTCTCCTTTCTGATATCGTTCTTCGTCGTTCCTCGGCTGTTTTGCTGCACCATGTCCAATTTTTCACCCCTAACGAAAAGCTACCAGAATAAATAGTGTGGGTGTGTGTCTAGTTTGTATCGACTGTTTTCTCCCCCTGTTTTGAAATAAGAAACTCGAGTTTGTTGTCCTCGTCATCTAAAGTGCTGAAACACTCACCCAGTCGAAAGACATTTCGACAACAACTACTACCAATTTTCAGTGCACGTGGAAGGGCGCGCGTCGATCCGAAACATACCGTCGGCTTTCTTCGGATGGATGACCGCGTGGGTCTGTAGTCGTTCACCCTTTGGCCCCCCCCCCCCCCCCCCCCCCCGCGACAAGGCTTTCGAACGCGCTTCAACCTTCTTTGACTTGCGCGCACTTCTCACACTGGCGTTCGTCAGACCTATTCAGCTGCTCTTTACTACTACTCGAGCTCACTTACTCGAAAGTGTCGTCACCAAGTGTCCACGACTGCCGCTCACGCTCCACTTCGCTCGACCGTCCTCATCCTCATCGTGGGTCTCAGTGCCGAAGCCCCACCTACGCACCGCGGGCAAGGACAAGATGGTTTCGCTGGAGCAAGGAAAGAGGTTGACCGCGCTGAGAAAGTTGATGAAGGAACACGACGTCGATGCGTACATCGTTGACTCGGGGGATGCGCACGGCTCCGAGTGAGTTTGACCCGCCTCACGCGCCTACAAGGGATGGAGGGTGGTTTAGTTGTAAGAGGTTGTAGGTCGAGTACTTACGGAATGGGGTTTGGGCTTTTTCGCGCAGGTATATCGCTGCGTGTGATGAGAGGAGGGTCAGTTCTCGCGCTACGACTGACCTCGGCCGCTGTCACGCGAACGTGTGCAGTCGGGCTGCTGGACGAGCCTGAGGGGGGCGGGGGCGCAACGGATGCTAATCGCGGAACGAATGTCGTGGTTCCCTTTTGAGTAGGCCTGGATCTCTGGCTTTACGGGTAGTGCAGGTACGTGAAGGTGCTCGTTGGGGCTATGTTGTGTTGCTGGTCAGCCCCAACTTTCCTCGGCAGGAGGCTGATGTGGGGCTCCAATCGGGTCTCTGTCGCCGTACCCGTACACTGCAGGAACGGCCGTCGTCTTCACCAACGAGGCGAGGTTGACGACCGATGGACGATACCAGTAAGTTTTGAAGCTTTCAGGGTTGGTATGACGACTTGCCAGATTTGGGAGGCTGGATTTGATTGATTGTCCTTCTCACAGTCAACAAGCCGGAAACGAACTCTCGTCCGAGTGGACGCTGTACAAGCATGGAATCCCTGGTCAGTTCCACCCTTGCCGCTACTGCTCGGAATCAAAGACCGAAACACCAATACAGAATCTTTTTGTCAAAACCACAGAGGTCAAGTCTTGGCAAGAACAACTCGCGACATTGCCCCCCTCGACCCAAATCGGCCTTGACCCGACGCTCATCTCCGTCGGCGACTACCACACCATTCTCCCGACTCTTTCGAGCGAGTCCAAATTGGTCCCCATCGAGACCAATCTCGTTGATGCGATCTGGTCCGATCGACCTGCGCGTCCCAAGAACCCCGTCGTGCTTCAAGAGATCAAGTACGCCGGCCAAGCGTCGACCGACAAGTTGGAAGCGATTCGTAAGGAGGTGACGAAGAAGGACGACGCTTCGACGTCGGTACCGAAAGCCAAGACGACGTACCTCGTCAGCTCGATGTTGGATGAGATATGCTGGACGCTCAATCTTCGAGGATCGGACATCGCGTTCAATCCCGTCTTTTTCGCTCATCTCGTCATCCCCATCGACGCGCGCGAGAAACCGACCTTGTTCGTCGATCTGGAGCAGTTGCCGCAAAGCGTGTACGAGTACCTCGATCAAGAGGTCAAAGTTGATATTGAGCCGTATGAGGATGTATACAAGTTCTTGAAGACCGTGGGGCAAGGCCTGGGCGAGCATGAGAAGGTCATGATGCCCAAGAGCACGAACTTGGCTCTGGCGCTCGCGGTCGGATTGGACAAGTGCGATGCTGGTTCGAGGGGTCCCATTGGTGCGTGGTTGGCGGTTCGGGCTACTGGCAGTGCTGCCCGATATCTGAATCTCGTCCTCGCCTCGTACACACAGTCGACTTGAAGGCGGTCAAGAACGACGTCGAGATCGAGGGATTCCGACAATCCCACCTCCGCGATGGTGTTGCCTTAGTGCGGTACTTTGCTTGGCTCGAACAACAGCTCAACGCCGATACGAACGTCTCTGAATACGAAGGGGCTCAACAACTCGAAAAGTTCCGAAAGGAGCTTGACCTCTTCAAGGGGCTTTCGTTCACGACCATTTCCTCGACCGGTGCCAACGCCAGCATCATCCACTATCACTACTCCGAAGACCCCGCGCAAGCTACTCGCATCCGAAAAGACCAGATCTACCTCTGCGACTCTGGAGCGCAATTCAACGACGGCACGACCGATACGACGCGCACGTTGCATTTCGGGGAACCGAGTATGAGGGAACGCAGGGCGTATACGAGGGTCCTGCAGGGTCATATCGCGATCGATACGGCTGTGTTTCCGGAGACGACGACGGGATACCTTTTGGACGCGTTTGCGAGGAGACCGCTTTGGTTGGATGGGTTGGGTGAGTCGCGACTTTTGACGCAAAAAGAGGTTGAGGGTCGATGCGAGAGAAGAGCTTGAAGGCTCGATGCGAGCAGAGGTTCAAAGTCGATTCGTTTCTTCTGACATCACCTCGCGTACGACCTTCACGCTCCCAGACTACCGCCACGGAACGGGACACGGCGTCGGAAGTCATATCAACGTTCATGAAGGTGGGTCTTTGCTCTTGCTCTCATCTACATCTGTATCTTGCGCTAGAGACAGAGCATCTGATGTGTGCAAGCAAAATCTCACAGGTCCACAAGGAATTGGAACGAGGATTGCATACAATGAGGTCAAGGTCGGTCGGTCCCGCATGGTTTGTTGACGGTTGCATCGGTTGCTGAGCTCCTGACGGCATTCTGATCCTCAGCTTCGAGCGGGGCATGTTTGCTCGAACGAGCCGGGTGGGTGACGGGCCTATGTTTCGACTGTCTATATTCTCCATTCTGAACGACCTCCTAGCTTCTCGTAATAGGCTACTACGAAGACGGCAAGTTCGGCATTCGCATCGAGAACATCGTCGTCGTGCGCGAGGCTTCCACGCCGAACCAGTTTGGAGGAGTCAACTTCCTCGAGATGGAGAGTGTGACGCAGGTGAGTGACGACGACGTTTGATGCGTACGGTGTATTCATCGCCCGCAGCACGCTGTTTGCGTACAGGTACCGATCGCGACGAACCTTGTTCTGGTCGACCTGCTTTCACCGGACGAGCGCGATTGGTTGAACGCTTACAACGCCGGGGTGAGGGAAAAACTGACGCCGTTGATCAAGAAAACAGGGGACGAGTCGGCGTTGAAGTGGTTGGAGAAAGAGACCCAAGCGTTGTAGGCCGTGGGAACTTTTTTTGGAATGCGTGAATAGGAGGTGAAGAACCTTCCTCCATGGCGATAGTTATGAACCGGTGTTTTTAACAAGATCAGCTGGACTTTGTGACTTGAAACTTCAGTCTTGTTGAACGGTATCGACCTTGATCGGGCCCCGAGATGGCGAGGTCCGGTTTCGGCTGACCCACTCGACTGAGCCGGATCGGTTGGGGCCAGTGGAGGTAGAACTGTTGCAATCATATATTCCAGCTGATCCTAAAGACACTATCTCACCTTCACCCACATCGCCACTGTTTGGTCTGTCTCCTGACACTGTGTCTCACGCTCGGACGGCCGAACGTGGGGAACAGACGCCCTTTCTCATCTCCTCTCTCACTCGGCGGTCAGCCCCGGGGGTGTGTTCCGTTCCGCCTGCCGTTTTGGGCTCAACCACGTGGAGTCTGTTGATGATGCAGCCGGCGAATTTTCTGGTTTGTTCCTCAGACTTCGATCCCCCGCGGGTATTCGAAAGCGCCTGTGGTTGCGACCGTGAGAACAAACGTGACCCGCTGCCGGCCTATCTCCCTTTTTCGAGGGAGAGGGAGGCGCAACGAGTTGTCTCCTTTCCGAATTGGCGACCGAGCGGCCGTCCCTCTTTTCGTCGTGAGGGCGCAAGGGGGGGAAAGATTGGGAAGAGAACAGCCTTATCGATCCCCTCCTCGTCTTCATCCTTTCCGATACCCGTTCCCGTTCCCGTTCCCGTCCCCGCCCCCCCCTCCAGTCTTTCCCCGCTTCCGATCGAGTGGCCAAAGTGCGTGTTTGGTTCGCTTCCGAACCGAAAATCGACGAGCTTTGGCTGGCAAAGAGGTGAGTGCGTGCTAGGAGGGGGGGGGGGGGTCGGTGCGCGCGTCTGGGGCAGAAGGATGGAAGAAGCGGGGCTAGTCGGGGACCCAGTCGGAGACTCTGGGGCCGATCCCTGACCTTCCCTGACTGGCCTCGGTGTGGGCGCGGATCGACGCGTCGGCTCATCTCGCCTCGTGCCAGCTGGACCCTGCTCAGTGCTGGACTGCTGGTGCTGCCTCTGCCTCGTGCGCGGGCCTTGCAATTGCGCGGCGGCGCTTTACCCTTGCGTGAGCTCAGCCAAAATCAATCGACCTTGACGCTTCCTCCCTTCGAGCCCCCATCAGGCACCGAACCGACCGACACCCCTTTCCCATCGGTCGACTGCCGCCCCCTCCCCCTCCCCCCCTCTTTCCGAGAGGTGCTCACTCGATGTTCTCCAGCATGGGTGGCCCATCGGGGTCTCATCGCTCCCAGCACTCTCACCAGCAGCATGCGTCTCAGCCGTTCCTCAGCCAACAGCAGCTGCAGCCACAGCAGCAGCACCAGCAGCAGCAACCACCGTCGGTTTACGCACCACCGCCGCCGCCGCCGCCGCCGCCGTCAGGACCGATCAAGCTGCAGGGCTTTGAGATCCCCACTCCATCTTCGTCCAGCACCAGCAGCGGCCGGACGAACGCGCACACCAGCCCATCGACGAGCCAGGGCGCGTTCTCGGTCGACCCTTCGATGCTGTTCGGATTCCAGCCTCAGAGCAGCACTACTGGCGCCGCGGCGGGCGGTGATCGTCGTCATGGCGCGTCGCCCTCCGCTTCCTCGGCGTCGCACAAGACCGTCTCGCCGCCACCGTTCCTCACTTCGGGCACGGCCGCCTTTTCCGATCTCGACCTCGACTTTGAGACCACGCTGGCTTCCTTGGCCCAGCATCATCAGCAGCACCACCAGCAGCAGCAGCAGCAGCAACAGCAGCAGCAGCAGCAGCAGCAGCAGCAACAGCAACAGCACGCACATGCCCACGCGCAACACCACCACCCCGCCGCAGCTCACCCGTCGTTCGGATCGGGCCTCTATCGTCTCAATGCCGACCACCACACCGCGCCACCGGCACACCAGTCTCCTCACTTGGCGAACCACTCGCACCTCGGCCAGTACAGCGGACCGGGAGCGTCCTATGGCGCGTACGACGCTCACGCTTTCGGCGGCGGCGGCGGCGGCGGGATGCCCACCTATCTCACCAGCGCCGGAGACACCCCGCCCCCGCCCCCGCACACCGTCTCGGCCTCGTCGACGACCCACCACCCGGCTCGCATCATCCCCGTTTCCACCGCCCCTTTGATGACCGGCTCGCTCAGTAACCCCAATGCTCCCTCCCCGCACGAATCGCGTCACAATCTACGCTCACCGGCGACCCCGACGACCCCGCTGCTCGATCTCTTTGGCAACCCCTTATCTCCCACGAATCCAGACTCACCCCACGGCGCCGCGTCCCAGCTGCAACAACAACAACAACAACAACAACAACAACGGAGGTCATCGCAGGTTGCGCAAGAGTTTGGGTCCTACTCGTCGTCGCACGGGGAAGGGTTCGGTCCGAACTCGGCCGTTCCGATCACGCAAGGGATCCCGTTGAAGGCATCGTCTTCCTCATCGCTCAGCAAGCGTCGCGGATCGGCCGTCGTCATGCCCGGATCACCCGAGGCGGCCAAGTCCCTGAGCAGCAGCAGTCATGGTCGATCGAGGAGTACGGGTGTCGGCAAAGCGCCGACGTCGAGGGCGAGGTCGAGATCGGCGAGGAGGAATGGGAGTGCCGCCTATTTAACGAATGGATCGGCCAGCGCTTCGTCGAGCAACCTCATTGCTTCGGCCAATCCTCCTTCTTCGACGTCGGGTCCGAGTGCGGCGATTGCGATCCCGGCTGTCAAAGCAGGCGAGGACGGTGCATCGTCGTCGGTGCCCAAGAGTAACAACCTCCACCCACTCGCCATGTCGATGCCGGCCTACCCCGGTGGCGGATCAGGCGACGGCACGAATCGACACGACTGGTTCACGTCACCGCAAGCGATTCGGGCTGCAGCAGGCTCGTCGTACAAGGGTGGGAACGGGGGAGCAAGTTTGGGTACCAGCGCATCGACGACGACGACGACGATGGATGCCGAGTCCGGGTGGAGGCCTAGTGCAGGCTCGGTCGGGGTCCCTTCTTCGGCGCCTGTTTTGGGCTCGAGCAAGAAGGGCAAGATGACGCTCGATGATGTGCCTGAGGATCCGACGCAAAGGCAGTGAGTCGCAAAAGTGTGAGAGAGGCTGTCTGGGCCACGATGTTGTTCCTTTGCTCACCATCATCCTCACGTCCTTTCCCCATTCGAGCGGCCGCTCCCTCCCGTTAGAGCCGCGCTCCTGACCGAGAAACGACGCAGGCGGCGCGAATCGCACAACGCGGTCGAACGACGTCGCCGCGACAACATCAACGACCGCATCACCGAACTCGCCTCCTTGCTACCCGAAGTCCTGCTCGACCAAGTCAATTCGGCCTCTTCGGCCGCTGCGGCCAAAGCCGCCGCTTCGGGCGTGAGCGTCGACGATTTGGACGAACCCGTCGACGGATCGTTCGCGGCGTTGAGTTTGTTGAGCCCCGACCCTTCGACGGGCTTGGGTTTGAGTAATGGTATCTTGGGCACCAGTCCGACGTCCGCGATGTTGGGCACGAGTAGGCAGATGACGCAGGGGGCTGGGGCAGCCGCAGCGGCGACGATGGGCAAGCCGAATAAGGGCATCATACTGCAAAAGAGCGTCGAGTATATAAGGTGCGTGGGTTAGAACGATAAAGGATTGGATTCTTGATCGAAATTCATGGGGACTGACGATCAACTTGGTGTATATCTAGATACCTTCAACAATTACTCGAATTGCATCTTCAACGTGGCGCCGCGCTCGAACATCGCGTTTCCGAACTCGAGGCGGGGAGGTTGGGTCTCGAAGGTTTGGACGGTGCGATCGACGGGATTCGATCAAAGGAATCGAGGAGGGGTGCGACGACCTCTTCGGCGGGCATTCGATCACCTTCGCTGTCGAATGGTTCCGAGGCCTTGTTTGATTTCTCGCCGACTTCGACCACGGGCGCGACGACGGATCGGCAAGGGTGGATCATCCCCAAGGAAGAGGAGATGGATCAAAGTTAGGGAAGGGTTTCACAATGCGATCAGCGATTGGGATTTTGACGCTGAAACGGACGATTGGTTCACGCGGGGAGGAGAAGGGACACGATGTATGTATGGATGTGCGCCCGGCGTGGGAGATCTTTCGCCGATCTTCTTGGGTGAGGTTTTGCTTCTGCCCTCTTTTTAGTCTAGTTCATTTTTGTTTTTTTTTGTATAGTGGTCGTACATAATGCTTAAAAATGTTTTCCCGCCTTGGGTTCGACCGCTTTTTTCTTTTACGTACGTTTTTCGCAATGTTTTTGTATTAAAGGTACCTGATCATCTTTTTTTTCTCTGTCGAGTAGTTGGTTCTTTTCCTTCGAAAAAAAAAAACGCTTTTTGGATCCTTCATTTTCATTTCGGTCGTTCGTTCTAACGTGTACGAGAGAGAGAGAGAGAGGCTACAAAAGATTCCCAACACGACGTATACGATAACCCCCCCCCCCCCCTTTTTTTTGGTCATCACTTTGGGGGAAGCCCCTCATACGAAAGAGAATCGACCGACTTCGAGTAAGGTCGCCAATACGGCTCGTGCGGTGCCATGAACTTGATCAAAGTTGTAACCCTCGCGAGCCGAGAGGTCGCATGAGTTGTGGTAGCAGCTGTGAAAGAGAGAGAGAGAGATCGACGACACGGGCCGGGTCAGTCCAAAGTCAGCCGTACGGAGTGAGTGATCGGTGGGGACGAACTCACGGATCTCGAATCGCTCCGTTGCGCTCAAAGACCCACGTCGAAGCGTACCCAACCGCTTCGAAACTCTGATGATCCGAACAACACGCGGTCGTGTAACCTACTTGCAACTCGGGGACGTAAATTTCTGAAACGTTACCGATCAAGTAAGCCGCTTCGGGAAGACCGATCTTGTCCGGTCGGGCCATTTGAATCGGTTCACCCGGAACGGTATAGGCGATCATATCGACTTGAACCATTAGGACCACATCCTCTTGACGTTTTTTAAGTTCGCTCGCGTACCAGTTCGAACCTAGCAGACCTTGTTCTTCGCCCGAGAAAGCGGCGATCACGATCTTGCGCGAGAAGACGAGCTGGTGCTCCGAGATGTGGCGCGCGAGAGCGAGTAGGAGCGCCGTGCCGGAGCCGTCGTCGTCGGCGCCGGGAGCGGTGGGGTAGCCGAACGACTGTCGAAAACGTTATCCGATATTTATAAGTACAACAATTCAAGCGCTATACACGGGGGCGGATGTTCGACTCACTCCTCGCGAGTCAAAGTGCTGTCATGTTCGCAAAGGATACGGACGTGTCAGCAGTGTCTTCGCATCCCCGAGTCCGACGACTACCGAGCACTGACCCCACCAATCACGACCGTCTCGTTCGCAAAAGCGCCAGGGACATTACCAATACCAGGAAGCGAGCATTCGATCATGGGCGCAAACTCGGTCTTGTAGTGGTGTTGCATGCAGATGAAGCCGTACGTTCTGAAGCGCTCTGTGAGGTTGTACGCCAGGCCGTTTCAGCGGCGGACCTTTTTGTGGCGGTCGCGTGCTGCAATCGACACTGCGATACACTCACGCAGAAGCCAATCGCTCGCGCGTTCGGCACCTTCGCTCATACTGTGTCGACTGATCCATCGTTCGGACGAGGTCGTCGCGGAGGATTGATCCTCGGCGGAGAGGTAGCGCACGTCGGCGATGATGGCCTTCTTGGACAGCGTTTTCACCAACTTCGAAAGCTGCGCGTAAAAGCGAGCCAATCAAGAACAGGGTTAGCCACCCGGCGATACTTCTCTTCAGGCGCGTTGTTCCCGGAAAGCTCGTTTTTTGTTTTTCACTTACCAGAGGATTGAACTTGAGCCCTTGCAAGATGTCGACAACGCGCTGGCGGTCCTTCTTGCTGACCAACTCCCCACCTTGTACCGGCCCTTCCACGCCAGCCTCGGAAGCGAGCACGGCCCTCGAGGGTGGTGGAAGCGGATCGGAGGAGATGAAGACTAGCTCTTGCAGGGCGTGAATTGGGTCCTCGGTCCATTCGCGAAGGAGCGTATCCGTTTCGAGCTGGACGAGACGACCTTGCGCCGCCGGTGCGAGAGCGGCGATAAGGCGCACGCCGGCAGACTCATCGGACTTGATCTTCGAGCCGGGGAGAGGTATTTGCGCTCGAGTCTGTTGGTACGTAGCGAGTTGGCGCGCAAAGATGACCTCTTGAATCTCGGCTTGGCGTTGTTGCAACAGGTCTGCCTCAAGCGAGGACGATGTGACCCACATCAAGCTGCCGTGCGACCAATCGAACGCGATGAAGCGCGAGGCGGATGCAGACGACAAGGAGGAGGAGCGGTACGACTGGAGACATTCCGAGGTGAGGTAGTAGACATCGGTCGATTCGGGTCGTGTACCGAGTCGGGCGTGGAAAGAGGCGCACTCGGGCGGTGGTATGACCGAAATCGTCACAAGTGGGGCACCGGCGGAGGACGATGCCGATGACGCCGGCGACGACGGGTTCGGGTTGTGCAGGTAGAGCGCACCACCTGGAGATCGAGGAGCAGCGACGACTCGGCTCGACGCCAATCCGAGCACGGCTGTTGCTAGAACGAGCTTCATGACGGCCAGTAGGAGACGCGCACGGGAATGTGGGGGGGGAGGAAGGGAAGAGAAGAGAAGGCGTACCGAGCACGTCTTCCACGCGGTCACACCAGCACCGATGACTAATTTCCGCTGCTCAGGCTCATTCATCATCAGCTCTCGCCAGCTCGGACTTGTGAACCCGGTCGTTCGAAATCGCAAGGTCAACAGTGAGACTAAGAGTGGTCCCTCTGTCAACACTCGTTCAGTCGAGCCTGGCTTGAAGGAGATTCCATTTCACAATGCCAACTTGCAGCAGCAGCAGCGCCGGCCGACCAGAGAGAGAGTAGTTATCGATCCGCGGCCCAAGGACAGCACACAACGAACAGGGGAATCCGAGACTGAGGTATTCACATTAAAGAGAGCACACGACTAGAAGAAGAGGCAGGACAAAAGATCTCGGCGCATCATTTTTGGGGGGGTGGGGGAAGGCGAGTCGAAAGAATCTAGCGACCGATCGTGTCGCCGTTGGTGTCTACAAAGAATAGAGTAAATTCGAAATGATGAGCATCAATCTCGAAGCAAATGAACGAAATCTGACTCAACTCACGGTGGTTAAGAGCCTCATCAGCACGCTGCAAGTCCTCCTCGTTCAACACCTTTTGCTTGCCCGCGGACTTGACCCCACCGGGCGTCGTCTGACCACTCGCCAGCCCGGACGAGACCGATCCGCCTCGCTTCTTCATCACCAAAGGGAACGGGTACGCGTCCTCGTCGTCGTCGTTCTTGTTGTTGCGCGACATCATCGACTCCCACGTCTGCGCGCCCATGTAGTCCGACGTGCCGAGCGATTGCATCTCCTCCGTCAACGTGCCGAGATCTCCTGGCGTCATCATGCCCGAGAGGAAACGGGGCGAGCCAGGCGCCGACATGGGTCGAGGGACGCGGACTTGTCCCGATTCAAAGTCAAAGTCGTCGTCGGTGAACGAGTCGGGGTACGCGCGACGCAATGCGAGCTGACGCGCCTTGGCGTACTCGAGTCCGAGCTTCTTCCAGTCCAACAAGTCGCTGAGACGCTCGGTGCGATTCCTCTGGTTGATACGTTGGCGACGCGTCTTGGTGCAGAACGAGACCATCTGATCCGTCAGTTGGTTGACCGAGTCCTCGACCGACTTTTGGCGACGATCGACGATGTAGATGCCGTAGTCGTCCGAGTTCTCGATCAGCTCGTCCATGTAGCAACCGAAACCGGACAAGTTGGTCGTGATCGACGGTACACCCATAACCGTGCATTCGGCGGGAGTGTAACCCCACGGCTCGTAGTACGAAGGGAACACACCGAGATGGCACCCTCGCACGAACTCTTCATAGTCGAGGCCGAGGATCGGGTTGTTGGCGTTGAGGAACTCGGGGTGGAAGATGATCTTGACGCGATCGGTCCCTCGGTTGAACAGCTGCACGCGACGGATCTGGTTCAAGATCGGGTCAGCGGCGTCGTCGGCCATGTTGTGCGTTGTCACGGGCGGGAGCGAATTGCGACGAAGGGCAAAGACTCGGCGTTTGAGCAAGATTCGGTCCTCGTCCGAGAGCAACGACGCGGCGTCGGGGACTTCGGTTCCGGATTCACTGTGAGTACACCCTTTGTCTTGTGAGCAGCTTGAAGTCTGGGAGTACCTTAGAATACGAGCAAGCACGTACCCAGTGTAGCGCGCGGTCCTCTCGAACAATCGAGCACCGATGCGATTCTGGATCTCGGTCACCGTATCACGAAGTTGTTTCGTCACAGCCTGACCCTTGAGCGCCTCGATCGTGTACGAGTGCGTCGCGGCGGGCATGATGATGAAGGCGACGACGGTCATCTTGGTGCCCATCTGCTGCAAGCGGTAGTTGAGCCGCGCGAGCGATTCGATGAACATGTCGACACCCTTGTTGCGGTACTCGTAGCGACCGGCGGTGAAGAAGTACAAGGTGTTGTCGAGGTCAAAGTCGTAGTGGCCATAGAAGTGGCCTCGGACAAAGTCGTTGATCTTTTGCTTGGACAGCGCGTGCAGGTTTTGGAACTCGTGCATGGCCGAGAATTTGGTCACGTTGAGACCGTTGGGCAGGACACCGTCTGCGAAGTGGGGCGTTCGGAGTGTAGGATCAGTTTCTGGCCCCGGCATGATCGCCTGAAACCCGGTTGCGACCGACCAGGCTTGCGCTTGAGCAAATGTTCACTCTCGTACGCGGTGATGTGCGACACGGTCGTAAACACATCGGCGCAATGGGCCGAGCTACGCTCAATGCAGTAGCGGTGGTAGATGCCTCGCTTGCCGGCCTCGTGGTCGACGTCAAAGTAGGCGAGGTTGTTGTAGAAGTCGACCGAGCCAGCGCACAGGTATCGACCGAGCAAAGTGGCGTGGGTCGTGAAGATGGTCGTGACGTCGATGTGACGCTTGCGGCACAAAGGGATCGCGAGACCGACCTGCCACTCGTGAAAGTGCGCAATGATGGCTCGCGATCGTTCGCGGGAGGAGAACTGCGCGTGACCGAATTCGCACCATTAGGTAAGAGCTTCGAATGTACGACCATGGACCAACTCACCTCTCCCAGGAACCAAGCGACCAAGTAACCGAGCAAGATGGTCTCGTTCGTCTCGGTGTCGTTCGGCGGCGAAGGGATGCCGGCGAGGTTCCACAGATCGGTCTTCCACTCGTCCAAGCGACTCCAGACCGATCCCGTGTCGAACAAGAGCACTTTGGGTCCACCTTCAATCAACCAGCGACCGTAAAGGAACTTGACGCCTCGGTCGCGCATCGAGGCGAGCGTGTCACGCAGCGCCTTGTCCGTGTTGGAGAGGGCTGGGGTGGGGGGAGGACATCCTGTCAGTCTTGATTTCTTCAGAAAGCTTCAAAGTGTTCTGGACTCACTCTCACCCTCCTTGGGGGGAGCCTCCCAATCGATCGCGTCAACCTCCATCGGGGCGGACTTGTAGGACAAGGGGCCGATCAAGAGGTAGCGGTCGCCATACTCTTGGCACGTGACGGGCGCCTTGGTCTTGATGACGGTGTAGATACCTCCGACTGTAGCATGCCGAGATGCCGAGGGGTGGAGCCGACGGTGCGAGGTTGTGGTTCGGAGCGGAGAGAGCCGAGAGGAGAGAGGAGCGAAGAGGGAACAACGCGGGTGCGGGTGGGGTGGTGTGGGGTTTCGTCATCGAGCCAGTGGGGCAGAACAGGAGAAGAGTCAGCTGATCGATCAAAAAGGAAAAGGGGCGCTCCTGGGTAATCTCCGAGAGAGCAATATCGAAATATCCGAGGCGGTAATGCGGGTACCCTCGGATGCTTCCCTTTGCTCGTAGGACAGTGACCGAGAGCGCTGGGTGCTGTTGTCGAGCAGGAGCAGGGAAAAAAGATCACGAGGTCATCGGCGCCCGTGAGCAGCCGATGCGGTCACCACCACCAAAAGAGACCGGTCGAGACCGAGACGTGCGCTCCGACACCACCACGCTGCTTCAGTGTTGGTAAGCATCGAGCCTGCGCTCCGGTGTACACGATGAAGCTGGTCGAGCGATGAAGTACATCGAAGAGCACGAGCCATGGGCGGAGGCGGTAACAGCGGGCCCACTCTGGCCCACCGCCTGGCTGCCGGCCGGCTCGACCCCTCCCCCCACCCCTCCGCTGCGGGCGCACCGCCTCAAACCTCGTCTTGTATTAAAAAAGAGCTAACCTTTGCTGAAAGAGGAGAAGCAAAAGATGGGGGGCATGGGTCAATACATCGTCCTACGGGGATCACTCGAAGCCACAGTCGTCCACATCGGGGAAAGGTGGCGGCAGCGGAAAACGATTCGTCCATTCATCCCTCCGCGCCACCCTCCTTCTCTTCCTTGGGCGGTATCTCGAAGGAAAGAACTCACTTGGCCACTTCCCATGCGCATTCAACGAGCAAGGCATCGTGCACCGAGCGTTGCGGCGATCCGGCGGAGCTCATCTTGGGTTCAAGCTGTGCGCTCGGGCGAGGTCGAGCAAAGACGTCACTGGCGAATTGAAGCGGGGGAGGGAGGGGGGGGGGGGGGGGGGGGCGCTCGAGTGGAAGGACGTGGAGGCAGGTAGCGTCACTCGAAGGAGCTAAAGTAGACGGATCCAAAAGGTTGCGAAAAATCGAGAGCAAGAGGGTTCCGCAGAGAGGTTTGAGCCGAACACTTGCGGGAAAGCTGGGGAAAGAGGAGAGACAATAATCGCCGCTCGGGCCGGTCGAGACTCCGGGCGCGCGCGCGCAAAGGCAAAGGCTCGCAAAGGGGAACGCTAACGAAGCGGGAGAGACTTACTAAGTGGGAGGCTGGGAGCACCTCGGGCAGACATAAAAAGTACGCCTCAACAGGCGCGCGCGCAGCGCCCTCCCACGCGCCTTCCAAGCCACAAGCCCGGCGGGTTGCAACCTTGCTACCCCAGGTAGCAGGTTAGGCCCAGGTCAGGTATGCCCTCCTCGATGTCGAGTTGCCGAGACGTTCACTCCCACTACAACTCCATCGAAGACCTGGGAACAAAGGCGCAGTCAGCGAACAATAGTGTATTCGGATTTTTGGAGATTTTTCGAGAGTTATTGTTGTCCTCTGCAAGCTGAACAGGCGCTCTACCTCGAACACGTGATTCGGCACGGGTCGCGCGGAACAATTGGGGCCGGGATGGCCGGGACGTCGACGCGTCACGACTCCGGAGACGCTGGAGATGGCGGCGACGCGTCGCGCTCGCGCATACTGCCCATTCTTCTGCTTTGCCCAATCGCCCCCTACTACGTATACGAAGTAACGAACTATACAACGAGCATCCGTCTTGCGACAGTCTGAAACGAACGCCCACTTCGAAACACCGGATTAGTCATACTTCTGCTGCTCCTATCATGACGAGTCAATCCAATCAACTTAACCACCTCCCGAATCGCAGGCGCTCCGGCGACGAACAGCAGTATGTTTGCCGCCGATCGACACGGGTGCTCTGACTGGACTACCGGCTCACGATCACATCTGACACATAGGTTCATATGCTGCCTCTGGGTACGAGTCATGCACCTCGCCTTGGACTCCCTACCAGTCCGCATATAACGACTATTCGGGTCCGTGGGTGGCCGTCGCGTCGATCGCGTACAGTATCGGTCTGTTCTGACGTTACACCGTCGTGCACCCGATCCAGCGTCCACTTCCGCTGGCGTAACGACCATCTCGAATCCTGCGTCGTACAACTATCAATCTTCTCCGGGATCTGCTTCGTCCAACCAACCAGTTTACCGTCCCACGTTCCCATCCTGGACGCATCGATGGCCCGTATCTAGCTCCGCCAGCAAGCAACAATCTCGCAAACATGGTCGAACAAGGAGGGAACAATCCTGACGGCACGGGTATTGTCTTTGACGCGGCAGGTTTGCCAAATACTGCACCTTCCGCTCGCGATCGCCAAAAGTCGCGGGCCGCACAAGTTTCCCAAGACGAGGAGGGAGGCCGCGCATCAGGAGGGAGGGGTGTATCAGCGAATACCTGCGCACAGCTTGGAACGCACCCGTGGCTGACAAGAACGTTGAGACCAAATTCCAATGGTACAGCATCATCCTCAAAGAACTGTTCCGTGAGTACAAGATGTGCAGCCTGCCTACTCTTCCATACACGGTGACTAATTTTGACCCGGCTCGCTGTCTTCAGAGTCCGCGCTGCGCCGACGCTCCGTGCTGGACGGCGAGAAGATCCAATCGCCCAAGTTCGTCTATGACGTAAAGGCCCTCAGGGACAACGCCAGAATCATTGTTCAGCGCGGCGCGCTCCTTCGCAAAGCGGATTTCCGAAGCCCGAGTGGCAAGCTTAAGTTGTTGGGACCAGACCTGGATCGGATCATCCCATTGCTGCGTGCAGGCGAGCTGAGCTTCAGGCTGGAGGAAGAGGTAATCGGGTCAAGTGCAGAACAGAAAATGGCCGACGGCGATGAAGGCGGCGACAGCGATGCTGACCGGCGGACTCGGAACACGAGCTCCGACGAGGACAGCGAGTGAGGTGACGATGGCCGAGTTCTCAGCGCCAGCCAGACTCGTCGACGCGCATGCGGTGCGGAGATCTTGGCTGTTGAAGGGCCAACATTCGTTGGACAACACAGGCCACCACAATATTTTATTTCAAAGTTTTGCTTCATATGCATCCGGCTCTTGGTGACTAAAGGCGGAGAGGGTGATTGTTCGTTGCCCTTCGTGCCTAATCTTCCCCTGGGCCGCTCGAGATCGACCTCTCCTTGTTGACGTGGGATGTGCCAGTGACGTAATCCTGCTCACAAACATTATTACTCTTGTTCTGGGTTGTTTTCGAAGTATTATGTAGAGTTGAATTGCCTAGTGAGAATGGAGTGCTGCCTGACCCGTGGTCCAGACGGAGCGTCTGCTTTCCGGAAGTGACTCTTTGAGCAAAGAATGAATGAACAGAATTCGCAACGCACTTCCACTAATTGCAGTGTATGTTAGCATCTTTTTATGATCTATTAGCACTAAAGTGAACGGGCAAGGGTTACATCTGGCCGGGCTCGGTCTTCGCCAAAGTGCCAATCAGAGCTGCTGGGCCACGGTGACGACCCCCGGCCGGCTGACTTCAAGCGGCGCGCGCTCCCAGAAGAATGCGAACTGATCTGAGCCCCTGAACGCGCAAGCGGAGCGGAACACGTAGGTAATCAGTCGTAAGTAGCGAAGTAGCGACAAAGTACGTGCTTGATGAGAGGTGGGTCGAACTCGATCATAGGTTCGGTGAAAACATGGAAGGCTTAGGCTTGTAACAGGCTCTTGGAGCGAAACCCTCACTTGACTCCGAGACATGATCGATGGCCGCTCATACCTACCTTTTACTTGATAAACATTCCCTCTCATCAATGAGGTAAGCCGCCAATCCTCAGGCCACATGGTGAGTGCTCAAAGCAGAGAGAATTCATGCATTCGCCGCACTAAAATGAATTGTCAGCACTTCTGCCCCCGTCAAGCATAGACTAGACTTGATCTTGAGATCTTGACACCAAGCTTTTCTTATAACAGGCGCAAGGCTCAGTAGCAGGGATCGGGATCGGTCCAAAGGGTCTTTGGCCGCGCCATGGCAGGAAGTCGAATCCTTCGAGCGGGAATCCTCAGAGAGAGAGAGCCGCCGAGCCATCTTGTTCGGAAGAAGGGCTTGCACGCACATGCCAACTTTGCTATTCAACCCTGTCCGAGGGTGGGAGATACATTATCTATACTGCCCAAACCCACTCACCCATTTTCACGTGGCAGACATTCTAGGTACTCGAGCAGGTGCATGCGCTTTGATTGAAAAGTCACCCGGCACTGGTAAGGGAAACCGCCAAGCCATCTTGTTCGGAAGAAGGGCTTGCACGCACATGCCAACTTTGCTATTTAACCCTGTCCGAGGGTAGGAGATACATTATCTATGTTGACCAAACCCACTCACCCATTTTCATGTGGTAGACATTCTAGGTACTCGAGCATTTGCATGCGCTTTAACTGAAACGTCACCCGGCAGTAGTAAGGCAGGCGCAGCCCAGAGATTAGGTCTGACAATATTTCTCTCTGAGACGGTGATATTACTCTCACCCACCGCAATTGAGACGACTTTAGTTTTCAAAGACCATGTCCATTGTTCCAACATTAACTTGCTCCACCAATTCAATCTAAATCAGAAGCTGGTCTAAACGCCCGAGAAGTATTCGTCTTCCTGACCAACAAAGTCATCGCCGTAGCTTTCATCCGAAGAGCTGCCCATCTCACCGTCCTGCTCGAGGAGTTATGCGGAGAAAGGCCCCACCTCCTTTGCGAGTTGAGCCTCGTCGCTCATATCCATCTGCGCCTGAATGCCCCGCACTTGCTGAACGTCACGGGCCAGCGATGGAGGCCGCGCCGAGTTGTCGAGCCAGATGTCTCCATAGGACCGCGTGTTCCCGATCGATTATGTGCAGGTAGCTGGTGATGTTTCGCCTTCTTGACACTTCTTCCCGTCGCGTTCAATCGTTGATGTAAACCACGAAATTCTGACAGTGCAGGAGGCATGGGCTCGGAATCGCCCTCTGACTGCCCGCGAGTGTCGAGCCAAACATCGAAGAAATGGTCGTTCTGGGACCAAGAACATTCGCGCAACTGAAGAAGCTCCATCCGGCGATCCAGTAAAATGAGCGCACGGTCTCGGATCTCTTCAACATCTTCAGTGCCGAATATGGACTTGGCATCAGCTGGGTCGATCGATTCAGAAAGGGTATCTGTTGGGATGGTTTGAAAGATGTCAGGGCGACATAAGAGGTGATATGGAGCACGCTGTATCGAAAACTTACCCGACACTTTAGTCTAAAGTGTTTGGCAACTAGTGATACGAGTCTTTTCATCTTCGATCCAAGCCAAAGCTTGCCGCACCTCGGCGCCGATCCGCGCTTCCTCCTCACCGACTCGAGCCTTGGCGCGCACAGCTGCTACTCCTCGGAATGAGCGACCGTAGCCCGCTCCACAATCGCTCACAGCCCTCTCCATCAGTCAACCCGAAGTTCGGAATGAGGCGGGGGTTGAACTCGACTTGGCAGGACCAGATATGGGCGCAGGACCAGATATGGGCGTATGCATGGAAGACGCTCGTGGCGAACTCCAGTCGCTTGAAAAGCTTTGGCAGGAGCTGCCTCGGGTGACAAATGATAGGAAAGTAGGCGCATTTGGTCTGTGCCAACGAGACTGAGGAGGAAGGGACGCGTCGTGATCGAAGCATACCTTTTCAATGTGGTGCTTGAAGTTACAAGCAATGTCGTATAAGACTCCAATCTTGGCGTTTTCAGGAAGGCGCTCTGAGATGCACTTGAGGATGGCAAGCGCATAGTATAATCTGAGCGGTCGGAGGGGAATATGCGCATTAGTACTGGGAGAGGAAAGCGGAAGCGACTACGTCCCAACCAGACAGCTCTGCGCTCACTTTTCACCAGACCTCTCAAGATTGACCATTTTCAGGTTTACATCATGACGGCATACGCAGGCAACGAGTCCAGTGTCGACTACTCGTGACGAGGTTGAGCCAGCTCCGTCGTCGGCAGCCTTCCACGACTCTGTGCACGCCTACGAGGGTTGGGTGGGTGTAGAGGTAAGCGATCCCATTAAGGCAAATGCAAAGAGCGGCATTACTCACCTTTTTGGTCGGCCGCACCGAAGCTTCAACCTCGGCCTTCATCGCCTGAACCTCTTCCTCACCCAAGAAAATGTCCGGAACGATCTGGTCGTGCTTCGAAGTTTTGTCACGCGTTTGCCGAAAGTTGCCGTCGTATGCAAGCACGCAATCCAATGGGACGTCGTGACAAGGTTGATTAAGTCACGTTGGCCCGAAGCACGCGGGACCCTTGTTGGAACGAATCGACGGTGCCTACGAGAAGGTCCCCGCTGTCCTGCTCGCATGTTTCGAGAGCGCGGTACTCGTCGATCGCGTTGCTTCCGAAGGTCTTTGTCCTGCATGCGCGGAAGGCAGGCTTTAAGCATCTGCCCCTGAAACGATGGCGGCGTCCAAACTGACCCAAGGATGTCCTGTATAGTGACCCCGAACCCACCCACAACGGGAGTAATACTCTTTGAGGCCGTCCGCATAGCCGGTGAGAGCGCGGGGGGTGACCCTCCAGCTCGCGTGGGTCTGCTCGACCAGTCGAAATGAGAAGGCGGTCATCGGCATTGAAGCGGTCGAAGAGATGAACCCTAGTTGGGCCAAGCGTTCGACGTCCAAGTTAGCACACCGCGACTCGGAGGCACAGAGGGTGAACTGCAGATTGTAGACCAACGGTTTGGACTTGTATCTTCTCTTCGGCGGCATGGCGACGCCAACTCAAGTGCATGAGCAAGAGGACGAACGCGAGCCATGGGGCCTGTACGGTCAATGGCGACGCTACAATGAGCTGTAGCGGAAGCAACGAGGTAAGGCGGCAAGTCAAGTGGAAGGTCCCTCGCGCGTGGCCAGCTGCAGCCAACGCGTGTGCTCGGACCCTTCGATCTCGGGACCGAAATCCCGGCGCGCGACCGCTTCGGACACGTGACATTGACGACATCCGAAAGATGCGAGAAAAAGATGAAGGAAGGAATGCATCTACTACGCACTTTCTTTATCAATCTAGCAGCTGTGAGAGTGTTGTGTGTACACAGAATCGACTCGAAGCAGGGAGTTGGGCGCAACCTGGGCCTAATCTGCTACCTGGGGTAGCAAGGTTGCAATCCGCCGGGATTGTGGCTTGGAAGGCGCGTGGGAGGGCGCTGCGCGCGCGCCTGTTGAGGCGTACTTTTTATGTCTGCCCGAGGTGGCTGGGAGCGGGCCGCGCGCGCCACTCGCGCCACTTTTTCAAGTGGGGAAACTCGGATTTCATTCAGATCCGGGCTGATCTGCGGGAAGCGATGAAAACGAATGTCATTATTGCTGTGGCACCGGTCCCGAAAAAGAAACGTTCTCTGAGAAGCAAGCGCAACAGAAACATGAACAGTGGTGACCGGCCATCCCGCATTTTCCCCCTCAGCCCCTGCGCCGATCAGCGGGGTCGAACTGGGCAAGCTCTCATCGATCAAGCTCTCGCGCGGCGCCATCCTCCGATCACGATTCGGTTTCGGCGACAAAGGTGGGGCCCCTAGTCCAGCTGCGGATGGGACGCATGCGGAGTGAGTAACGACTACGAACGCGCAGTGATTGATCTTGCCCAGATTCCCCGATTGTCACCGACTTTTGCCTGTTTTTCTCTCGCCGTCGTCGTCAAGGCGGGACCGAACGGCCGACACTAAGTGCCGGGGTTTTCATCGATCAGTATTCAATTATCGCCGAAAGGATTGGAATCTCGCGCGACTCGGCGTGGCTTTCGAGCTTCCGGGCGGAGTACTTTCGAACATTCTGTGACTTGGAGGTCGAAGACCACCGTACTGGGGAGTTCATTGGAGTGTGAGACTGCAGCTTAGAAAAGAGCTAGGATGCCCATCTCCCACTCCGAGTCTGACAGCGCCGTCATCGTGCAGGCCCCTGAGCAGCGCGCGCTGCGCCGAGGTCGGACACAGATTCGTCCCATACGAACGCTCGAACAGCTTTGCAACTCTTTAAGCATTGGTCCCCAATGTCTACCTGTTTAGGCCCGTCTATCTCGATTAGTCTTGTGGCTGAGGGTTCACCAGCATTCTCAAACAACAATTCGCGACCGAGCAAACCTCCGCAGGATCTTTTCGTGAACGCTTCAAACGAACTTGGGGGGTCTGTACAACATACACTACCCCTCGTGAATACAATCTACTTGAATCCTCAATCAATGATGATCACATCGTCATCCTCCCCCCCTTCCTCATCTCCACCATTCCCCTTCTCTCGCGCACCACCCCCACCCCCACCCCCACCTCCACTTGCTCTTTCTCTCGCCACCGCCCGCGCAGCTTCAACGGCCTTCCGTTCCGCTTCTTCCCATGCCGCTTCGTCGATGAAGAGCGAATCGTCGCCTTCCATCGTGGTGGCCTCTGTGGAGGAACGAGCATCGTCTTCTTCGAGGGTCTGAATGGCGTTCGGCGCGTTCGGTTCGAAGATGTCGAGTTCGGGGTCGGGGGGGAAGTCGAGGCTGGAAGGCGAAAAAAGTGTGTACAGAAGCGTAAGCGAGCCAAAAGCGTAAGAAACGAAACCAAAATCTCAGTATCCCCCAGAAATTTCTGTCACGTAGGATGATTCGTACACCTACCCAAGTCGGCGGTGCAAAGTCCTTTCCAATCGCTTCTCGGCGAATTGTTCGAGCTCGGGTACTTGACTTCCTTTGATCGTTACCGTTTCGGGCGTAAGGACCAGGAATTTGGACGTGTAAGAGACATTGTGGAGAAGTAACTACGTATACCAAAAAAAGTCAATCGATGATTTAGTTCGGTAAACAGAGCAGCGCACCTCGAGCCAAAAACCCTACCTTGCACCCCAATTTGACCTCGCTCAATCCCAAACCTCTCACCAACCTCTTCTCAAAAGCCTCCACCGCCGTATACCCATCACTCAACCCCAACTTGACCAAACCCCTAGGCCAGCTCCTCGCGATCGTTTCGTCCTGATCGGTAGGGACGTCGTCTTCGTCGTTCGTAGCCCCGGGGCGAGAAAGTTGTTCGACCATTGCCTCGTCGGATTCACGGCGCGATCGTTGGTCCTTGAGCGTTTCGAGTAGGCCCAAAGCAGGGTAAGCGATTTCGTCGATGGAGATGATTTGTACGAGCTTCTTTTGGGGAAAGAGGGGACGTTTAGGGTCGGTTGAGGTGGGAGGAGGAGGGACGGAAAGGGTCGTCGAGATCGCTAGTGGGGAGGGAGAGAGCGTTGAGGTGGCTAGGTCACTCGCGAGTAATTGTTCTTCGACTTTTTTGATCAGGGTCGATGGCTGTTGGGAACAGGTGGGAAAGTGTTCCTGGTCGATTTAGGATCGGTACGACGGGGTCAGCTCAGCTCAGCGGGCATCGTACAAGGGGAAGGCGTGGCCCCACCAACGACAGATAAGATACTCGGCACCCTTGAAACGTACGACGAGGTATTCGACGCAGGCATCCAGCCACTCGGGGTCGAACTGAAAGTGGGGTGAGTAGGATGAGGCGAACCAAGGTCGCAATGAAGGAGGGATCTGAGCAGAGGCCACGATGACGGCTGTAGCTGAGCTTGCAAAGGTCTCAAGTGGGGGAGGGGTGGTGTACGGGTTGGGGGGATTGTCTCTACAGTCAAGATGGAATGGAGAGTGGAGATTGTGGAGACGGTGTGTCGCGAAGGATGACGCGTTGCTGCGGGTGAGGATCGAGTGTGCGTGCGGAACAAGAACCGGTCCAGGCATGGTCCACGTCGCACGAAATCAGTTCAGTCGCCGAGCAAATTCGCAAATTTCGCACACAACGAAATCGGATCACTACGCTCAACAAGCAGGTATTCACAATACACCATCAAAACACATCACGTCTACTACGTGTTCAACGCCCACTCAAGGGATCCAAATCCGACTGTATCCCTCAACCTTGCCTCGGCACGTCGGACACAAATGTTCCCTCGCGCTCGTACGCGTACTCAAGTGATGGCGACAACCGTCGCACATCGTCAAGCATCGACAGGGCCAGCACACGATGGAGCGTTCGTCCGTCGCGCAGATTACGCAAAGCCGTTGGTACGGTGCGTCGTCCAAAGTGGAAGAGGATGTGGCGGTCGGGTTCGATGTCGCACCGAGCTCGAGACGGCGTTGGTCGATCGCGCTACTGAAAGCTTCAGCGGCGCTAGGGGTTGGGGAGGAGAGCGAGGCGTAGCGTCTTCGAGTCATCGGTGAGGTCCCCGAGGGGGTAAAGTAGTGCGCCAAAAGCAATGGGGCTAAATCGGCGTGCTCGTCCACGTCGGCGAGATTGGTCGTCGGACGATGATCGTGATTGCGGATCAGCGCTGATGATGCGCCTGGACTTGTCGAGGATGAGCCATCACTTCTTTGATGACGTGCAGGTGAAAACCCCACGAGCTCTTGCAATAGTGAAGCCGCCTCGCCATCATCGTCCTCGCCCGAGCTCGCAGCTTCCTCTTCGACCTGCGTAGCAGATCCAAGCAACGAGTCTTCGTCGTCGGAAGAATCGTCCTCATCCTCGTCATCTTCGGACGGCACGTAATCACCATCCTCTGCATCCTCTATTTCTTCTCCACTCCCTCTCGGGACCCATCGTTCCATCGCATGCGATTCCCGATCCTCATCGTCTCCGTACCCGAGGAAATCAACGACTCCCAAGTAAGCTCTTCTGAACGCGCGATAGGTCTTCCACACGACGAAGAAAGACATCCTCCATGCGAGCGCCCACAACCCTCGCCATGCGTTGCGCCGTTGTTCACCTCCACCAATGCCGCCCACCTCTTCACCCTGACGGCGCAAGACCTCGATCGACTTGATCTCGTTCGCGAACCCCTCCTGCGGCGAATGCCGAGCTGATCTCTTGGAGCTTCGACGACGATGAACGAGTCCTGATGAACTGGAGCCGGATCGACCGAGTCGAACGATGTCGGAAGTCGGAGGGGTAGGAGCATCGGGGAGTTGGAGGGAAAGGAACGAGAGCGGCAAAGGTGCCATGATACGAATCGGCGAGACTTCGTTTGCCAGACCGGCGAGTGTCGATGATTCGAGACATGAGGTCGCGTATCTACAAAGGCAGTAGCGATGAACAGATTAGTAAGAGATTCGAGCCATATTCATCTGATCGGTAAAAAACCCTACTTGATCATGCCAACACCCCAATCATCACTCCTCTTTGGCCAATGCGCGCGGTGGCCAAAGACACCCTCCATCGTCATCTCCTCGCGCCTGAGCAGTATCGCCGACGCCCTCAACACGATCGTCATCAACGCGAGCGCCTCGAAGGTCAAATCGGGGATCAAGGACATCCATACGGTCCCCTCCCAAGAGATCGAGTCGTCGAGCAGAGCCGGACCGCGACGACCTTGCGGAGCGTAGACAGCTCGATAGAATCCGATCGAGAGGATCGCCTGGCCGATCAGCGAGAAGAAGGCCGTGATGGCGAGTCGCAGCGGCCGTCTCGGAGGTGTCCAGATGAACGAGCTGTGGAGGACGAAGAGCTCGAGCAGAGTCAGGAGGAGATGAACGTAGAGATGCGTTGGGGGATGCCATGCTTGGCCGGCAGGTGGGGAAGCGTAGAAGGGCGCCGAGTGGATATGCAAGAGGAATGAGAAGGAGAGCAGGTTGAACGAGGCTTGGGATCCGAGATCGTCGGCGAGGGCTCGAACAAAGGTCTCGGTGACGACAGCCAAAGCGACGGCGACGAAAACCTCCCACATAACCGAGGAGGCGCTGGCGATCGCGTATGGCAGCCTCGAGCCATCCGCCGCTTGGACCAGCCGGCTCAGTTCGGATCGACCGGCCCACGGTGTGAGAAACGATAGCGCTCTGACGAACGCACGCCCATTGCTGGTCGAGGAAAAGAGGTGCGAATCGTAGTTGTGGGCGAGCAGCAGAGCCGACAAGAGCGTCGACGAGCGCAGGAGGAGCACCAGGCTCGGCAGTCGAAGGGCAAGGCGCAGCTTGGTCGGCAAGGGCGCGTTCGAGCCATCAGGTAGAGGGTCACGGTCGGCGAAAGGTCGACGTGGGGGTACGAGGTGATGTATGCGGTTGAGCAGGATCGAGAGGCCGAGCAGGGCGACAAAGAAGGTCGAGGTCACGAACGACATGGGGCCGGGGAACGCCGGCGATGACGATGACGATGACGACGCGGTGGATGCTCTCACACTTGAACGTGAGCTCGCTGGGCTCCCATGATCGGACGAGGACGCGAACGATTCGAAGGCCGGACTCGAGGACGAAGCGGCGGCGGCGTCGACGAGCTGGCGGTGCAGCCATGAGCGCATCGGCCTCAGCGTGCGCTCGTACGCGTAGCCCGCCACAGCGAACACCACATTACGCACCATCACCACTGTACAGGGATCCACTCGGATCGAGCAAATTCCGAGTGGAAGGAGATGACGAGCGCCGGGTGTCGAGTGCCGAGTGCCAAGTCAGCCACGATGGGGGCAAAGAGCGAGACCGACGTGTGGGGGAGCGTGCTTGCGAGAACGCGTGCGACTCGTTCGGAGTCTTTCGGAGTAGTTCGGAGTCGGCAGGAATCGGCCGGAACGGAGTCGGCCTCATTCAGCGCGACCGACGCCACTATCGCAGGAGTCGGATCAAAAAGGTGACTTTTTATCCTGAAAATTGGTTTCAGGCTATTATTCACTCTGCACATCTTCAATAGCATGATCCGCGAAGAATCATGCGCGGCCGGCGGGCAACCGGCCGATCGGAACTTGGCCGAGGAAGCCGATCTTGTGCCAAAGTATCTCCTCTCTGAGTTCACAAAGATCCCCGGCCGACACGCCGGTTTGCGGCGCTCCTGGACAATCCTTGAACTTGGGGCGTGACGCGCGTGGCATATTGAATCTTGCAACGCAAAGGGCCTGTCTATAAACATGGATACTACTACCGAGCTGCAAAATGCCAGATCGTCCAGCTAGCTGCTCTCTCGCGCTGTCCAGCACGATCCTTGCAAACTTGGTGCTCGTCCGACTCCAGCATGGGGCCGGCCGGGGCATCTGAGAGTGGGGTTGCCTTCGGAAACATAAGGCCGTTTTGACAGACTCGATGCGTCTCCGTCCTACCTTAACGACGAAACTGGATTCTCGGATCTCCCTTTGCATCTGGCGGAGAGGGAAATGCTACACGATCGAAGAGCGCGAGCAAATCATCAACAGATCCTGACTCGTCCGAGTCGGACCTGCCTAAGATCTGTGAACTACTATGTGCCCGCACTTGAAGGGTCTGTTCGATATCTTCGTCACGTACCGATCCTCGGCCGCATCCGATGATGAACCCCGGAGCATATCAAGAAATTGGGCTGGCCCCCAATCCGACAGTTAACTGAGAAGATCGTTCGCCGACGGGATATACGCTCTCAATGAAAGTCACGCCTCCGAGATTGGGCGATGCGAAGGCGTTCGTGCTTGTTTCATGGGAGGGTCATAGAAAGTGAGACTGTTAGAGGAGTCTTGAAGAGCGTCGTGATTTTATTATTATTAGTTTGTCGCTGCGGCGTGTACCAAGATCGGAGTGGCCAAATTCGGCGGTGGAGAAGTGCCTACCAGCAAGCAGACGAGCGAGATGAAGGAGTCACGGGAAGTACGCGAGGAAGATGAAGAGGACTTGGGGCGATTTGACCGAGACCATGCAGAGGATCACTAAGCTTGGTCGAAGGTACTGAGCATGGATGTTGGCGAGATTGGGGACTCGGCTCGTTCGGCTCGCTGGAAGGTGATTCGGTGAGTCCTTGAAAGGAGGCGATGGCGGATACGAGTTCCGTCATTCGACTCGCTGATGCACGGTGCCTTGCAGTCTGCAGATCGCGATGATGCGTCTTTCGGTCAGGTGGACCCAAAAAGGTGTATGGATCCCCTGTTCAGGCGTTGACCAACTCGGTAACGGTCAAGGAACAAGCGAGGTGGTTTGTTAGGAAAAGACGGTAGAGGAAATAGGGGCGAGCGATGTGATGTGCAGAAGTAGAAACGTATGGTTGCAGTGATGATGAATACCCGAAACTGAATGCATGAAGCGGCTTTGCGACATATATGGTATAACACAGCCCCCTTAACCGATTACTCTCTGGCTCTTTACAATTTTGCGCTCGTCGACTTCCTCAGCCGATAGCCGCGAACCCGGTTCAACGTACAAGACCTGAAGCCGTATGGTTGCAGTGATGATGAATACCCGAAACTGAATGCATGAAGCGGCTTTGCGACATATATGGTATAACACAGCCCCCTTAACCGATTACTCTCTGGCTCTTTACAATTTTGCGCTCGTCGACTTCCTCAGCCGATAGCCGCGAACCCGGTTCAACGTACAAGACCTGAAGCAGAAAGAACCAGAAGAGGGCAGCCTCAATATCGCGCAGAAAGTTGCCTCCCGGAGAGAAACAAAGGACGAACCTGGTACTGGTCCTTGCGACTCAAAGACTTGAACCCGACCCTGAACGTGCTCAACGACTTCACATCCAGCCCCGTCGAAGGCAACGACATCATCGCGGCATCTGCCATGACAGCTGTGAAGAGGGTAGTCTCCAAAAGCGCCTTGGCGTCGTTTGGGTCGGGTTTCAGGCGCGCTTGAGGGGATTCTGCCCAGAACGCTCTGACGGATGCGGTAGTCGAAGAGGTAGATGACCGTCGTCGCTTTTTGGATCTCGAGGGAGACGCGGAGAGACTTGACATGGCGTCGTCGAGTTTGGACGCGGCTTTCTTGACGGCTTTTGGGATACGTCTAAAAGTTGAGAACGTGACCTTTCGGCTCAAGACGAGACTCGACCTGAGCGAGAGATCACGGGACGGGAAAGAACGTACCTCGCCGGATCGAACACCAACAAATATCCCTCGCCTTGCTCATCGTATTCGATTCCGACAACAGTCCTTGAATACCCCTGGTGTTGCAAGTACAACGGCTGCTTGGCGGACATGACGGGTAACATGCTGGCTGGAAAGCTTGAGGATGCTCGAAGTCGAATGTCACCGTTCGAATTGGGCACGGAAATGCAATGAGCCTCGAGCGTGCCAGTGAAGTAAGCGACGATCCATCGGATCAAGGGTGATTTGGCGCCTTTCTTCGCATGCGGAAGTTTTGGGAAGTCGACGACTTGACATCTGTTGTGGAGGACAAAGGTGGGGAACTAGGATGAGCCGGGGCGGATAGGGGCTGTGTACGAGCTGTGAAGTCGTACCGTATGCATAGAGCTGTGAGCGCCGTATACATGTCGATTGCTCCGGTCCACCTCTTGCTTCCTCGCAGCTTGCGGTGGGAATGAGCGGCGCCGTTCAGGTCATGGCCTGATGATCATCGAGCGAGGCTTCAGCATTGACAAATTTAAGAATCGATTTGAAGTGCGGGCACGATAAACTTGACTGACCTGCCTTCCAAGCATCTTCAATGACGCCTTGTAGTTCCAAGATGGACGGAACCGGAGAAGGGCCGCTAGCGGAGGAGTTGTATTCGGGCAGATGGCGCAGGGACGAATACAGCATCTGTGCATTGCGATATCTGCAAAGTTGACGAGAGGTACGTCCGAACAGAAGGCGTGAGCAGTAGTTTCGGAAAGCCAGAAAAAGTTTGTTTGGCTTACCCACAACTCCAAACCAGATCCATGCTTCGACCACGAATGTGCTGGGTGTGCTGGTTCGCGACAAGAGTGGTCCACACTGGCGACAGCTTCCGGGGTGCCATCTTGGCAATCGAAGCAATCACGGCAACGAGGCCTGAGGAAGGCTCGCAATACGATTGAGTGTTTAAAGAGTATATCCGTACAGCATGCACCTACCTCACTTACCTGATGTCCCTTCCGGCTCGGTGTCCCTCCCGTCCTTGAAGTGTCTCGGCTTCTTGAACGGTCCAAATTCTTTCCTGCGCGCAGACGAAGATGTCTTTGCAACTATTACCGCGAGACCATCTTCTTCATCTTCTTCCCCCTCTTCCATCTCGGAAGCCTCTGCGGAAAGTGCGCGATGCTCGAGGCATTCTCCGACATGGGCGTCGCGAGAGCCCTGGACGGGGCCGAGGTCGATCGAGCGCCACGGCAGATCGCAAATGGGGCAAACGTCGTCGTCGTCTTTAACATCCTCGTCTTCACTATCCGAAATGATGAGCACTTCGATGGCGGCTCGAGGAGGTGGAACGTGATCGTTGTCGTTGATCTCGTCGATCTTGTCTTGTTTGGCGTCGAGGTCCGAGCCGGGCGCGGCTTCTTGTGAAGCGTCGAGGCCTGTCACGTGCGGGCCAGCGCACGAGCGGTCAGCGAATTGCCCGTTCGACAAACGCCCACTGCAGCCGGCGGTTCAGCGCTCAGCACAGCACTGACATTGGTTGAGATGATGCTCAAAGACACCAACGTCTCCATTGATCACGGTGTGGCAGATGAAGCATTTTTGTAGGTGCTCTTTTGAGGAGGAGGCCGACATGGTGGATTGCGAACGAGGGGACGGAGGGCGAGAGGGAGGGAGGGAGGGAGGGAGGGAGGGAGAAAGGGAGCGGGCCCGGGGGGGCGATCAAGTGGAAGACAGCATGGATACGACCTCGTACGACCTATGATTAGCCGGAATGGGTCCTGGCGAACGGAGAGGAGAGTGACCAGACAGCCCGTTTGGCGTTGGGGTAAGAAAGGGGCGTCGCCTCAGCGCCTCAGTCTTGGACTCGTCATTATCTCCTTGCGCGGCCTCGACTCGGCCTCGCTCTCCGGCGCTTCCCGGCCGTGGCCATTCGCAGCGCCGCCCACGACCGTACGAGGGTGTCCCTCTTGACATCACGTCTCGCCTCGCCTGCATTTGCCCCCCTTAGCTCTACGCCGTGCACACACTTTTGTCAGCTCAAGGCCGAACCGTTGGCGATCACACGCTCGGCCTGGGGAAACCAGGATGGCAACGGCGAGTGGCTCGGTCGCTGCTTCTCAGGAGGTGAGTCGTACCGGTGTATCACGTCCCCGTTCCCGATCAGCGTGATCGTGGCTCCCTCGATCAACGTCGCACCGATCATGGGCCAACCGGGCCACAAAAACCACTTCACTCCGTTCATTCGCTTGTGGCTGAGGCTGATCATATTGCATGTGCAGATCCTGAGAGCGACCATTAAGGATGTCAGATCGTGAGCGAGCATGCTCAGTCAGGGCCTTGAGCCTTCGCCATTTTCAAGGGGCTAGGATTATGCATCTTACACATATGCCGAGCTTTCTTCCTTTCACACGCCCACCCGCGTTACGCAGAAGGCCGTGGTCGAGATCCGTCAAGCAGGGATCAAGTCCACGGTTGAGATAGGCAAATCCGTGCAAGGCGAGTCGACTTGACACACCCAAGCTACACCTCTACACGAGTCATCAATCGGCCTATCTCTACCAATAAACAGCCAACGCCTACCTCCAAGCCGGGACTTTTGATTCGTATCAATTCTCCTTCATCCCTCCCGGCCCGTCCGCGACGAACCGACGAGATCGGCAACTTGACACGCCTTCCTCGGACGATCCTGTCCAGGTCGAACCGGCCGACGACATCGACGGAGACACTGCGCCTTTTGTTGCTTCTGGTGTCTCCCCCACGACCGCATTGGAACCTCTCACCATCTTCGGCAATGCTGGACCCGGGTTGGGGTCAGGAGGCTCCACTGGGTTTTCAGGGTCCTCGGGTCGGCGGTGGGTGGGGTGGTGGGGGTGGGGGTGGGGGTGGTGCGGGTAGTCGTAAGCGCGGCAGGCATTCGAGTATGGGACGGAAATTCGGGGTCCGTGGGTGTCGCGCGACGCCCAGTCGTTTTGTTCAATGGCCGAGCTGGTACGTGACATCTACGTGGCTGGCACAACCGACTGGACGAGTGTGGTACGTCTAGTCGAGGCTCGATCGAGACCCGGTCATGTGTGCGCTCGTACACCCTTGGGCGCACGTTTTATCTTTCCTTTCGGCGCATTCACACCGTACGCACCTAAAAGAATCGCGAGCGAATCCTCGTCTTGGGAGTCCAAAAGATGATGCAAGTCAATGGGGTCCCCATCCGCGGCGACAGCGCCGACGCCATCGTCGACAGTGGTACCGTTTACATGGTCATGATTGACGCTGTGGCCGCTGCGGCCTTCGCTTCGATACCCGGCTGGGGCTACTATTAAAACAGCACGGCGTCCAAGATGTATATCTACCCTTGTACAACTTCTTCCGTCTTCACCGACTCGTTCCCTGGCGGATCGACGGTGTGGACAATCTCCGAGGACACCCTCAACTTGGGCCAAGTCGACGGCACGAACTGCTTGGCCAGCGTGATGGGTGGCGCCGATGCGGCGGCCGGAGGTGCGGGCCACCTCTTGGGCCGACGCTTTTATGCAGAACGTTTACACGACGTTCGATTCCGACAATGCGCGTGTTGGGTTTCCCGATTGAGCTAGATAAAGGGTAGTGTGTCTTGAATCGCCGGGCGCGGTCCAGTGCTTTCTTATGCTGTGCCGAGGGGCTTGGAGTTGTTTTGTCTCTTGGGGCTTATTCGGTGTGCAGCTCGCTATTAGTTGTCTAGAATTACAGTAGAAAATTTTAGGGTGGGTGTGAACACAGGGTGAATGTTTAAAGTGCCAGAACGCCCTTGGTCGAGGGGACATCGTCGGAGCCATCGGTCTCAATCGCTTCTCGAATCGCCAACGCCAAGGCTTTGAAGGCGGATTCGGCTCTGTGCTTGTTTAGAGTGAGGTGTTTGTCAGCTTGCTGCCCATGTGTTTTACGCAGAGACAATGATGATGGAAAAGGTGGAGCGAGCCAACGTCGGGAGAGACCAGCGTTCGACCTGTCCTGTGAAACTCAACTTGTGGTGATCGTTCTCGCCTCTGATAACATCCACGTGAAGCGTCACCCCTGCACCTTGGGCAAACGACTGAAAGACGTGCGGGATCATCTCGCACGACAGGTCCCCGATCTTTTCCCGCTTGAGTTGAAGGTCGCCGCAGAAGTAAGGCCGCGACGAGATGTCGAGCACGGCTCGAGAGAGGGCCTGTCGGTCGGCAAAGGTAGTGCGCCGCGATGTCAGTGCGGGTGGAGGAAGACGGGATGAAGCACTAGCTGCTGGACGAACCTCGTCGAGGGGTGCGAATCCTGTACCGTACCTCCTGATCCCCTTGCGTTCACCGAGCGCGAGCTTGAACGCCTCGCCGAGCGCGAGCGCACTGTCCTCGGCGGTGTGGTGGTCGTCGATCCACAAGTCGCCTTTGCATTTGATGGTAAGCGACATTTTGGAGTGCTTGGCGAGCGCATGGTACATCTGGCGTATCGGCGGCACACACCGTGGTCACGGTACACGGAGCAGATCGCAATCGCGATGGGAGTTGATGCACGAGGGACGAGAGATGAGGCAGGGCGGAATCGACGTCAGCGTGCAGAAACGATAGTATGCGGGAACGCTGCATGGCAAGCTCACATGGTCAAGAAATCCGATGCCTGTGCTGATGTTGATCTCCTGCGCGGCGCCGACCGCGACGTCGAGCGTGAGCGTTATGGCGATGTCGGTCTCGTTCGTCTTGCGCGAGATCGAAGCGCTTCGTATTGTTCTAGACATGGTCAGGATGCGATGTTTGATCGAAAGCAGAGGCAGAGGCAGAGAAACAAGAATGCCGCCACCAAGACGGGGGGGGAGACGGCGCCGGCGCGGAAGTGAGGCCGAGAGCAAGCGCGGCGCGGTCGGACGCGGTGCTAAGCGCGCGTCGTTTCCGTTCTCAGCAATTAGCAAATCAACCAAAGACTCCGAGTCGAACTCGAGAGTAGTGTGAGCTATCGGCTACACACAAGGTCCGACCCGAGTGATGCATGATATAGCTTCTTTCACTTCTCCTCCACTTCTCTCGGCTATGGGTTAACGTTGGGACTGATAGCCCGTTCTGTTTGACGTTTGACGGTGAAACAATAGGGGCTAGTGAAATTAGCCGGACACGTAACCGTCGCGCCCCCGCGACTCGGTCCCTTACCATGCCCACTCCTCGTCGACAAATCGCTTTGGCCGTTCACCCTCTAGCTACATCGAGCGCTTAGAGCCCTCAGTCTTTGGTGTGAGTAGACCTTGTTGCAGTGCACAACAAGTCGCTTCGACCCACCGTCCCAGGGCCACCTGTGCTGACCCGTTTCTGACTCCGCTCGTCCCCTGTTTACGAGCGCTTCGTGTAGGCGCCGCGTGTTTGCTCGTTGGAACTGCCGGGGCTGAGACCGTTTTCGTCCCAACACACCGCCTTCTCGTTCAACATGCCCGTCTCGACCGCGCAGAAATGGCCCGCTGCCAACTCTCGATGGAATTCAATCGAGGATCTGAGCCTGCTCTTCCACCTTTCTTTACTTGAAGCAAACCTCTCGCCGTCGTTCACCTCCACCTCGCGCCCGGGCGAAAACGGCCAGCTACCGAGCATCTCAATCATGGCCAACATTCCGGGCTGCAAGCACGTCGTTCTTGCGCAAGTAGGACAACCATCACCCCAAGAGTGGGTCGTGGATCGCGTCCCACTTTTCCGAACCGCCGCCATTGTGAGACTGCAAGAAAAAAGTGGCGCGGTCCGCAGAGGCCGCAAAGGCAGCCGCCCCAAGTCGAAGGCAAACCCCAAGAAAGTCCTAGCCCACGGTCACAGGGAGGAACCTGCGGATTTGGAGGTCAGTCTTGCCCTCCATCGGCGCCGCTGCTTTGGTGGGAGCGAGTCGAACTTGACGGTGCAACAGGTTCGATACTGGTGGAGAGTGCACTCATCAACCGGTATTGCTCTATCTGACGTATCCTCATCCCAGACGTACCTGAATCGCGGGTATATTGACGTCGGCAGCGAGCTGTTGGGCCCAACCGACCTTACCCGTCTCGAAGGTTCGCTCCGCTCTTGCGCCCGCCGTGAGGGTCGCTTCCTCCGCGCGTTCAGGACCCAGAAAGGATCTGTTACTTTCTGCTGTGCTATCGGTGCCGCTTGTCCCTTCAAGCTCCAATTTCAAGTGCCTACCACACCGTCGCCTGGAGTTGAATGGAGGTGTACTCGTCTTTGCGCAACGCACTCGTGCCGAGCTGTCGACACGCCCCTCATCACCATCATGGACAGGCAGATGATAACTTTTGTAAGTCTATACTTTTTCCTAATCATCCACCATCGCACCCCTTACAATCCCTGATACGGATGGATAGCACCTCTTCTCAGCCGATAATCAGGCTCGGCACGCCACCGGAAGCCCTGCGAGCACCCGCATCTCAAGCCGCTGCCCCGGCCGCCAATCGCCATGTAGGTTGCGACCGCTATCCCTGTGATTTCGGACCGGATCTTGTAACGTCAGCGCCACTGACTGTTTGGTATTCTGGATCCCGTCAAAAAGTTGAATTTCATCAAAGGCGAAGAAGATGACGACGAACTTGAACCGGTGGAAGAAGAGGAGTTGGCAGCGGAGCCGGCTGCGCATCGTGCATGGACGCCCGTAGACATGGAGGAAGACGATGATGGCGAGCTCGACGGCGGTGGAGAGCTTTACGCCCAACAGGTCCGTTTGCCAGAAGAAGACCACGAGGATCTGAATCAACAGTATCTCAGGAAAGGGGTTCTCGAGGGCCATGGTGCACACAAGGTGCAACTGCCGTCGCTTCGACGTCGCTTCGGCGAGAGTCCCTCATCTCGCCAGCCACGCCACGACCGTGATGTACGCCAAGAGAGCCGAGAGCGTCGCCAGGTGCGCTACGAACGCAGACACCCTGCTCTTCCCTTCGCGTATGATCTGAGGTGCTGACCGACGTCTCCCCACTAGGTTGCTCGAAACTCGGGTGAGGTGCCCCGCTCCCAAGCACCCGACCTTGCATTCTCGAAAGGTCTCAAGCAAGAGCCAGACGGCACGTCGAGTTTCAAGCGACCTACTGAAGCAACTCAAGACTCCAATTTGGCTCGACCTACCAAAAAAGTGGCGATCGTCCCTGCCAAGAAAGTGTCGACGATCCCCAGGTCACAAACGAAGCAGGCGAGCGGAGCTGTCATTACGATCGAATCGACGAACGGCGCCGTCGCGACCACCAGCGCCAAAGTACCAGCCGCTGGCGCTCGAGCTCAAGTAGCTCAGGGCACACCGCCGAAGCCGACCATCAATTGCATCTTGCCATCTACCGCCGACCAAAACCGATCCAAGCCGCCCGCTGTGGAACTTCCTGTGCGACGGCCGACCGTCAGATTCGCTCGAACCGAAGTCTTCTCGACTGCGGATGGCCGATCCACCACCGTCTCCGCCAAAGGCGACTTCCTTGGAGTTTGGGTGCCCAAGCACTGATGACGCCTCACGCCTTGATGGCGAACAGGGGCGGTTGTAAAAAAACGTAGAGAAGTGAAGCTTATACCAGTTTTGAGTACATTGGGTCCGCTGGGCGGTCTCTTTGCTCCGGCTTATAGTAGTAGACATAATAGTCAGCATGATGGCTGAACTTGGACTCACTGGACTCGGTACATAGTCGATGAGTGCAATGATGAGTCCCAAGTTTGCAGTAAGTAAGTCTCATACTTGTCGACCGACCAAATGAACTGAGACATTATTGGAGCCAAGAGTGAAGGCCAGTGTCACGGTGTCGCCAGCACGCCTCCGTCAAATCTCAGCGGTGATTCGAACACGCGCCGGTCACAGTTTGGCCAGGTTTGGCCTATGACAAAGGATCGACCACGTGCCGCGAGCGCTTCCGCTCCGTCCTGGCTCCCACCTCTCATCTCCGTCGTTCTGGGGACTCTTGTCCGACATGAAGCATGGTGCCGAGCTAAAAGCTCGCCCAAGTGGACTTGTGTCGTATGCCAGTGGTACCGTCAAGGACGCCTGCGTCAGTTTCGACGCGTTGCACGCGCGCCTCGCCGCACTGCCGCATCAGAAGCTCCCCTCGACATTCTGGCAGGCGCTGCATCGCCTTCACATCCTCCTCAAGGCACTGGAACGTGTGTTCACCCTGGAATATTGAATTCTACTCCCGACTGAGCTCATTATGCTGACGTATGAGGTTGTTTCCCACCCACAGCAGCTACAGTAACAGCGTCCTTCACCACCACCGTCCCCTCTACCTCCGCCCCTACTCGCCCTTCCATTTCCGTGACGGCCGGCCCCACGCCAACACGATTGGTCGTCCGTATTCCGGCTGCCACGGCGCCGCAGATCAAGCGATCGCGATCGTATTCCGATGACGACGACGATGATAGCGACCTGGAAACGGACTCGTCGTCGTCGGGCTCGAGCGCACAACTCTGGACCCCTCCTCGGAGTCGATCGACGACGGCCAGCAAGTCGGCCCAGTCGAGCGATGGCAATGATGCTCGCAAGAGACCTCGGATGGTCACCGCGGAGACTACGAACATGACGTCACCCTTGGTACGCTACCGGGGGTCGACCGTGGAGACAAGCAAGTCACCTCGAGCGCTGGGCCAACCCCGTGCATCATCAGGTCGAGTGGACTGGAGAGCGGTTGCGCAACTCGAAACGATCGCCAACATTTCGCCAGCGACTCCTGGCGAGCAACTCGCACGCGCACTTCATTCGTTCGGCGATCCAGCGTTCCAAAACAAATTCGGTAGCTTTGTGTGCGACGTCATCAATCCGTCGAGGCTTGAACAGTTCTCGGCGGCTCGTGACGACGACTTGACGAGTGTCGGCGGCCAAGCAGGGGAGAGCGGAGGGCGGCCTTCCTTGGATGCGTGGACAGACCGGGAGCAAGCAGCCAAATCCGAGTTGATCCGCCTGTGCAGACGCGTGCACTCGTTGCAAGACAAGGAGATGAGCATCCGGTATCAACGATGTCTCGAAGGGATGCGGCTGGTGCAAGTGATCACTCGGTATGTCTGGTGCTCATCCTTCAAGGTTTGCAGCACGTCATCCGAAATCTGACCGCGACCGTGTGCTTCGAGGGGCCCTCCACAGACTCAAGATGACTTCCAAAAGGGTCTGGGGCTACCTACGGAAGGTCGAACCGTCTCTGGCGAACTCGATGACAGAGAGTGGGTTCGAGGCCATCTGCAAACGCGGTGCCGCCTTCGCTGTCGCGTGGGCTTTCGGCAAGTCTCTTCCGTGGTCTCACACCACACATGTTGCCCTATCCCGTTTCTGACACCTCCTTCGCGACGCACCCCTTCCCTCTCCCTCATTCGCGCACAGGCTGTCCCTACGTTGCTCTCGTTTTGTTTTTCGTGACAGACGGATTCACGATCGACAACACGGTCAGCTTAGGATCCGCAATGGAAGGACTGCTCGCCGGCTCGACTCCTCCAACAAATGGCCGAGCGGGGAACGCCGCGACGAAGAAGTGGTCCACCGATTGTATGTTATGCACCGGTGCTTTAGTTAGCAATTCTTTCGTCGACTAACTCGAGTACCCACCGATCGCTGTAGATGCATATTTGCAGAACGGGCTGCGATACCTTCAGGCCACGGTATTGACTCTTCGGACCCTCGCTCCGCCGATCCCCGTCACGTGGCAAGGCGAAGACGTACTCCTCTCTGACGACAGCTACGGGAAGGGGAAGAGCCAACAAACAATCTACAGTGTCGGAGGTTCTTGCCTGTCGGGCCACTGGGCCGCCAAGAAGCACATCAGCAACGCGGATGTCTTGTTTTCCTCGCTTCAAACGGAGAAGATCGCAATGAGCTTGGCCGACGCGGCTCGGTGCCTTGGAAAACCAAGGGGATTGGGAGTGGTCCCACTTGTGAACGAGACCACCGACGACGCCCTTCTGCCAAGAATAGAAGCGACCGACCTGGGCATGCAGCTCTTGTCGACCAGTTCAGATGCGAATGAGACGAGAAACAATGGTACCGCGTGAGCCATCATGCCAAAGGTCTTGCTCCGTTCCCGGCGTTGCTGCACCCATCTGACCCACTTGTCGGTCGTCGCAGCAGTACCACCCTTACCAATAGCACAAGTCGACAAGATTTCCTTCGATTTTCGCAAGGCCTTGTTGATGGAGCTATCTCGAGCGCACCTTTCGACAACTTTGCGTCGATCGACGCGGCCATGGACTGCGTGCGAAGGCTCGACGTTGCGGACCCGGACACGCTCTGCAAATCTCTCAACATTGAAGCACTGCAATGCACTGATACTACCTCAGGGCCATCCAGTAAACGAGGTGCCCTCCGCCAGGTTTGCATGGCGCTGGGCGCGCCCGCCGGGGCCTGGGAGACGGACTCGAAGGCTGCCGAGCTGGGCTCGCACGGCCCCCAACACGGTGCATCACCCCCGTCCGCTTCGCGCCTTGACATCGACATTGATGGCGAGACCTTGCGACGAGGACAAGATCGGTTACGGCTGTTGCTTGCTGAAGAGGAAGCAATGGGCAACATCGAGGATATCTCCACCCTTAGAGACTTTAAGGCGATGCACGGGAGGTTGGGACGCTCGGGCGGCAAGAAATTTCGCATCAAGAGAGAATTCATCGAGCAGTGAGTCCGCACCGCCTCGAGCGGTGTTTGACAGGACGCTTTCCTATGGTTTGCTGACGACGTCGAACTCATCGCTGGCGAAGGTACGGAGCCATCATCCGAGATCCAGTCAACCCAAAGGAGCCCCTGATTGTCCTACACCCTGCCAAGGTCTTCCCCGAAGCCGTCAAGCGCTCGGTCGAGAGCTCAATCCGCGACGACCTTTTCTTTCCGCCGGGCCCAATGAGGATGGAGCGTGAGCTTCGCCTCGAGAGAGGGGAACAAGCACAAGCATCGTGTATGATTGGATTGCAGCTCCGATACGCTAAGGCGCCGTACGTCATCAAATCGGCGAAGGACCTCGGACCAGTGGGCGGCGCCGTCCTTGCTGCGCTTCATCCCGTCATCTCGTATCTTGACGACTCGGTGAGCCACCTTCTCGCAGCATTCCTGAACGCAAGCGTATGCTGTGGTGTTGACTCAATGGACCTGGTGCTGCATCGACCTAGCTCAAAGCGACGAGTCCCGAAGCGCACGCGACGCTCGAAACAACACAGGCTCTGGCCCGAGCGAACCTGGACAATGTGCCGAGATTCCAGGCAAACGTGGCTATCAACTGGGAGAGCGTCATGGGAGGTCACATCGATCCCGACGTCTCGAAAGCGATGTGCTCCCTGTTTGTCGGCGGCTCGTTCGACGGCAAGCCATTCGCGCGAGGTGAACTTTGCTTCCACGAGCTGGGCCTGATCATCGAGTGCGGGGACGGGCTGGCAGTGCACTTTCAATCCAGCCGACTTATTCATTCGAGTTTTCCCTTCAGTGGCTCGAGGTACTCGGTCGTGTTCTTCACTAGCCAAGAGTTCGCGAGCAAGGTTGCGGCGGGCCGGTCGGCAGACGCTTGAAATGGTCTCGACCTCCACGGCGACTCATTTACCTCATGAGACGTGATGGTTCATAATCTATCAGAGCTGAAGGATTGTAAGTGTTGGGACTAGAATGGCCTGAGATGACGTCGTTTCCGCCTAGTCCTCGGACTCGGCCGATGTAAGAACTTGGGGACGGTCGCCGAGCGTTAAAGTTGTTGTAGACGATCATTGAAGTGACGTGTTGTAAACAATATTTGAAGAGTGAGCGATGCTGCTTTCTGAAATTACAGTGTGAGCGTGCTGTAGCTGTCAATGAGATGGGATCCACTGGTGAGCAAACGATGACGGTATCATTGCTCGCCGGCAGCACTCTGGCAGCTGGGTTCGCCACGCCTGCGCTCGCAGGCCTCGCGAGCGCTCGCGGGAGAACCCGCGCCCTGTCGGGCCTGGGAACGTGGGCCTGGGAACGTGGGCCTGGAGCGTGGGCCTGAAACGTGGCCAACTTCACACACCCTCACCACGTCGCTTTCGAGCCATTCTTGGGTGCTGAACCTGTTGTTTGTGTACTCAAGTGTATATGGTTCTCTTGGTGATGGCCAAATGTGCGTGTTGAGCTTGTGAGACGCGATTGAAGACACGATTCGTCGTGGTTTTGACGGGGCATCCCGTCAAAACTTTGGCTGGTGAGCTTGGACTCATTACCGAAACCCATTGTCAGTTAGCGGAATGTAAGGTCTGAGCCAGTGAAAGAGCTAATGCAATTAGGCGCTCGCGCTCCAAACCACGCGCCGTGGTCTCCCGCGTCTTTCCCACCTCGCTCACGCAAAAGGACGCGAGACGGCGTCGTTTGGCGGCCACCTCACTCAGAGCGGTGGGCTGCGTGGACCGGCGCTGTGGCAGCACCACGTCCACATTGGCAGCGACAACTGACAAACGCGAATCCGGATCAAGTCTAAGACGACATGAACGATGACACGCTCGAGAAGTTGTACGTGAGTGTCCGGCGCCGCGTAACACTGGCCAGGAGGTTGCGGCTTTGTTTCACCCAGACTGACCTGGCTGCCGACGCATCGCTGTCCTCATCACTTCTCGTGTCTCTCTCTTGCGTCCGTCTTGCCTCCGTAGCTACTCGACTCGGTGCAGAGTCTGCTGTCGCCCAGTTTGCCCTCGCCTCCGCCGTCGCCTCGTCAGAGCACGGTTCTTGAAGCCCCCGCCTCGTCCTTTGTCTTGAGCTCTGCTGCTGGGGACTCGGTCTCGTCACCCGCGACGGCGAGAGCGACGTGGACCGGCGGCGCACGAGCCCCTGCGCCGCCACCGCCGATCGGGCTGGGCTTTGAACCCTCACACTACTCGGATCTGCTCCATACCCACGGCACGATCCCATCCAAGTCAGTTGAGCGTATTATTTCGATGAAAACCAGCCTCGCTACAGAGAACTGACTTTTCTTGCTCGCTTGTACGTCAGACGTGCTCGGTCCTCTCCGTCGGCGCCACCATCGCACTCAGCCCTGCCCCTACCACCCCCACCACCCACCGCGGATCCACGACGACCCTCACGCACATCACTTGAAGGCACTAACGGCCTCACACCTGACATCCGCGCATCGCCCTTCTCCACACCCCGTATAAGGCCGCCGGTCACCCACGACGAGCCCAAGGTTGGTTCCGAGGACTGGACAAAGAATTTTAGCAAGGACCGACTCCGGAAGATGGCCGCCCGGTGCGTCACTCCTTGTCACACGTAGCCAGGATGGAACGCGACTGAACCTTTCCTTTCCGTGTTACTCTTACTGCAGGTTTCGCGCCACAGGTCGCGAGCTCAAGCACACGGGCGACAAACTCGCACGGGAGTCGACAGCCAACCACGCCGTTGCGCTCGCATGCCAAACCGACGCGATTCTGCTGTACGTGTTCGCCTTTTGGTGCGACGACCAAGCGGCCAAGACGTGCATTGCACAAAACTGGCAAACCATCTTTGGACTCGTCGCCTACGTCAAGCGAGCGGCGCAAAAGGCCAAACTAGGACTCTTGGAGGGCATATGGTGAGTTTCAGTCGACAGTCGGCGCTATGCGAGTGCGCAGAGTGATATCTGACATCGCAGTATGCTTTATTTGCGCTTGTTTTCAAAGTACTCGAATGGAATCGATCGCCGTGTACACGTTAGCGATGTACGAACAGAAGCAACTCAACCATCGCGGGGCCCAGCTGCTCGCATCCGGTGCCGCTGCATCGACGTTGACATCGAGCTCTACCAAGCTCCCTGTCGCTTCCTCGTCAGTTATAGTGCCCCCAAGATCGAACCTACCGGCACCACCCCCGTCGCTTCCCCCTCGACCAGGTCCGCCGCCTGCGTCCGGCGCTTCGCAGGATTCGCAGTCCCCCGCCTCCGCCGCTTCGCCACCTGGCATGGTTGCGAGTGGTTCGGCACCGGCCACTGCCGGGTCCTCGATCGAGGTGCTGAAGCTGTTCGTCAAAGCCGGCTCGGAGTTGTTCCGATATCAACGTTTGTGGGACGAGGCCGCCGCCCACTTTGCGCCGGATGCGCTGGCGAGATCACTCCCGTCCACTTTGGAACTGTGCTTGCAATCGAGCATTTGGATCGATCCCGGAACGTTCGTATGGCCGCAGCCCCGGGTAACAGAGGAAGGCGAAGAAGGCGGTCTGCATACGTGGGTCTTCGCTTGGCCGGTCGAGCTGGGCAAACCCATGATGGTCGTTCACACCGTCGCGTTGATGCGATGCATGCTGCAAGAGTGGGCGAGGGAGAATGCGCGAGGCTTCACCCTGACCAGTGTCGATGTTTGAGGATTGAGTGGTGTGAATAGAAGTTATGTTGTATCCTTGTCAGTGCAAGTCTCGTTGTGTCAGGTCTGGCTTGCTCAGATCATGCCTCGGGGATGACACGAGTTCAAGGTAGTTTGATTGAGTGTAATTCTACAGCGGTGGGCTGAAAGAAGACTGTTCATGGTTCACATGAGATGGAAGAGTCAGTGTCTGGTCTAACTTGAGATTTTTTTATTTTTTTTTGTAGAAACCGTTCATCATATTGCCCCCAATTCCTGTTCCCCCTGTTTCGGCCTACGGAAAAACTAGATGGAAGACCACGATGATAACACAAACCGCCCGCAAAAGTGCGAGAAACGAGCCAAGTCCACCAATCCGAGATTCGGATTCAAATGCCCTAGCCAAGCGGTTGCTCCCCCCCAGGAGACGAATGAGAGAGAGAAAGAGAGATGAAGAGAAAGAGAAAGAGAAAGAGAAAGAAAAAGAATGTACTAACGACAGAAGGCCCACCCCACAGCCACTTCCCACTCGGTCGAGACGAAGACAAGAGCACGACTGCGCAACCACCACGACCCTCGACGCTCCAAGTCTCTGCTCAGTCACAACAAGACGCGGTGAAGGTCCCTCAAAACCTCCCCCTCGGCAGTCCCTGGCCCCTCAAAGCCGACTTTCTGCCTGTGTCCGCTGATCCCTCCCTTGACTCAGAACCCCGAAGCCGAAGAGCGCGAGCCACACCGAGTCGACGCCAAATCGCGAGATGGTCCATGATCCGCAACGGTGAACCTGTAACAAAAGAAAGAGGAAAGCGAGCTATTTAGTGTACAGTAGGAGAAAATGATGTCACGAGAATTTGGTGTGTGTGTGTGGTGGTGGGGGGAAAGTCGAACCCAGCCTCTACTGCCTTCTCCTCCCCCAAGCTCCTCCCGCCCTCAGCTTCAACCTCTCCTCCAAGATTATCCTCCTCCTCCCAACACCCTCCATCCTCGTCCCCCACTTCTGCATCCCCCACCTCCCGCTGCTGATCATCTCCAAGACCAGCCCGGTGAATATTTCGATCGTCCTCCCCGCTCCTTCTTGATCGCGCAGACTGGCCTTGAGCTTCGGAAGTCCGAACATGCGTTGAACGGCCGTGTAATGCGTGTTGTCGATCGTGTCGAGCCCCAGTGCGTCGCAGAGCACGCCCCTTGCCGCGATCCAAACGTTCCTAGAGTCAACGCAGTCGAAGAAGTAGTGCTCCCGATCGTCCTTGGGCGCTCCACAGACGAGGCACGCGGGCGAGTCGTCGTGCTTTTGATGAAACTGCAGACTCCGAGTCGGGGTGAAGTTCCTGACGAGCTTGAACCACACCTCGCGTTCCCTCGCCGTCAATGCCTTCGAGTTGACCCCCTTCCAGAATCCCTTGAGATCGGGTATTTGCGGCTGTCCGATCGGGCAATGCCGCGAAGCTACCACGTGTTGGATTATGGCTGAACGCCTCTAAGCCAGAATCCGTGCTAGAAACGATGATGTTAGTCCCGCGAATCTTAGTCGAGTTAAGATAGAGCTTCGGCTCGTAAACCATATTTGACCGGTCACGCCTCTCGGAGCGGAAAGGCTTCGGGGGTAGCCGGTGAATTATATTCGAAAAATCCGCGGGGGTGAATCCTTTGCAAACGACTTAAATAGAACGGAGTGCTGTAAGTAGTAGAGTAGCCTTGTTGTTACGATCTACTGAGGCTAAGCTCCTGTTCAATAGATTTGTTCATCTTTTGATGAACTTTTTCTCTCTTTTTCTTATGGGGGTTTCACTTGAGGGTCGGTGAGCAAGAGTCGCGGCGAGGGTTGCACTTGGCGGCAACGGCCGAAGTAGGCTGGCGCTTGGCATGGTCGGCTTGCACTTGAGGGTCGGCGATGTCTGTGTCGTGATCTACTTGAGGGTCGAGGGTCGGCGCACACAT